GGTGACTGTGGACATGTTTTTGACAGGCTCCAATTATCAAGACGTTGCAACCCTTTCTAACCTTCCAAGGTACACAGCGGGTCAGACTCACTTCTATCCAGCATGGTCTGCCAGCAGAGTGGAGGATATCACCAAGCTGACCAAAGAGGTTTCTAATCATCTCTCTATGGACATTGCTTTGGAGGCTGTCTTGAGAGTGAGAGGTTCCAGTGGACTGAGAATGAACGCCTTCTTTGGAAACTTCTTCAACAGATCCTCGGACTTGTGCTCGTTCCCAACATTCCCAAGAGACCAATCGTATGTCATTGAGGTTGCAATCGATGAGTACATATCCAAACCATACGTTTTCTTCCAATGTGCAGTTTTGCATACGACGTGCTTTGGAGAGAGAAGAATCAGAGTGCTCACTTTGGGCATTCCGACCTCTAAGGATCTCACAGACGTTTATGCTTCAGCGGACCAATTGGCCATTACGAACTACTTCACGCACAAGGCCATTGAAAAGACGTTGTCTTCTTCCCTGAACGATGCTAGAGATTACTTGAACAAGGTTTTGGTGGATATTCTCAGCGTCTACAAGAAGGAAATCGTTCCTGGTAATCTTGGATCGTCTTCCCCATTGCAGCTCTGCACCAACCTGAGAATGTTGCCATTGCTGTTGCAATCGCTCACCAAGCATATTGCGTTCCGTACGGGCAAGGTTCCTTCTGACCACCGATCTTCTGCTCTTAACAGACTGGCCACTTTACCTCTGCCTAGCTTGATCAACTACATCTACCCTACCGTGTACGCGTTGCATTCAATGACAGATGACTGCGGATTGCCGTATGAGGGTGAGGACGACCCGTACGACATTCCTCCCAAGAAGCGTGGCGAAATCGTTCTTCCTGAGGCCATCAATGCTACCATCACGAACTTCGAGAAGTACGGCCTGTATCTGATCAACAACACTTCTGAGCTGTTTTTGTACATTGGAGGAGACGCTGTTCCTCAGTTGGTGAATGATGTTTTTGGCGTGGACTCGATCAACGAGGTGCCAATTGGTAAGGCGGAGCTTCCGGAGCTGGACAACGAGTTCAACGTCCGTGTGAGAAACATCATCAACAAGGTTAGAGAAAACGAGGGCTCTATCGAGTACCTGAACCTGTATGTTGTGAGAGGCCCTTCGACAAACGAAAACATGATGAACACCAACAGAGACATCATTCCGCTGAGAATGTGGAGCATGTCTGAGCTCGTTGAGGACAGAGTGAGCGCAAACTTGAGTTACAAAGAGTTCTTGACTCAGTTGAGAGAGAAGGTCTCGAGCTAGGCGGTGTACGGGTGTGTAGGCTAAAGACGAGAAAATCATCTGCTTATCATGTTCTCCAATAAAAATCCAATGTTTGGTGAGCGTAAGGCCGTATTTGAGCGTGGCAGACGGTGAAGAATAATTTTTTCCATACTCTGGTGTGTCTAATAAACAAATTCTATAGAAGTTTATCGACGACTGGACTCTTTGTTATAGAAGTTTATCAACGACTGGATTCTTTGTTGTAATATACCAGAAGTTAGGATACAAAGGGTAAGTAAGAATTGCCATGGGGCCGGTGTCAATGGGATGATCTTACAAGGCTTTTTCAGGAGGATTTTTATTGCACAATCAGCGACACAGAATATTGTACTCGTCAATGCGGAGAACAACTACACCGTGTAATCAATTCGATGATACAGTATTCCACAGGGTACACGGGCTAGCGTATGGACAACGTTATGTTTGCATCAGCTACAGGTCACTATGACGTTTCATTGAAGATTAGCGAACACCAGGCAAGAGCTACAGAAGCACAATAGATGAGCCACGACTGGCGATCCTTGTCTCTGTGCTCGCGAAGAACTCGATCTAAAAGCCGTTTCTTCTCGAAAATGGTTCCAGCCAATGAGAGCGCAAGGATTTTGCAATTTTTTATCCTCAGAAAACAGCATGTTATGTCAGCAAGCGGTGGTAAGATTTTTCATTTGGTCCCCGATTTTCATATACTAACTCTCAGGTGTACAATATGTTGAGACAAGCATTGAAGACCGTTCCTAGAGTGCAAGTGAGACACGCCTCTGAGCTGTCACAGGCCACCGTGTCGAATATACAACTTAGATGGGAGAAACTTCCAGAAGAGGACCGAAAGGAAGTGATCGAGGCTCTTGCTGAGAGACAAAAATTGCCATGGACTCAGCTGACTCCGGAGGAGAAGAAGGCCGCTTTCTACGTTTCGTTCGGCGAGTGGGGACCAAGAAAGCCTATCCACTCTGCTGAAGACATCAGATACATTTTCTGGGGTGTTGTCATTGGTATTTCTCTCACCGCCACAGGTTTCTTCTACTACAGATCAAAGAGATACGTTCCAAAGACCATGAACAGAGAATGGCAAGAGATGTCCGACGAGTACCTCAAATCGAAGAACGCCAACCCATTCAGTGGATACTCTCAAGTTCAATCCAAATAAGACCTTTACCATCCCCATCAATCAAGCAAGCTATTCATTGACAGAGACCAACCTCGAGTGGGGTGGTTGTTAGGCTACTTATTGCAAATTCAGCAATAAAATTAAACTATTATACACTAAATTGATTACCACAATTTTCTGTCGAACGTTTGTAGAACTGCTTTGGCTTTAGGTCCGAGACGAAGAGGCACTGCACGCTCGGCCGTTGGCTTGCTTGCCTCGATTTTGGGCAGAGTGGCAGCCTGATCTTGGTGGTCCACGGGAGCCACTTTGCAGAGTGCAAATCTCTCGTAAACTTGTTTAACAAGGGCGTACCTTGAGTTTTCTAGGATTTTGTCAAAGTCGCTCAGTTTGATCCAGTTAAGAACTAGCTCTTCAAAGTTTTTCTCCTCATTCTCATACATCTTTCTAAGCTCTTGAAGCTGCACACTGTCGCCTTTCAGAAACACGCCAATCATCGGCCACAGGATATTCCACACACGGGCTTTCTCTGCTTTGGTGAGCGGTTTCCTCTCTATCTCGCTATTCTCATCGTAGAACTTCTCTGTCCCAAGGATCAAGATCGCCTGCAAATCGACCAAATAGCTCTCACCGTCCACCCGGAACACGTACAATGGAAGATATTGCGATATTTCTGTCTCTGTGCGATGTCCATCAAATCTTGCAATCTGCAGTCCATATGGATAGTAGCTGCGAATATACTGCTTGCGTTCCATGTTTTGTTTCTCAGCTTCCTGCTGAGCACGCTGCTCTTCCTCCTGCAATCTCCGAGCGCGTTCCTGTTCCTCCTGCTGTCTCCGCCGCTCTTCCTCCATGGCTGCAGCGCGCAGCTCTTCGTTTCTCTTTCTTTCCTGTTCTGCAATTGTTCGCGCAATCTGCTGCTGGCGCGCCTTCTTTCTCTCTAGCCGCTGCAACTCCAGTGCCTCGCGTGCTTTACGTGCCTCCTCTTCCTGCTTTCTCCTCTCCTCCAGTTCCTCAGGAGTAGGGGGAACAGGTTTTTCCTCCAGTTTTGGCTGTATCTTAGGTTCTGGTTTGGGCTCCTGTTTCACAGGCGTGAGAACACGCGGAGCAGCCGGCACTTGAGGGGCAGAACGCACTGACATGTCGCTGTCTGTGGATGACCTGTGTTTGATTTTCTTCACATCGCTCTTCTTTCGATCGTTTTCTGGTGTCTCAGCACGTTCTTTTCGTTTTTTGGTACTCTTTTCGCTGGCCTCCTTCAAAATCCTCATCTCTTCGTCGTCAGGAACGTAGCTTGCTTGCAGTATGTCAATCGCCGTACGACCATGTTTATCCGTCAACGACACATCTGCCTTATTCTCCAAAAGTAGCTTGACCATGTCAATATGGTCCTTTCCAACAGCATGCATCAAAGGCGTCATTCCACTCTTGTCAACATAGTTCACCTTGGCCCCAAATGCAATGAGCAAACTGGCAATATCAGTGTGGCCATGCTTTGCAGCCAGACACAGCAAGTCGGGAGATATCCTGCTTCCTGCGAGGTTTGAAACGTAGTTCAGCACAAACGTGACGTCGTTTTCTGAAACCTTGTGGTAAATTTCAGATCTGCCCTCCTTCGAGAAGGGGTCGAAAAACACGGCACTCGACCGTTTGGAAACCTCCTCCTTTTCCGAATCTGTTCCTGGCCCCGAGCTTTGGCTCCTGGCGTGCTTCTTTTTGTATTCTCGAGTGGCCTGAGCAAGTAGCTTTTTGAGCTTCTTGACTTTGTCGAGCTCTTCCTCCTCCAAATCGTTCCAATCGCGATCATTCTCAACAGAGTCCAATGCAGAGTCGCCCTGAGAATTCACCAGACAAGGATTGGCTCCCCGATCCAGCAGCGTACGGACCACATCGTAGTGTAAATTTGAGGCGGCATCAATCAAGGGGGTGTCCTTGTCGATATGGGCTGATTGCGCATTTATGTCGGCCCCGTTATCCAACAACAGCTCCACAACATCCAAATAGCCTTCCAGAGCGGCTTCATGGAGCGGCGTGTTGCCCGCGAAATCAGCCTCGTTGACGTCTGCTCCGTTCTCAATGAGTTGCTTGGCCTCTTCATAGTGGCCCTTTGCACAGTGTCGTTGCAAAAGCGACCTTCCTGAGGCGTCTTTCCCGCTTTTGCCGCTCACCTTGCGCTCTGAAGACCGCGAGCTCTGCGAAGTAGACCGCTTCTGCACCTGTTTTTTGGAGCTAGACTTGTCGTCAGATTCGTTTTCGTCCGAGCTCCTTCTCATGAGACAGTGGAGCCTTCTAGTTCTGTTGGACGGCAGCGGAATCGACTCGTCAATGTCGGTTTCCGACTCTGACAGCAACGGCTCTTCCTTCTTGATGGGTTTAGGAACGTCCTCGCCTACATCTAGTCGGCCAGACTCTGTTTCTGCAGTTTCTGGTCGCACTATATGTGGCTTCTCATCGTTTATGTGCAAACCTGGCTCCGGTAAACCTGCACTCTCGTCAGGCTCTGAAGACATTAAAACAAAGATTTAATAAATTTATTTACTTTCGGTTGTGTGCTAGGGAACATCGTCGATCGACGCGACTGTATTAGCGTACAGGTTTACATATCATTAGTGGACGAAGCAGCAGAACTATAACCCAGATAGCGCCCCCACTCCATGACCTCGTATATCAGACTGAAGTTCGGCGAAATCAACGGAGCTTTCTCTTTTAGCATGTTGTAAGCATCGTTGTAGCCGATTTTTTTGTGCTTCATCAGGTAAGCCAAAATTAAAGAAGCCGAGCGCGAGACACCGCATTGGCAGTGGATCAAAACACGTTTGTTTTCTGACAGCGCCTTGTCAATGATTTCTGTGAGTTTCGGAAAGTCAGGCATCAGCTTGGACGTGTGAGTCCAGGGAATGTAAAAATATTGGATATTCTGGCCTGAGATCGAGGTTTTGTTGGAGATCTGGTCTGTATAGTCTTTGATCTCCTGGGCGACGTTTATGATGACGTCGAAGTCAATAAGTTGGGTGATTGACGGCTCGGAGTACAGAAAAAGGTTTGGCTCCAGAACGCAAACAGGGCCTTCAGGATACGCTTTCACGCAGCCAGATGGGTGGTAGGAGGGCACTTCTGTTACGGCGGAGAGAGAGCCTGATGATTCGACAGTGGAGGACGAGGAAAATGCGAGCGAATCGGTGGAGTCTAGGGACTGCTGGACCGTGGTGGCTGGCTGTGCTGTGTTTTGGCTTTGGTGGCCGTTTGACGAGTCTATAGAGAGAGTCAACGACCGCACGGGGGGTTGGATGCTGGCTGTCTGTGTAGGGGAATTTGTGGAAGACATGAGAACAGTGTTGAGAGACGGTGTTCTGTAGAGTCGGGGGATTCTTGGCGTGGTTGTTGGAGAATGGGAAAGAACCTGTTTACTGCCGTTGGAGGAGTATGTGAGGGGGACCGGGTATTTTGTCTGGTTCTTTGACAGGTCCAGCTGCAGGTTCTTAACATTTCTCGGCCGTCGTAGACCGTTGCCGTTGGGGAGGGAGTGTTGAGGGGACATGGTGTCCTGCGGGGTGGGAGTATCGCTGGACATAGAATTAATCACGCCATAAGCATGGGTATCTTACCAGAGTCGGGAGAAAGAGGGTTTGCTTGGAGTGCAAGAAAAAGCCAATTTGGACAATCAATTCCTGTTTGAAACAAGATTTCTAATTTTAGTAGATAAAAAATAAATTGGTTTATTTTTTTTTGTGCACCTTAACCAAGCTGCGCTGCAGGCCTGCATTTATTTTCTCCACAGAATATTCCACTGGCTTTGTATCGAGGCACGCCAGAAACTCCGTGAGCGATCCGCCCACGCCAAAGTAGATGTCCTTGGCAGCCACTAGCGCCAGAGAGCCCGTGTGCTGCACTGTCTCCGACACCATCTGCGCCACCACTGGCAAGTGTTGTGGAGAGTAAATAGTCTCTGAAGAGACCATCAGCGCGGGTGACTGGATCAGGGCATTGATTTGGGTCATCATCTGGCGGCCCCAGGACCCACTTATGAGTGATATGGCGATATGCTGTTCGCGCAGCGCATTTTTGAATCTAGCTACCAGCTCTGGGGTCACGTCGATTTCCCCATCACGGACGTTTCCTTCTACATCTGGACGTTTCTGCAGTTGCTCCATCTCCTCCTTGGATAGGCTCGTGAGACACCATGTCAAAAATAGGTTTGGAACACTCACCAGCCGCAAGACCTCGTAATTAAAGTCTGTTAAAATGAGATTGACGTGAGTTTGTTTGTGTTGCAAGAGTCTCTGAAAAACTAGCAAACTTGGCAAACTGGTCCCACAGCCTAGCTCCAGAAACGATTTGTAGCCAGAAAGGTCGACGTCTTGCAGTCTCTGCATAACGTCGTAGCAGCACTCCCAGGACTTGAGTCCTCCCTCGTAAACCCCGTTCCGGACGTCTTCCGCAGTGGAACCTATCAGGAATTGCATCTCTTCTGATTCTGCATCCTCGCTCATCAGCTGGTGACGCACATCGAAGAACTCACGACGAACCAGCGAGCCTGGAAAGTCAATATGTTCATACGAGACCCGTGTGCCGATCATCAGCTCCAGAAAGCTGCTGATATCGTGCACTCGCGGAACCACGGTCTCTGTGGCCACGTCGAAGGCGTCATTTGCGGCAGATGTATCTCGCTCGTCGTCCTCGAAACCAAACTTAAATCCCATGTGAATTTTCTTTTTTATTAAATTAATTTTTTTAGCAACCTGGCGAATGTCTGAGTATGCCGCGTATTTGGAAGATTTCGACCCGCTCAGATATGCCAATGAGCTTGTGGTGTCCACGAACAACGTAGAGGAGTCGGAACTAGACCTCACGACGTCCATCAAACGACTCCAATTCGACCTGAAAGATGTCGAAAAACGGCTCCAGAAAACTGCCAGCGAAAACTACACCACCCTCATCTCAGAGCTCGACACGGCCGAAGAGCTCCACAATACCATACAGCTAATTAAGCCGTCGCTGAAACAGGTCAACGCGTCGTACGCACGGCTGGAAACTGAAATTCTGCAACCATACAACGAATCCTCCAACTTGCACTCTGCACTGAGAAAAATACACCAGACGTCCAATCTGCTGCGGTCCTCGACGTATTTCATATATCTGATCTCCCGCATTGAAGAAATTGACAAGACCGACCAGGAGCTCAACAAAAAGCCGTTCAAGTCGCTCATCTCGTTGGCCAGACTTCTAAATCAGGTCAAGATTCATCTTGCAGACTCGCCGTTTCTCAAATCGTTGAAGCTTGTGAGGGACTACGAGTCGTTCCAGCAGCTCCAGACAGCAAAGGTGATGGACATTTGCAATACGCATCTCAAGAATCTCTCGCTTTCGTACGATGCCCAATCGATGCTCAACCTGATCAACGCGCTCTCGATCATGTCGTCGGAGTCGTTCTACAATCAGCTACAGCAGCTTCTGAGTCTCAAGATTGCAGCCGCAATCAACTTAATCATAAAGAACCTAAACAACACAAAAAGTCTCGATAGGGTCTTTGCTGAAGTATCGGCTTCTGGTAGGCTGATAAACCAGTTGGAGAAAGTGATGAAGTCCAACAAATGGCAGGACGCGAACAATACCAAAGACACGCAACCCAGTACGCTCACGATCTACGAAAAAGTCAACTCTGTGCTGCAGTTTGGTAGCTCATTGGGGACTCTTTTTTGGAAAGACACTGCCATTGGAGTGGAGCCAAAATTCAAGGAAATCGTGACAAGAGGTGGTCCAATCGCTAGAAACTTGAGACAGCTCAAGGAGGAAATCAAGAACTTCATTAAAAATGCTGTGCTGGATTCGTTCGAAGGCGACAGAGGCCCCGAGTGTCTGGAAGTTAGAATGATGCTAAATAGTGTTGCGTCTCTAGATACTGCTAGATAGCTAAATCGATGCCTGCGGGCTGTCTGCTGTTTTTCTTGGCTCGCTTGCCGCCTCGTCTGGTCTTTTTTATTCTGCTCTGACGCTGTATTTGCAATAGTCTATGTCTGAACTCTTTACGCCGTTTGGCGGCTTCGATCCTGCCTAGTCGCTGCTTTTTGCCAGGACGGGTCCGTTTTGTTTTATCCCTTGTTATGGCAGGTCTCATGGTGTCTTGTTGCCTGCCCAAAACCACAAGTTTGTATTTGCTGGGTATGATATTTCTGCTCTGCGAGATTATTTCCTCGCCATCCACCGCAGCCTGCTCAAATTCGGCCTTTTCCTGCGAGGAGTACTGCGCATAATAATAGCTCCGTGGCCGCTCGGTGTTTTCCTTCGCCAGCTCGTAATTATACTCCTTTTCCTCCAAACTAACCTGGACATCTGATACTCCAGAAAATAAAGGAAACGTCTCTATAGTCTCAGGCTGTGGCTCCGGTGCAACATCAACAATATCGACGATCTCAAACTCGATTCCAGGATCAAACGTATACCTGTGGCCCGCATCGGCAGAAACCTCCGCTTCGCCAAAAACCTCCTTCCGAGATACAACAGACATATCTAAAAACTAAAAATCCCAATAAATAAATAAAAATAAATACTGTATGTTAACGGTACGGAGCATCTGCATCGGCAGCATACCTGTACTCCTGCTCCCATCTGTCGCCGTTGGAAAGCAGCTTTTCTTTGTTGTACAGCAGCTCTTCCCGCGTTTCTGTCGAGTACTCAATGTTCGGGGTCTCGACAATAGCATCCACGGGACAGCTCTCCTGACAGTAGCCGCAGTAGATGCACTTTGTCATGTCGATGTCATATTTATATGTTCTTCTGGACCCATCCGCACGTTCCTCTGCCTCGATTGTGATAGCTTGCGCAGGACAGATCGCCTCGCACAGCTTGCACGCAATGCACCGCTCCTCCCCAGACGGATACCGTCTCAGAGCATGCTCGCCTCTAAACCGCGGCGAAATGGCTCCCTTCTCAAACGGGTAGTATATGGTGTACGGAGCACGGAAATACATCTCCAGAACGACATACATGCCCCTGAACATCTCCGCCAGCAGATACCATCTAGTTGCCTTGGAAAGTGCTCCCTCTTTGGACTCCTCCCAGGTTCGAGGACGCGGCAGCCGGAAGCCCGTGGGCCACGACGACTGCGGAGAGCCGGCCGTAGCAGACAGTGCCGGCTTGAGCACTGTCCGGGACAAATGCAGCGATCGAACCTGTCTCAAGCCGATGCGAATCATAAGGATACAGAGATAATTTGGAGTACTCCACCTTTTGTCGCACTCTGGTAGGAAGTTACCCGGCCCTCGCCCGTTTTAGGGAAATTAATAAAAGCCATTCTATTTTTCATAATCTGTGTAAAGCAAGCGCGTTTCCCAACTTCTGTTTGCCCAATTAACTTGATACTCAATTAAAGATGCTCAGACTGCAAGCCAGAACCTTTTCTAGCACTGCTAGAGCCCAGCTAGCCAAAATCAACCTCATTGGCACCATCGGGTCCGACGTCACCAAGGCCACCACGTCCTCCGGCAAGGAGTACGTCAGATACTCGCTGGCGGTCGACTCCAGATCGAAAAACAACGACTCAACCTCGTGGTTCAACATTGCCTGTTTCAATGAGAACCAGGCTAACTTCATGAGCGAACGTCTTGGCAAGGGAGCCAGAGTGTACGTCGAAGCCGACGTGTCTAACAGTCTCGTTGAGAGAGAGGACGGCTCCAAATATATTTCGTGGGTCCTGTTCCAAAACAACCTCGAGGTTGTCAGATTCCCAAAGAGAGAGGAGCCAGCCGAGTCGGAATAAAGCCTGGCCTTTTTTAAATCTGCTTTGTAAGTTAGTCTTAGCTCAATCGAAATAAGTAATTATATGTCTGTGTACTCCAGGCCCATCCGGCGCAAGTCGCGGCGTATGTCCTCGTCCAGCAGGTCCAGCTCCGCCTGCCGCAGCTCGTGCCGGATGTCCTCGTCGCGCGCCGTCGTCAGCTGCGACGACGGCGTGCTGACGTAATCATCGTAAGGACTGCGGCCGTCTGATTTAACGTCGTCCAGTTCCCAGCTCGAGACCGGCGATTCCTGCACATAGTCCTTGTCGGAACCGAAATCTGAGCTGTACTGCGTGCTGGACGTGGTGTTTCTGGAGATGTAGTTCTGTTTCTTGACCACTTTTCGGGACTCCTGCCATGCACACCATCTCTGCACCAGTCGGCTGCCACCAGGCACCGTCTCTAGCCAGTCCACGTACATGCGCACGGCGTCCTCGCCGAGCCCAAACAGCGCAAAGCCGATAACCGACATCGCGATCTGGATCCACCGTTCTGCGTCGTCGAATGAGTTATACGGAAGCCGCAGAATTGTGTCCCAGTATAGTTTTCTGCTAAAGTCTGGCTTGAACTGCGGCTGCCAGCCGTTCATGTTTAGCACCAGCGACAGGACCTTGAGCGGAAACATGGCACCAATCACGAGCGAGCAGAAAATGAGCATTTTGCTAAATCTGCGCAGCGAGTACCCTGAGTTGGTGCACTGCAAGATGTTTCTGGTGTTCTTTCTCTTGGCGAAAAACACAGCCAGGGTGGCCAGCGCAGTGACAAAACACAGCACTGCCCACAGCAGAAGCCAGAAGTAGTATAGCAGCAGCGAAATGCCGTATTTCAAGAACACCAGCCGACACCCTGTGCACTGCGTGATAGCGTATCTGAAGTAGAGCGCAAAGTACACAAACACGGCGATCAAAAGCGGGAATCCGACCACGCTGAACAGTTCAACGGCCGTTTTGGTGTGTTTGCTGTTGAACCAGTACTCTGTCCACCGGTTGGCTAGTAAAATCATCATCAGATTGAGCAAAATGCAGAAGATCGAGCCGGTGATGCCAAATTGTGCCATGAGCTGTACACGAATAGTCAAGTCGCACCAGCCTCTGCCGTCCCACGCGTCAGCATAGTCGTCGCCGCCCCATAAAGCGGCAGCAACAATGTACTCCAGCATCATAATCTCCAGATAGATAAACAGTGCGCTCGCAGGGATGTTGCGAGCGCGGATGTGCCACAGCATCGGCGGCACGTTCAGCGCAAAGCACACCGCGTGAATGCTGATCAAAAACGCTTTGAAATCAACCATTCTGTATGCATTTTGCTGTCTCCCTGCCGCTCGCTTTATATAATTTTCCCGTCAGCTACCACTGTATGATAATTCACCTTTGCAACCCCAAAACGGAAATCACGGCTGTGCATTTTTCTGAGACACCTGCCAACCACTCTCCACGCTTCTCAGCGCCGATGTGTCAGAGCAAGTGCAACAACCATCCCCAAACACGCCTGCGCAAACAGACCAATCAGAGCACGACCTGACCACCGAGACATGCCCTCTTGCACGCGACAGTGCGCATCCCAGCGCGCCTCGATGCCAGTGTCGGCACCTGAACCATCTGTGGGGTCCGCAAACGGGTCGGAAACCACGCTCTTGTCCTCGTACCGGCTTCCATCGTCGCTGGGCCGTGACTTGCGAACAGATCGGCCAAGATTCCACTCGTCGTAAAACCAGCAGTACATCCTTGCACCAACAACGGCAAGCAGCACCGGAGGCAACAGCAGGCCAGCAACAAACAGCTGGTTGTCAGCATCAGTTGGAAAGTGTACTTACTGGCGCAATGTGTCGTATAAATGTGTTTTGGAGTGCGCAGACGTGGCAGTCGCAGAAATCTTCCTGGTAGCTGTCGCTTTGCAGCTCCTCGACTCTTCCTAATTCGGTGGGTCTCATGAGAGCACAACAGAGCGCTCGCAACAGGATTTATACCAGCCGGGGTCCGTGTCGAGTTGGTTTTAGTCGTAATCGCTGTATCAAAAATATTACCGTTTTGGGAATATCAATGGAGCAGTCCTCACTGTCTAAAGAGATGTTCGGAGTAATGTTTGACAAATGCCAAAGGATGGTCTGCGTCGTGGGCGCCCATTTTGCCAATTCCCGGCGAAAAACACGTGATGGGCAGCACCAGCACGTCCGACACGAGTTTCGGCACATCCAGCTTGGTGAAGTCTTTCCAGGTGACTTTGGAGAAAATTCCACTGAGAACGTAATCATTGAAATATTTGAAGATGACGTCTGTCCAGACCCCAGCTCCGGTCCACTCCATGATCGAGAAGTCGCTTGCGGCGTCAAAGTCCAAAGTGCCTTCCTTGGCCCGTCTGAGCGTTTCCTCTGTGATCGTAGCTATCACCTCACGCAAAATTGGGTGTCCCGGTTTGGCCTGGATCACCCAATTGGCGAACTGCAGTCTTCTGGCAAAGAATTTGCGCCAGTCTGGCGTGTCTGGGTCGGACTGGATCCCGATGATCATGCCGATCTCCGAAGGGTCGACGTTTTCTGGGATCCAGTTGGGGATCGGCTGCAGTGGCAGTGTATCGACATCAGCATAAACTCCACCCTTTGCAAAGAGTATTAGGTATCTGAAAAAATCCATCTTGAGCACAATGTGGGGGAGCAGCTCGTACGCCTTCACCACCTCGGGCATGTGCATGTATAAATAGTGGACAATCGCGTTGGAAGTATCATCGTTGAAGAGCTCGTGCACAAAGCCCGGGTTCTTCAACGCCCACTGCTCCTCTCCTTCTTTGTACCTGGGTCCAAAATTGGCGTCGTTCAGACCGTACTTCCACGACTGCCAGATATAAGCAGGAAACTTCCTGTTCTGATCGTACGGAAACATGTACGCCAACCGCTCGCGCAGAGTCGCCTCCGGGTCCGGTCTGCGCAGCTCGCTCAGCTGTTTCTCTAGTCTCTGTCTATCCTGTTCCAGTTTTTTTAAACGAACCTCCTGCTCGTTCAGCAGCTTCTCGGTCAGCTCGTTTAGCTTGCGGGCTATTTCAAGCTCCTCCGAGTTCGATTTTCCCGAAAGACCGAGTCCTGACCCGCGCCGGCCTCGTCCTCTGCCCTGATGATCCTGTTGCGATGAGTCTGACTTGGGTACACCTGGACTTAGCACCTGGTGCAGGTCTGGCGTCGAATCCGACGATAGCCGGATAAGTACCACGACGATCACCACAATGCTCACAGACAGAAGCAGGGTTCGCTTGACTGTGTTTACTTTCATCGCCACGTAGAGGATTTGGATAAATCTTTTTTGTACTTACGTAATTACCAGGTAGCACAGCAGAAAGTGAAGAAAGGCAGCTCGCCAGAAAGGGGGCAGTGGCTTGAAGTAGATTTGGACCGCATCTGGCTAAATCTGGCAAGCGACGGTTGTCAGTCTCTTCCCCTGTTGAGATCGAGAGTTAGGAGCTAGCCAACACTAGCACCGAGCACGGTGATGAGAAATGCACCAACTTCTCTTGGGAACCCATCTTCCATGCCACCAGAGCACCGGCTTTCTTAATGCTAGACATCCAGCATCCCTGCCGGTTTGCCTCTTGTCCCGCTACCTCTGGTCTTTTGGTCATGTGCCATCCAGTACTTAGCACAGCCAATTAGCAATAAATTTTTCATAAATGATTAAACCCTCTTGTTTGACAGGTGTGCGATTTACCTGTCTTGGACGCCACGCTGCAACGCTTGCATCACAGAGGACGCTTGGCCGGCTCTTGTGGAACGGTCTGGCCAAGCCGGAGTTTCCACGCTCAACCCTACGACCATTTATCACTTGCACGCCAAGAACCAGCATTTTAGCACTAATGACCACCCCGCACGCACCGAGCGCCACGAAACTAAACATGAGCATGCTACGGCGCACGTACACGAATATGGGCGCACGAGAGCGATTTTTGGCGGCGGGAAAAAGCAGACTCGACCGCCTCGTCCTGCGGGCGAAATGGATTCTTCTGCGGCAAAACCGGCCCTTCAACGTGGACGAGATCAGCGCTTTTCTGTCGTGGATCGTGATGGGCAATTTTCTATGGGTTTTCATAGGCACCACCACATTTTGCGGCCTGCTGATCTACGTTGGAAATACCTTCACCGACGGCAAGATCAACAAGAAGTTCTTGCAGAAGCTCATCACTTTCGATAACAAACTCAACGTTGACATCAACAGCGACGATTTCAAGGCCTCCTGGGAGGACGGCGCGATCAAGTTGCAGAATCTCGTTGTTGGATATAACCCCAACGAACATCTACGGTACAGCGTCAAGATTGACACGGTGACTGTGACGCTGTCGCTCGGGAAATGGTTGGACGGCAAGGGACTCATCAAAGACGTAGATTTGACGGGCGTCGTTGGCTCAGCACACATGGACGAGCATTATCAGGAGGTCATGGACGAGTCGTTTTCTGCCAAATACGAATTTGAGCACTTCCAGATAAACAATCTAAAGCTGGTGGTGAGGCGCAAAAATTGTCCGTCGCTGGAGGTGGAGATATTCAACTGCAAGCTTCCAAGGTTGCGGCGCAACTGGATCACGTACGACTTCATCAACGCAGATGCATTTTCGGGATCGATCAATGGGTCATTGATCACGCTTCACAAACGCCAAAATCAGTTTGCCGAATTCTCTGCTCTGGACCATACCGAGGATACGAACCCGTGGAAGAAAATCACCCGGCTGCGCATTGATCAGCTGGACCTTGCGCGGATGACAGGCCCGGTTTCGAAGCTGAACTGGCTCCGTTCGGGCTCTGTCGAGCTGACGATCGACATCATGCTGCCTACAGAAGACGACTCGGAAAGTATCAAGGAGCTGCTGCTGCAGGGCAACGAGACCACGGAGGAAAACAAGTACGTTGTGATGGATTTCAAGGTGAACTTTCACGATCTTCAGGCTCGGGTTCCCGCGAAAATGCCCTGCTCGTCCTTGACCAACGCTCCATACATTTCAGAAGCTGATTTACGCGGCCTGGTTACGTTTATTAATGGCAGACGTTTTGGCTTAGCCATGCGCACGGCTGAAACGTGGGATATCGAGGAGAATCCTTTTGACGGGTCAGATCTTGCTACAGAGCCGGAAGAGGGCAAATCGGTGGACCCACGTGTTCCTCCGATAAAATTCCGTCTGGTTCACAACCTGGCCAATTTTGAGCTCGTGGACATGGTTGCCTGTCTGGGATTGCACACCGACCCACCGCGGGATCTGAGCGGCGAACAAAAGCAGAGTTTCGACAACACCAACAAGCTTATTGATGCGGCCATGACGGAGATGCTCGGGTTGCTGATGCTGTACAAGGAGGAGCTGCAACAGCGGCTGATCGAGGCCTACTCGAAACGGACGAATTTTGAGATATTCTTCAACAATTTCATCCTTGGCAACCTGATCCTGGTCGGGCTTGGCAGCTTTGTGATTTAGATAAATGGGCATGTGGCTGAAAGCCCCAATATTATGTATATAATTACGCAACGTGAGCCGCGCCGAAATCCTACCTTGGCACGTTTTTTTTTTTTTTTGGATCTCGGACAATTTAAATTACGCACCGACGCGGCAGTATACGGCTCAAGGAATATAATTTCAGCAGGCATGCAATAGGAATTATTATAAATATACGCGGAACTCTTTTTGGGCCCTATATATAGTCGACAAGTGTGCCAAAATCAGCATCGCAGGCGAGTTTGAGTGAAACGTTTACAACCTTTACCGTATCTTGAAGCGATTACAAATCAGAAGCATTGCGCAAAACGGAGCTTTACAAAGCAGCACATAAATGTGGAACCTGTGGAAAGAACCGTACCACGATTTGGAGGCGCAAGGAATGTACAAGCCCAGGCAGAGTCAATATATGAGTCGGGTGCGCACACACATCTTCTCTCTGCTGCTTGCGTTATCTATGTCTGTGGTTGCTATTCATTTCTACATAAAGGCAGCGCGCCTCAGTCAGGAGTTCGAGGACCAGATCAGCTCGCGGCTCATCAATATAGATACCGTCACACATGACGTGATTGTCAAGCCGATTCATTCGCACAACGACGAGTGGAGAAGACATCCGTTGGTGGACGCCCTAAAAGTGGGCGCGAATTCCGTGGAAGCCGACTGTTTCTATTTTCCAAACGACCCGGATACCATATACGTGGGCCATAACACTGCGTTTCTCAACAAGGAGCGCAACGTCGACTCGCTGTATCTGGATCACCTGTACGATATGCTAGAGAGAGCCAATGCGAAAAACGACACTTCTCGCAAAAATGGTATTTTTTATACTTCGCCGGAAACCACCACCTACTTCTACATTGACATTAAGACCAAGGGCGAGGAGCTTTTGGAGGCACTGAATAAGAAAGTGGAGCGATTTCTTGCCAGGGGATACCTCACTACCTACGACTCGGAAAAAGACGAAATTCGCGAAGGGCCTCTCACCATTATCATCACAGGAAACTACCCTTACAATTACATTAGTTCCCAGAAACTCCGCTACGCCTTTATCGATGCGCCATTGAAAGATCTGGTGGACCCAGAGAAGGCCCGTCTCTATCCCGCGGGCAAAATCTCGATATTTTCTTCCGCTTCGCTATCTGAGCTGACAGGCTCCCACAAGGCGCGGAGTTTGTTCAGCGGGCTGTCCACTCACCAGCTGGCCGACATTGAGAAATACATCTCTGCTGCTCACAAGGTCGGGCTCAAGACACGGATCTGGGACACCCCGAAGTTCACAAAGTCCATTAAACACACCGTTTGGAAGCAGATTATTGCCTTGGGATCTGATTACCTAAACGCCGATGAGCTTAAGGAAGCCGTCAGCATATGATCCGCAACGATGACCGCAACTGGGGTGGGTGTACGGGAATGGCCGAGCTAATAAAAGAATAAATCGATCAAATAATTTAAGTCAATAAAATTCGAATTTATTTATTACCAAGCCTAAACAAAATAATTAACTGAATAAAACATTTCTTGCCATCATGGTACGTATTGCAATTATTCGGCTCTCCTAACATCCAGTCTTTGAATCCACACACGGGACTGCCAAAAGGCTGGAAAATCAAGATCTCCAAAACACACAACCAAGAGTACTACTATAACCCTTCCACGTCCGAGTCGATCTGGACCCCTCCAGAGGGAACGGACAAAGACGCATTGGACTTATATCTGTCGAAAAACCTGCACAAGCCCAAGAAGGTGGCGGCCAGACACATCCTCGTGAAACACAGGGACTCGAGAAGACCGTCCTCGTGGAAAGAACAGAACATCACGCTCACAAAGGAGGAGGCAGTCGAGCTGATCAAGGGCTACAAAGCGCAGATCGAGTCCGGAGAGGCGTCGTTCGAGGAAATCGCATCTAAACACAGCGACTGCAGCTCGCACTCGAAGAACGGCGACCTGGGCTATTTTGGGCCCGGCGAGATGCAGCCTAGTTTCGAAAAGGCCGCGTTCGGCCTACAGGTGGGCGAGCTGAGCGACGTGGTCGAGTCCGATAGTGGCATCCATCTCATCGAGAGAACAGGATGATGGTCACATGTGCTTATGTAATCACCAAACGGTCAGGTAACCATGCCGAAAACGTTGGGACCCGAAAACTTGTCGTCGAGATGTTGAAGACCTTTCATAGAAGTGTGTGCACAAATATATCGAGGTTTTTAACTCGTCCGAAATATCAAGCACTGCCGTTCCGACACGCGGGTGTGCACGTAAAAATATATAAAGTGGCAAATCCATACGGGGTCAAAAATTTACACTACTGCTCGCACGGTACCATGAGTCCCCCACAGAGACAGGTTTTGCCTGCCAACGTCAAGCCGGTTCACTACGATCTGAGCCTGAAGCCTGATCTGACCACTTTCAAGTTTAGCGGAGAGGTCACCATCGACCTGGCCGTGAAGGAGACAAGCAACTTTATCGAGCTTCACACGCTGGAGCTCGAGCTTTCTGAGGTGCACTTGAGCACTAAGGAAGGAACAGTGACTCCCAAGGAGACGTCCTATTCCAAGGATGACCAGTCAACGACGTTCAAGTTTGGCGACAACATCCTGAAGGCGGGAGAGTCCGTCCAATTGTCCATCAAGTTTATTGGTGAATTGAACGACAAATTGAGTGGATTTTACAGGTCTTCGTACACGGAGAACGGCCAGACGAAGTACTTGGCCACGACACAGATGGAGGCTACTGATTGCAGACGGGCTTTTCCGTGTTTCGACGAGCCTAACTTGAAGGCCACCTTTTCCATCTCCATTGTTGCCGACAAGGAGTATACCTGTTTGTCGAACATGGACGTGAAGGAGGAGAAGTCTATTTCTGAGACCCACAAAAAGGTTGTCTTCAACACGACTCCGCCTATGTCTACTTATTTGGTTGCGTTTATTGTCGGAGATCTGAAATACGTGGAGTCCAAGTACAAGTTCAGAGACATTCCTGTCAGAGTGTACACCACGCCGGGCTACGAGAAGGAGGGTCAATATTCTGCGGAATTGGCCGCCAAGGCTCTTGAATACTACGAAAAGGTGTTCGACATCCCATATCCTCTGCCAAAGATGGACATGGTCGGTATCCACGACTTCTCGGCGGGTGCCATGGAAAACTGGGGTTTGGTCACCTACAGAATGGTCGATCTGCTAGTGAATGAGACCAAGACCAATCTGGCTACCAAGCTGCGTGTTTCTGAGGTTGTTGCCCATGAATTGGCGCATCAATGGTTTGGAAACATCTGTACGATGGACTTCTGGGACTCTCTGTGGTTGAACGAGAGTTTTGCTACCTACATGTCGTGGAAGTGCTGTGATCACTTTGAGAAGGACTGGAAAATCTGGGAGAACTTTGTTAGCGACTCGTTGCAGATGGCTCTTTCGCTGGATGCTTTGAGATCGTCACACCCGATTGAGGTTCCTGTTTCGCATGCCGACGAAATCAACCAGATTTTTGACGCCATCTCGTACGAAAAGGGATCCTCTGTCCTTAGAATGCTTGCCAATTACCTCGGAGAGGAGACTTTCATCAAGGGCGTCTCCCACTACGTGAAAAAACACATGTACGCCAACGCTGTGACCGAGGACCTGTGGGCCTCGTTGTCTGAGGTGTCAGGCAAGGACGTCCAATCCACAATGAACATCTGGACCAAGAAAGTGGGCTATCCGTTGGTGCAGGCGTCTGAGAATAACGGCAAGGTGATTATCAGACAGCACAGATACCTCACCACCGGTGATGTCAAGCCAGAGGACGACACCACCGTGTATCCGATCTTTTTGAGCATCAGGACCGACAGCGGTGTCAAGGAGTTTGTGTTCGACAAGAAAGAGCAGGAGCTGGACCTCAAGAGCTCTGACTTCTTCAAGCTCAACAGCGATACCACCGGTGTGTTCAGAGTAAACTACGAGCCGGAAAGATGGCATATTCTAGGTGCTGCCGCCAACAAGCTCTCTGTCGAGGACAGAATCGGTCTTGTTGCCGACGCTGGTGCGCTTTCGGTCTCTGGCTACTCCAAGACCACCAACCTGCTTTCTCTGACGTCGCACTTCAAAGATGAGCCATCATTTTTTGTGTGGTCCGAGATGATTGCCAGAATTGGTGCGGTCAAGCGTGCCTGGCTCTTTGAAGACGAGAGCATCAAGGAGGGCCTCAAGGCATTGGTCAGAAGCCTTGTGAGCGACAAGTGCCACAAGGCCGGCTGGCGATTCGACTCTTCCGAGTCCTTCCTTGAACAGAGACTCAAGGCACTGCTCTTCAGCGCTGCTGCTGCCAACGGCGACCAAAAGGTTATTGATGCTGCCAAGAGCCTCTTTGCAGGCTACATTGCCAACGAGAAGTCAGAACTAGATCCTAACCTCAGAGGAACGGTGTTCAGCGTTGCTGCAACTCACGGCTCCAAAAAAGAGTTCGATGCGCTCGTCAATTTGTACAAGGAGACACCGCTCGCGGACGAAAAACAGGAGGTGCTGGTCAGTCTCGGCAAGTTTGAGGACAAGGAGCTGCTTTCCAAGGTCACCGACATGCTTTTGGACGGAACCATTAGAACTCAGGACGTGATCAGACCAATGGCTGGCATGGCCACTCACAAAGTCGGTGTCGAGCACTTGTGGGACTTTGTGACCAGCAGATGGGACGAGATTGTGAAGGCCATCCCTGCATCGCTGACTTTGCTGGCTTACGTTGTGGACTGTGCCACACGCGGATTCACCACCAAGGAGCAATACCAAAAGGTGGAGGAGTTTTTCAAAGACAAAGACACCAAGGCGTTCGACCAGAAACTTGCCCAGGCTTTGGAGTCGATTGAGTCCAGAGCTAAATGGGTCAGCAGAGACTCCAAGGACGTTGCTGACTGGCTTAAGGCTAATGGTTACTCGTCCTAGGGTTGTGTAGGATTATGTCATCACTTACGTACACAGAGATAAAATAGTACTGGGAAACCCTGCCTCCGATGGATCCTTGTTGCCCCCATCTGATTACCCTAAATTCTTTTGTTTATCTGTAAAGCGGATTTATTGATTATGGAGAGGGAGATGTCAAAGAGAAACGCGGCCTCGTCCACGCCCAACGTCAAGGGCTCTGATTGGCTGATCCTGAGGCCGGCTAGTGCCCCCAAACAGCAGACGACGAGCGAGTTGATCACCCCACTGTCAGCCAAAGAGCATGCTGCTTCCAAGATACCAGTTATAACACCCAAAGCCAATAAGGTGGTTTCAAGAGCGTCGAACGAGTGGCCTGGCCACGGACTCAGGTTCAATGAGGTTGTTAACGACACATCGTTGACGCCTGTTAACGCCTTTGGCAGAGCCGCTACTGCTGGATCTACCACGACGGCAGCCACTGTGGGGACGAAGTTGAATTCCAATGAGCTGAGAGAAGACGACTCTGTTTCGTGTATTACCAATTCGTCAACCTCGACGCCTTGCAACCCCAAGAAACGCAAACTAGAGGCGGAACCGCTGCCATTCTTCTCCTACAAGAGACCGGAGTATGGATTACAAGAGAGCTCAATGTTGCAAAAAATGCGTGACCCTGAGATGGCAGCATGGATCAATGAATCGCTAGAAACGATCCAGGATTACGAGAAAATCGTGGAAAAGGTGATCAGTCTGAGAAACAAGTTCAACAAACTGCTCTCGCCAGAGACAGAGCTTTAATTTGCTATAGTTGTTTATTCTGTGAGATACACAATATTAAACAGGAAGTGTGTTGCTTACTTTCTGTATCTTCTGAGACCTCTGTTAGCAGACACAGCGATCACGGAGGCTGGAACCTTGAAACCAAGGGATTTGATCATTTCGTCGGTGTCGGCATCGATGTGGAGCTGGCCCTTGTTCTTCTTCAAATCCAAGGCCGACACTTCTGGGACGTATTGGTCCTTTCTTTCTCTCTCTTCCTCTTGCAACTTGAACGAAATACCTCTGACTGGACCCTTTTGAATTCTCTTCATCAAGTGAGTGGTGTAACCAGCGATCTTATTTCTCAATCTCTTGGACTGGATCTCTGCGATTTCACTGGTCAATCTCTTGTTGACCTCAAAGTCCAAGGTCAATTTTGGATAGTATTTCTCGATGAGAACCTTGGAGGCTCTCTTGACGGTCTTGGTTCTAACTCTACCCTGAACATGTTAGTGTTTGGGGTTCCACTTGCTATAGCCAGCTAGCTCCTACTTACCATTTTGTGATGTTAGTTTTCAATCCTGGTAAAGAAATTTTTCACAGGACTGAACCAAAAATGCGATTTTGGCCCGCCACCACATCACGTGATACACTCCCAAATTTTTTACCCGTAACTTTATTGCTCATTCCAATTCCCGTACAAGGTCCCCACACCCGCATTACGTACATAGGGGCAAAAATATAAATAGTGCCAATCATCCCGCTTTGCAATGGCCAAGTTCCACTGTGACGTCTGCTCGTCCGACTGCACACGCCGTGTGCGTATACGGTGCGCCGTTTGTGCCGACTATGACCTCTGTGTGCCGTGTTTTGCCAAGGGCGAAAGTTCTGGCAAGCACAAGCCGTACCACGACTACCAGGTAATCGAACAACACCAATATCCGATTTTCGACGAAGATTGGGGAGCCGATGAGGAACTACTACTGATAGAAGGCTGTCAGACTCTTGGGCTGGGTAATTGGCAAGATATCAGCGATTTCATCGGAGGTCGGTCTAAGGAGGAAGTTGGAAAACATTACGAGGAATATTACCTAAACTCTCCCTGCTATCCGATTCCTGATCTTAATAAAACCTTTGAGCATGTTTCCACGTCGTCGTTCTTGCGCAAACGCAAACAGCGCCTCGATTCACGGAAGAACCTGCCTTTGCCCCCACCGAAAAAGGTGCTGACCTCAAAACCGTTGTGCTCGGACATTCAGAAGTATATGCCCGGCAGACTGGAGTTTGAGGAGGAAGCCGATGACGAGGCTGAGAAGGTTGTGCAGGACATGGTTTTTGAAGGAGACGAGACAAAGGAGGACATTGAACTCAAGTTGACGATACTGGATATCTACAACTCGAAGCTGACGATGCGAGCCGAACGCAAACGGCTCATGCTGAAAAACAATTTGCTGGATTACCGAAACAACATAGCTATTGACAAAAAACGGACAAAGGAGGAGCGCGAATTATACAACAAACTGAAGGCCTTTGCGCGGATAATGACGCCGGAGGATTTCAAGGAGTTCACCGATGACATGCTGAGCGAAGTGCGCATCCGCAACCGGATCCAGCAGCTGCAGGAATGGCGTCGCAACGGTGTGATGTCATTCGAGGGCGGTGCAAAGTACGAAAAGGACAAGATCAGCAGGCTATCTCGCGTGAATCTTGGCGTTGCTGCTGCCCCTATTACCTCTGGCAGAGAACGGCACACGTTGAACTCTGTTCGCTCCACGTCAAGACACCAGACTCCTTCATTTGATGGTAACACCAAGAAGCGCGGGAACCAGCCACTGGACATTTCGCAGGCGCTCGACTATGATCTTTTGTCGGACGAGGAGAAGGTTTTATGTTCCAACCTTCGCATACTACCGAAGCCGTATTTGGCAATCAAGGAGACATTTTTCCGCGAGCTGCTACGCACGGGAGGCGTCTTAAAGCGCAAGATTGCCAAGGAGCTAATCAAGATAGACCCGGCAAAGACGATGAAAATATACGATTTTTTTGTGCAGCAGAAATGGTGCAATGCTACATAGTGTATTATATTGTACGATAGGAAAAAATAATTTAAAGGTGAATTTTTTTTCAAAAAAAATTAAGACAATATTTAGCATTTTTCATCATGTCCAAGTCTCGCTACTTTTTGGAGCAAAGCGTCCCCGAGCTACAGGATCTTGAGCGTAAGAAGCTCTTTACCAGAAAAGAGATCACGATGATTATGAGAAGGCGTACTGACTTCGAACAAAGGATTGCCGGCCGAGGATCCAAACCTATGGACTTTCTTGCGTATGCCCAGTACGAGAAGAATTTGGAGAAGCTGAGACGCAAACGTTACAATAGAATGAAGCCGCTAATTGACACGAAACCGTCTGTGTCGGACTGGGCGTCCAGTCGGCGGATTTTCTTCATTTTCGAGCGCGGAGTCAACAAGTTCCCCAAAAGCATGGATCTATGGTCGTCGTACCTCAAGTTTGCCCGCAAAAACGGCTCTGTCAAGGTGGTTTACTCGATCTACTCCAAATTGCTACAATTACAGCCGAAAAACATCAACGTCTGGTTTTCTGCTGCCAGCTACGAATTTGAACAGAACAGAAACGTCAAGTCCGCCAGAAACCTGTTCAAAAGATGTGTGAGATTCAACCCAGAGAGCAGCGAGGTCTGGCAGGAATTCATTAAGCTGGAACTGACGTACTTATCCAAACTGCTACTCAGAAGAAAACTGCTCAAGATCATTACCGAACAGCAGCAGATCCAGGACTTGAAAGAAAACGAGGCAGGCAATTTCGACGGAGACGACATGATCAGCCTCATTCCCGACACAGAGCTCAACGACGAGCTCAATAAACTGCCAGAAATGAACATCGACGTGCTGGGAACCGCAGAAACCAACCCAGTGCTAAAGGGAGACCTCGTGCTGGCCATCTTTGACGTTGCCGTGCACGCGATCCAGAAAAACGTCCAACTGTCCGAGGACAAGTTTGCCAAGGTGTGGGACTTCTGCACCAGAGTGCTCGCCCTGATCGACAACTACGACACCCTCGACAGGCTGTACCTGGCAAACCACGTTGTCGAGTGGCTGGCACATGATCACGGTCACGTGCCAAAGGTGATTCTGTTGCAGCTGTCGCTGCCGCTGCGGTACGTGCAGTTGGGAGACGCCGAGTTTGTGAACACGCTGCAGAGTTCCGTCAAGACATACCAGTCGTGGGCTACGCGGGCCAAAGTGGAGGCGGCCGTGAAAGACGAGGTGAAACATCTCTACACCGACTACATCACGCAGCAGTACCTGAGCAGGGCTGACGGCGAGGTGAAACAGATCCTGACGCTGCTTGTGAAGAAGCTGAAATAATCAATCCACCTTATTTAGGTCGCTGAGCTGGATTTTTTTCGAGATCCGTTTGTATCCAAGGCCAATGGCCACGACGGCCCCAACAACGAGCGACCCGGCGCAATACGTGGCGATGATAAGCGGGCTGTGGTGCTTTGGGAACCGGACAAAGGTCATTCCAGAGGCGTCGGTGTCCTTATTTCCATTGCCGAGCCATTTGACGTCGAATTTGAGTGGCACAGAGTCGCCGATGATGACCTTTGTGGTGTTGAGAGAGCTGGACCAAGCCGTTCCAGACACTATTTGGTTGTCTTTTGTCATAAAAAGCACGTTGACGTTTGGGTCCAGATCGAAGTGCGACTCCTCCACCACGCCACGGAATTGGAACACGATCGGTACCCCAACGCCAGATTTCGGTTTGACGTCCACCTTGCACGAGAACGGAGCGTCGTTATGTAGATATAATTGGAATAAGTGGTATATTTCGTCCTCAAATTTGACGGTGCACTCAATCTGTTCGTCGAGGCCATATTTCAATGCCAGCGGCTTGGCTGTCTCCTGGCACTTGAGAAAGTCTGCGTAGACCACGTTTCCCTGTGAGTCGAACTTATGCTCTCCGTTGTCGATTTGCCTTGCATTGCACTGAAGTGGGACGGCGTCGTTACGTGCGTACACGGGCAGCTTGGATATATCGTCTTCTGGATCTGGGAAAGGGCGGATTCTGCCTGCCAGCGCAGAGCCCACTAGCAGCAGAAGGGGAAACAACATCGACGGACAAATAAATATAAGGTAAATGCTAGCAACAGAAAAAATAATAAAAAAAGAGAGCCAAACCCGTGCAATCGGGATCTGGATTTCACAAGCTCACAGCTGTTGATATAGTACAAATACATATAGCTAAGACACTTACTTGGCCATGGTCATCATCTCGAGCTCGCTCGGATTGGTGATGTGTCTGAGACACTTCTTCTTGGCCTTCTGGGACCGCCAGTGCGCGGTGAGACCGTCCTTACGTTTGAAACTCTTGCCACAACCCCATTCCTCGCCGTTCTTGAGCACTCCACCGCACACAAAGCCGCCGTCGTTCTTGTGCTGGTTGGTCTCGTGGCGTCTGCGGTCGCTGTGACGCGCAAAGAACTGCTTGCACTTGTCGCACTGGAACGGCTTGCGGTGCTCGTGGGTGGACTGGATGTGCGAGTTGAGGTTCATTTTCCGCGAAAACGTTTTGCCACAGCCCGAAAACGGACACGCAAACGTCCGGGGCTGTTTTCTCGAGCCCTGGCCGCCATATTTGCCCGGCGGAGACGGAAGCCCGCCGTTCGAGGACTCCACCATCCCCTGTTTCGCGCCGTCGATGCGCAGCGCGATGTCGGCCGCCTTTCTCGACCAGTCGATCGAGTTCTCGTCCTCTTTTGGGGCCTTGCCGCCGGGAATCGACTGGTACGGCACTGAGTTCGCCAGCGTGAACAGCGGGTTGTCCTGCTGCGTGGCCGGGTTCGAGCTGCCCGACTCGGACGCGCCCTGCTGCGACGACGAGTGCTGCGCAAAGGGGAAGAGGTTGGCGATATATTTGGAGTCTGCCCCAGCCATCTCGATCGGTGGCAGCTTTTTGAGGTCATCGCGCAAATGCGACGTCGACGAGGGATAGTATAGCGGCTGCGACTGGTGCTGGCCCATAAGAGACCCGGGGTTTTTTTGTAAACTTGGTAATTGAGGCTGTGTTGTTGAGCCTGCCGAGGCGTCTTGCGAATATTGCAATAAATCCGGCTGGCCCTCCGCTTTGAGCGCCGGATCCGTGGTGAGATTCTGGTCGTCGTTCATTGCCAGATCTATGCGATACTAGGAGGCCGTACTTGCGATTAAAAACAAGGCTGGAAAAAACAAGGCTCAACACATTTTTGGGCGGAGGCGTATTAGGTAAGCGGATATAGAAAGTGCAAGTATGGCAACGACGACCACGTAGCCCAACACAGGCCAGAGATCTGTTGGCAGTACGTGCACCTCACTCACGTGCATCTCCAGACGCACGTTGCCCAAATAGCGCCGCGACTGCTCCACGTTGGTGCTGTAGTAGTCCGGTACCACGGTTATGAGCACGGCGGAGTCGATCTGGCGAAGGTCCACGTTGACGGGGGCCGTGGCCGACCAGCACAGCTTGGCGAAGTGCGGTGTTTGGCGCAGCTCGTTCGTGGGCAGTCGCAACTGGACTTGCTGGCCGTTTTCCCACGGCGCCACGTGAGTCAGCGGGTCGAGAGACACCGACAGCTCGTTCAGGCCGAGCCGAAGTGGCTGGACATGGTCAGGAGCCGTGACGTGGGAGTTATCGCCGTGCACAGGCACAAACGGCAGGGTTTCCGTGTTTGCGAGCACCAACGACCCCCAAGCGAGACAGAGCACGAGCTGAATATATTTCATATTCGATAACTATACACACCTGGCACCGGTGTTTTTGTTTATGAAAAGAATTTGGACGCCTTACGTTGACATCATGACATTGGGGATTTCGCAGAGCACCGACACAAAAGAGGAAGCGACTTTGAAGAAGTCGCCATCAATTACAAACATCTCGAAGTTTGCACAGCCGAAACCGCTTCCGATCAGCTTCAATATGAAGATCAGTGAGGAGCTCTCTGAGATCAAGACGGCATTGACGGACCTGAAAGTGCGTTCGAAAAACAACAACCAGAGTCTCACGAAACTAAACGAGAATCTGGCGAGGTTCAATGAGACGACGGGCAGCGAGGAGCGGAGAGAGTTCCAGACACTGGTGCAACAACTGCGCGAGCTTGTCGAGGAATTGAGGACAGGAAAGGACCTGGGGGAGGCAGAAAAGGAGAGACAGGCTACGGATATTACAAGGGACCAGATATTGGCAGATCAGAGCTATCTGGAGGCCCTTCGTACCGAGCAGACCGAACTGCTCCAGAAAAATAAAGCGGCCACGGAAGAGCTTTTGCGCACAGAATTGGCCGCGTCTCAGCTGCGCGCCAAATGTGTACAGTACACGTCTCACCTGAAAACGCTCCGGAGCGAGTTCGAGCGGCTCGAGACGGAGCGAGAGCATCTGATCAGCAATCTAGAACACGAAAAGCAGAACAGCCACGCTCCAAGCGGCCAGAAACTGCTGGATTTGCTCACAGCAGCATCTCTCGACAAGGGTGATACTTTCCGAACAGGCACGCGCGCAGAAAACAAGGAGAACCACCGCATCTTCAGCTCCGTGTACTAGGGTTGACATGAAAGCTTTTTTTTTTATCAGCGGGCGCTTACGTAACAAAATATGGGCGGTGAGTTCTGGCGAATGGCCGGGAACTCCGTGACCTGTGGAGGAGAGCAAGGAACAGTGCATGGCGTGACGTCCCCACAAGACCCTAGTTAGCCCGTGATTTTACAGGGCAGGCACGGGTCCCCAGCAATTTTGTGTCCTGTCAAATCGTCTCGCCTCGCGCCCCTACACCCCCCGCACACCACCACATATTGTATTCCAGGCTTATCTTTATAAATAAATTTGCCTTCCTTCTCTTTAGCAAACAAGCACTTGTTTTTTAGAGAGGTAAAGGGCATGTCCAGAGCGATCAACTACGACACATTCATAGACCCGGAATCAGCCAGATCATCGTTTTCTTTCGAATCGAACGGCTCCAACAGCTCCAACATCTTTTCCAACCAGGGGAAATATGATCTCTCTGTAAACAACTTAGCCAGTGTTCTATCATACGCCAGCGATATGGACAACCACACATTGAGCGACAAGGATACTATAGCAACAGGCTCAACGGTCACAGGGACTGCGAACAACGACAACAACAGCGCTCCGCAGACGGGTTTTGTCAACCCGTTCGAAATAAACTCTTCCATATGGACTTCTGTGCCGCAGCCAGAACCTCGGGGACCGCAGGATCTACTCTCACCTTCTTCGCATGCGCCAGAGCTACCTCGGGATCCAATAGTCTCTCCACTTTCCCCGTACGCTACTTTAATGAGCCCCCCTTCGGGATCCTCATTTTCGGCCCAGCCTCCATCTCAGGCAGAGTTCGGGTCGAGACGAACTTCCTATGTTGGAGAGTTTACCACGCATAGCAGACCATCGACAGGCAGCATCTGGAACTCCAGAGACGACAACAGAAGCTCGATTGGGTCTGCCGGGAGTCCGCTGCTCAGTTTCCCTAATTTGAGTTCTCCTCCGCAATTGCCAACAGCATGGCAGTCGCCGCCAGCATCAGACTTTGCTGCTCTTAGACGGTATTCGTACGATGCTGCGCTGGGGGCCGCCACGCAGTCTGGGTCGTCCGGCAGCACGCAGCCCTTACTTCCAGCGCTTCAGCAAAAAAGACAATCAGCATCTTCAACTTTTGGGCATGCCCCAGGTTTGGACTTTGTGAAATCACTTGAGCAAAAATCAACAGCGTCAGCGCAACAAACAAGTCAATTTCCAGGAGTACTCAACTTTCACGATCAATACTCACAGGCATACAAAGAAGCAGATCTATATTTTACATCTCCATCGCCCGAGTCTCTCAACTTGTCGAAGGTGTTGGAGAGCCTCAACACGCAGCAGCTGCCCAAGTTTCCAGGAGGCGGCTTGCCTGGTGTAAAGCTCGTTCTTGTTTGTTTCAAGAGCGGTAGATTGGACGTGTTTTTCCTTCCGCCAGAGAATCAAAAACTACTGCAGAACATGAAGGTAGGCGAGCTGGTGATTGTGGAGGCTGATAGGGGGCGGGATTTGGGAAAAGTGGTCAAACTAGATGTGTCGATCGACGAGGCGCGTTTGTTGAAGCTGAAACAATTCCAAGAGCAGCAGGCGGCCCTCAACCAGGAGAACAACGACAAGCACCCTGTGCTGCACTTTCCCAAGCCAATAGTGCGCTTTGCGTACCCTAACGAGGTGGCGCAACTGCTGTTGAAGAAGAGCGACGAGGAGAAGTCGTGCAGCGTGTGCCAGCTGAAGGTGAAGTCGCACGGGCTGGTGATGCAGGTCACAGACGCAGAGTACCAATGGGACCGTCGCAAGCTGACGTTTTACTATCACTCGAACGCACGGATTGATTTCAGGGATTTGGTCAAGGAATTATTCAGGATATACAAGACACGGATATGGATGTGCAAGCAGCAAAAGAGAGAAATATAGGATTTTAGAGATAGACTAGAAAATATGAGTCACGGTTTGAGACTGTCATAGGTTATGGAATAGAATATACGCAAGCTGGTGGTTATTCATTTTTTGCTGTAGTGAGCAGCGTACTCCTCGTCGGTCACCTCCATTTCCTTCCAAGTGTGTTGCAAATACGCCTGCAGGTCTTTGAGCTTTTCAAAAGCGGCGTCTTTGTCGAACGTCTCGCCATCGCGTCTTCTGCGTTCGAACTCCTCGCCGATCGCCATGGCTCTGTCGGAGATGACCTTCATTCTGTACGAGATCCACTCTGGGTAGAATTCGTTGTACATGGAGCCGAAGTTGTTTTCCGGCTTGACTGTCTTGAGAACGCTGGTTTCCGGCTTGGTAGAGTCCTTGGCCCTGTACGAGGTGACAGTAGTAATTCTCTCTGTGTAGCCGACCGGCAGCGCTGCCAAATGCGTCAACTTCCTGCCCTGGAGAACCGTGGCCTTGCCCTTTGCCGGGCCGGCTGCAGGCACGATCTCGCCCGAGCCCGTTTTGATGAGTGTCTCGCCGCCAATCATTTCCGTCGTGTCGGAAAGCATCAGCACACACACGAACGGATACGAGTCATTGTGCCAGCCCACCACGGCAGGGATGTCGGAGTCTGTCTTATCTGCCAGCGACGATCTCCTTCTGGCAGAAACTTTTTGGTTGAACGCCTCGTCCTCCGAGCGCATGGCAACGTTGACGTTGGCAACCTCGTAATCCATAATCACCTCGAGCTCGACCCCGGCCATGGCGGAAACAGCAGCGACGGTTTCCGGATGGGTCCAGGCTCTATAGGTGAACGGACAGGTTGGCTTTGCATAGCCGCGGATGGTGCAGTCAAGGCCTGTGGTGGAGTTGAACGAAACTCTGGCCCACCGGGAGAACACCTCTTCGCGCAGGATCTCTGCTCTCATGATTTCGACGGCCTCCTCGGTGAAGAGCGGGAACGGCGCGCTGACTCCGATGTCGGAGATCTGGTCGTCGCACACGGCGCCCAGCTCCTCCATCGTGGTGCGCTTAACGGTTTGCAGGCAGTCTGGGGTGAAAGCGAGATGTTTTTTTGGGTCGAATTCCACGTTGATGTCAACGTTATTAAGGGTTTCGCTGATCGGCTTGATTTGCGCCTCATAAGCCTGGGGCAAAATCCTCTTATGAAGGTTGCCTGTCTGGATCTGTTGGAGAAGCTCTGCGGTTGCCATTGGTGCCGCAAGAGGAGAGAGAGGGTGTATTTATAATGGTAGCAGCGCTGCGAAATAGTTGCCTAATCTGGAAACTGCCCAAGAGATAAGGACGGATTGCTGGGTGTGCAATCTGGAACAGGAACGGTTCGGCTTTGCTCGGTCGTAAGAACAATAACGCCTACAATAGGAAGATGATGGAGATATCTGTCAGTGTTGGTTTGTTGTCTGTGACAAGCAATCAGAGCTGGAGGAGCCACGCGAGGAAAGCCGAGCAGGCAGATAGGCCGCAGTTTGGGAAGGAAAATGACCAGACGGAACGGAATGCCGCGAAAGGAGTGCTGGAAGTCTTGTGCGGAAATGGAATTACTGGCTAAACGAAGTGGCTTCATACCGGACTAAACACACTGGATGGCTGGCCAGAGGACTAGAGCGAGATATTCCGCGCTGCCATCTACCAAACCCATCTCTGCACCGCAAACTTTTTTTTGGCGCACCCTTACACCGCGACAAACTGTTTTGTTGCGCTAGGCAGTGCAGCCCGGACATGGTGCCTGTGACATTCTCGCTTTGGCGAAGTGCGTCTGCTGCCCATTTCCCACATTTGTATGTATGCTGCAAATTAGTTCCCGTTTCATCGCCCTTTGCTTGCACGCGTCGGCTCTGCCTCCTAATGAAGCCCCTTCGAACGCGTTCGCTATTCCTGCAGCTATATTAAACACGGTTCTATTCGAATCTTCGCCGAAATTAGAAATCAAATGTCGAGGTATAATAAAACTGCTGCATGTCGCGCGCCGCAACTTCCGTTTCCAGCAAAGTCTGATTACAACTCATTCGCTCTTTGTGTACACTTTCGAGGTTCAATCACAGGAGGCCTTCAACATATATAAACAACAAAAATATCCAGCTGTTGCTAAAATTCATGTCGGTTAACGTGTCTAGACCTACCAGATCGAACTCTGATCCGTCACCAGCCCGTCAAACAAGGTTGCCGCCTCTGAGTTCGCTCCTCAACCACTCTCCGGTGCGTTCCCAAGTGCGGCTGGGAAATACGCCATCCCACAAGATGGTGCTCCCGCCACTTGAGCACATCACGTCGAGTCCCAGCTACAAGCGGTCTAACTCGTTCCCATTGTATAGTAGCCCTGTCACTCCCGTGGCAAACCGTGTGCTACCACCCCCACCTCCAATGTTTTCGCAGACACCCGCGCTACGCGCACAGCCTCCAAGACAATTCGCCGTTACTCCACACAAGCCAGAAACACAAATGGCAAAATCGCCGCCAAGTGAGGGCAAGAGCTTTGCCTTTATTTCGCATTCGGTCTCCACGTTCCTGTCCTCCGAGCCGGACATCGACAATGCCCGTCTCGCCAGACGCAAAAGAAGAAGAACGTCCCCCGCCGAACTGGCTATTTTACAGGCAGAGTTCGAAAAAGGAAATACCCCCAACAAGATGAGAAGAATCGAGATTGCGCGCAAGGTTGACATGACTGAGAAAGCAGTGCAGATCTGGTTCCAGAACAAAAGACAGTCACTACGCAAAAATAACCAGAACATTAAGGAGGTGGTGCTGGACATCCCCAAGAGACAGGACCTGGACCAGCAGCTCATGTCGGCAGAGGACCTCTCCACTGCCGACACTAGCGTGGAGGACGACTCTGCAACCTCTGTGGAGTCGTCGCCGGCCTCGTCCCCAAGGAACGAAAACCTGCCACCAAAAGGCATTTTCCTGACGCCAATGAAGACGCCAGTGCGCAAAAACATGCAGCAAAACATGCCAAGCTCTGCTACCATGACGTTCAAGTTCAAGGCCAGCGATCTGGGACTGGCAACTCCTATGACCCAGACACTGCACAAAAAACAGAAGCCAGTCATGAGGATGAACGTCAACAAGAAGCTCGGAAATGTGTTGAAGGACAGCACAAACACTGCGCACGCAAAGCAAAATGGCAAGACAGACAATGAATGTGTGGAAAACCTGCTGAGTTTGAAAAGTCAAACTCCGGTGTAGAGGATATGACGAGTTATGATATATATATATATAAACGAAGCATAATTAAATTATTTTTCTCTGTATAACCGTGCTCCCAGGCTAGCTACACATCTACTGGTCTCATAGTTTCCACTATATTATCACATATTTATGCTAGCTGCACTCACTTGCCTGCTCGCCGCTCAAGGTCCAGCAATCTTACCTCTTCTACCAGTGGTCTTGGTGTGTTGACCTCTAACTCTGAGTCTCCACGAGTGTCTCAAACCACGGTGAGCTCTCATTCTCTTCAATCTCTCCAAGTCTTCTCTCAACTTGCTCTCCAAGTTGTTGGCAAGAACGTGGTAGTCCTTTCCGTCAACAACGTCGGCCTGTCTGTTCAAGAACCAAGCTGGAATCTTGTATTGGGTTGGGTTTTGCATGATGGTGACGATTCTCTCCAATTCTTCTTGGGTCAGCTCACCAGCTCTCTTGGAAAGATCAACATCGGCTTTCTTGCAGACCAAGTTGGCGTATCTTCTACCGACACCTCTGATGGTGGTCAGGGCGTACATAACCTTGATTCTTCCGTCAACGTTGGTGTTGAGGAGACGCAAAATGTGCTGGAACGAGCCAGATTCTTGAACAACGAGTCCCATGGTGATGTATTAAAGTTACAATTTTTCATGGACTAAAAATTTTAATTATAAAAAACCCTGCCCTGTGCCGTGTCACGTGACGGTGCCAAAGCGTTCCTATCTACAAAATGTGCTTGGTGTACTTGGCAGCAAAGTACATAAGGGCGTCTTTTGAGACCACCAGACGGTCTGCCTTCAGCAGGTCTCTTACCTCGACGTCCTCTTTGCGCAAAATCCGCACCTTGTCGCTGTATCTGCTCACTGCCTTGGCCAGATTGGCTTCCGGATCGTATTCCCCAGGAATAAATAGCACGTTCAGCTTGCTGAATCCGTGCTTCGCCACAAAAGTATCGAGCGCGCGGGGATGACTGTGTGTCAGCTCCAGGTTGAACGAGTCGCCCGGAAGCAGCTCGGCTCCGGCTGCTTCGTGATCGCCAACGACAAACAACTTGCCCGCCTTGTAGGCTGAGCTCAATGCTATCCGGTATGCCGTGTAGTACACCTTTTCGGGCAGGTCCGTGCTGAAGTCATTAGGGGCCGTGCGGGCCAAAGCATATGCTCCACGGAATCTGATCGGCGAGTTTGCATCTCCCACTCTGGCCCGTCCAGAACCCTTCTGCGGTAGCAATTTGCGTCTGGAAAACTTGTGGTCGCTTCTCCCCGGTGGATTTGAGGCTCCCACACGCTTGTTGTCGAGTTCCATGACTACGGCAAGCCATAGGATGTCTCTTCTGATCGGAGCGTTGAGGAAAGCGTTGTGAACGGGGAACACGGCATGCGGTTCGAGCGACGGGAACGCGCGCAGCGTGGCCAGCGTGTACGTTGGTGGAACAGCCTTGTGGGGAAATTTTGACTCTGCTGCGGTCGCCAGGCCGCGGACGAGCACGCCCAATCTTGAGACAAAAGACATTAATGTGTTGAAAATAATTAAATATTTTTAATTAAAATACTCGGTGCAAAGGTGAACCCGTATGGATTGACTTTTTTAACTCTCTGGGTAAAACACAATGACTTCGCAGCCGCACAGGTCCAAAAGACCGCCCATTGTGATCCCTCCGCCGCCCGTGGGCGCCGAAGTGCCCACTCCAACTCCCGTAACCTACCGCACGCTCCCGCAAAAGTTCATACACTGTCCCAAAGACGACCTCATAGTGATCATCTCGCGCATGCTTTCCTCGCTCATTTCCATCAACGACCAGCAAATCTCGTCGGACATCAACCAGCAGTCGCTCACGCGTTTTCATTCACGCTCGCCGCCGCAAATCTCGCTCTACTCTTATCTCTCCAGACTCTCCCATTATTCGTCCTTGGAGAATTCCGTTCTCATAACTAGCATTTATTACATTGATTTACTCAGCATGTGTTATCCCATATTTGCGGTCAATTCTCTCACAGTGCACCGGTTTTTGCTGACGGCGACAACGGTCGCTTCCAAAGCGCTCTGCGATAGTTTTTGCTCCAATAGCCATTATGCCAAAGTAGGGGGCGTGAACTTGATGGAGCTCAACGTGCTCGAGACAGAGTTTCTCAACAAAGTCGGGTACCGCGTGGTTCCCCGAGACTTCAACTACGATAGACTCCAGGAAAGGAAAAGCAGCACCGGGACGTTGGACACGGATTATTTGAAGAAGGTAAAGCTGGGCATCGAGAACGCCTCGGAGGTGCTTGATCTGTATTATAAACGGATGGTTATGCTTGTGGGCGCGCGCGATAACGGCACGGTCGGGTGTCACGACGACGTGGAGTACGAACTTGCCTCAGAAGCAGGTGGGAGCGAGGAGTGCAAATCTAGCGACAAAACGCAGACGGGACTGACGGACGCCGGCAGACGAAAGTTGCGCAAACTCGAAAAAGCGGATACAAATGGCGACCTGGAATCCTCCAAATAACTAGAATTATTTATCAGTAAACTAATTGTTGCTAGCCTTTTTATTTGATCATCCGGGGAAATTAAAAATATTCGATAATAAAAAAGTCCTTTCAAAAATTGATGCTGATCTTTCGATGCTCATGGCGAGCCGCCCGGCGTTTCCAGGTTCCGCACCCGGTACGTGTTGCTGGAATGCCTGCTGCAGCACCCAATTTGCTGGTACGGCTCGCGTTGCCTGGTCAAGTCGGGCAATTGGGTTATCGGTTCTATTCGCAGCGCAGAGTCTCTCGAGTTTTCGAGTACGTCTACGACAAATGCCGCCGCCTTCGGTGGATTCTAGTTAAGAGCAAACGACCCTTGAATAATGACGATTTTTCCGCGATTTTTTCGTGGCTCATGGCCGGCAACATTGCATTCCTTATTATCGGAACCACCTCGTTTTTCTCGCTTCTTCTCTACACCATGAATACCGTGCTTGCCCAGGAGATGGTGGCAGCGTTTGTGGGAAACGTTATAACCAGAAACTCAGCGCTCAGCGTGACGTTTGACAACGCGATTGTGCCCAATTGGAAAGATGGAAAAATCCAGTTCAATCACTGTGTGGTGAGCAGACGGCCCCGCAAACGGCACATGTTCCGCAAAAAGGACAAGAGTGCCGAGGAAGCTCCTGAGGAAGACCTTGACGACGGTAATTACACCCAATTTGATCTGACAATCGACCAAATCGACATCTCTCTTAGTTTCCGAAAGTGGTTGTCGGGCAAGGGAATAATCGACAACTGCTCTTTGCGTGGTGTGCGCGGTGTGGTGGACAGGACGCACGTTTATTGGAAGCCGGGCGACTCTGCTCTAAACTACAAAAATATCCACCGGCCGGGCGACTGGGAGATATCCGATTTCCGCATGCAGGATCTGTTGGTGACGATGCATAACCCAAATAACTTTCGCAGTTTTGACATTTCTGTGTACAACTGCGAGTTGCCATTGTTTCGCAAAAACTGGTTATTTTTTGACATTTTGAACGGCAGACACATCAACGGCTGCTACGATGGCGCACTGTTCACCATCGACCGTGTGCAGACCACAGACGATTTCCGTGGCGAGCGCCAGATTGGCGGGGAGGTTGAGGAATACCGCAAGGTCCCCACACACCGCTCGCGGCAGGAGATCGACCTCACAAACAAAACCGTCACCAGACTACGGATCGACAACCTCCCCTTGGAGCATCTGAACGGCGGCATGAAGGGCCCGTTTGGGTGGATCCACAAGGGAACAGTGGATATGATTGGAGACGTTATAGTTCCAGAAAACGCATCGACTGAACCAGCGACGCTCAGAGACGTTTTCAAATACTACACCTCGTCGGAAAAGAACGAGAGTTATGACGCTCCATTCATCATGGATTTCTATCTCCGACTTAATAACCCGAAGGCCAGCGTGCCACTGTTTTCGAACGAGCTGTCGTACGTGAACAGCGCGCTTATTCGGCCGATTGTTGGCTACATCAACTCTCGGAAAACTTTCATTCCTATTTATTGCCGCGTTTACAAACAACTTAAGGACTTCGACGGGTCGTGGACCGTCTACGACAGTCTGCTGATGGACGATTTGAGTGTTGGCGTGTACAACAGCTTTGTTGAGTACTTAAGTGACGAGCAGTTCCAGCGCGAAAAGCTGCGTAAAGTGGGGTTCTGGTCGCTGCAGTTCATGATCCAGCTGATTCTATGGAGTCTCAGCGCAGTCTAGCACACGCACACAAGTGATCCGGTAGCGTGCTCTTTGCATATCCCGTCACGGAATTAGCGCTCTTCCGAGAGTTGTTGAAAACGCGAGATGGTGAGACCCCAGCGAAAACTTTGAGCGGGCTCTATTTTTTTCTGATATCAGGGAACGTCCCACAATATGCATGCAAATGCAGAGAAGAAAAAAAGTGCGCCCACCACAGGTGGTGTGTATTAGGCAAACAATGCAGCTTTATGCTTGAGAGGTGATTTACCCAATCACTTCCCAAACCACAGCTAGACAAGAAATGCCAATGTATGTATATAAATGTTAAGCAAAACTGTTTACTTTTTATCTCCTTTCGAAATGAAGTATGGACCGAAATATTAGCCATCCAGCTGATAACAGGGGCCACAACGTCCAAAACCAGTACGCCTCCCAATTTCCCCCGTACCGGGTCGGGCAAAACCAACCCCAGCCACAGCAAATCAGCTATCCTTACACTCCGTTTCAATACCAACGATCGCCGCAGACGTACTTCCCCCCGCAACCTCCGCTTATCATGGCTCCGCAGCCTCCTCCGCCCAAGCCAATCACAATCCAGACCCATGGGATCTCGCCACTGGCTTACAAGCTGTCGCAACAATTACCGACGCCGCCTTTCGACAAGCTGGAGCCGTCGCCCGAGTCATTACGCCGACAGCCGACTCGACGAGCAAAGCGCAAGTCAAAATTTACCAAGGAACAGGACCAGATGATCATCGACCTTAAGAAGGCTGGAAAATCATGGGTGGAGATTGCCGAGCTCGCAAATGTGGGCACTTTTCTGGCCGCACGCAACAGATACCAGGTCCTGATTGGACAGCAGGGCAGTGGCAGTAACGACTGTGGGCCTGAAGACGTGATGGAGTTGCGAAACGTGGTCGACCAAGGCGAGCTGGAAAAAATCCGGTATCTGGTGCGCGAGTTTGAAAAAAGTACTGGGAAGGCTGTCGACCAAAAACAGCTCCGCGAACTGTTGCGATACTTGTTCTGGAAAAACCCCGGCTTCTTCGATGTGGACGAGGCATATCTAGAGGAGCTGGTTCGGCTACAATCGAGAACCACTTGACTCTGCACTGACACCGCTGCCTGTTCTCATACTTTTTCTCTCCATGTGGTTGTAATTTTCTGCATGCATAATACCACATGCGACAGCTCGCCTAAATAGGCAAGAAACAAGAGCGGACATTTAAAATAACGCACACAGTGTCATGTTGAGTCCACAAGTGGGCAAACCGTCGCGTCGACCGGCGCGCTGGGATTTCCACCCCACACAAAGCTGCTACAAATTAATTTAGCTATTAAAACAACCACCTCTCGTACTTATAGCCTTCCTTTTTTGCGCTCCCCATGTCGGCCTACGCTCTTCTCCTGCTCGACAACACATATCTACCAGGAGTCCTTGCTGTCCGCAAGGCCCTCTCCAACACAAATGCCCAATTCCCCGTGATTCTCCTTTACTCGGCCAAAAACGTCAACAAAGACACAATTGCCTTGCTGACCGCCTACAAGCTGTTTTCGGACCTCATCAGCATTGACGACAACATCCTTGTTTCCAACTCCCCCCACACACTAGAATCTGTCCTTAATCGGCCGGACCTGGCATACACCCTTTCCAAAATCAACCTATGGCGACTGGTGGAGTACTCGAAGCTCGTTTATCTCGACGCAGACACTTTGCCCTTGCAAAACCTAGACCATTTGTTTGCGCGCAATTTTGACGCTTCGCAGGTCATGGCGGCGCCCGATTGCGGCTGGCCGGACCTGTTCAATTCCGGGTTTATGGTGCTGCAACCGAACATGACTGTATTTCAGGAATTGATGGACCTGTATGAGTCGACAGAGTCGTTTGACGGCGCCGATCAGGGCCTGCTAAACCACTACTTCAACCCAGACCTGTACCACGGTGGCATCTCGCGCTGGCTGCGACTGCCGTTCATATACAACTGCACGCTGAACTCGCACTACGAGTACTTGCCGGCTCTGCAGCGCTACTTCCACGACATCAAGCTTTTTCATTTCATTGGCGCCAAGAAGCCGTGGGACCCGACCTTTGCCAGCCAGTTGCGCAGGGACCCTTCACTGTTCAAAGTTGCAGACAACAAGAACGTCTACCAAATTTGGCATGACGTCTATGAATCGATCGAGGAAGACGCACGTTTTCGGACCGAGGCCCCTCAAATCACCGAAGCGCCAGATCCAGACCGTGTTGAGGCTGTTGAAGCTGCAGTGGAACCCCAACCACCGCCACCCGTTGTTCACCACCAATACTACTACAAGGAGCCGGAATCGGAGCCAGAAAAGTACGAGGAGAACCGAGGAGAAGCCTGGAAGCTGAACGAGTCGCGGGGACCAAACAAATGGGAGGACGCTAGCTTGTCGGAGGAGGAAAATGACACCAGAGAGCTGGTCCACTCGCTTTCGCAATTGGACGTTGAAAGCCCGCAGGACGACTACGCAAGTACACACCCGATCTTCCCGTGGGAGAAATCTGCCGCAAGACAGAAGCCTACACGCTCGTTTAGTGCAAGAACGTCGTTGCCCTCGTCGCTGACCAAAATCCCGTTTACGGCCGCCTTCGACGACGGCTCGGAGCTGGAAAACTACATTGCCAGCAGAGACCAGGCCGAGCGGCCAGAGTCGTTGCAGGAGATCAAGCAGGACGAACAGCTGGACGAGCAGGAGTCTCAAGAGCTGGGACATTTAGCACCTTAACTTTAATTATTCTCACTAGAAAAAAATTGCACTTTCAAGACATTTGAGGAATTCCTCCCACCATGGACGGGCCAGGGCCGGGCGCAGGGGCCGGAACAGGGCCCTGCGGCTGGTACTGCGTGTTTCTTGCCCCCACGTTCTCTCTGAGAGCGGTGAGCTGCTTGGTTCTGAAACTCTCGTAGTGGACGTAGGCAGTGGTCTCGATCAGGTCGTGGAGATGTGTCCTGGTCAGGAAGTCTCTCAGATAGACAAACTCGCACTGAGTGACGTCCTCGACGTTGATGAGACCCCACTTGGTTCTTCTCCCGCGAATAACCTCCCCGGATGGAGTGGTGATGATGTTCTCGGAGCCAATAATGGCAAAAGGCAAGAGCGACTGGATGTCGCTGTTCAATTGTCTCTCTTCGGCAGTGAGGCCGTCCTCGCCCAGGCTGAACTCGTACGGATACATTCTGAAGTTGTAGTATTTGAACTGTTCCTGCAGAACGGACTTGAGGTTGGCTCTTTCCTCCAGGGTCAAGGTGTCTGCCTTGGCGATCACCGGCACCACGTTGGAGACCTCTGTCAATTTTCTCAACGCAATGATGTCCAGTTTCTTGAGCCCGTAGTTCGTCGGCTCGATGAAGTAGAGAATGCAGTGGACTCTAGTGTCTTTGATGTATGTTTCTCTCGTGGCGTTCAGTTCTTTTCTAAGGTACTGGTTCTGCTGGTCCTTGATGTACTTTAGAATCGGCTCCCAGCACTTTTCGTTGTTCACTTGGTCGCCAAATCCTGGCGTGTCGATCACGTTCAGGGCCAGCTTGACGTTATTCTCCACCAGAGTCTGAGACGTAACCTTCACCTCGCAGGTCTTGTCGACCGGCTCGTAGATCGTTTTTCTGCCGCTCGAGTCAATCACATGCTGTGCAAACAGCGTGTTGACCAGCGTGCTCTTTCCCAGGCCAGAGTGGCCAACAACCATAACATTCAGCGTGAAGCCCCGTTTAAGAAGTCTGTTTTCGATCTGCGTGGTGATCGTGTCGAATCCGACGTAGGATTTCGGCTGCAGCAGAGAAGCGGCATCGGAGACGCCCTGGAAGTCTGTCATATCAAAGAGTTTATTCGTTAGTTGTTAAATTTGGATCTTATTTACACGCTACTTAGACGCGAAAAACAACAATTTGAGAGCATAACACGCATGCACCTGTGCACGCCTGCTTTTTCCCTCCTGCCTAAATAAATCGACAATAAAATATTTTTCCAGCATCACAACCTGCTCTCATGTCTCTTGCAATCGCTCATCCGCTGCCCGGACTCGCCGCCAGACTCGCCCTGCCAGCTGTGCCGGCTCTCGCGAACGCACTGTGGGCTCCGGCAGAGTCGTTCCTAGACCGCCTGCGCAACAAACTGCCTTCCAAACTGCTTCCGTCGTTCCTGGACAACGGTCTCGTTTTGGCAGCCCCAAAGAAAAAAACCTCCCACATGAAGCGCCGGCTGCGTCTCTACACGCCGGGAAGCAAGCAGATCAAGCCCAACCACAACCTTAATCGGTGTCCGTCGTGCGGAAAGTACAAAAGGTCGCATTTTCTGTGCATGTCTTGCTTTTTTGAGATCAAACAGCTGTGGAGCGAGCAGGCCGGGAAGCCGCCTGTGTACAAGGAGGAGTTTGCCAATCCTGCCGACGAGCGGGTAATATACCCAAAGACGTATGAGCGTCCGCACGTCAAGAAGCTGCGGCTGAAGGAATACGTCGAGAAACGTCCGAAGCCGCTGGTGGTTGAGAAATAATGTACATAGATCGACGCGTCGAAAAAAAAAATAAATTTTCAAAAAATATATGCCAGAGCAGACGACAGAATCTCGTAAACGTCGGAAGACGCCCAAGACGGCGACTTTTCATCCATATGCTATTCCTGCATCCTTGTCATTGCAGGTGGTGAGCCACCCTCTGAAAATACGTCCTGCTGGGAATTTGCTGCTCGCCGGAAAGGAGACCGAAGAAAAGCTGCGCATGTCGATGGGCGATTTTCACAGATTCCCAGAGCAGGTGATAATGGATATTCTAGGATTTCTAGACTCGGCAACTGACCTGGGCCATGTGATGTGTGTGTCCCGATTTTTCTACGCCTTTACCAGCTCTGATGAGCTATGGAAGCAGATATATCTTAAGGGCGAGAAGTTCGACCGCTGGCTGGGAAGCTGGAAAGAGAGCGTTCTCAGATGCAGGCAGAGCGCCATAGACTGCAGCATCGTGCACTCAGACTTGCTATTTGTTCCGTATCAAAATTCCCAGGTCGACTATTCTCGGCTCTTCGAAAATATCATAATTGCAGAAAACCAGCGCAGACACCAGGTCCTGCCGGCCTCGGTCAATATTCCATACGATCTCTCCATTCCGCGGCTTGACGAGGATACCATGACCCCATCGCTCTTCTCCTCGCGTTTCCACGACCGCCCGTTCATCCTCAAGTCCTCCGATCCTGCTCGCTGGCCAGCGTGGACAATAGACACCCTCACAGCCCGCTTTCCCGACACCGTTTTCCGCCAGGAGTGTGTGCAGTGGTCGCTAAAACTGTACGCCGAGTACTGCGCCAGCAACCAGGACGAAAGCCCGCTGTATCTGTTTGACTGCAGCTCCGAGGCCATGAAACAACTCAAGACAGAGTTTGTGCGTCCGGGCGTTTTTTCGGAGGACATGTTTGACGTGTTCACGCGCCACGGCCACTCGTGCCGTCCCGACCACACGTGGCTGATTGTGGGCCCGCACCGGTCGGGCTCGACGTTCCACAAGGACCCCAACAACACGTCTGCGTGGAACACGGTGCTGGACGGCTCGAAGCTGTGGATCATGCTCCCGCCCGAGGTGACTCCGCCGGGCGTGCACACCAACGAGGACGAGAGCGAGGTGACGTCTCCGCTGGGCCTTGCAGAGTGGGTGCTATCCGGGTTTTTCAATGACACTCTCAAGGTCACCAGAGCAGAGCAGCGTTGCGCCATTGGCATCACATTTCCTGGAGAGTGTCTGCATGTTCCTGCTGGCTGGTGGCACACGGTCATCAACCTGGAGGACACAGTTGCCCTGACGGCGAATTTTGTTCCCGAGTGCAAGCTGGAGGAGGTGGCACGGTTTTTCCGCAACAAGCAGGACCAGGTCTCGGGCTTCCATCCGGCAACGGTGCTGGAGTTTGTGAGGCGGTGCGTTGCTGCGGGCGAGATGGATGCCCGGCTGCTCGAGAAAGTCGGCCAGGTCGAGTCGAACGACGATATCGGCGAGCTGGACGTGCAGCTGCCGATCTACGAGATATTCGAGCGACTGCTGCAACTCAACGGAAAGCAGCTGAAACAGCACAAAAATCTGTGGAAGTCGCTTACGCAGCAGAGCACAGGCTTTAAGTTCGCGATGGACGTCGAATAGAGCGCTTTTTATGATAATCTATAGGTTCTTGTCTAGGAGGGCCCGCACGTTTTCGTAGACCCCGAGGAAAATAGCGCCCCCGGCGCTGATCCACATGGTTCGCGGGCCGATGCCGCGGAGAAAGGCCGAGTAGCCCTCGTCGCGGGCAATTTGCCGCGCCAGCTTCCACACACCCACCTTGCCGTGGCTCAGCATGAGCCGTGTCTTGAGCAGGTCCAGCGGCGTGGTTGCTGCCGCAGCCACGCCTCCAGCCACAGACCCGCACACGGCTCCCCTGGCCGGCGAAAGCGCGCCGTCTGCGCCCCACAGCGTCTTGAGGTACTCGTATAAGGGAAACTGGATGATTGTGAACGGGATCTCGCGCATGATCGTGGTGCTCCACCCGCGGTAGAGGCCGTTGAGGACGCCCTCGCCAGAAACGTTTCCGAGGATGTGGCGCAGTGCCTGTGCAGAGGTGCGGAACTGCATCGACTGGGTCCGCTGTTTGATCACCTCGGCGGGAACTCTCACCATGCACGCGGCGACTTCTCCGCACGAAGCGGCAGCCATGTGTGACAGGGCGGCGGGAGTGCCGTTGTTTATGAGGCTGTGTTTGAGAGCGTCGTAGGTGACAAAAAACAGCGACGCGGAAGGAGCAGAGGCCACGACGGCCGACCCGAGGCCACGATAAAGCCCCCGAAACCCGCCGTTTTTGAGAAACCCGCCGCGCGCCTGGACACGCGTCTTGATGGTGTCGATCGGGAAAAACGCCAGGTCGGTGGCTGTCCCCGCAGCCCCGCCGCTGACCAGCGAGATGGTAAAGTCGTTCATTGAAAAATGATTTTCCGTCGCGTCGGATTTAATAGGTCGGTGATTTAGTTGGAGGCAAAAAACATTTTATTTCATCTAATTTAATTTTCAGCACTCTTCATGTACAGGTTCAGGATCGGAGCTAGCGTGAGACGCTTTTCCGTCTCTGCGCTGAGAAGGACATCGTCGAGTGGCGTCAAGCAGGCAATGCCGACTTCTGGGGCCCAGCCGCCTCAGGGATCATCGATTTCTCTCAAATCGGCAACAAGAGATCCTTCGGAGTATGGCACAAGACCGATATACTTGGACATGCAGGCAACAACGCCGACAGACCCACGTGTGTTGGACAAAATGTTGGAATTCTATACGGGGCTTTACGGCAACCCGCATTCGTCTACCCACGCCTATGGATGGGAGACCGATAAGGCCGTTGAGGAGGCGCGCGCAAACGTCGCTGCCGTGATCGGTGCAGACCCAAAGGAGATTATTTTCACTTCGGGCGCCACAGAATGTAACAACATGGCCCTGAAGGGCGTTGCCCGGTTCTACGGTAAGAGCAAGAAGCACATCATCACCACCCAGACGGAACACAAGTGCGTTCTGGATTCCTGCAGACATCTGCAAGATGAGGGCTTCGAGGTGACATATTTGCCGGTCAACTCGGACGGCCTGATCGATTTGGAGCTTCTGGAGAAGTCTATCAGAAAAGATACCAGTTTAGTGTCTGTTATGGCTGTGAACAACGAAATAGGAGTGATCCAGCCTTTGGAGGATATTGGCCGCATCTGTCGCTCGCACAAGGTGTTCTTCCACACCGACGCCGCCCAGGCTTACGGCAAGATACCGATCGACGTCAACAAGTGCAACATTGACCTGATGTCGATTTCCTCACACAAGATATATGGACCTATGGGTGTTGGTGCCACGTACGTGCGAAGACGGCCTAGAGTCAGACTGGACCCAATAATCAATGGTGGAGGCCAAGAGAGAGGTCTGCGGTCCGGAACACTGGCTCCTCCGCTTGTTTGTGGCTTTGGGGAGGCTGCAAGACTGATGGTGCAAGAGTACGATGCAGACCAGGCCCACATTAAGGCCCTGAGCACGAAGCTGATGGATGCCCTGCTGTCTATGGAGCACACACAACTGAACGGATCCCGCATCCACAGATACCCTGGCTGCGTTAACGTTTCGTTTGCGTACATCGAGGGGGAGTCTCTTTTGATGGCATTGAAGGACATTGCTCTTTCGTCCGGATCCGCCTGCACGTCTGCGTCTCTTGAGCCTTCGTACGTTCTGCATGCTCTGGGCGCCGACGACGCCCTTGCACACTCATCGATCCGGTTCGGCATCGGTAGATTCACCACCGAGGCCGAGGTCGACTACGTGATCCAGGCCCTGACCGAGAGAGTCAAGTTCCTGCGGGAGCTGAGTCCGCTGTGGGAGATGGTCAACGAGGGTATCGACCTGAACTCGATCGAATGGGCAGGACATTGAATTTTATGTAAGTGTTTATATGCAATTTATTCTTCGTCGCTGAGATCTGGGTTTACCACCCGCAAACCTCCCTGTCGGGCACTATTCGGCGGCACCGCGGCTCCAGCGGCAGCGTCCGGCAACGACCCGTCGCTGAACCGTCTCGACGTGCCCGGCATGTCCAGTCTGTCGTCCTCGGACATGAATCCGAATGCGTTGGCTCCGATTCCTGCTGCCGCACCTCGCGAGCCAGCTGGAGGCTGACGGGGAGACGACGCCAAAATGCTGGATGCGCGCTTTTCGCTGAGGTTGTCTCTGTCGTCGCGCTGGCGTCTGCGCCAAAACAGGAACAGGAGCAGAAGTCCCAAGAGCAGCAAAGCTCCGAGGATCGACCCGACAGCGATTCCGGCCTTCGCGCCCTTGCTGAGCCCCGTGGACCTGTTGTTGGCGCTCGAGGCACTTGAGGACGACGCGGCAGCCGACGCCGAGGTGGCTGTAGCGACGGACTGCGTGATGTAGATGATGGAGGTCTGCATGTTTCCAGGTGAAACGGACGTAGTTATCCGCACTGATTCGGATGAGGGTGTGGACGAAGAGGTGGTTGAAGACGACGACGAGCTCTGGGAGACAGAAAAGGACGAAATCGAGCTTGTTGTAGTCGAGCTAGCGGACAGACTTGAGGACGTTGGAGACGAGTCTGTGGAAGACATGGTGGAGCTCTGTGGGGAGGAACTTTGCGTGGAGGAAGACGATGTTGAGGAGCTGGACAGACTGGAACTGGAGGAGGAGGTGGTGGAGGTGGAGGAGGTGGAAGTGGCATCGTCTGTGGACGAGTGCGACGACTGCGCCGACGAACTGTCGTCGTCGTTTTCCTCAGACTCGTCAACATAGACGGAATAAGAGTCGCTACCACCACACTTCTCCATGGGATAACCAGTGCAGGACGTTGTGCACGAGCCGTCGGGGTTGTCCGAAGGCACGTCGTCTCCGCAATAGCAGTCCTGGCCGTTGATCAATGCAGCAACTGCGTGTCCCGAACACTGCTCCGTGCAATGGCTGGAGCTCTGCCATGTGTACGAGTCCTTCTTGGTCAGGCCGGAAATGGCATCCGAGCTGTAGCAACCCAAATACGTAAAGTCTGCTAGGACTTGGGTGATCACGAATACGACACCGAATCTCATGTTGACATGGAAAAGCTAAAAAATAAACAATAGAGCGTCGCGTCGAAAAAAATAAAATCTGTGAGGCGTGCGTGTTTAGGATTTTTGGGATTATTTAGGAATTATTCGAGATCCTACTTTTTTTTCTCCCTTATTTAGTTCTTGAGTAGCTTGGCCACCTCCTGCGCAACAGCATCACCAACTTCCTGTGTTGAGGAGCTTCCACCCAAATCGGCAGTCATGATACCTGCATCCAGGACGTTCTTGACGGCCTGCTCGATCGCACGGCCGGCATCCACCAAGTCCAGCGACAGCTTCAGCATCATGGCGGCAGACAAAATTGTGGCCAATGGATTGATCTTGCCCGGGCCCAAATCTGGCGCCGAGCCGTGGCAGGGCTCGTAAAGACCAAACGCCTTGTTTGTGTCTGGCAGAGACGCCAACGAGGCAGAAGGCAGCAGGCCCAGAGACCCAGGAATCACACTGGCCTCGTCACTGATGATGTCGCCAAACATGTTGTTGGTGACAATGACACCGTTGAGTTTCGTTGGCGACTTGACCAAAATCATGGCTGCCGAGTCGATCAGCTGGTGCTGCACCGTCAGCTGCGGGAACTCGTTCTTGATGGTCTCCTCAACAGTCTTCCGCCACAAACGCGAGGATGCAAGCACGTTGGCTTTGTCCAGCGACCACAGTGGCAGCGGTGGGTCGCTCTGCAGCGCCAAAAAGGCCGCCATTCTCGTGATTCTCTGCACCTCTGGAACAGAATAGCTCTCAGTGTCGCTGGCAACTCCGTCGCCGGCATCCTCCTTGCGGTCACCAAAGTAGATTCCACCAACCAACTCACGCACAACAACAAAGTCAGTGCCCTTGACGATTTCTGATTTCAGTGGAGATAGCTTCAGAAGAGCGTCGGAAGCAAAACTGCATGGACGCAGGTTCGCGTACAAGTTGAGCTCTTTTCTGATCTTCAACAGATCCTGCTCAGGACGCACGGAGCCGGTTCCCCACTTAGGTCCTCCGACGGCTCCAAGCAAAACGGCGTCAGCCTTCTTGGCGGCTTCGAGGGCCTCGTCGGACAATGGCACCCCATAAGCATCGATCGAGGCACCGCCGATCAGGTGCTTGGAAAAGTTGAACTTAACGCCGATTGCCGACGAGACAGCCTCGAGAACCTTGACGGCCTCCGCAACAACCTCGGGGCCCACGTGATCACCAGGGAGAAGCACAATGTTCTTACTCATGATTGCAAAATGATGCAACTATTTTGCGCCGGTACCGGGAAAAATTGAAAAACCATCCACTTACTCATTCCTGTCTTTTTATTTCGTATTACCAAACCGCTTACGTACTCACCCACTCAGATCTGCTCAGACACAAACTGGTCGATGTCGACCTCCTCGAGTGGAGCAGTGGCCGCATTGTTCACCTTTGGCTTCTCCTCTCTGAGCTCAAGACGTTTCAGCTTACTAAGAGGGCCCCAGCCGTGCACAGGTGGGCTAAGTTTGAATGGATCCAAAAACTTGACACACTGTTTGAACGAGTCGCCCAATGTGGCAATCTCGTGGATGATGTCTTCCACACAGATGATGCCGTAGTCTCCAAGCTGGTCTTCAATCAAATTGTTGTCATCCAAGTTCACCTTCTTGGTTGTTCCGTCCTCCACGATACTAGCCGTGGCACGTTTCTGGATCAAGTTTCGGACAGTAGCAAGCGATGGAGTGCCGATGGCGATGTACGGACTGGTCAGTCTGAGGAGAGGTTTGACGGCAGCGTTCAACTTGATGAAAGTTCCTGTGTACACGTGCTCTAGACGCAGCAGTTCAAGCACTTTCCTGGCTTTGGAGGGCACTTTGGCACCATGCGGGCCGGGGATACGGACCACAAACAAAAGACGCTCATCGGACTCTTCCGGCACAGCAGAGCTCCGTTCATGCTGAGACACGCGCTTCACACGGTACTGTTCTCTTTCTGATGCGCGATGTTTAGCCACTAGGGTTTCTGCTCTGATAAACCTTGCCTTTCTTTGCTGTTGTTTGCGTTTCTTCTGTTCCTCGAGCTTCTTACGTGCCTGCTCCTGTTTCTCTAGACGGAGTCTGTCGGCGTTCTTCCGCTTCTTGAGCAACACCTCTGGGTTGGTGTTCAGTTTAGTCGATTCAGCCATGATAAAAAAAAAAAAATTGTGCAGAAAAATTTATTTGGCAGTGTTCAAATAATTTTCGATCAGTACACCATCTCCACCTTGTTTCTAGACTGGCGTTTCTCAAGCTCAAATTTCTTGGCCAGCGCCACCACCTGCGTCCATTCACGACCAAACACGTCCTTTGCGAACTTTTTCTGCGCCACCAGCTGGCCTGCTTTGCGAACAGCGATCGCCTCGTCCTTATCTAGACGGTCAGCTTTGAGGAGCACTTCATTTAGAGACGGATACAATCCCTTGTAGTCGGGATCCGACGGATCAGCGAAAAAGAAGCCCGACGGTGTCGCATGCTTGGTTTCAGGCGCCACAACCTCGTCTTTTTCAACAGGGAGCACAATGTCCAGCAGCGGACCAGCACTGGCGTGAACTATGGGAATGGCGCCGTTGAGCATGTACTCGACCACAGAGATACCAAAATGCTCGTTCCACATCACATTGAGTCCGTACGCAGCCCGCGACAGGTACTCGTCGACGGTTTTGCGAGGAGCGTTCACCTCAAAAGCAACCAGGGAGGAAATTTCTAGCTGCTCTGCCAGCAACTTGAGCTCTCGCACCGTTTCCTCGTCCTGTTTGGACCTTGTTGATCCGACCAGCGCCAACGTAAACGGCACAGCGCTGTTTCTGGCATACTTGGCAAACTCCTTCAGCAAGAGCCTGTGCCTTTTCTCTGGCCGGAACTGCGCCAGGTACAACAAAACACGGTCTTTTTCTCCCAGTGGGTCGGCAATCCTGGACTCCTCAATGCCGGTCGGTGGATAAAGGATCTGAGGGCTTGTTTTTGCATTGCTGCCCCAGATGGCGCGAACATGGTCGCAGGTCCAGGTCGAGTTGCACAGGGTGCAGTCAATAAAAGTCGCAGCCAGCTGGTACAGTTTCATCATCAGGGTCCAATAGACGTACTTGAGCAGGATGTAGACACTTTTTGAGCTCAGCTTGTTAAGCATGTCAGACGAAATCAGCGGATAGTGCACATACGCAACCACGGGAATATGCAAAAGAGCCACCAGCGGATAGCAAAAGGGCAGGCCCTGGGTGTCGATGAACACGTCGGGCACGAGTTTTGTCAAGCTGCTGAAACACACAAAAATAGAACCCAACGCCTGGCCAATAATTGTCAAGTGTTTCCACGACCCGCCGTCAATAAGCCATTTATACCTGTTGTTGAGCTGAATAAAAACTATACGGTCATTGAGGCCGTCTGCAAATAAATCAATTCCGAACGTGGAGCGCACAGATTGCAAAAGCGAGCTCACACACACATCGTCTGCCGCTGTGAACGTGTATATGGCGACCACATTCTGCTCCGACTGTTTTAGCGTATAGTACACTGCCTCCCAGAGGACTCTTTCGCCGCCGCCATTTGCGTCGCTGAAGGGGTGGAAGTAACCAAAGATGAGTCTGCGTTTTGAAACTGGGTCGGCAGGACGCAGACGGTCAACGAAGTGGGGGTCGTCTTTGTCGACTCTGGCCAGACGCAGTTTCGACGTCGCCACAGAGTCTCTGTTGAGTTTCATGGTGGAGTACAGTTGCGGCTTATGGGCAGCTAGAACCAGTCTTCTGCGGAAAGAGCTGTGCTTGATGCCCACGACAGACTCTGGAATCGCCCCTTTTTCCAGGCTGCGCGCGATCGCGTCCCGGTAGTTGTGAGGAGGCACCACGAGAAAGCGAAGAAGAGAGGCGTCGATGCACTTGTAGACGGCCCACGCAAGCACCAACGCTCCCAAAAAAGTGCTCAAGGCCGTAGACAGCCCAAACACGGAGCGCGATGCCAGTTCTGCACCGGTGCCAGCGGCAGAAACCTGTCGTACCATCAGTGGTGTCTGTCCAGACATGATTTTAATTATTTTTACACTTACATAATCAAATTTAGCTATGCTGCTACATTTGAGTATCTTTTTTCGACTCATCCGACAGCGTCATGTCGCCGATCTTCTCGTCCACATAGCCGTTACCCGTCTCGAGAGTCACAAACGAGCTGTTGTTGATGTCGATCGGCAGCCGGGGCTTGGCCTGGACTTCAGCGTCTGCGACCGTCGTGGTCTCGGTGGCAGGGTGGTGGTTCTTCGGCAGCGACAGCACCGTGTTGAGCGACTGGTGCGCAATGGAACTTCGCGGCGACTGGCCGCGCTTGTAGCTCGACTGGTCGGTCCCGGTCAACTCTGTGTCTCTTCTGTTTTTCGAGATCATCGACGAGGACGCCAGCGACGAAAGCCGTTCCTGCTTCTTGCGCTCCCAGCCGATGACAGACCGTGCCTGCGGAGAGGGCAGGCTTGTGACCTTCTTGAGATCATTGTACCAACTCATCATCTGGTCGTACGACTCTGCTCTGAACACCCAGTTGTGGCCTTTCCGGAGCAGTCCGTTCTGCTTGGCATGTAGAACAAACTTATGGTACGAGTTCGGGTTGTGCTCGTCTTTCTTTGAGTGCTCAGCCACCTGGCAGTCCTCCACCGCTAGCGACATGATCGGCACCGGGTCGCGCTTGCGGTCGGCAGACTTGAACTCGTGCAAAAACGTCGGGGTCAGCACGTAATAGCCCTTGGAGTAGGACTTGAGATACTTTGACTTTCTCTCCAAGAATCCGGACCGGATCTCGAACGTGAGAGGGTCATTTTGGTGCTGGTAGTGGATCTCGCTCAGATGTCTCATGGGCAGGTTCACGTCGATGAAGTTCTTGGTGTCTTTGGCAACGAACGAGTCCCATTCGAAGCTGGGGTCCTTGGTCAGCAGTCCTGTGTCCAATTTAGAGATCAGCCCATCAAACACGTTCTGAGCCTGCTGGCCGATCAGTTTCGCGTACACGGTCAATGCCGTCTGGATCTCGATATACACAACTTTCTCCAGCTCTTTGCCCGACCCCTGCAGGTTGTTGAAGGCCTCATGCAAATAATTTTCCTCTGTCAGCTGCCGTTTGATCAGTCTGTTGAGATTGAATCTCAATAAATACGGGTCGTCTTTGGGCGTGAGCAGCTCAGGGTGGTGTTTGGCGGTCTCGACGGACTTGATGTACGCATTCAGCTCCTGCTTTGTCTCCTGGTGGTATCTGGCCACCTGGTTCTTGAAGTCGCTCTGCAACGACTTAATCTCCTTTATTTTCACAATCAGGTCCCGCTTGAGGTCTTCCAGCCGCGGAATGATGGTGCCGTTGAGCTCCTTGACAGTGGCCTGGGCCAGAAGCGCCGAGTTCGAGTGATACTGGTATAACACGGTCGGCAGATCCTGGATGCTGCCGTTTCCCAGCGGAAGGAAAAACTTCTCCGCCATCTCGAACTCGTCGTTCGTTTCTGGGTGCGGCTGCTCCTTGTGGCCAAACAGACCCTGGCCGCTTTGCGGGGCGCCCGAGTTGACTTTCACAGGCTGGTAAAATTCGCCGTCAAGGCCCTGGGTGACGAACGGGAAGGTGATGGCGTGATGGAGTCTAATTTGCTGTCTGCTTATTTCCTCGTGCACAGACACTGTTTCCTTGAGATAGTGCACAAGACAGCCAATAATGGTGCGCCACAGACCAAACCGGGTGGCCAGGATGTCTGTTGGGTTTGCCTCTGTCGGAACCAGCACTGCCAGCGGGTCTGTTGGGTCTCGCTTGGCCATTTCTTTCTGGCGCAGGTTATGCAGCATTTCCTGTGTGGACGACGATTTGGATTGGAAGCTTCTTGTTTGCTCGGCTTGTTTTTGTCTTTGTTCGTCCAGCTGTTTGAGCTGGAGCTGGTTCTGTAGCAATTGTTGTTCGGATACAAGACTCATGGATCTTATCGTTTCATGGATTAAAACAGATTTCCCGAAATAGAACAATTTTCTGTTTGAGAGGGTAAAACTTCGACCGCCTGCACGCCGTCGCCGACGCGTCGATATCAGCCAGCCTTATCTATCGCCTAATTCCCGATGCAGAGCCATAATTCCAGCACTGCGGTGTAACTTGTTTCCTTAATGAAGATTGTTGTTGTTGGTGCGGGCGTCATCGGCCTGACCACTGCCCTGACACTCAGGCGCAAGCTTGACTGCGATCTCGTCGTCGTGGCCAAGGAAATCCCCGGCGACGCAGACCCCATCTATACCTCCACCAAGGCAGGAGCGCAGTGGTCCAGCTCTCCTGGAAACAAGCGCGCAGAGTTTTCGTACCGGATCTTCGACGAGCTGAGTAAAGTTCCAGAGGCCTGGGTCACCAAAATCCCGCTCTACAAGGGAGAAATCGACCCGAAGGAGCCTGCTACAGAGCCGGATCTCAAGTCGTTTGTGGACAATTACGAGTGGATCGGCGAGGAGCACCAAAAATTCCCCGGTGTCAGCCACATTTACAAGTTTGACACCTTCACCATCTCTCCTCCACAGTACCTCGCGTATCTGGCGAACGAGCTGCTCAAGCTTGGCGTGGCTATTCAACGCGGTGTGGTGCGCAACTTCGCCCACGTCGACGCCGATTACGTCATCAACTGCACGGGAATCCAGTACAACGACATCGACGGATGTCATGACGCGGCCCTGCGTCCTATCAGAGGCCACACGCTGCTGATAGAAAACACGCTGCCGTACCAGGTTATGTTCAAGGAGAACAATCCGGTCGAGGAGGGCGAGTTTCTGATGCTCTTCCCCCGTAAAGAGGGCTGTGCCGTGCTGGGGGGAATCTATGACTCGCACTCGCCGGCCTTCGACACGTCTGTGCACGCCGACTATGTCGAAAGGCTCCAGGCCAAGGCGGCCAAGCACCTTCCTGAGCTGCAGGGCGAGATCCGCGTCCTCAAGCACAACATCGGGTTCCGGCCGCACAGAGATGGCGGCGTGCGGATCGAATTCGATCCCGAAAACCCAAGACTGGTCCACAATTACGGGTGCAGCAACCTGGGATTTACAGAGAGCTGGGCCTGTGCGCAGGAAGTTTTTGACCTCATTAAATAACCTTACGAGTTAAATATTTGGTTACACAGCCTTCTTTTGTTTTTGGCACGTTTATGTTTCGTCACGTAGTTGTGGTAATAGCGGTCCTGTTGGGCCTGGGCGGGATGTTAGAGGTTTTGGAGCGCAGCCGGCGTGTGCACATAACTGCCACATCTGGTTATTCCTACATTTCCTCGGGGATAGTCGACAACGACGCAGAAGAGTACTATAGGCTTGGGCTGACACCCCACCACTCAATCGCAGTCACCACACTGGCTGGCGACGCCGTGGTGGACAAGACCGTCCTGCACGGCCGGTTTCTCCATGTGACTGACTTCCATCCGGACGAATTGTCGAAAATTGGTGCGTCGTTCGAGAATAAATGCCATCGCAAAGACAAGCAGGCTCTGCCCGACGAGGTGATGCACCGGTACGGCGACGCGATGAGCGGCTGTGACTCGCCGTTGGAGCTCTACGAGGCGACTCTCCAATGGATCCGGGACAATTTGAAGGACAAAATTGACTTTGTTGTTTGGACCGGGGACAACGTTCGGCACGACAATGACCGCAAAAACCCACGTTACGAGAGCGAGATATTCTCCATGAACGAGAAAGTGGCCGAGAAAATGAGCAGCGTGTTTATGGACGACGGCGAGGAGGACATCATGCCGCTGGATCGCCGCGTCAAGATCGTGCCGAGTCTGGGTAATAACGACGTTTATCCTCATAACCTGTTTGCTCCGGGACCCACGTTGCAGACTAGAGAGCTGTACAAGATCTGGCGTGATTTCGTCCCCACAGAACAGCTGCACACTTTCGACAGGGGAGCCTATTTCTTCAGAGAGGTCATCCCCAACAAGCTGGCTGTGGTGTCCATAAACACGCTGTACCTGTTTAAATCGAACCCGCTGTGCGACAACTGCTACAACCGCAAGGAGCCCGGATACAAGCTGTTTCAGTGGCTTGGTTTTGTGCTCAAGGAGCTGCGCAAACGCAACATGAAGGTCTGGCTGACCGGCCACGTTCCGCCGGTGCCCAAAAACCTTCATTACAGCTGCCACGCAAAAATGAGCGTCTGGCAGCACGAATACCGAGACATCATTATTGGATCGCTGTACGGCCACATGAACATCGACCATTTTGTGCCGCTGGACTCTGTAAAGTCCTGGAGAACGATTGAGAAAAGATTGGGCAAGCTGGACTACGAAACCTACGGCGACGACGACGAAAAGGACGATTTGGAAACATACGAGGAGTTTGGGATGCTTGACGACGACTTTGAGATTGACCGCGGCTCGCGGCGCTACGACAACGCTCCATCGGGAAAAGTGTCGTATCTGGAAAACGTCAGAGACGGACTGTACGCCAAGCTCAAGGGCCCGAAAAAGGCCGGCAAGAACGGCGAGCGGTACTCCTTTGCGCACGTGAGCGCGTCGGTGGTGCCCACATTCAACCCTGGCTTCCGTGTTTGGGAGTACAACGTGTCGGAGCTATACAGCAGCGAGGAACCACTATATGAGCCTTGGGAGCAATTTTTCGCTCGGCTCGACGCGGAACTTGCCGCAGCAGATAGTCAGGATACTCTGGACATCGAAGCGTCGAAAGACAATACAATCCCGCCAATCATGCCGGCAGATCTGCCTCTGGGCCCCGCATACACACCCCAGCTTTTTTCTCCAGAAAGATACACCCAGTACTACGTTGATCTGGAATACGCGGCCAAACATCCCAACTGGAAATTTGAGTACCAGGTGGAGTACTCGACAGACGACGACGAGTACCAAATGGAGAGCTTGCTGGTCTCTGACTGGCTGAAGATGGCGCGGAAACTGGCGAAATCCGCCGCTGTTGCCGCCGACGACGACGTGGAAATCGCTGGCGCAAAAAAATTGTGGAAAACGTACCTAAATCGCGCCTTCATAGACACCGGCTACCAGGACCTGCCTGTAGCCAACAAGTGAGCTACCAAAAAAAAAATAGTCCCCTAATCTGGGCTGTGCGGGTTTTTGGGAGCAGCTTATTTTAGACGCTCATCGCAGCCGCTCTCTCAATCTTTTGCTCTTTTGCAACCACCATGCGGATAATCAGAAGAGATGACTTTGAGGATCTTCTAGGCGGCAACTTCGACGCGGCGACCGAGTTCAAGCAGTACAAAGAACCCAGCTATCTCGAGGAGGCCGTGGCCGCCGAAAACGCCACAGAGTCGCTGAAGAAGAGCTCCTTTTTCAGCAAATTGGCCCAGCCGCTGAAATACACGTTTGAGAAGAAGGACTTTGTGATACTGGTCTTTCTGATTGCCTGTTTCGTAACTCTGCTGGCCGTCTTCTGCGGAGCTGTCTATTTTGGTTACCGAGAGTACAGTCTTCTTCTCAGGCGGGTCAATCTTTACGAAAAAGACGTCACATCCTGCGACGACGACGAAGAGCTTGACGAGGAGTCCAAGCCGCGGAGCGCATACAGCGGCGCCACGCTGCGGGAGGCGTCCAACAGAGCATCTGCTTTTTCGCCGGGCCCAGCACGCAACCTGGCCAAAGCCAGTCTTGCTTTTCCCGACGCCGAGCAACACACGCCAGCGGTCACGCGGACACTCAACTCCTGGAAAGACTCTCTACACAAGATCTCCAAGCGCGGCACGCCCAAGGGTGTACCAGGCAAACCGTCTGCCTCTACGCAGTTCTCTGCGCCGATCGACGGCGGATACATGCCGACCTGGTCGTCGATGATCGACTCGAAACTCTCTCCCATCGACGTCGTCCACGGCAGCGTTTCGCCCGATGCCGTGAAAAATACGGCCACCAGCGAGGCTGCGCCCGAGACGTCCTGTCTTGTGAACGATGACAGATCCCTGGTGGAGCAGTCCGCAGACAACACCCGCTTTATGAGCATCTACGAACAGTACTCCCCAGAAGCAGACGGCCACCTCGAACATGAGCCCAAGAGAGTGTACACCATGGTTCAGCTCTACGAGCTAGAACCTTTGGACCTGATCCAGGAGTTTGTTGACGGAGACGACAATAAATTGCTAGCTACAGACATTTTGTTTCCTAAGAAACCGCTCTACTCGGAGAGCTCGGTTGTGGAGATTGAAAAAGAGCTGACAATGATTCGGCTGAACCTGTTCAACTGCTCTTTGGACACAGCCTCCAAAGTGCTCGAGATCATCAAGTTTTTGGCCAACTCGTTCGGGCTCCAAAAATTCAATAACCCGCGCATATTCCTCATGTCGTACGGCATGCTGATCGAGCAGCTGGTGGAATCGGACTTCATCATCAATGATAACGAGATACCGACAATTCTGGTTGGCGCCTTCATCGAGATCGTGGTCAAGTACAGCGTGTGCTGCTGGAAATATCCCGCGTCCAGACATCTGAAGGTCGACAGGAAGTTTGCCGCCTGGAAGATGACTCCCCACGTTCCTCCGCAGTACAAAGTGTTCAAATACATTTGCACGCTGATCAAGTCGGGATACAAGACCGACCTACTTGGAGAGGTCCTGATATTCTTTTCCACACCACCAACACCTCACAACCTCATATATTTGCTTCCGGAGTCCGAGCTGGAGAATTATAAGAACCCCGAGGTTTTGGAGCTCATGGCTTATTTGAGAGAACAGATACAGGAAGAACACAGCGACTGCTGCGGTTCCACGTCATTTTTGGGCGCAACCTCGCCAGCATACTCTGAGTATGAGGCCTTTTTGCAATCGCGGGTCCCCAGAAAACCAACGAGCCCGAGACGTGCGCTTCCGGGCGCATTTGCACGCGAGACAAACAACCTTGACACCGCCAGAGAGCCTTTGTAGATTCTGTACAGCCAAAAGAACGAATAAAGAAGACAGAATGAACGTTTAATCCTTGCCGTTTCTGAAATGGTCGTAATTGATCAGCGCCTGCATGCACCCCCATTCCGTGAGTTTGTTCCGGAGCCACTTCAGCTGCACGGGCTTTGTCAAATAATCGTTGCAGCCAGCTGCCAGAGCTTGTTGCTTGTCAGCGGCCGAGGTCGACGCAGTCAACGCAACAATGATGATCGGCGAACGGAACAGCTCATGGTCGAGCTGATCGGCAGGCTTCAGCTCTTCCTGCTCCGTCGGAAGAGACAAGTTGGCAAAGTTCCCAATCCTGTTGAGCCGTTCCAGCCGTCTAATTTCCTCCGTCACCTGTATCCCCGATATCACAGGCAGCTGGATATCCATGAAACAAAGATGGAAGCCTCCTTCCTTCCACAACTGCAAGCCTTCTTCTCCGTTGCTGGCGATCTTGAACTGAACATTACAGGATTTTAGGTGTCTGGCCAGAATTTTCTGGTTCACCAGATTGTCCTCCACAACCAGCACGTTAATGTTGGTCAGGATCTTATTAATTCCTGGCTTTGGCTGCTGCTTCAGACGCAGGGCTGAGGCCACTTCCTCCTTTTTTGGCCCGTGTTTCAACAAAATAGAGTGCTTCGAAGACGACGAAGCGCTTTCTGGAGTCCCAGAAGCCTTATTAGTCTCGTCAGCGGCGTGGGTCTCCTCGAATGTCGGCGTTCTTCCAGGAGTTGAGACGTGATTAGAATATTGCGAGGCAGGCGACTTACTGCCCGTTCTTGTGCCCTTTGGAAAAAGTATCACTGTGGATGAAGACTGATTTTGGTCTTGGACAGAGCTGCGTCCTAGCCTCGTGAACTCTCTTGGAGGAGGCAGCCCTTGTTCGCCCAGCACAGCTACCTTTCCCGAGTAGTTGTTGTCTGTAAAGACGGCATCCTGGGGTGTCTTTGTCGGGTTGGACCTGCCTGTGAGCGAGCCGCTATAGAAAGGCGGAGCGTTCGCAGCGTCTTTCACTTCCGAGCTAAACGAGGCGCCTGCGCTGGTCTGGTTGAAAAAACTCGTTTCAGCCACTTGAGGGAATGCGGTGGTCTTGACACTAGATCTTTTTTCGGCTACCGGATACGGCGTGTCGATAATGAACGAGTCCTCAAGCTTCATTCCGGACGGGAAGTATTGTTCCAGTATTTTCCAGATGAAAGCATCGGGCTCCAGAACTATGGTGGTAGTACGCGGTTTGGTGTGGGCTTTGGTATGGCCCAGGGGCGACGGTCTGTGAGCCGTTTCGGGCACCCTGTCTGTTGCTGAGACGTCGCTGTGGTTCAACAGCGACGATTTGGACGCGGACACAGGAATCGGCGACACCGGGTGCGCGTGGTGCGAGGGATTCTCCCCGGCAGCCGCGTGAGGCCTCATTTTGGACATTTTGTTGCCTTGTAAGTTGGTGCTGCTGGAACGGCTCATGATAGTTTTTGGCGCAAACGTGGCGTTCTGGGCCGTTAGCGGCGAGCTCTGGTACGTGGGGTCGCGCTGAGTGTGGCTAGACGGAACACTGAACGCGGCGGCGGACGGAGACGAAACGGACGGGACCTCCAGTTTCAAGATGAGCTCTGACGGGTCGAACTGCTGTGCCAGTGTAGTAGGGAACTTGAGCATTATTTGAGACTTGACGTCGTCCACAAGGTCTCCAGGACCAACAAACAGCGTTGTGGCGTTGCCCCCGGGACGTTTGACCCAGATTCTTTTTCTCGCCGGCATGGGCAGCTGGGGATTCTGGTGAGCGTTGGGAGACGCGGCCGTGAATGTGAAATAGGGGTTTGCTGGCTGGCCAGCCGCTGACATCGGATTCAAGTTCCCCATTGCGGCGCCCGAATCCTGCAAAGGAACGTTGCCTCTTTTCATATAAGCAGGGGCACTCATAAGACTAATGGAATAAATAAATTAAAAAAATATGCGAAGCTCTATTTTTTCCCTATGGGAAAGAGCATTTTAAAACCAGGACAGGTGCGAGCGCTGGTGAAATTTTTGGGAACCGTTGAGGTGGACACGGGAAAGCTTGTGGGGCGGGCAAACGAGGAGTTGGGATTGGCGCTGGACAAGGTGTTTGGACGGCTGGGCATCAAACGGGAGCGACCAAACCTAGTTGCTGAGGTTTCGAAGTTTGAGACGATATCGCACAAGTACGAGCCAATACATAAAGTACCGTGGTTCCACTTTGACCCTAAAAAGTACGAGATATCGCAACAGGATCTCGACAGGGTGTCGGGACAGGTTCCTGACTCACCGCTCGGATACGTGACTAAAGACACCCCCATAGCCGAGAACTACCAGCAACTCAGGGGCGTTCAGGCCTCGTTGTACTCGATCGCCATGGACACGCGCATTGGACGCATCAGACCCGCTTACAAGTGCGACTATTTCGCATTGACGTACTATCCAGAGTCCTACTACATGGGCCAGATACGCAAGTCCCGGCCGGGAGTGATGCTTCAGTTCGACAACAACGCGTTCCTCAACACGCCTGCGTCGCGCAGCGTGAAGCTCGACAACAACGTGAGCAAAGACGCGGCAAATTACTATCCGTTTATTCTATCGGTGCACCGCACAAAAACTTCCAAGTTCTACCGTAAAACCTTCTTCCAACATTTCACAGCCAACAACATGATAGAGAAATGGGATGGCCTGTACCGCTTCCAGCTATACTTGCGTCCGGTGCTGAACCAGGACTTCGAAAATCTCGAATTCCACATCCGGAAGAGTCTGGAGTATGTGCGTCGCTACGGAGCAGCTCCCGAACCAAAAGCCCGTATGGACTGGGCAAAAATCAACACCGTGTCTGAGGTCTACGGACTGCCCCCTTTGGTCCGTCAGAAATGAGGATAGCGCGGCGGCCGCTATATATTGATCCATTCCGGGTGTTCGGTGACGTATGCCCATTTATTTTCCTCGTGGTAGTATCCTATGGCATGCAAATAGAGCATAAGTTTTTCGGGCTCCGGCCTCTTGAAGAGCCGTTTTCCGCACTCTTCGCAGAATTCATCAGTCTGCTGTTTCTCGCGTGAGTTTTGTGCCTCCTTTGCGATCCGCTGAAAAACGTCCGGGTCGGAGTAGTCTTCGTTGGTAGCCAAAAGTCCGTGTCTGTAGAGCTGGTCGTTGGAAATCGGAAAGCCGAGGTTTCGAAGGTGAATTCGGATCTGGTGTGTTCTGCCCGTCAACGGCCGGCATTCCACAATGCTCTCATCCAGGAGAGATGAGTATTTCAGCCTTTTGAACTCTGTGGTAGCAGGTTTGCGGTCGATCCCGTCTTTGAATCCTCGTTTCGTCTCGACGATAACCACATCATCCTTGCAGACCAGAGATTCCGGAAACTTTCCCGCCACACGCGCCACGTAAACCTTGCGCACCTGTTTATTTTTGATCGCTGCCTGGATCTCCTTGGCCTTTGCGACGCTCTTGGCCAGAATGCAGATCCCGCTCGTCACCTTGTCCAGCCGGAAACACGGCCTGAGCTCGCTTAGGCCCCTCTCGTGCTTCAGAATCTCCACCATCGTGTTGTAATAAAAGTTTTGCACGGGATGGATCGGCATTCCGGCGGGCTTGTTCACCACAAGCACCTCGTCGTCTTCATACACAGTCTGTATTTTTGCGTCCACTATAGGCGGCTCGTGAACGTGTACATGGCGCACAATCACGTCGCCCTGTCTGAGGTGTTCAGACAACAGCTGTTCCTGTCTCAGCTCGAGCGTTTGCTGCTTAATTCTGCGCTGCACTATTACTTGATTGTCTTTGATCCTTTGGAGATGCTGATTTTCTGAAAACTCGCGAAACTCAGTCGTAAGCACGTCCAGCAGCAATCTGTTGCGCCATCGCTCTTTCACCGTGGTGACACACTGGCGATAATAAGGCGGCACCATGCGCAGACCGCCCGTTGAGATGTAACTGGCCATAGTAAAATAATTGAAAAAAAATACTCTATTCAGTATATACCAAAAATATACGCCAGACGGGTCACAACGAGATCAATCGCCATGGTAATGGAGTCCCGCGCAAGGACCATCTTGGAGCCGTCAACCTCGTGCCAGCTGATCGCGATCTCGTCAACAGGGATATGCTGGTTGATGGCGAGGATCAGCAGCTCAACGTCAAATATCCAGCCCTCGGTGTGCATTTTGGGGAAGATCTTGGCGACGGCTGCCTTGTTGAAGAGCTTAAAGCCGCACTGCGTGTCTTTGATGGTGCGAATGCCAAAAACAAACACCAGAGCGTGCAAAGCATACATAAGAAAGTTGCGCACAAATGACCGTTTCACCACCGCGTCTGTGTTCACCATGTGTGCTCTGGAGCCAATGGCAACCGCAGCACGCGTTTCAGGCTCGTTCCTGTCTAGTCGCCGGATACTTTCGAGCAGCTTGTCCAAGTCGCTGAATTTCGACGCTCCGTCTGCGTCAGCGAAAATGGCATACTTCCCCCGGCTAAACTGCATCCCGTGGGTCACGGCGCCGCCCTTGCCACGGTTTTTCACAAATTGCACCACGCGCAACACATGCGGCCTCAGTCCCAGCTCCGCAGCCAGCTCCACAGCGTACTGCGCCGTCCCGTCGTTCGAACCGTCATCCACAATGATGATCTCGTACTGACCAGGAAATCGAGCCTCCAGATGCTCGATGCACTCGGCAAGCATGGCACGGAGCCGGCCGTGCTCGTTGAAACAGGGCACCACGACAGAAACCTCGATATTCTCACTGGGAGGCGAGTTGCGTGGCGGAAGCTTGAATCGACCAGCGGTGCCGTTTGTTATGTATTCCAATTCGCTGTCGTAGGGCTTTCTCGGGCTGTGCCTGAGAAGAAACACCACGAGGTACACCTGAAGTTAGTATGGGCGGAGCAAGTACATACGCTTATGGCCAGACCTGCGGCAATGGTGGCTAGAACGGCCAGCGACATGGAAAATAAAATAACAAAAAATAGATGATCCACAGCCGTATTTTTTTTTTTTATTTCAGTCAGTCCTGTATACTAAGCTGTCTACTTATTATGCGCCCGTTGTCCAAAAACGCCTGGACCAAGTCGATGTAGTACAATGGGTCCTCGGCCACCTTGGCCATACTTCTGAGAAGCTCTCTTACGTCCAGCTCCAGCTCCACCTCATGCTTCACGGTCCCGTTCTCCTTCACCTTGGTCATGTCGATCTTGGTGAACGTGGCCGGATGCGTGTAACTCACACGCTCCTTGTCGCGACGCAGTTCAACCCGTTGCTGGAAGCTCTCAAACGCGGCGTCGTTCATCTCGTACGGCAATTCCAGCGACATCGACAACCGGATGTCGTAAAGCGAGTTTGGAAGATACATCACCAGGTCGGCTACCCTCTGCTTGTGCACACTGGTCATGCGTCTCTTGGTCTTGACATCCACAGACACACGGCCCGTCGACGGTTTCTCGTTGCGCTTTCTTTCGTGCGCAATCAGGTCCACGCAGTGCGAATTTTCCACCACAAACCGGTTGCCTCTGTTATGGTTTTTTTCCTGTGCAAGCTTGGCAATGAACGCTTTGAGATCGTGGAACTGCTGGGCCGGCACGCCAGAGCGGAAAAAACACTCGCTCTGGAAAAAGTCCACGTTCAAAATCGTCTCGCAGTTCACGGGCAATCGCAGACGCTTGTCCTTCACTTTGTCCCAGATATGGCCCATTTTCAGCTCCAGCTCAAGATACCTGTCCACCGGCTCCCGTGAAGCATACTCGTGGCGCACGCCCTCCACGTTCGCCCATATCCACTCGGTGACAACCTTGTTGAAATCGTTTCTCGGAATGGTCCCCGTAATCGACGCTACACTGAGCTTAGTGGCTGCAGTGGTGAGCACAGGCTTGCGGACGCTCTTTCGCACTGTGGGCACATAGTCCTTGGCCCAAACAGGCTTCTCGGCATACCGTCTTGGCTTTCTGGTCCCGCCAGTCGCCTTTGGCTCTTTGTTTTCCTTTAGCTCCTCCAGTGGTTGTGAGTGGTCCTGGAACGACGAATTGAGGCTTCTCGAGGACGAAGCGTCGGCGTCGCTCGACGTTGCGGACGACATTCTGCGCGACCGAGTCATTGTTTTCTTGCCGTTCATGTCGACGTCCAAGTCGTTAGTCAGGTTTGTGATGCTGGTTCTTTGGCGAATAGCGCCGTCGTCGGAGTTCATCAGATCGTGAATGGACATTCGCTGCTGCGAATTGGTGCGAGACATGTTCGGCGCCGACATCTCGTCGTTGGAAATTAGGTTTTTCAGGTCCATTGGTCACTAGTCGTCAAAATTGCACGATTATAATTTTTCTTTTTTGGAGCGGCCCCTACCGTTTGCGACGCGTCGATCGACCGCCCTAGATATCATGCAAATGCTTTTCAATACGACACCCAATCGCCAGGTGCACGTCGTGCACCTCGGCTACAACACCGAGCCCCGAGCTCTCGATCACCGTGCCCGTCTCGTCGAGAATGCTCACACCGTCACCGTGTGTCACCTCTTTGAAACACATTGCTATTTTCTGGAAATAATCGCTCGCAAAAACTTCTTTCATGGTCATTCGCGTAGCAGGCACCGGATCACACAGTCTCCAAAAAAGACGCGTCAACTGTCCGTGCGGCAATTCGTGTGCGAGCGGGCCTCTGTTTGGAACTTTGTTCGCGTCGTTGTGCACAAATGACGGGTTGAGATCCTTGTACCAGCGCGACTCGTGCTCGTAATCGGCGTAGTCCTTGTCAAGCCGTTGGGCCTCCTTGAACGGCACTCGGCCCTTCACAATCGAAAACAGCATCATCCCCAACGACCAGCAATCGGCCTTGAACGGGTCATAGTGGCCCTTCGCGTTGCGCAGCATCGTGACCTCCGGACTCTGGAACGGCGGCGTGCCCAGTATCTTATCGCACATCCGTACACCAGATTCGAACCTGCCCGGACGCACGTGGCCGTAGTCGCCACAGCCAAAGTCTGTGATCTTGAGCACACCGTGTTCGAGGAGGATGTTGCCCGGCTTGAGGTCTAGATGCACAATGTCGTGCAAATGCAAATGGTAGAGCCCGAACACGAGCTGTTTGAAGTAGCACAGTTTTTCGCCAAGACTTATGGCCTGCCAGTGCGGCTGGCGCAAAATATTGTACAGATCGTGCGGATAGTACTCCATAACCATCCCCCAATTTCGGGACAGTATCGGGGGCAATCGAACAAGTTCGTACACCGTGATTACGTGAACATGTGCTAAGCTTTTTGTGATGATGTACTCGTGAGCAACCCTGCGGTAGTACGATCCGGGGGCCTCGTCTTTGAACACATTAAACACTTTGAGAGCCGCTAATTTCTTGTCGGTCCTTCTCTGCAACTTGCGTATGGTCGACGAACCTCCTGACCCGAGGAAACTGCCTGATCCGACGATTTCGTACATCTGGTCTAGGTCTTCTATTTCGTTCTGGAAAGGTTGTGGAACGTGGTCTCTCGGCGAGTCTATTGGATACGGTAGCATGACGGGGCTGTCCGTAGTGCCATCCAGAGACGGGGAGGCGAGCTGCACCGAGTAGGAGTGGCGATTGTTGATCCCGTACGGATTGTAGACGGGGAACTTGGAGATTAGTTGAGACCCATTCGGTGGATGTTGACGGCTGGCCTGGAGCGAATCCAGCGCCGAAAACGAGCGGCTATGCTTGTGGCCCGCCTGTAGCGAGTGTTTGATTTTCGAGAACAGGTTCCTGTTCTGCTTTGTGTCCTGGACCGTCATTGATTGCAGAGTTAAAAAGATTCTGTCAGTGGTATGACGTATCGGAGTGGTGCCGCACAAGGCGCAACCACTTGGGGAGTGGAGGCCACGATTTGACATTATTAAGCACCGTGGCGCAGTGGAAGCGCGCAGGGCTCATAACCCTGATGTCGTTGGATCGAAACCAACCGGTGCTATTTTTTTTGACCTATAAGTAGACTGCGAGCGAGAGACCAGAGAGTGCGGTTGTACCCCCAGGAGTCCTTCCAAGCGATCCCCAACCGATTTAAGTCCATCTGTGCGAGGTTATAGAAGTTCACGATGCCGTTGTCAACAACTGCCACCAGCAAAGACGGCGACTCGTGCAAATGCTGTTTGATGGTCTCAATTTCTGGCATTTGATCCGTTGCAGACACAATGACCACCTGGAAATGCGGAACCGGCGGCATGCTTTTTTTGAAGCCCTTGAAAGGCTTCCAGATGTCATAAACTGGCTGCCAATTGGGCGTCGGGCTCGGTTGGAATTTTTTGGGAGCTATGAGCGAGTGTAGGTAGTTGAAAATCGAGCGGAAAGGGAGGAATTTGAGTCCAAAAAGCGATACCACAAAGTTCAAGAACACCGAGCCATAGCGGAATCGAGTGGAGTCATGGCACTCCGAAGTATGTTGCGTTGCACGCAGGACTATGTATCCGTTTCTCTTAAGCAGAGAGTATACAAGTAGCTGATCGTACTGTTCTGAATTGGTGATAAGAATGCCGTAGACTTCTTGTAATGACAAAATACCTTCAGAGTTCTCCTTCTTTGCCACGCAGGTTCCTCTTTCCACCAGATAAAGTGCCTCCTCGAAGTTCAAATGGCATCTTCCAGACCGGTCCATTCTCCCCATCGTCTCCAAATACTTGCCTCTTGGCTGATCAATATATGCTCCTGTTCCCAATCTAATGGTGGAGGAGATGAGCTTTTCTGGCTGGGAGAGGAATCCGCGCGGCTGGCACAACGCATGGTACATGATGCTCCGATGTTTCTCGAGGGCATCGACGTCGTACTGTGAAAGGGTGCTACCTTCGTAGACCGGCTCGAAGCTCTTGTGACCGCGCTTCGTGGCGAGCTCTGCTAACAAGGTCCAGTCGGGCACTTCTTCTTGGTCCAAATATGACATAGAATAATAGTTTTATAAATATTTTCGAGGCACCCTTGCACGCATTGAAGATAATTTTTCTCAAATTAGATCAAACCATGACGGTGACTTATTCGTCCGTATGTATTTCTATTCTGGAGGACATGCTGCTGGAGATTGCGAGCGAGATCATCAGCAGGTCGATTTTGGATGAGAAGGTGCTACGACAGGAGTATGGAATTGCCCAGCCGGGGCTGGTAGACGAAGGGGAGACCGCTGCAGGGCTGGTAAAGAAAGTGCGACAAAATATTGGCAACTCGGCCAGTGGGTCGAGCCAGTCATCAGCGGCGGCGACACCACAGTCTGGCGAAAACGGATCTATCCCAGATATCGGCAGACTAGGCTTTCTACAGAATGGCAAAGAGATATTTCCGAAAAGCGCCAACGGCTCAGATGCCTACTTCCAGTGTCTTAATTGCGAGAGAAAGATTGCCGGTGGGCGTTTTGCTGCCCACATCGACAAATGTCTGGGAGGAAGGGTGCGGAAGTAAAAAGGAAAGAACTTGCTACAATAGTGAAACAATTGGTTCAACGGTAATTATGGTATGGCTCAATACGGAAGGAAGCAGATGGAGCAGATTTGCTACAGACTGCCTTGTTTGGGCCATCAGAGGACTCGTCATTGCACAGACGACTGGCTAAACAGTGCTCAACAATAGTATCTTGCGCAAATTAGATGCATGAGGGCAATAAGATTCACCGGATACAATAGAACTTCAACTCGCATCTGGCTGGCCCGTGCAAAATCAGTGCATGAACCAGGTGGAAGCTGCGGGTTCTGGGGACCCATGAAAAATTTTAGGCTCGTTTTCGGCAATCAGGATGATTTGGGCTGCTCGCACAATAGAAAAAGGAAAGAGCGGATGACCACTCCGAGGAATCTAGACTGGCGACAGTCGGGAGCGGGACCAGACGATCAAACAGCGATAGAATTGCACACTTGTGAGAGATGGCTGAGCAGCCGCTCCAATTTGGGGGCATCTTGGCTGCAACTTTTGCCGGGACACGGTGCACGGGTGTGAGGCTGAGCACGCTGAAACGCGCTACAGTTTCATCGTGTTTGGAAGTTTCCAAATCCAGCCTCCTCCAAACTGAAAAAAAAAACCATTCTCATGCAGAAATCTCGATCCACGCACGACCCGTGCTTGGCCATCCCTTCTAAGAAACAAGTCTGAAGCTTGGACGAATGCTTTGTACTTGTTAAAATAAACTGCGCTTTCCCTGAGAATCGTCTAAAAAGTGTTTTCACTGTGAACTTTGTCTGGTATTCATTCCTTTAATATCTCCAGACCATGTTATTCAACAAAGCTACGCTCCTTACCGTGTTTTCAGCCATCTGGGCCACTGCCCATGCCGGATGCTCGTACGAGGACGGCAACTACTACTGTTCCCAGACAAACGCCATCGTCTACGAAGGTATCGGCTACTCTGGCTCTTACTCTGACGTCACCAACATCGACGAGTCCTCGTGCCAGTGTTCCTCCGAGACCAAGTCGTTCTCTGGTACCATGTCGCCTTTGGACGAGGAACTTTCTGTGCACTTCAGAGGTCCTTTGAAGTTGCTGCAATTCGGCGTCTACTACCCATCGTCTTCCTCTTCCAAGGTGAAGAGAGATGAAGAGGAAGAGGAATGCCAAACCACTGTCCATGCTCATCATCACCACAGAAGAGCTGTTGACTACGTTTCTGTCACCGCGACCGTGTACGTCGACCAGAACGGCAACACGATCAGCGGTACCACCAGTGCATCCACTGCAGAGATGAAGGTCATCACCAGCGAAAGCGCTGCCTCTTCGACCGCAGAAGCTGCTCCTACTTCTTACGGAAACGACGAGTCCTCCTCTAAGAGCACCTCCGAGAGTAGCTCCTCCAGCTCGTCATCCTCCTCTTCGGCCACGTCCACGTCCACCTCCTCATCATCTTCTTCTGGATCCGGATGGAGCAGATCTTCCTACTTTACTCCAGGCTCCAAAGACAATGTCACCTTCCTCAATCACCTGGGTGGTTCTGGATCCGGCACTTTCTCCTACTGCTTCGGTAACTCGATCTCCTACTGCGGTTCCGACGGTAAGTCTGCCTCTTCTTCCAGCGTCGCTCTCGATGAGGTCACCGTCGACTCGAACGTCGAGTTCCTAATCATGTCTGGCGTGGATTGTGACGACTCTTCTGCTGGAGACTGTGGCTACTACAGATCCGGCATCCCGGCCTACCACGGTTTTGCCGGTGCTACCAAGATGTTTGTGTTTGAGTTCCAAATGCCTACTGCCACCGACTCTGCCACCACCAACTACGACATGCCGGCTATCTGGCTGCTCAACGCCAAGATTCCAAGGACTCTTCAATACGGCAGCGCCGACTGCTCTTGCTGGTCGACTGGATGCGGAGAGCTAGATCTGTTTGAGATTCTTTCTTCTGGCTCCGACAAGCTGATCTCTCACCTCCATGATGGCCAGGGCGACAACGGCTCTTCCTCTGGCGGAGGAGGATCGCAGGACTACTTCCAGAGACCTACGGACTCCTCCATGAAGGCTGCTGCCATTTTCAACGACGGAGAGGTCCACATTGTTGTGCTTGACGACGACGTCGACTTCAGCGACTCTCTCGACACCGACACTGTGTCTGGATGGCTCAACAAGTCTGGATCTACTGCCAGTATTTGATAACCAATTATACAACAACGCTTGATTTTCGCAGCTACCGTAGATTTGAAGTAATTATTTTTATATTTTTTAATGGGCACATTATTTTAGGGATTACTTTTTAGGTTATCTTTTATTGGCCATGGCCAGTTTTCTGCAAGATTCGTCGCTGTTTCGGTCGAAACTGGCCACATTCAAGTTGGATAAGTCGGAAAAAGAGGTTGGTGATGTTTCGGAGACAACACTATGCAACGACTCAGGGATTGTAGAAGAGGGGGAAAAGAATGTTTTTGTTGACCATGCTCCCCAAAAGACAAGATTTGCTCCAGAAATGCCTCCTAAACCACACAAAAGAAGAAAGCACGGGGAAACTCAGGCCTCCATCGACTACCTACTGTCCACGATATCTCATCTGAACACCACAACAGAGAAAAATGACTCGGAGCTCAGACAGACAGAGGCCAAATTAGCGGAGGCAAACGGAAGGCTGGCGGTGTACAAGCGGCTGGCTACTTCGTTTAAGGAGAGGCTCAAGCTGCTGGAGTCAGACTTGAGTGTATCGCGAAGAGAGCTGCTCCAGGGAAAAAAGAAATGCACAGATTTGAGCAGAACTACGTTCGAAGTGCTGAAAGAATCCAGAGAGCTCAAGAGGACTGCCCAGGATACCAAGGAACAGCTACAGTTGCACATGAAAAGATTTGAATGGCTTAAGGCCAGACATATTGACACACATGGCATGGCGACAAAACAGGAGATAGAGATGACGTCTTTGCGAATGAGGCTTGACGATGCGCTCTCGAGACTGGAGGAAGAGCGCGTTCGAAATGCAGAACTTACAAAGATGATTGGAAATAAGGAAACTACGGTTGCTTCGACAGACAAGCTAGTAGAAGATGTTCACCAGATTTATACAATTGGGGCCAGATTCGAACAAGGTTTGGTAGCCGTGTCACGAAAAATGTCTGAGCAAATGCGTCGATTGGCAGAGAAATCTGAAAAGATCCCGGGAAAACTCGAGGATATTGAGAAGACACTGAATTCTGTCCACGAAGCGCAGCAGCTTTCTGGAGACCAGGCTCTGCTTGACTTCAAGCAGGCCAAGCGAGAGGTGGAGTATCAGTCACTGATGGAGGAGTACAACCGTTTGAACGCAGAGCACGCAGATTTTGAGAAGCGACACAACGACAAGTTACAGGAAATCGAGACATTGAAGCAGACCGTGGCGTCCCAGGCAGAAAAGCTGGTATCTTTGGGGTTGGAAAGTACCAACTTGGACGCAAGGGAGGAGTTCGAGAAACCAAAGGCGCCTCGCAAAAGAAAGCGCGGCAGGCCAAAGACGTCACATCTCCTCAACTAATTCCTCTTTAATTTCCTCTGGGTTAAATCTGTGCATGAACTTGACCGTTTTGTAGCCCTCGCGGTTAATGTGCAAAACAGGAATGTCATATCTATAACAGTCGAACCATTGCTCGTTTCCCTTGGCGGTGATGTCTATATCACTTAGTTGAATGCGTGAAGATATCGGAGCAACTTCCTTGCTATCTAGAGCCAACTTCAGAGCACTTTTGGCCTCATCGCAGAGTCCACAGTTGCTTTTCCCAAAAAACGTCAGATTTATCGTGCTTACCGATCTAGCGAGTCCCGGCCGATTGAATGCTACAATTTTGCGAAGAAACATAATTATTTTTTATTTCACCATCCAAAATAATCTCTACCCACGATCCTGAAGATTCTTATCTTGCCAGACTTGAAGTCTCCCAACTTGTATGCGCCAGATTGGACACCCTTAGCAGTTTGCTCAATCACCTTCATCTTGCCCTTGGACGGGTCGAAGCCGGCAAGTATTGCTGTGTATGGCTTACCACTGAATCCCAACTCGGCAGTTTTGCTTTTGTGGAACGGTCCCGAAGAATGACCCTCGAACCGTCCTTTCAGGACAACAAGCACGTCGCCGGGACGGATCTCGTCTAGCTGGTTGATCTCAACGTTGTTTGTGTTTCTGTAGATGGTGGCACCGAATGTCTTGGATCCGACAGCAGGCATCACGTCGCGCGGCAGCTGCTTGAACACCCATGAAACCAGATCTTCTTGGATTTTGGAACTGCCAACGGCCGACGATGAGAGCTGGAATGCCACCGCACCGTATTTCCTCGATGCCTCAAGGAGGTAAGTGGAGTTGGTTGCCGGTTTTTCTCGCACCGTCTCGACAAAGGTGGCCAGCTTGTCTGGGTTTGCAGCGTCGTACGACATCTCCCATATTTTTGTCGAGTAGTCCTGGTTGACAATGTAGTAGTCCAAGTAGACGACCGTTTTGCCGTTTCTCTTCCTTATTTCGTGGCTGTCAACCTCGTAGTATACATCTTTGCCAGACAGTTCTGACGGAAGACTCTTAGTCAGCCACCACTTGGACGACGAGCCGTAGTCGCTAATTTCCAGACTCGACCGGAGGCCGGAGTGCACGGTTGAACCAGTGTTGTCTGTTTGCACTGGTGCGGCGACTGGTGGTGGAGGTGGAGGTGGCGGTGCATGAGATGTGGCTGTCTTGCTTCCAGACACTCTGCGCTCCTTCTGGACGGATGACGTACTAAAACCATGAGTACCTGTCTGTGTTAGTGGCGATGTAGGAATTGGCGGTGGTAGACGTGCAGCAGGAACAGCAGGAGACGTTTTTGGAGGCAGAGGCGCCGTTGGAGCCTTGGTGACGGGAGGAGGAGGAGGAGGAGCAACGGCGTGGGGTGGTCTCACCGGCGAGTCCACCGGCTTTTCGGCCTGTGCAATGTCTGTATCGTCGTCGGCTTCGTAACCGGTCACAACCTCCTCACTGGAGTCCGACATTGGTGGTGGAACAGGCGGCACAGCTGGCACTGGCGGAACAGGGGGAGCTGTCGAGGTTGGAACTCTAGGAACCTGCGCAACGGCCGGTGCTGGCTGTGACGTTGGGACAGGCGCAGGCAATGGCGGAACAGGAGCCACAGGCCGCGGAACAGGAAGCGTTGGAGACGCCGACGAGGCCGACTTGTACTCGTGATCTGACTCCGAGTCCGAGTCCTGTGGCGGTGGTGGCGGTGCAGATTCCGCCGCGTAGAATGAGGCCGGCTGATCGGTGACTGTAGGCGAGGTGGGAATTGGCGGTGGAGACGACGGTGTTGGGTTGGCCGCAGATGGGCGCTGTTTCGGTTCCTCGAGCTCGGTTGGCACATCCTCCTCGTCGCCAACGTCTGGCTGTTTGGTAAGGTCGACAGACTCGTGGTCGTTGGACTCCTCGGACTCTTCGCCAGCGCTTTCTGGAGCAGCAGTCGCAGGGTCTTGTGGTTCCGGCTTAATAGGCAGGACAGGGACCGGGGCCAGATCAGGAGGAGCAGCCTCGTCGTCGGTCCTCTTGGATTCCTTAACTTTCTTCTCCTTCGTGGGCATAGGAGCACCGAATCCCATCATTCCAATCATGCCCATTCCGCCAGAAAGCTTGGCCATTCTCTCACGAAGCTGGCGTCGTTTCGCCTCCTCCTCGTCCTCCTCGTCCTCCTCGTCTTCTGTTGCCGTCTCATGCTCGGTCTCCTCTTTGTGCTCTTCCTGCTCGGTCTCATCGTTTTCCTCAGCCGGCTCCTCCTTGAGCATTTCTTTCTTCTTTTTCTCCTCTCTACGCTTCATCAACGCCTCCGCAGCAGCCTGTTCCTCTCGCTGTCTCTCTTCCAGCAGCCGAAGCCGTTCCTTCAATGTCAAGCGCGGAGCGTCTTCCTCTGCGCTTGTAGGCTCGTCAGCAGTAGACTGCGCTGGCAGCGGTGGAGGAGGCGCGGTACCCGAGCCCGACGAAACCCGCCGCTCGTCGCTCCTGGTCTCGCGTCTCTCAAGAGGAGAAATGTACGTGGAGTGGGGACTGGCAGCGACAAAGGGCTTTTTGGTGAAATTCGGATCGGCAATGGTCTGGCCCGGCATCGGAGGAGCAGAGCTCACGTTGAAGCTCTGCAGCTTGTGCTTGAAGTCAGACGTGCCGTGCTCAATGGTCGACTGCACTGGCTCCGTCGACTCTCTTCTCAGCGGAGATGGTTCAGGAATAGACTCGATTACGGATTCGGGCACAGGATCGGGCGCAGAATCCGACACTGGATCGGGAACGGGAGGTTGTGCGACGGGCGGCTCTCCCTTAGGTTCGGCTGGAGATTGTGTTTCATCAGGGGCATCTGGCGCAACCGCTGCTGTCTCTGGCAACTCTGGCTCGTCCTCGGCCTGCTTCTCCACAAAATTCCTGGGGAAGTACCCGGACACCAGCTCGCCACCTGTCTTGGTGGTCCCAAACAGCCAGTCAGCGTCGACCTCGTCGGTGACGGTTATAAGCTGGCCCGCACGGAACGCGAGGTCATCGGAGGCATTCTCGGCCGACGGGGTGTACGGGTATTTGGCAATCACAGTATACGGCACAGACATAATTGAGAAGCTTCTGCAAAAACAAATATTTTGAGAGCAGCCGGGGGAGGATGCATCTGACCTGCAGCACGTGACAGGTTTTTTTTTTTTTACTCTCTTCCCTCAAAAAAAAAATACGCGTGCTGTGTATTATTTTTGATCCAATGTCTGGCTCGCCACAGAGACGCACAAAGCGAATAAAGGCCGACTGCGACCGCGAGAACCGCTGTGTGCTGGACACACTCGGGTTCACCGAGCCGCTAGCGCGCGGCAAGCCCGCTCGTCTGTCCAAGCCTGCGTCTGAGGCCGTCCCTTTGCAGCGCAAGGATCCCAATGTACGCACCTTGTCGACTCAGGAGTCACAATTGAGTGTCACGACGCCGGATAAAAACGCATCACGTGCCAACAGCGAGCTGCACCACCCGAGCAGCGACGACAACATTTTCTGGGCTCTGACCCCGAGCATTAAGAAGAACAAGGATAACTCTGCCACCACGTCGGGCTGCGACAGCATCGACCAGCGCGACGTTCTATCGTCGCCGATTGACGAGTCGCTGAACGGCGTGCAGCTGCTGGACCCGAACCTGAAGAGTCTGCTGGACAAGTACGACAATTCTGCTGACGGACACCGGACTCCTAGTATCTCGCGGTCTGTGTCTGATCCGCACACGCTGGTGCACCGGAGCTTTACGGCGATCGGAGAAACGCCGATTATTGCGACGAAACAGACTTTGAGCGAGAGCATGCAGAAGAGCATTAACAAGCTGAAGGCATCTAAACGGCTGTTGAATAGCAGTGTTTTCGGAACACCTGAGGAAACGCCCACGCAGAGCGTTTCGCAGCTGCTGACCATGATTGGTAAGACGATTCGCGAAGAGGCGGGCGAGATCCTGGACGATATGGATGACTTGAGCGACGTCGACATGGCCGAGCTGGACCGGCTGACCACACTGCGGAGGATGCAGCGCGAAAAGAGCGTTTCCACAGAGCCGCCGGCAGAGCCCATGCTGTGCGCGTCGACTCCCGCAGAGACGTCAGAAAGCCTGTCGGACGAGTTCAGCGACAACGGCGACGAAATCTTTGCAGCACCCAGCACAGCATCGCTGCCGCAGTTCAAGGACATGAAACTCGAAAATGAGAACCCCGTCGTCTTTGAAACAGTGGAAAATACCGTACATTCGCAGATACAGAAGCGAAACTGCCACCGCTACCAAATATCGAAAATCGTCCGCTCCAAGTATAAAGGTGGGCTGCAGTTGGTTCTTCAGTGCGTCGGCGAGGACGACACAACAAAAAACATTGTTGTGCGCGATCTGTGGACCGAGCTGGAGTACCGGGAGGGCGACATCGTGCACGTGATTGTCGACAGCTCGAACGCGCAGCTCGTCGATAAGAGCAGCAACCTGCTGATCTGGGGCCCGGACATCCTGGTGTCGGCAACAATGGCAGCGACTGCGGTAGACTGCAAACGACGCGCGGTGCTCAGCAGCAAGATCCAGGGCATTGGCGAGCACGCAGTGCCATTGGTGCTGGGGAATATTGTCCACCAGCTGTTCCAGGCGTGCCTCAAGGAAAAGGACGTGTCCGACGCATTTTTTGACGATTATCTCGAAGAGCTGCTCGATGCCAACCAGATCGCGCTCTATAGCATTGGTGCGAGCCGGCATGAGCTGAAGGCTACCGTTCTGGAGCACGTCAGTTACATAAAGGAGTGGGTGGCGACCTACACGCGCGACCCGCAATTTTCGGGCCCTGCCCAGTTCCAAGCTTCCAAGGTCTTGGACATCGAAGAAAATATCTGGTCGCCAATGTACGGCTTGCGCGGGCTGATCGATGTGGTGATTGAGGCCTCGCTGCGCGACGGCAGCAAGGTAGTGGTGCCAATGGAAATTAAGACGGGCAGGGACTACATAGCCAACCGTGCACAGGCTACGCTGTACACACTGCTGGTGAAGCAGCGCTACGACGTGGAGGCGCGCTCGCTCGCGCTTGTGTACACCAAGATGCGCCAGAGCTACTACGAGGCGATCAACGCGAACGACCTGCGCATGCTGGTCAACATTCGCAACCACATCTCGCAGTATTTGAGCTACGGGGCCAGCGAGCTCCCGCCGATCAAAAAACAGCCGAGCTGCGAGCGCTGTTTTGTGCTGAACGAGTGCATGACATATAACAAGCTCGCGGAGCACGGAACGGCGGAAAAAAGTGGGCTCGACGATGGATTGTACGACAGTCTGACAGGACATTTGGACAAACCCCAATATGCAGAATTCTTCAACCACTGGAACGGCCTGCTGTCCAAAGAGGAGAGTTTTGTCAATAGCTTCAAAAAAGATCTGTGGTGCTACTCGGCAGGAGAACGAGAGCTCAAAGGCGGCAAGGCCGTTGGCGGATTGCATCTTACACAATGTCAGGAGGCGGAGTCCGCGAGCGGCCGTGCGACGCGGTTTCTGTACACTTTTGAGCGCGACGACACGATCCACCAGCCAATGAGCAACACGCAGCTGGCAAAGCACGATCGGATTATCGTTTCCGACGAAAGCGGCCAGTTTGGACTTGCGTTTGGGTTCGTCGAGACGCTGCGGTCCAATGTGGTTGTGGTCAGCACCGACCGTCGTTTTGAGAATTCGACCGTCAAGATGAACAATTTCGACGCAACACACAACCAGGTTTTTGAAAGCGTGCTCAGCGGGAGCAGTGCGGGCAGTGTGGACGCCAAAAAGAAGACGTATCGCATTGACAAGGACGAGATGTTTCACGGCCTGGCTCTTGCACGTTTCAACCTGCTGAACCTGTTTCTTCCCGACGGAGACGAAAACACACGACGGCTGGTGGTGGACCTTGAGCCGCCGCAGTTTGCGGAAAAACCGCTGCTTCACAGCCATTTCGACAATACCAGGTTTAACGCAGATCAGCTCAGAGCATTCGACCGCGTGCTGCGCGCACAGGATTACTGTCTGATCCTGGGCATGCCAGGAACGGGAAAGACCACCGTCACGGCCAGTTTGATCAAGTGTCTGGTGGAAAACGGCCAGACAGTGCTGATTGCGTCCTACACGCACTCTGCCGTCGACAACATCCTCGAAAAAGTGATCGATATCGTCGAAAACCCGAAAATCCTGAGAATTGGTGCACCAAAAAAAATCGCTGCAAAAGTGCGCAAGTACTCGCTGTATTCTACAGACACTATTTATCCAATGGAGTCCGCCGAGGACTTCCGCCACGCATTCTTGGACACCAACATCGTCGCCACCACGTGTCTCGGCATCCAGGACACCGCGTTCATCCACAGACAGCATTTCGACTACTGCATCATCGATGAGGCATCACAAGTGTCCATGCCAGTGTGTTTGGGCCCGCTGCGGTTCGCCGACAAATTTGTGCTCGTTGGCGACCACTACCAGTTGCCGCCTCTCGTGAGAAGCGCGGAGGCCCGGGCAGGCGGCATGGACAAGTCGCTGTTCCGGATTCTGAGCGAAAAGTATCCACAGAGCGTCGTCGAACTGACACACCAGTACCGCATGAGCGCTGACGTGATGATGCTGTCGAACTGTCTGATCTACGACGGCCGGCTGAAATGCGGCATGCCCCAAGTGGCCTACCAGACGCTCCAGGTCCCGTTCCCAGAAAGATTGCAAGAAAAGTGCATTGAGATTCCTAAGCCGTGCAGATGGATGGACCATGTGTTTGACCCGAAAAACCGCGTCCTGTTCCTCAACCACGACGCCGTCCCTGCACAGGAGGTGGCCAACGGCGAGAAAATCGAAAATCCTGTCGAGGCAGACTTGATTCTGCAGATCATCAAATGTTTGGTTTCGTGTGGAGTCTCTGCGTCGTCCATCGGGGTTATGTCTTTCTACCGTGCTCAGCTGCGGTATTTCTATCGTGGACTGAGAAACCACCCAGACATTGAGGTGCTCACGGCAGACCAGTTCCAGGGCAGAGACAAGGACTGCATTATCATTTCGCTGGTGCGGTCGAACGAAAAAAACGTCGCTGGAGAGCTGCTGCGCGAGTGGCGCCGTGTGAACGTGGCAATGACGCGCGCAAAGTCAAAGCTCATCATTTTGGGGAGCGAGAAGCTGATGAAGACAATCCCCCAATTCGAAGGGTTCATGAGTCTGGTTTCAAGCCACAACTGGGTATACCAGTTACCACGCGACGCTAGCAGCGTATATCGCGACCTCTTTCATGAGTTCGACCCCTCACAGACAGAGTCGGCACAGCCGTCTTCCGGCAAGACGGTGCGCATCGGCACGCAATCCAAGATGGTGCAGAAAACTATGGTGGTTAGAAATGTGGTCCAGGAGTTTGCGTCCTGAATCTGCGTTTCCAGTCCCAATATTCCTGGATTCTCTCTCCAGCATATCGACTATAGTCGAAATCGATTAGCGAAATGCCGCTCTGGATGCCAGACCATATTCCCCAGTAAAATCCAGGAAGTCCATAATGTAGCGATATTTCTGATATAAGATCATCAATAGCATTTTTATCATCATCTGCGTCGCGCATTCCCAAGTACGCAGCACACCATTCCCTCAATAAACGGTTGGAAGTCTCTGCCTTGGGGATTCTGTGTCGCTCGCAGTTGAATCCCTGCCATTCCATGAAATGATTCGAGATGTCAAAGGCCCGCGGAGCCTTCACCATGTACTCGTAGTCTATAAACGATATTGGGTTGTGTTGCATGTAATATTCCATTTCAGACGCCGAAAGGCCAGTTTCGAGTTTCTGGGACAAATCCTCGGAGATGATAACGTTCCCGCTCAACAGGTCGCAATGACTAGCCACTAAAGGCGACTTGGAGTTCAGTTGGCTGCGCAGCCACGCCAGTTCGGCCCTCAGAACGTCCACCAGCGACGCCTGTGGGTCCTGGACCTCCCGGATGTCGATGTTTTGCGTACAGCTGCTGGTGATTCCCTCGATCTCTGGAAGTAACTGGATCCAATTCGATATCACAGACCACAGATCAGAAGCGTTCGATTCCGGCTTCGATCCCCGGAACTCCCGGCGCAGCTTAGCCAAACACTCCTCGATCGCGTCCACCTGGACTTGCTGGTGCCATTGCCCCAGTTTCGCAGCAATCAATGGATACAGACGTTCATCGGCGAGCTCTGTGAATTCCAGCGAGCGTCCCTCTATAAAGCCGTAAACCAGCCCGTTCCCAAATCGGGCATGGATGGGCGGTGCCAGGTTCACCGAGTTGATCACCAGATGCGACACAAATTCTCTATCGCGGTCAATAATCATGCCCGTGCCGCGGCCATAAGTTCGAACCAGAACTTTTTCATGTGATTCTGTGTTTTGGTGGTACATGGTGCACTCTAGCAGCATGTTGGTTATGCCTCCTGTAAACTGTTTCACGCTGATTTGGGACTCGTCGTTCCAGTGCGGGAAGATAGTGCACAGCATTTTCTTGGTCTCCTCGTGGTTACCTGTGTTGGACGGCTCGATGTAAATGTTGGGGAGATACAACGCATGTGTAGCGTAGCGGTTTAAAAGAGCAGACATTTGGAGACTATGGGTACCCGGAACTCCTTCGCACAGTGACGACGATCCAGAGGCGCTCTGGGACTCCATATCGGAACCTGAGTTAGGCTGGGAGGCTGTGGCACTGGCTGCAAGCGAAGACATCGTCTTGCTGGCTAGAAAAGAGTGATATGGCAGACCACCCGCGCGAGAAACATCCTGGTACGGCAGAAAATGCAGGTCGCCGTCTGAAAGCAGACAGTAGGTGGAGTTTCTGGGTGATTCCATGGTTAAACAAGATATTTTTGGATCCGTTTTTTATCTGTTCGCGTAGCACCTCTGACAAGATAGTTACCCGGCCGGTGATAACTGGTACAGTATATTCTACGTTACACAGCAGAGCGGATCTCAGAGTTGGCGTCGTCCGGGTGGGACGTGAGCGGGTAAGCGTCGTCACCAAGTCTGGTGTAGCTGGGCTCGGACTGCGTCAACGCGTGCGGCAGGTGGCTTTCGGGACTGGTCACGGGAGGAAAGACTCTTCTATAGGACCACCAGGCCAGCAGCCAGCCGAGCACAGAGCCAAGCAGCACGTCCACAAAGTGATGGCGGTAGTCCTGTGTGCGGGACATCGCCACATAGAAAGCATACAATGTGGGCAACATGGCAACCACAGACCGCCATGCTCCGACTTCCATTCTGGTAGCCTGCAGCTGGCCCAGGAGCCAGAGCGACGTGTAGCCCAATGCGGAGAAGCTCATACTGGAGTGGCCCGACGGGGTAGTGCGGAAGCCGTCCAGGAGCTTCTTTTTGTGTCTGGTGGTGCAGATCTCTTTTGCGTAGTAGAGAGTGTCCTTGAGCGCTGTCGGATCTGGCTGGCATCTGTCGAGAAAATCAGGCCGACACCGGCCAATCCAGTTCTTCGACACGTCTGTCACAAAGACGCAGGTTCCAAGGGCAACAAAGTGTCCTAATATGCTCACATAGAGAACATAGAACTTGTGCTGTTTAGGAGTGAGCAACAGAACGAAGAAAATAATAATCAGCGGAGGAACAACAGTAACCACCCACAGCAGCATCTCAGCGCTCACACGCTCGACAGGCGCAAACGGATGGCTGATTGTTAGGTCGTTCACAGTGAACTGTCTCTGGTATGGCTCAATTCGCTCAAAAATCAGCCCGTCCAGAAGAATCACCAGCACCACGTATACAGCATCCGAGAACCTCCAATGAACCATCGTGGAATGAAACGGGAGCCGTCCCAGGCCCAGCGTTTCGCGATCAAGACTCCAGGTGTAAAGAGACATGTGGAGAAAAATAAATTAATCTTAATCAATTAATGTACACGTCTGCCATCGTAAATCGCGGGTTTGTTAACGCTACATAAAGTCATTTTTTCTCCTGCTCAAAGCTGTCAAACAGCTCCTTATTGTGCAACAGCAGGTCCAGTGTAAACAAATGGCCGCCGTTGAGCCGCAGCGTAATGGCGAGGTCGTTGATAAAGCGATCAAACTTGACGACAGCCAGCTGGTCCATATCTTGCAACACCTCTGTCTCGGGCACCGTGCGCGTGTTCCGGGACCCGAATTTCGGCTTGAACTTGCTCAGCTCGCGGAACAGCTCGCTAGCACTGCCAAATTCGCCAAAGGACTTGCCCAGCTTCTCTCTGTAGTGTCTGAGCTCGTCGTAGTGTTTCTCGATAAACTGCGAGTCATCCGGTAGTTGTTTGTATTCAGCGTGCTCAAAGAAGTTCTGTGCCTGGAGACTGTCAAAGTAGAGGGCCGCGTCGATGGCGGAGTTTCTTGTGGCGAGGTTTTTGTTTGGGAGCGTGTTGGAGTTTATGTTTTGGACGATCGAGTTGGCGATTGCGCGCGCGCTCTTGGCCGACGAGTCGACCTTAGCACATCTGGAGATGGCCTTACTGAAGTGCCTGACCAGCATCATCCGGATATAATTTTTTGTGTCAACTTGTTGGTGCAGATTGCGGCCGTGTTATCTGTCCCGAGGCACACCTCGCACCTTCGCAACCACGACGGACTCAGGTTCGACCGTGGTTGGGTGGGCAAGTTTCGGGTTCTTGTGGCTGGGCGGCAAGAAGGGCGACGGAGGTGAGGGTGCGATGGAAACGACGCGACGTTTTGACGAGCTGGCCTTGGGCTCGTTGTCGGGGCGTCGTTTCACGCGCGGTGTATGGATGGCAGCCTGGGGCGGCTGTGGAGTCATGTCGGACACCGTAGAGGCGGCCGAGTTCGAGCGGGAGCGCAGCACGGGTCGCTGGTTCCACAGTTCGTTTGCCTTGTTGATGATTTCGAATGCTTTCAGGTTGTCCTGGTTGAGCATGGAGGGTCTTGCCAACATGGTTGTGGTTATTTGGGAGGATGATATGTGTGGCTCGTCCTTGAGGGCAGCCATTATCAGCGACTCGTGCTGGATCTCTGTGTCGAGCGGCGATAACTCGTTTTCCAGGTCGATTACGACCCGTTTGAACGATTTCGCTTTGGGTACCATTCTTTTCTTTAAGGTGAGCTTTTTGAAGACCAGATTAGGCGAGGGCACGCCAGCCAGGTTCAGCTGGTCGTCCGGGTGCATCTTGGGGCTGTGAGAGTCCTGTGCCGGCGTGGCATTAGGGGAAGGGGGCACAGAATTCGACTCGAGACTGAGCAGTTCCGGCATGCTGGGCCGCTTGATGTTAGTGTTGAACGAGTTGCGACGGCTAGACACCTCTGACGACGAGGGGTAGACCCGCTTGGGGATCGCAAACGGCCCGTACTCGCCGTTATCTGCATCCTCGGTAGACGTTTCCCAGCCGGAGCCCGAGCCGGTGTCCGTCCCCAGCAGAGACTCCGAGACTGCCCTTGACACACGAAGTGACCTGCGTCGCTGCCGTCCGCTCCAGTGCGGGGCGAGCGAGTCGGACAAGGACATGGCAACAGATCTAGGTCAACAAAAATAAATATATTTTTTCCCGATCGACGCGAGAGACGTCGCGGATTTTTCTCTCATTGCTCCCCTCCGCAGTTGCTTTTAGAACTGAAATGTTGAGAGTGCCATTTGCCTTTCACCCAATGTCGAGATCATTCAGCTCCTCTGCTATTGCCAATTCGATCAGGGCTAAGGTCATGCTCTATTCGCAATACGGCCAGCCTGACCAAGTTCTCAGATGCGTGTCCCACGAACTGCCTTCCTCACCAAAGGGCAAGGAGGTTCTGTTGCAGACCATTGCTTGTCCAATCAACCCTTCAGACATTAACCAGATCCAGGGCGTCTATCCCTCGAGACCAGAGCTAAAGGTGCAATACGGCCAGTCTGAGCCTGTCGCTGTTGGAGGAAACGAGGGCCTGTTCAAGGTGCTGGCCGTGGGAGACCAGGTGTCAGGCCTCAAGGAGGGCGATTGGGTCATTCCAAGCAACGTTAACTTCGGCACCTGGAGATCGCACGTTCTGTCGGAGGAATCTGCCCTCATGAAGATGGAAAAGACCATCTCGGCAAACCAGGCCGCCACCATTGCCGTTAATCCGTCAAGCGCATATCAGATGCTGACGCTGTTCGAAGAGCTCAAACCGGGTGACTGGTTCATTCAAAACGGAGGCAACTCGCAGGTTGGCCGCTCTGCGATCCAGATCGGAAAGAAGCTCGGCCTCAACTCCATCTCCATCGTCAGAAACAGAGACAACCTCAAGGAGCTGGTCGATGAGCTCACCGGCTTGGGAGCAACCAAGGTCATAACCGAGGAGGAAAACGCTTCGAAAGAGTTTGGCAAGACCATTGCTGAATGGACCAACGGCAAGCCAATCAAATTGGCTCTCAACTGTGTTGGAGGCGATAACTGCACCAACATGGTGAGAAAACTGGGCCAGGACGGTACTCTCGTCACCTACGGAGGCATGTCCATGAAACCGGTCACGATTCCAACCACTATGTTCATCTTCAAGAACATCACTGCCAAAGGATTCTGGGTCTCTGCCAACATCAAACGCATCCCAGGCTCCAGAGAGAACACTATCAAGGCTGTGCAGAAAATGATGGAGGATGGCGACCTCGTGGACGTGAAAATGTACGAGAACCCAGTCTCTGCTGACGCGTCTGAAGACCAGGTGTATCAGGCCTTCCAGAAGGCCCTGGCCAACTCCAACAAGGGCAAACAGCTGGTTGTGTTCTCCTAGCCCCCTTCGTGATTACATAAGCAACTACCACTATGCACGTTTTTCTGGAATTTTTTTTATAATTGTAATCCTACGATTGGTATAAACAGACACAGCATGTCTCTCGCAAAACAGGCTCTTAGCGCATACCGAGGCTCGCTGCGTGCTACTTCGATCGCATTTAACAACGATGTGGCCATGCTCCAGGCTGCCCGCACGCAGATAAAGACAAAGATGGCTCTTGAAGTCGACCCAGACATGCCGGACAAGAGTGTTGAGGAACGGATCAAGCACTTGAACGACGTGTCGCTGTTTTTGAGACGAAACATTGTGCAGGGAAGAAAGGAGGGGGACGAGGAGAACAAGTATTTCCTAAATATCCACGAGGACACTGAGCTGGGAGACAATGATGATATTAAGAAGAAAAAAGGCAAGAACTCATTTGGCGGCGAGATGGCCAGTGGCGGGTGCTGTGGAGGCGGTGAGATCAAGATGAACGAGAGACGGGGGTGACGGTATGTATATAAACGGATTAGGAAACGATTTGCAACGTTAGATAGCGTAGCTCAATCTACAATGTAGCCTGGAGAAGATTCCGAGCCGAGGAATTGATTGCCTGGTAGGGATGTGAATTACGGCTGTGCAAGGGCAAAATAAATGTGGCTAAAGTGGAACAATAAAAATTTTCAGGATTACTAAGATAGATAGGGCGGAAACTAGTTTGTGGTTGTTTCGATAGGAGGAATAAAACGTTCTTTACACGCTTTCATTCCACTGATGCCGTCCATACTACTTCTTATCCATCCCACGGTCGTGACGGAGCCTGAACAGGTCGAACAGACCAAAAGACACCTGATAGCATCAAACCCCGATGCAGACCTGGTCCAGCATGTGGTAGACCGCGTGGCTCTTGGCCAGCAGACGCTGGAAGCCAACACCTACAAGCTGATTCATTATCTTGCGCCAGAGGAGGCCAAACGGAACAAGTTCACGTCAGGTTTAATTGCTCAGTTGTACGACTCGCTTATACCAGGGGGCCAGTTCACAGGTTTGATTCCGGTAGATTGTGCTCTGGAGGCCATAATGGCAGGCTTTGTGATTGCCGACGACGAGAAGAGCTGGCAGAAGCCCCAATCGACGAAGCCTGTGCCTGTTGCCGTGCCTCTCAAGTCGCGGGACCGGAATAAATCGCCTACGAGGAGATTGCCGCTGTTCAAGAAACTCGCGTCGCCTCCTACGCTCGCGGACTCGTCCGAGTTTGATGAGGATGACAGCGATGGCGTGGACCAAAGCAGACTGAGGGAGACGAAGCTGGTGTTCTTCGAGGACTCGGAGTCTGAGACTGAGGTTGGCGACTTATACATCGACGAGAACGAGCTGCTGAAAAGCGCAGATCTCGGTTTGAGCGAGAACTTGGTGGCCCCTGTGCAGTGCACCACGACGGGCAAGAAGAGACGGAAGGCCTGCAAAGACTGCACGTGTGGTCTCAGAGAGAAAGAGGAGGAGGAGGAGCGCAAGCAGCGGTCTGTGCAGGACAGCATTCTGAGCAAAATGGCGCGTTCGGCAACGGAAGAGGCCATCGAGATCGAAAAACGGCTGCAGGCCAAGCGCGACGAGGCCAGACGCCAGTTGGGCGAGAAAATCAAGTTTTCGGACACAGACATGACAGAGGTCGATTTCACGATCGAGGGCAAGACCGGCGGGTGCAACTCGTGCGCTTTAGGAGACGCGTTCAGATGCGACGGGTGCCCATTCCTGGGTCTCCCTGCGTTCAAGCCCGGCCAAGTGGTGACGCTCGACTCGTTTGGCGAGGACATTTAACTATTTATTACGATACATGTGACTGGTGTATAAAAGGTATTCAGGAGATTACTAGCATGGCGTAGAAAGGTCATTTAGGGGCTGGCTCGCATGGCGTCGAGAAATTCGACGATTTCCGCGTAGCAGAGCTTTTTCGTGTTTGCGATCTCTGTCGACCGCCGTTTTGGCACAGGGTCACGTGTGAGCTGCGGCACGGGCCACTTATTTTTGTAGCACAAATGGCCGAGTTTGGAGAAGTTCATGATGGCGTGATTGGGTGCGACAGACGCCTGGTGGTCGAGCAGCTTGTTGTAGAACACTCTGGCCGCGTCCGTCTCGCCAATTCTGTCCAGGTTGCACACGAAGCTGTAAAATACACGCGCATCCAAGCTGACGATATTTTTCAGCTTATTGGCCAGCTCGATGGCTCGAGAGACGTCGTGCGAGGCCAGGCGCGACAGAATAGCGTTGACGTTGGTGGAGTGGATTTTTGCCGCTTTGGAAAAGCCTCCCTTGTCGAGGAACGACTCCAGCAACCGCGCAGCAAATATCGGCCGATGGTGCACCCTGTCGATGTACGACAGAAACATGTCCAGCACGACGGTCGACGACGGAAGACTAGTGTCTAAAAAGTCCAGATAGTGTGCGAAAAGCACCTTGGTTTGCAGTTTCGACGGCCGCGTCGAAAATAGCAGCGAGCGATATACTGTGGCCAGCACGTCCAGAGGCGGCATTCTATCGCCGCACACTAGCTCTTCACGGATATTTGGCTTCAGCAAAAGCTCTGGTCGCTTGAAAACGGTGCCACACCGGTTTTCGTAGATCATGCTCAGCAGTCCGACCTGTTCCAGAACACGGTAGCTTTTCGGATACATCGTGAGCACGTAGCTCACAACGATCTGTGGAGTGGCTGCCGGAGTAGCACTCAAGCATTTGAGAAACGCTAGGTTGATGTCGTCAATCCTGTTTGGCGAAAGTTTGGTATCGGTAGCTTCAAAATAGCGGTTCATGATCTTGAGACCCTTTTCGAGGTCGCGCTCGACCACAAAATAGTGTCTTAAAATTAGGTCGATGCTTGCATGCACCGTCTCCAGGTTCAGCACCGGATGGCGCCCGTGCCGCAACAACAGGTCGTTCCACAGCCGATAGTATTGGGGCCATCGCTTACTTTCTGGTGTAAGGGTTGATTTGTACAGTCTAAGAAATAGCAGAGCTTCGTGTGTGTAGGTCTTTTCGTTGAGCCGTTTGATAGTGGTCACGCGCATATCATCGGAATACTGGCTCAAAAATGGGTTCTGTGGGTACTGGCGGGTTTTCAGCAGGAACGTCGCTCGCTCGGCAAGGGTCCCTGAACACAGACGGGTCAGCAACCGTTTGGCCCGGGAGCCGGCAGAAAAGACGTGTCCGGACACAAGGAGCCGCTCGAAAAACTCACGGTAAAGCCTGGGAGGCAAAAGCTCGAGTACCCGGTTTAAAGTATCGGTGCCAATGGATTCTCGCGGATGTTCTTTGAAGTAGTGGAGGAGCTGCTCGGAAGCGACGTTCTGGTCGAGCGCGCGGTTGATTTTGTACTCAAGGCAGAAATTCAGAGGTGCACATGGGCCCTCCACAAACGGCCCCGGGTCGAGGAAATAGTGTATTCGTCTCAGACCAGCCAGGACCCGCTGGCGATGGATGCCCGTCATGGTGAAAAATATGAAAAAAAGCTCAAAGAAGTCGATCGGCCGCCGTCGCGTCGCGGGACCGAAAAAAAAGAGGCCGATCGACTCCATCCCGGAGGGTCGACCCCGACTCGGATTCCTTGCAGAATCTACGTCCCCGGAAACCGAAGACAAAAAGCTGCAGCCAATCACAGCTCGGAATTTGTTAATGACACAGCTCTGGGGCATTTTCCCTCCGGACAATTACGTCAGCAACCCTTGCTAGAGCCGACTCTGTGGGTATAAAAAAGAAAATAGCTAAAAACATAAAGCACCTGGGATAAGACGGAAATTTGTCTTGTTCATACACCTTGCAACTTTTCCAAACTCAACATGCTTAGATTTGTTGCCAGAAACAGTCTGCGTTCCCGTGTGCGGTCGCTGATCCCGGCCAGAACGTTGGCTACTGGGTTTGACAGCTTTCTACAGACCAATAATGCCAATTACATCGACGAGATGTATGAGGCATGGAGCAAAGATCCCAAGAGCGTGCATGTCTCGTGGGACGCATACTTCCGCAACATGAACGGCAACAAGCCGGCTTCCACTGCCTTTGTTGCCCCTCCCACTCTGATTCCCCAGCCTGAGGGAGGCATTCCTAATCTTGTGCCCTCTGCGTCTGGAAATGTCAGCGAGGGCATTTTGGTGCACCTGAAAGCACAGCTGCTTGTGAGGGCGTACCAGGTGCGTGGCCACCAGAGAGCCCATATCGATCCGTTGGGAATTTCATTTGGGGACGACAAAAACACGCCGCCACCAAGAGAGTTGACTCTCGAGTACTACGGCTTCACCGAGGCCGACCTGGACAAGGACATCACTCTGGGTCCAGGAATTTTGCCATACTTCATCAAGCACGGCGTTACGTCTATGAAGCTCAGGGATGTGATCAAGACGTGCGAGAAGATATACTGCTCGTCGTACGGTGTTGAGTACGTCCACATTCCATCGAAGCAGAAGTGCGACTGGCTTCGTGAGAGAATAGAGATCCCTACCCCGTTCAAGTTCACTCCAGATCAAAAAAGACAGATTCTCGATAGACTGATGTGGTCGTGTGAATTTGAGAACTTCCTATCCACCAAGTTCCCTAACGACAAGAGATTTGGTCTTGAAGGTGCCGAGTCGGTTGTTCCGGGTCTGAAGGCCTTGATCGACACCGCCGTGGACCTGGGAGTGGAGGACGTTGTCATTGGTATGCCTCACAGAGGTAGACTGAACATGTTGGCCAACGTGGTTCGTAAGCCAGCAGAAGCCATTTTTTCCGAGTTCACGGGTTCGAAGGAGTTTGATGTAGGTTCCGGTGACGTGAAGTACCATTTGGGTATGAACTACGTCAGACCAACTACCTCGGGAAAAACTGTGAACTTGTCCATTGTCGCCAACCCGTCCCACTTGGAGGCCGAGGACCCAGTCGTTTTGGGTAGAACTAGAGCCATTCAGCACTACAAGAATGACGTCGGAGAGTTCAAGAAGGCGCTGGCTGTGCTATTGCACGGTGACGCTGCGTTTGCCGGCCAGGGTGTCGTCTACGAGACCATGGGCTTTACTGCTTTGCCTGCCTACGCAACGGGAGGAACAGTTCACGTGATTGTGAATAACCAAATTGGTTTCACCACAGATCCTAGATTTGCCAGATCGACCCCTTACCCGTCCGACATTGCCAAGTCCATTAACGCGCCAATTTTCCACGTGAACGCTGACGATGTCGAGTCTGTTGTTTACATGTTCAATCTGGCTGCAGAGTGGAGAGCTGCTTTCAACTCGGACGTCATTTTGGACGTTGTTGGATACAGAAAACACGGGCACAACGAGACCGATCAGCCTTCCTTCACCCAACCACTGATGTACGAGAGAATTGCACACAAGAAACAGGTGTTGGACATGTATATCGACAAGCTTTTGAAAGAGGGCACGTTTACCGAAGAGGACATCAACGAACACAAACAATGGGTGTGGAACACGTTGGAGGAATCTTTCGGCAAGTCGAAAGACTACAAGCCTGACTCAAGAGAGTGGTTGACTACACCTTGGGAAGGGTTCAAGTCGCCTAAGGAACTGGCTACAGAGGTTTTGCCTCATTTGCCTACCGCCATCTCTGAGGAGAAGGTTAAGCACATCGGAAAAGTTGTTTCAACCGTTCCAGAAAACTTCAACTTGCATAGAAACCTCAAAAGAATTCTGGGAAACAGACTCAAGTCCATTGAGAGCGGCCAAGGTATCGACTGGTCCACTGGTGAAGCGCTGGCCTTTGGTTCTCTGGCTATGGAAGGATACCACGTTCGTGTGTCGGGAGAGGATGTGGAAAGAGGTACTTTCTCTCAGCGACACGCTGTTTTGCACGACCAAAAGAACGAGGAGACCTACATTCCATTGAAACACCTCGACGAAAACCAAGGAGACTTTGTGATCAGCAACTCGTCTCTTTCTGAGTACGGTGTGATGGGATTCGAATACGGATACTCCTTGACTTCGCCAGACGCACTTGTTGTTTGGGAGGCCCAGTTCGGTGATTTTGCCAACACTGCACAGGTCATTATTGACCAGTTCATTGCTGCTGGTGAGTCCAAGTGGAAACAGAGATCCGGTGTTGTCCTTTCTCTGCCCCACGGTTACGATGGACAGGGACCGGAGCATTCTTCGGGAAGACTCGAGAGATACTTGCAGCTTTGTAATGAGGATCCTCGCTACTTCCCTACCCCAGAGAAGCTCGAGAGACAGCACCAAGACTGCAACATGCAGGTTGCGTACCCATCGACGCCAGCGTCGCTGTTCCACATTTTGAGGAGACAGATGCACCGTCAGTTCAGAAAACCATTGATTCTGTTTTTCTCCAAGAGTCTGCTGAGACACCCATTGGCTAGATCGAGTATTGAAGAGTTCACAGGTGATTCTCACTTCCAGTGGATAATTGAGGACGTGGAGCTTGGCAAGAGCATAAATGATAAGGCCGGTATCAAGAGAGTTGTTTTGTGCAGCGGCCAAGTTTACACTGCTCTCCACAAGAGAAGACAGAATTTGGGAGACAAGGAGACTGCCTTCATCAAGGTGGAACAGCTGCACCCATTCCCATTTGCTCAGCTCAGAGACGCTCTGCTGTCGTACCCTGCTCTTGAGGACCTGGTGTGGTGTCAAGAGGAGCCATTCAACATGGGAGCCTACTCTTATGTTACTCCTAGAATCGAGACCGTGTTAAGAGAGGCCGGTCTTGAGAAGTTGGGTCTGAGATACGCAGGAAGAGACCCTTCGGCATCTGTTGCAGCAGGATCCAAGGCCATGCACACTGCCGAGGAGGAGGCCCTGCTTGACCAGGTTTTTAACAATTAAGTATGTACTCGAAAATACCGTCGATTTCTATAGCACAATCAGTAACACTAAAATTATTACAAGCACAGCGACAAGCACGGCAATACAGCAGTTGCCGCCCCGCTCGTTTGTTTCGAGGAACCGGTTGATTCTTTTGATGCCGTGGTTCACCATCTTGAAGTTGAGTCTGTCAATATCCTGTTCTACGTCCTCCAGGAGTTCCTGGTGGTAGTCGAGCTCGTTTCCAATAGTTAAAGCCTGCTGGTGCAAATTTTGAATAGATTTCGTGAGATCTTTCGAGATTATGTCGTCCTGTTCCTGCAAAAGCTGCTGGGTATACTGTTGATCGATTTGAGGCGGGTCTTCGAACGGGTTGTCTGAGTAGTGGCCGGGCAGATTGACGGATTTGAGCACATCGCTAAGTTGGGACTTGAGGTCCTGCAATTTGGCCTCGCGCGAGTGCAGTTCTGCAGCGTCTATGTGGGCGAAAGTGTCGTTTCCGTTGCCTGTTTTGGCCCGGTTCTTGGACTGCTGTATCACCTCCAGGGCGTTTGTGAGGTCGCCGATGGTTTCTATGAGCTCTGTTTTGATGTTGTTAAAGTCCAGTGAGTTTGGTGATGTGGACCTGAGCCGCTCCAATTGGACAATTCCGTCGTTGTAGACGTCATAAAAGGGATCCATGATAAATAAATATTTTATTTGATTATTTTATTTTCTAAAATTATTATCTTTTTTGCTATCCAATGGCTCCCCACACATACCGTTTGGCAGGCGAGCAAAAGGGTGGACATTGCGCCATGCTGAGACTGAGCGACCAGCAGGCGGCAGAGCTGGCAAGCGCGCGCGACGGGCTCAAAGTCGTGATCCGCAAGGGGCAGATCACAGAAATTAAGGCGGGCGGCCGACGGCTCGAGCTCTCGAGTCTGCCCGAGTACGCGACAGAGGTTTACGGTGTGCGAAGAGACAACACGGCCGCGCATCTCGGGCGGGTCAGAAAACGGATGATTGTGCGCAGCTGGCTGGGCGAACAGGGCAGACTTGCCAGTCCGCACAAAAAGCGGCCGGACGTGGTAAATGATATTCGCCGGTTCCAGCAGACGTACAGGGAGTATTTCCGGTTGTACAAAGAGCTGGAGCAGGAGATGAACAGCGAGAAGCTGGAGCGTGTGGCTGTTTTGAACAATGAGCTGCTGAGCCTGAAAGAACGGCTCAGCAAGGTGTGAAAAGAGCTTGAATCGATTATATCAGCTATTTACCGTCTAGAGCAACTTCTTCTCGACGAACTGGTCGTAGAGAGCCTTACCGAGTCTGCCTGGAGAAGGCACAACCACGGCCTCGGCAGCAGTCAAAGCCTCGATCTTGGACTTGGCAGTACCCTTGCCGCCCGAGATCAGAGCACCGGCGTGGCCCATTCTTCTTCCTGGAGGAGCAGTAACACCGGCAATGAAGGAGACAACGGGCTTTGGAACGTCTCTGGCGAGGTTGTACTGTTTGAGGTACTCGGCAGCCTCTTCCTCGGCCTCTCCGCCGATTTCACCGATCAAAATGATACCTTCTGTTTCTGGGTCGTTCAGGAACAGTGTCAGGGCATCTATGAAGTTGGTACCTGGACATGGGTCACCTCCCATTCCGATGACCAGCGACTGGCCCAGACCGACCTTGGTGGTCTGGTTGACGGCCTCGTACGTGAGGGTTCCAGATCTCGAAACAATGCCGATTCTGCCCTTTTTGTGGATGTTTTGGGGCATGATTCCGATCTTGCACTGCTCTGGAGCAATGATTCCCGGACAGTTAGGTCCGACCAATCTGGTCTTGGACTGGGTTCTGAGCATCTGTGACACTCTCAGCATGTCTGCCTGCGGGATTCCCTCAGTGATGGCGACCACCAGCGGGATTTCAGCTTCAACAGCCTCCTCAATGGCACTGGCCGCGATCGGAGGAGGAACAAAGATACCGCTGGCGGTAGCTCCTGTCTCCTTGATGGCATCCGCAACACTGGCAAACACGGGCTTGCCCAGGTGGGTCTGGCCGGCCTTCTTTGGGTTGGTTCCACCAACAATTTGGGTACCATATGCCAAGGCTTGCTCAGCATGGAAGGTGGCCTGTTTTCCCGTGAAACCCTGGTAGATCACCTTGGTGTCCTTGTTGATCTTGAGGTTCTTGATCGTGTCCGAGTAGTTTCTGGCTGCTCTGGTGGTTGAGAAGGCTCTTCTTAACATTTTCGGTGAGAGAAATAAACAGTGAGGTGGTTTTTGGTGGAAAGCATTTTGTTTTGCGAGCACCGCCAGCCCGACCGGGTGAAAGCGCGGCGAGGTGTGAGGTGGAGACCAAAAAGAATGGAAAAAAATTGGGAAAAATTAGGATTTGCTAATCGCGTTTCTAGTAGTTAAACAGCGTCGTGTAGCTTAGCGCGCGGCCGCCAAAAATGTCCCAGTACTTCTCGCCAATCCACATTTCCTCCACGATCTTCAGCCGTGCAAACACAGACGCGCCTTTCCAGACCAGCATCGACGGATCTAAATTTTCGTCGTTCGCAATGATCTCGATCGTCGTCACTCCCCCGGACGCAACCGTATTGTTTATCTCCTGAACATGCTGCTCGCTCAATTCTTTCTCCTTGTCTTTCCATTGTTGCGCCTGCTTGGTGATTTCTGCCAATTTGTTGGACGCAAGAAGCGGCACACGATTCAAATGTAGTCTGTCCACCAGAATCGTGTCCAAACCCTCAATCTTGGACCCGCCTCCAACAATCAGGATGTTCTGGTAGAGCTTCTCGAGCCGCTGCTGGTCGCCGCTGGCTGCGTACGTGATCGACTCGATGATGGCCTTGTCCAATGGCGTCATGTTTACCCGGAAGTCATTCGTCTGCGTCACTTTTTCATCCGTTTCACCGTCGGCTGCTTCCGTTTCCTCTGCCGCGCTGCTGACCAGCTGGTCCATCAGGTCTTTGGTGTCCATTTCGGAGATGAGTTTCCGCTCGGTTTCGTTCTTGTGTGCCGCGCTTTTCGCAACTCTGCGTTCCATTAAGCCCCGGGTCAGCTTTTTATTGGGCGACCATTTGCCGAGGATCGTGCTCTCCTCGCGCGCGTCGCCGTCCTCCAGAAACAGCTCTGGATAAAACAGTCCCATCGGCGTCACCATCACGTCGTCAAAGGACTTGAACTCGTATTTTTCACTCAGCTGGCCCGGCCGCCTGTTCACAAACTTGAAAATCTGCACAGCCACGTTGGCGTCGTTGAAAGTAACAATATTCTCCTTGAGCTGCGTCGCAAGCGTCCAGTCGCAGAGCTCGTTCAGGTTGATGTTTCTGTACGGAAACTGCTGGCCAATCAGGCTTTTGATCAGCGCCCGCGTGATGTCGTTCGAGCCGTACGACAAGTCCACCACCGAGTCCTGGAAAATGTAGCCTTCCTCGATGCAGCACACCTTGGTCGACGTGGCGCCGATGTCCACGACGCACGCCGAGCTCACGCCCGACCCAAATGTCGCTGCAAGGCCTTCCTGGAACACGGCCACCTGGCCAAATCCGAGGTTGAACAAAAATCCAACCATTTTCTCACAGTACACCTTGTCGTACAGGTTGGGGATGACCAGCACGCAGTTGTACGTGTTGAGCGTCTTTCTGTTGAATATGTTGAACCGCTTGAGTGCATCGTTCAGAATCAGCTTGATGTCGCCGAGAAGATCCTGCTCGGACTTGTACGCAATGTCCCTGTCGTTGAACCTGCCGTTGAGGAACGGGCTTCTGACCTGCCAGTTTTCGAGGTCTTTGATTTTCAGCACGTCTGCGCCGGTCACGTAGTTTTCCCGCACCTTGTCGAAATAGTCCAGTTTGTGCACGTCGTCGAGCTCTGGGATTGTCTCGGGCTGCACCCGCTTGTTGTAATTGTAGCACTGCTCGTTGGAGTTGGGCAAAATGCGCCTTTTGTAGAACTTCATCCGCTCCTTAAAGTTCGCCGTGACCGTGCGCTTGGCATTGACAAACTGCTCGTCCACAATGCTCATCTCGCCGTTCTCGTCCTCGCACCGCAGCGGGTCCACGCTGGTTTTGGGAGCCGGCCGTCTGTGGGCCACCATGTTGGGGATCACCATCGGGTCGACGTCACTGGACAGACCAATACGAATATTGGCGGAGCCCGGGTGCAGAACTATGATTTTCGAGCCCATCTTGCCGTTGTCGTCGTCCTCGTCGTCCTCGTCGTTGTCGTCGAAGTCGAAGCCGTGGGTGCTGATCTTGTTGATCATGTTCTGCGACTCCTGCTTGCGCTCGAGCTCGGCCTGTTTTTTCGCGAGCCGCGCCTCCAGCAGCCGCTGCCGCATCTCGCGGATCATCATGATCTGGTCGTCCTTCTTGAGGTAGTCGGTGTAGTAGTTTTTCTGGTTTATGGCCTGGATGAGCGGGATGGAGCTGAACTTGAGCGCGTTCTCCTGGTCCACACGCTTGATGCCTAGCTCGTCGAGCCGGTTCTGCAGTTTCTCCATCGCCCGCAGACGGCCCTCCCGTCTTTTCTGCAGAACGTGTGCTGGCACCTTGGACGAGCCGCCATTCACGGTGGTGGCGGCAGCGTCTGGCGTCGCACGCTTGGACGAGGTCTCCGAAACGGGCGTCGGCGTGGACTCCGGCTCTAACTGGTCAAACGGTCTCTTGTCCATGGAAATAATCGAAATGGAAAAAAATAGTCGCGAATTATTTCTTCTATATACACCCCTCGCCGTCCGCAATTATCCCCATCACCAGCTTCTCGATGCTCTGCCACCGTTTGCCCAGCGACCACGTCAGACACAGGATCAAAAACGCAAACGATGTGACCATGAACATCGAGAACAGGATTGTGTAGACGTAGAACACCACCAGCGTGAGCACAATGAGCACGTTGTTGCTGAGCCCGGGGAACTCTGCCATGAGGATCTGGCCAAACTTCATCAGCAGCGAGCTGTTCTCGCGCGCAGGCTCTGTGCCCTGCACGTATTCAATGTAGTCGAACGTGTCCTGCACAACATCGATCGAGAAGGAGGACACACTGAGCAGGTTCTTGACGATGCGGATGAAGATGATGGGGAAGAGCGTGATTGTGACGGAGTCGAGCACTTTCATCCACAGCGGGCGGTCGTCCAGCCGGCGCGGCGTGCCGTTGGCAGCGCGCCGCTCGTGCTCCAGGATGATGTCGCGCGCAAGTTGGATGTTTCTGGGGCGCACCCGGATCCCGGCAGCGGTGCCGTTGCCGTTGCGCATGAGCTCGTTGGCCAGATCGACCATCTCGTCGATGTCTACCTGGGGGATCTCCTCGTCGTGCGACTCCTCCGCGTAGTCCTCGGGAAGCTCGCCGAAATAGCTGCGCAGCCGTCTAGCACTGCGAAGAAGAGGCATAATTGGTGATAAAGAAAAAAAGGCGTTACCCGGAAACTTGGTGTGGAGAAGACCCATCCAAAATATATTTCTTTCTCCCCATGAGTGCTGGAGGTCCTGTTCCTGTGTGGAAGAAATACACTACTGGGTCCAAGGGCATTTGGGAATTGATCCGCTCGGTGCTGGTTCTGGTGCCTAACCGGTCGTCGGGAAACCCTTACGTTCCGTACTACCGTGTCCCGTCGCCGTCCTCAAACAAGCAGGTCTACAAGGACCCGCGCACCATTCCGGCCGCAGACATCGTCCAGAACGACTACTTCAAGAGAGACAAGCGCAGAGCGTATCCGCGGGCGTCTGTGTTCACACAGCCGCAGATCGGCGCGCTGTTGCAGATCGGCAACGCTAAACGGAGCCGGCTGCCAAAGGGCGAGGAGGGCGTGAAGCAGCTGGCCCTTGTGTCCAGCGGCCAGGTGGACCTACCGCAAGTGCTGCGGACCGCCGACAGCGCGGTTCTGAACGGCGAGCTGCTGGGTCCGCGCGGAGAGCCCGTTGTAGCTCCGAATCTGAACAAGAAGCTCAGCATGAGGATTCTGGAGGAGCCCGAGCACGGCATGTACACGGACGAGTACCCTGTGCGGATGTTCAAGCTGTAGACGGCATATTTATTTATCGTATTTATTGGTCTTATCTTATCACCGGAACCAGTCCGGTGATTTATTTGGAAATGCAAAAAAAATTAAAAAATTATATAAAACCTCCAGCTCTTGTGTCCTCCTGCATGGATAAAAGGTACATCTCGTACAACAACGTGCACCAGCTGTGTCAGCGTGCGGCGGAGACGTTGAAGCCGCTGGACGTAGACTTGATGATTGCAATCGGCGGCGGCGGGTTTATCCCAGCACGGATCCTGCGCACGTTTCTCAAGCAGCAGAACCGGCCAAATCTGCGGATATTTGCCATTGTGTTGTCGCTGTACGAGGACCTGAACACGGTGTCAACGCAGGAGGAGCAGGCGGGCGCCGAGGTCAAGCGGATCCAGTGGATCAATTACAAGGAGAGCGGCGTGGACCTGTGCAACAAGAAGATTCTGATTGTCGACGAGGTCGACGACACACGCACCACACTACACTATGCGCTGCGGGAGCTGCAGAAGGATGCCGCACGACAGGCTCGCGAGAAAGGTCTGGCCGACCCCAACACGCAGTTTTTCGTGTTTGTGTTGCACAACAAGGACAAGCCCAAGAGAGCACAGCTGCCGGCCGAGCTGATGCGCGGTAACTATGTGGTGGGGGAGGAGTTCCCGGACTGCTGGATCGCGTACCCGTGGGAGAGCACCGACATTGTGCACCACCAGCACATGGCTGTGCAGCAGGGCTACGATATATAGCTGAATATAGCTGAACAGATTACAGTTTGTAGAATCGGCACGAGAAGGTGCAGCGCATGGCTCTTCGGATGGGCACGCGCGCGTTCCAGAGCTGTTCGTCGGTCTGTCCCGGCGTGATTTCCTGTCTGGCTATGAGCCAACCGCGCAGGATGACGAGCATGACGCCCGCGGCGAAGTAGCACACGCCGACGAAAATGGCGGCGTTCTGGTACTGTTCTGGCCGCTGCGGGCCGTCCTTTTTCAGCGCTATGCCCAGTATCGGGCTCAGAAACCCAAACACCCCGGTAGCCACCCAGGACAGCGACAGGGCAATGCCCATCTTGCGCAGCCCGATGATGTGGGCCGCCATCGACGGCTGCGTGATCCAGATGGTGCCCATGAGAGAGCCCTCGAAGAGCGCGAAAATCAGCGCTGTCGGGAAATTGCGGCACGGAATCCACATGGCCAGAGCAAAGAGCGCCACGACCCAACTGGCAAAGATAGTCATATTGACCGGGCCGAGGAAGTCGCACAGCTGGCCCATTGTTGGCCGGCCGTAGATGATGCCGACAGACGTCATGGTGGCCACCACGGACGCCTTGTTGGCGTTGTAGCCGAGCGACCGCGTAAAGTCGGCCAGATTGTACATGAGCGTCACGTAGCCGAACAGCGTGAACATGATCCACGCGAGAAGACACCAGACGCCGAAGTTCGACCACACAACCTTGTCGTACACTCTGTAGATGGGCTTGATATGCTTGTTGCGCGACTGGATCAGCGTGACGGCGATGAGGTTGAGAAACGCACAGATTATGGCCTGTGTGCGCATCGACCACTGGTAGCCGTATCTGGTGAGCAGGGGCTCCATTCCGATGTTGTACAAGATGCCACCGAGCCCGGAGCCCGCCGCAGAGAAGCCCAGCGCGAGATTCCGCTTGCCTCCCTTGCCACTGGAAAACCACTGCGGGATCACCACGATGCTGGGAATGGCAATCAGCGCGAGCGCCACGCCCTGCCAGACGCCCTGGGTGAGCACCAGCTGCCAGTACTTGGTGCAGAAAGACGCCAGCAGCATCGACGCGAGCTGGAACGCAATTCCTATCGAGATCGTGGGCTTGAGCCCCAGCGTGCCCACGAGATAGTTAATCAGCGGTCCGAAAGTGAGTCCGGCGCCAAACGTGAGCCCGCCCACCACGCCGTACTGGTACTTGGTTGTGCCGGGGAACACGTCCGAGTTGAGGTACTCCTGGTAGTAGAGCGAATAGGCGGAGTTGGCACCCCAGGTATTAAACGAGAACAGCATGCAGCCGACCACGGACGCGAGCCCGCGGCCCCTGAACGTGTTTGGTATGTCGCTGGACATCTGGGGACCCTGGACGGCCGTCACGGGCCCCTCTAGCGGGCTTTTTGTGTCGGACTGATCATCTGTGTCGGGCATCGGAATTCTTGGCAGGAAAATTAAAAAAAAAAAAAAAAAACTCTTGGCCGTGTCTAACAAAGGCCCAGTATGCAGGAGAAATAGTTTGGTATTTTTTAATTGCTATGTCCTTCGACAATAATTTGGAAGGCTACAACATCGTCAAAACGTTCTGGCAAACGTACTGGAACCCCAGCATCGGCAACTTCTCGACCCGCGTGCCATGCAAAGAGTCGCGCGAGGGCCGGTTCACGTGCTGGACCATGGGCGTCGTGCTCCACGCCGTGGCGGAGTGCTGCGCTGCGTACAAGGATCTGACGCTGCCGATCGTCGCGCCCACGGTGTCTGCGTTGACGTGCTTCCGCAACCCCAAGTACGGCGCGTACTCGGTGATGTACCACGGTGCACAAAACTCGGGAGACGACGATATCAACTACGACGACTGCGCCCACCTGCTGCGTGGCATGATTGCTCTGTACGAGGCCACGGGCAACCAGGAGTATCTGGACCTATCACGCGAGCTGGTGCGGTTTCTGATGACCGGCGTGGTCGAGCACCAGAAGTTTCACGTGCCGGGGCTGAAGTGGCACATCTCGCGCAAGTACATGGCCACCATCTCGAACTGCGTGGCTGCGACGGGCGCCATGCGCATGATCAAATACTCATCGCCAGAGGAGCAGAAACAGCTGTACGACTTTGCGAAGCTGTGCATCAACTTCATTGAGCAGATCCTCTGGGACAAGTCGGACAATGTCGTGATGGACGGCGTGGCGTACGACTCGGACGTGATCGACAAAACAAAGTGGTCTTACAACACGGGCAACACGCTCTCGGCGATCTGCATGCTGTACCAGTACGATAGAGACCCGCAATGGGTGGACAAGGCCCGCAAACTCGCGGAGGCCGCCACCGACCGTGGCCGCACGCTGTTCGACAGAGACTACGACGACTGGAACAAACGGTTCTGGCACGGGCCTTCCTACTTCATCCAGCTGCTTGTCGAGGGCCTTGTCGACTACCTGGTGACCTTTGGGAAGGACGCCCCGGAAAGCACGCGCCGCTGCTGCGAGAACGAGATTCTGCGCCATGTGTCGTACTTCAGAAAATACATGTACGACCCGAGCGACGGGCTGTATTTCTGCTCGTTCGACATCTACCGGCTGGACGACCGCACGTACGAGCGGTATCGCTCGGAATTTGGCGGACACAAGACGTTCCAGCCCAATGAGGACGACCGCGTGCAGACTGGCGGAGACGTCAGAAAACGGCCTGTGTGCAAGAGCCTCATGGCCTCCGCCGCTGCCGCGCGCATCTTCTTCCAGGCGGCTCGTATTTTCCCGAAAATGGACCCCGTGCCTGTATAGCAATGGAGCAACACCACGTCGGCGTTGCTGCTGTCTCCGTCTTCCTGTGTACGGGTGTGCGGAGTCAGCCAGTTCCCCCGTGCATGAAAAAAAGTCGGGGTACATAATTATTTTTTCTACTATTTGGTTATGTTCCCCAAAGATCCTCTTCTCCCGCCAGAGCCCCGGCGCCGCGTCAAGACGGGCTGTCTGACGTGCCGCCGCAAACATAAAAAATGCGACGAGGCGAAGCCTGTGTGCGGCTTCTGCACGCGCCGCCGCTTTGAGTGCGTATGGCCGTCGCGCGCAAGCACCTTCCATCTGATGGTCCCTGGCGACGAGCGGCCGACAAAGGTGCCTGCCACTCCAGACCTCCAGCCGATCGAGGCCGCCAAGCCGGTAGCCAAGCCGGCGGCCAGCAGCAGCTTCTGCGACCTCAAGTCGCTGTTGAACGAGGTGAAGCCGGTCGCGGTGCCCATCACGCCCTCATCGGACGAGAGCGTGCGGGATCGGCCCTGGGCGTTTGAACGCAACGACGTGTCGGGCGTGAGCCCTGACTACGCGAACCTGCGCGAGACCTTGCGCGACTACATGTTTCTCAACGCCATGACCACGAGCCCGTCCACGCCGGCCATTTTGTCGGGCAACATCTTTGAAAACGACCTGTCTCTCGACGACCAGCTGCTCAACCTCACAAAGGGAATCAACGCGTTTCACGATGGGCTGGAGTTCGGCCATGGCCCCGCTGACCACGATATCCTTTCGCCGGAGGAGAACCTGCTGCTGCTGACGCGCTACGTCAACGACATCGGTCCCTGGCTCGACATGTTCGACCACAGGAGCTGTTTCACCGCGCTGCTCTCGAAAACGGCCAAGGACGACCCGCTTATGTGTGCGATTCTGACTATTTCCAGCCGTCAGCGCGACAAGCTCCAGCACGACAGGCCGGTCTCGGAAACCACGTACCGGCTGTACGAGCGGTCGCTCACATACCTAATTCCGAAAGTGAAAAAAGTGCCCGACACCAGCGTGATGGCCTCGTGCGTGATACTGTGCTGCTTCGAGATGATGTCGTCGGATCCGAGCGAAACGTGGACGAAGCATCTAAAAGGCTGCGCCGCGCTGTTCAGAGTGGCAGACTTGCACGGATTTTCCGGGGGGCTGCGGCAGGCGGTGTTCTGGTGTTTTATTCGCATGGACGTGATGCATGCCATCTCGCACAAGACCGCGACGCTGATCCCGTGCGAGAACTGGCTGCCGCGCAACTGCACGGTGCAGCACGCGCGCGCGCTGTTTCTGGACTCCAAGTTCGACGGCAACGAGTCGCGCGACATGTACGCCAACTACATGGTCTTCTTGCTTGCCCGCGTTTGTCGGCTCGTTTACTCGGGCAACCTCAAGCAGGACGAGTTCGAGTCCGAGTGGATCGAGCTGTACACGGAGCTCGATCGCTGGTGGCAGGACCGCCCTTCTGAGATGCATCCTGTCGTGAGCGTGTTTAAGGACGGCACGCCGTTCCCGAGCATCCTGTTCTGCGTGGCCCCGGCCATCTCGGGCACGCAGATGTTCCACACCGCCATGATTTTGCTTATGAAGTACAAAACGCGCATTGTGCGTCCGCTGCCCACGCTCGCCGTGGACCCCGTCATGCGCAAGAGCCTCATCTGGCACGCCAAGTGCGTTGTCGGCATCAGTCTGTCCAACTCGGACCACGGCTGTCTCAACAACGCGCTGCAACCACTCTGGGTGGCGGGCAAGCTCATGAGCAGCAAGGAGGAGCAGCACATCATCGTCCAGCTGCTGCGCGACATTGAAAATACCACTGGCTGGTCTACCAGCTGGCGCATCCGCGACCTACAAGAACATTGGAGTAACTAGCACCAATTACTTTCAGCTATTTAGTTCAAATCCTCAAAATACCATAATTTTTCTGGTGTTGCCGAACGGAAGTACTTCTCCACCCGGTCTGCCACGCGGTGTGGCGAGAACCCAAAGTACTCGTACGCAGCATGGCCGGGCAGTGACTTGCCAAACGTGCGCATGCTGTAGCCCGCCGTCGCATACCGCTCCCAGCCGTTCACAGCGTAGCTTTCCACTGCCACGGACGGAATCTTGCCGCGCAGCAGCACGCTCTGCTTGTATTCAGTGCTCTGCTGCTCAAACAGTTGTGTGCACGGGAAGCTGACGACTCTGGTCCGAATACCGCGTCTGGCCAACTCCTCGGCCGCTTTCAGTGCCAATTGCAGGTCGGAGCCCGTTGCCAGTAGCTGCAGCTGTGGCTCGGCCTCCGGCTTCACCACGTAGGCCCCCAGGGCAACCTTGTCACGTGCAGTAACGCCCAGCTGCGGCAGAGCCTGACGTGACAGTGAGATGAGGCTCGGTCCGTGTTTGAAGTCCATGGCGGCTTCCCAAGCACCGGCCGTCTCTTCAGAATCTGCCGGCCGCAAAAATAACGAGTTAGGCAGCGCACGGTAAAAGGCCGGCAGCGCGATTGGCTGGTGAGTTGGTCCGTCCTCGCCCGTACCGATCGAGTCGTGTGTGGCGACATGGATTGTCTGTAGCTCCTGTAGAGCGCCCATCCGCACGGCGGGAGCAGCATACAGGTAGAACATCAGGAACGTGGACGTGACGGGAACAAACGTGCCTCTGTTGTAGGCGGCAATTCCGTTGGCAATTGCTGCCATCGCGTGCTCACGGATACCGTAGTGGATGTAGCGGCCCGAATAGTCGCCGCCCAAACCGCACTTGGTCTGCAGCTGGGGTTTTTGGAAGTCGCGCGCGCCAGGCCAACTCACGTGCACAGACGGCGTCAAATCGGCCGTGCCGGCAATAATGGAGTCGATGGCTTTGGCGAGCGGCGCAAAAACGAGACCGCTGCTCTTCCTGGTTGGTGTTGGGCCGGAAGGAAATTCTGTTGGAATGTGTTTTTTCCAGTCGGCAGGCAGCTTGCCCGCCACGCGGCGCGCAAACTCAGCTGCCAGCTCAGGATACTGTTCTGTGTACTTGGCCACCTTCTCCTCCCACAGCCGCTCGCTGTGCTGGCCGCGCGGAACGCAGTCGCTGAAGAACTCGTACACCTCTTGCGGCACATGGAAGCGCAGGTCTGGGTCCAGGCCGTTCTTTAGCTTGAGCTGTCTCACATTGTCGTCTCCGAGCGCTGCGCCGTGGGCTGATGCCTCGCCCTGGTTGAGCGCTCCGTAGCCGATAACGGTGTGGACGTTGATCAACACAGGCCGATCGGTGATCTGCTTGGCACGGTCAATGGCCCCCACAATGGCCTCGACGTCCTCAGAGCCGTTGGCCACGTCGAGCACTGCCCACTGGCACGCCCGAAATTTGGCCGCCACGTCCTCCGTGTTGGCCACGTCGGCGCTGCCGTCGCACGTGACCTGATTATTGTCGTAGAGCACGATCAAGTTGCCGAGACCAAGATGGCCTGCGAGCGAAATGGCCTCCAGCCCAACGCCTTCCTGCAGGCACGCATCACCGACAATACAGAAGATGGAGTTATCCACCACGTCGTAGCCCGGCCTGTTGTACAAAGCGGCGAGATTCTTCGACGCAATGGAGAGCCCGACAGCGTTGGCAATGCCCTGGCCAAGCGGGCCAGTTGTGACCTCAACTCCAGGGTGCTCAATCTCAGGATGGCCCGGACAGTATGAGTCTGGGCGGTCCGAGTGGTACGTTTTCAGCTGCTCCATGGTCATGTGCTTGTAGCCCGACAGGTGCAGGAACACGTATTGGAACAAGCATGTGTGGCCGTTGGAGAGCACGAAACGGTCTCTATTGAAGAAATCTGGGTTGCTTGGAGAGTAGTTCATGGCGTATTTCCACAAGGCCACTCCCATAGCGGCCATGCCCATGGCGCCGCCGGGATGGCCGCCCCCGTAGTGCTGGACGAGGTCTGCAATGAGGCAGCGGAAACTGCTAAGCACGAGCTGGTGTGTCTGAGAGTTGTCAGTCGTCATTGGCATTCCAGCAGGCCAGATCGGTGCTATTTATCCGGGGTCCTTGTTGCGCTCAAAATTTCCCAATCGGGAATGCTACGCGAGCTTGAAAAATTGCGGCAGATATTGCCAAGCTTAAACTTACACACCGGACTCCACCATCTGGACCTCCGCTTTCTCCGTGGTCTTGTCGGCAACAAGCCCAAAGTCGTCCTCGAGCGCATCGTTCCAGAACAAGTGGACCTTCTCCCCCACAAACATGCGGTCGATTTTCTCGAGCGGGAGGTTTTTCGTTTCTGGGTAGAAGAAATAAATCATCGGCACAAAGCAGAAATTGAACACGCAGAAGTAGATGTACGTCTTGTACCCGATGTTGGAGACGCTCGACGGCGTAATCTCAACAACCAAAAACGTGAAAATCCAGTTGCTGGCAGAGCCCAGCGCCGCAGCTTTCGTACGGATCGCCAAAGGCGCGTACTCTGCTGGGAGCAGCCAAGGAATAGCAAGCAGACCAACGGCGAAGAAAAAGTTGAACATAAACAGCATAACCGTGGCCACTATTCCGGACGCCGTGTTGCCGTTCGAGACCGTGCCCGCCAGAATGGCCATGCACGAACCCTGTCCGATCACAGCAAAAAGCATCAGCTTGCGGCGGCCAAATCTATCGAGCAACCAAATTGGGAGCAGCGACGAGAAAAAGTACGCAATTCCGTTGAACCCAGACATCAGCAGCGCCAGGTTGTGGTCCATGCCCACGGACTCCTCGAAAATGCTCGTGGAGTAGTACGTAATCAGGTTGATTCCCGACAACTGCTGCATGAACTGGGAAAACATGCCCAAAAAGGTACGCCAGAAAAAGCGCTGTGGTCCGTTCGTGAAGACGGCCGTAAAGCCGACACGCGCAGACTCGCGTTCCTCGGTAAGTGCCTCGTTGATCAGCTCAATCTCGTGCAAAACGCTCGGGTCGTCCTCGGTTATCTGCTCAGCGTTAACCATTGTTAGATGGATCACCTGCTTGGCCTCTGCGTGGCGATCGTGGGCAATCAGCCACCGTGGCGACTCGGGCAAGCACATCACTCCGGCGAGCGTGAAGAGAGCAAACACAATCTGCAGCGAGATCGGGAACCGGAACTGGGCCTCGCTGTCGACATAACTCATGCCGTAGTCGACCCAGTATGACGTCATAACTCCGAAAATGTTGATCGCCAGCTCGATCGACAGCTCACGGCCTCTGTTGTGGGCTTTACAGATTTCCGAGTGCCACACAGGAATCGTGGCCGTGTTCATGCCGTTTCCCAGCCCGGCAACTATACGTCCCACAATCAGCTGTGCAACGCCGTACGCAGAGGTTTGGATTGCAGCTCCCACAGAAAGCGTCAAGCACCCGATTATGATGCTCCAGCGTCTTCCGAGCCGTTCTCCAAACACGAAGCTGAACAGTGCGCCAAAGAAACAGCCAATCTCGTAGATAGCCACCACGGTTCCCTGTAGCGATGAGCTGCCGTGGCCTGTGGCCGTCGTGTCAATCGCCGGGAATTGGTGCGTGAACGCGGCACCGGTCAGCAGGCCGGACATCACGCCCTGATCAAATCCAAACAGCAGAAATCCTGCACCAGAGGCAATGGTGACCCCCCATTGCAAGTTACGGCCTTTCAATCCCAAATACATTCTTGGAAGCAACAGGGCTCTCACCCATCATTTATACCCTGGCTGCGTGTAATGCGGGGTGCATGCGTTAGATTTGCGCGTATTGTCGGATGCGGAAAAATTAAGCGCCCCCACAATGCGGCCCCCGCATCGATTGCCGCTATCGCGAATTCGGGCTTTATAAATATAGCACTAGTTTTCTCTTGGTGCAGCACCATGACGTACAAGTCCTATAATCCTCTCGCCACTATCACCGACCCTGCTCCAGCCTCGCCGTCTTCCATTAAAGCAGGCCTGGATCTGAGAAACAGGACCTACTTTGTCACCGGCGGCGCCCGTGGCCTCGGCTTGAGCCTTATCACCGCCATCTTAGAGGCCGGCGGCAGCGCAGTGGCTCTCGACCTGCTGCCAGAACCCCTCACCGAAGAGTGGGCCGCTGCACAGGCGCTCGCCAAGGAAAACGGTGGCTCTCTCTCGTTCAACACGCTCGACGTCACCAGTGAGCCCGCCGTCGAGTTGCTGCTACCCCGGCTCGCCCAGGAGGCTGCACAAGCAGGCAGGCCGGTTCACGGGCTGGTTAATTGTGCCGGCATCAACCAGAAGCTACCTGCTATCGACTACCCCGTCGAGCTGTACCGGAAAATCGTTGACATCAACTTTGTGGGCTCGTTTATCATGGCCAAGCACACAGCCAAGATTCTTGTAGCAGAGCGGACACCAGGCTCGATCGTACTGATTGGGTCGATGTCTGGCATTATCGCGAACCGTGGGCTTGCAAATACGGCGTACAACACGTCCAAGGCCGCCGTGCTGCAGCTCGCGCGGTCATTGTGCCAGGAGTGGGGCCAGTACGGTATCCGCATCAACACCATCTCGCCGGGTTATATTATAACTGCCATGACCCAGGAGCTGCTGGACGTAGAACCCGAGCTTTACGAGACGTGGATGCGCGGTGCAATGCTCAACCGCCTGGGCGCGCCCGACGACTTCAAGACGGCCGCCGTGTTTCTGCTGGGCGACGGGTCGCGGTTCATGACCGGCTCTGATCTTAGAATTGACGGTGGACACTGTGCCGGTGCATAAAGTTATAATTTCTGTAATTACACGACTAAGCAAGTTCAAAATCACTAATTATTTATTCCCATGCTATGGCTCGATGTCCACCTCGAGTTAGTCTTCTGGTCGATTTTGGGCTTCATGGCCCGGGAAGGGCTTACTAAACTTACCTTCTACTCGAACTCCTACATCAACCCGAACTACAAGCTGTCGGGCTCGTGCATTTGGTCGAATTTTACCGCCTGTCTGTTGATCGCTCTAGTTAACCAGTACGACCAGGGGTGGCAAACGCTGCTGGCGGAGGAGAAGACGCAGACGAAAAAATCGCTCGTGATCTACACAGCCCTCACCACAGGCTTTATTGGCAGTTTCTCGAGCTTCTCGGCCCTGGTTATGGAAATACTCGCCAAAACACTGGATATTCTCAACGTACACAACAAGCTGCCCAACCACGGCTACGGAGTTATGGAGTTTTTCTCCGTCATCTTCACTCAAATGGGCGTGTCCATGATTGGTTACCATTTGGGCTCCGATCTCGCTTCTTTCCTCACCAGGTTTGGCGACTCATGGGGGCTTGGCCATAGAAAGTTTATCAAAGTGGTGCATAATTTTGAGCTGCTGACCATGGTGCTCGGAGTTATTGTGTGGATCGCTAACCTCGTGCTCTGCTGCACTTTGCACAACCACCATTTCTGGAAGAAATCCTGGTCGTTCGGCATCGTCTTCGCCCCCTTCGGCTGCTTTGGCCGCTACCATCTCTCAAAACTCAACGCTCTCTCTTGGTTTCCCATCGGCACCTTTATCACTAACGTCACTGCATCTACTCTCCTGGCAATACTTTATCTTTTAATACACGGACAAACCAGCACGGGCGAGCCTCTGGTTACCGACCAACTACAGCTGGACGTGCTAGTTGCTCTGGGAACGGGTTTCTGCGGAGCATACAGCACTTTGAGCACGTTTGTTAATGAGATTGTCGCGCTCAGAAACGAAATTCGCCGCGCTGTCTACTATACCACCAGTCTTGTGGTTTCATTTCTCACCATGATGCTCATCCTGGGCTGCTACAGCTGGACAAAAGGAATCTCTGCCAACTAGAGCTTGTGCTCGCGCAAAAACGACTCCACCAGCATAACCGTCTTCATGGCCATTCCGTGCGAATTCTGGTATCCAGCACCTGCTGCGCCGTAGTTGTGCACCACGCGGCCAACGCCAGGAATAACCTCCTTCTCAATTCGTGGCCCGCCTTTTCTGCCCGGTCTAAGGCCACAGTGCACCTTGACGACGTCCAAGTCGCCTTGGTCAAAAAGTTCCGGGCAATACTGGCGTGCACGGGCCACGGTCCTCTCGAATAGACCTTCATCCACGTCCGGCGTCCAGTCGTTCACGCGGAAACAACCGCCAATGATCGTGCCGCCTTCTTTCCTGGGGAAAATGTACAATAATTCGTCTTTGCTGGCACCCGGTATGTTCTTGACGGAAAGCATGTACGGACAGCTGTTCCGCGCATGGATCACCTGGCCTTTTATCGGGAACACGTCCTGGTCCATCACGCCTCCCAGCTTGCTGGAGAGCAGGCCAGAGCAGTTCACAGTCACGTCAACTTGGCCGTCGGTGAAATAGCTGGCGGCGTCTTTGATGTGGTGTAAATGTGCTCTATGCAGCTTAACACCCAGACTTAATAACTTCTGCAATAGATAGTGCAAATAGATTGGCACCGTGATTGCCACGGTGGTGTACTCGTGGCCGTATTCGACTCCGTCCGGGAGCTCTTCTCTGGAAAGAAGCCGGAAATCCTGCACAAAGTCTTTGAACCACGGCAGCCGTTTGGAGTTGAGAATCCGTTCCGTGCGTCTCACCACGCTTGAGCCGGGAACGTTTGCGGCTAGGTCCATAAACCGGTAATAACCGAGTTTGTCCCACTCCTTCATCTCATAGTCTTCATCCTGCGCGAAGCTTGACCAATTGGCGCCTGCAAAAGGACTGGTATACTCGACGTCGACGTCGCCGGGCAGATGACGAGCGACAATCTGAACGTTGTGGCCTCTTTGTGCGAGCTCTAAGGCTGTGGTCATTCCAACCACGCCGCAACTGACCGGTTAGCTGGGCCCAACAGCGGCACGTACCCTATAACTATGATTTTCGCCATGTCGGGAAAAAGCGATTTTTTCGAAATTTCTTATCTGAATTAAAAACAGTCAGTTTTTCATGGCTGGGCCCCATCTCAATATAAGCTCCTCCTGACTCCATTTTCCATCTGACAGCTGCCAATTACGATCAGCCCCTTGCTACGTGCCGTTTGCCACCAACGTCGTCCGCCTTTCTGACTTCGACCGAACTCAAGCGAACCCTGTCGGAAATTCTTTATCGCTTCCCAATTTGGCACTTCTCCGCGATAAAAACCGCATCCGTTCCATTTTCAACTATGCTTTTCTCTCTTTTCCTGAGCGTCCATGCGCTCGCGGCACACGTCAGACTGGACCAGATTCCCGTGCAAGGCTCTCTAGATGTGCCTTCTGCCCTCGTTAAGAAATACGAGGACACCAAAATCAAGTTTCTCGAGGACTACTATAAAGTGGACCAGGAAAACGCTCTCGTTTTTTCCTCCGACGTCCAACTTCCCGACGACTTGGCCTACATTGCGTCTCAGCAGGTCAAGTACAGAGATCCCGACGACACGTCAGACCTGTATCCCGGCAAAACCGACCGATACAACGGCATTTCGCAGGCAGGATACCTGACCTACGGACATCTGCCAGTGGAGCAGCACTGTTTTGACCCTGAGAAGCTGGATGAGTTGGAGCTCGACATTGTTGTTCTTGGTGCTCCTTTTGACACCGGAATCTCGTACAAGCCGGGCTCGCGGTTCGGGCCAGACGCCATTAGACAGGGTACTAGAAAGTTTTCTGCGGCATATTCCCCATACAGAGAAGGATTGAACGTGTGGAATAACTGGGCCAAAATTGTGGACTGTGGCAACGTTCCGATGACGCCCTTGGACAACAGAGTTGCCCTGGACCAGTTATACCGGTCCGAAAGAGCCATTCTCAACCATTCGACCACGGAAGCCAATCCTGGAAAATACCCCCGGTTCCTGACTCTGGGAGGCGACCATACCATCAGTTACTCGGGAATTCGCGCTGCTCACGAGAAATTCGGCAAAGTCAGCGTTCTGCACTTTGATGCCCATCTTGACACCGTCAATCCGTACTACATGAACCCAAACGTCACCGAGTATGCTGCGCTGAACCACGGCACTTATTTATACTGGGCTCACAGAAAAGGCTGGACTGCCGACAACAATATCCACGCCGGACTGAGAGGATGGTATGAGGACAGAGGAGATCCTAGCCGCGACTACTCCGAGTCGAAGTTTGCCAAGATCATGGCCCGAGACGTGGACAAAATAGGTGTCCAGGGAATAATCGACAAAATCAAGGACCGACTCGGCAACTCGCCAGTGTACATTAGCTTTGACATTGACGTTCTGGATCCTCCCTCTGCGCCGGGCACGGGATCTCTCGAGCCGGGCGGATGGTCTTCCAGAGAGCTACTTGAGATCATTGACGGGTTGGCGGGCCTTTTCGTTGTTGGTGCCGACGTGACGGAGGTTTCTCCTTGGGGCGACTCCACGAATGAAGTCACCTCCATCATGGCTGGAGAGGTTGCCCGGTCGATCCTAGGACTGATGGTTCTTACGCCGGAATTGAAGGAGTAAATAGTTCCATGTATAGCTGGGACTCACTGATGTTATTTGTTCTTAGATTTATGTGCAAAGGGGTGGCTTAATTTGCTGTATATTGCTCGACACTAGGCTAGCTACTTGAACTAAAAAGTGGTCACGTGACTCGCGCGACTCGGGCTCAAGGCGGCTTATGTGCGATGATCGTGTCAGGTGTAGAGTGCATACGCTGTGCTAGAAACCAGCAGGAAGATCTCGAAGACGGAGTCTTGTGATGCATTTTTAAAAATGGCTATGCTTTAAAAATGTAGAACAAAACCACCAGTCTGGGTGACGTAACAAATGATGCCATGGCATCAAGAGGGCATCGGAATGCTCATCCCAAGTGGACGGTCTCACGGGATTTGATGAACTCGTTCAGTTCCTCCCTCAACCAGTTGGCTTCTTTCTCCATCACTTCCATAGATCTTGGTTTGCGGTCCTCGTCCCTGGCGACCTGCATTTTCTTCAGGGCAATCTGGAAGAAGCTGTTGAGATTCTGTTCGTGCGACTCCAGCAAGTCGTAGATTCCATCTCCGTAACCATCGTTCAAGTACCGAGGAATTATGTGGGTGTGCACATGGGGCACGGACTGTCCCGCGGCAACGCCGTCCTGCATGGCCAGATTCAGGGAGTCGGCCTTGTACACTTTCTCAATAAAGCTATGGATCAGCTGCACAGTCATGATATAATCGATGCTTTCTTCAGGTGAGAGATCTTTGAGTCGCTGGACCACTCTCAGAGGAACGACCAGCACATGTCCGGGGACAATAGGTTTGAGGTTGACCAGGGCGTAGGTGAACTTGGATTTATAGAACACTTGGCTTGTGACGGGGAATTTATAGAACAGGATCTTTGACATTGGGGGAACTTAATAAATAGAATTATTTGGAGCTACTCAATTAAATATTAAAATGTCAAAAGATTAAAAACCATGGTCCAGCGTGTCATTACGTAAGTGATTGGCCACCTACACTGCTGCACCATGTTTTCAACTGAGAGCATTTGGCACGCAGGTCGAGTGGTTTGGAGTCATACACGACGGCGACAAAGGGTTGGTGGCAAGAAATAGCGGGACTACTCTCAGATGTTTTGTTTGTGTCTGCTCAAACACCGAATTAAAAGTGATAATCAGGAAACATCACCTAAATCCCCCACACTCCATCTGATATCTAATTGCTGCCCTGGTCCCCTTTGGTCTAGACCAGGCTGCACCTGACTTTTAGTAGCAGATGATTTAAACACAGGTGAAATATAACAATCAAATTACAGTGTAAATTATCTAAAAAAAATCTCCTATCGTCACCCCCCCAATATTTTTCCACTAAAATAAATGCAAAATAAATTATTCTATGTTGCATGAGTATAAACCACTACGAGGTGCTGGAGATTTCCAGGAATGCAACCGATGCTGAGATCAAAAAATCCTACCGACGGCTGGCGCTTAAATACCATCCAGACAAGAACAAAAGTGCCTCGGCAGAGGAAAAGTTCAAGCAGATAAACGATAGCTATGGCGTTCTGTCGGATCCCGTCAAGAAAGCCGAGTTTGATAAAACTTATACACCACGAACCACACACAGCTACTCATTTACTCCAAAAGCGTCGAAACAGCCGTCAGCGTACGACGAGTACGAGCGGGCAAGACGACAGTTTGAAGAGTTCAAGAAGAGACAACAGCAGGAGCGGAAGGCACGAGAGGAAGCCCATAAAAAACAGGCCGACGACTGGGCCAACAAGTGGAATTATACAGATAGCTTTTACCATTACAGTAGATATTCGTCCGACCGCCACGAAACACACAGAAAATATACTCAAGAAAGCCATTCCTCGAGTGGTTCCAGCGGGTGGCAGAAGACCAGCTCGTCCTATTCGTTCACTCCCGGAGAGAAAACGTACCCCAGAGCGATGCCTAAGACCGAAAAGCCGAGCAAATGGACGGACAAGGAGCAAAAACCGCGAATGAGCACAGATTTTGCAGATATTCTCAAGGATTTCAGTACTCCCGAGTTTAAATTCGAAGACAGCGCCGGTATCAAGACTCCCTCGTTCAATGGAACTCCGGAAGACCCCATAATACTCGATAGCGGGACAAAAGAAGATCCCATCGTGGTGGACGACCCGCCTTCGCGTACACATAGCCCCAAAAAGCCCAAGCAGCGGTTTTGGAAGCCTGGCTCGCATCAACGATTTACAAATAGAACAGCTATGGAGGAGGAAGGAGAACACAGAATGCATGAAGCACACAAGGAAAACCCCGACGACGAGAGGTTCAAAATACATGTAGAAAATGTTCCTCCTTTCACTCAGACAAACGGCAATTTCAACATGTCATCCATAGGAGAAAGTCTTGGAGTGGACGCTGACATGAGTGTGGATGAGGAAAAGGACATGCAGTCCGAGGAACCTGAGGCAAACGTGCCCTCTATTACATTATCAGATCTCCAGTGCAACGAAGCAGATATAGTCCACATTTCTCCGCCACTGTTCCCCGAATTCGGGCTGGCCACGCGCGAGCAACTGCAACACCGCATGCAAGGGTACTTGGCTCAGGTTTTCAATTATCAGCATTTAATGGCCAAATACCACCAGGCACGACAGGAAGCCAACGCTAAGTGTCTGGACCGAATAGTGGCAAGCAAGACCAATTTACAGACGTACTTGCAAAGTGTCCGCATTGACGAGGTTTTGAACACTGCGCACAAGCAGTTTCTGCTAGGACACGCCGAGGTGTTGCAACGATACGAGCTCGAACTGTCCAAGTATGCCTGACCCGGTGTACGGGTGTGTATAATAAATAATTAATTTTGTACAAAAAACAAGTTGAAAGAAACATTACACAATGAGCAGCGGAGCAGGGAACGAGGAGGTTCCTCGCGATGTGCGTCTGTTGCACCTGATTTTTGCGACTCAGGGGATTCAGTCGTACCAGGACCATGTTCCTCTTCAGTTGATGGATTTCGCGTACAGATACACCTGCGGAGTTCTACAAGATGCGGTGCTATATAACGACCATGCGTACGCAAGCGCCAATGGAGGTGCCTCAGCCGGGATGTCGAATGCGCCGCTCTCGAACGAGGATATCAGACTGGCTATTGCTGCTCGCACAAACTACCAATTCAAGCCTGTTCCTCCGAAGAAGCTTCTGTTGAAACTCGCTGCCGAAAGAAACGAGAAGCCCTTGCCGCCCGTTATGCCTGCGTGGGGTGTGCGCTTGCCTCCGGAGAAGTACTGTCTGACGGCCAAGGACTGGGAGTTGGACGAGGAGGAGGATGAGGGGCCCGAAGGAGAGTCCAAGCGACAGAGGACGCAATGAATAGCCGTACAACGTTGTGGCGGGACATCCAGCAGAGGTTCTGGTTCTGCGTCTGCTACAAATTCGGGGACCAGGAACGGCATAAATCGAGGTGTCCATAATTAAATATTTTTATTTGTACATTACAAGTGTTATTTTTATGACTTTTGTGACGCAGGGCTCAATCCCAGAGTAAGTAGATAAATGGTTTCTGTCTAACTCCAGGGTCGTCGAAAAGACCATTGGCGAGAGCCTGGACGAGAGAACGTCCATTCTCGAGAACATCAGCGATCTGGGTCCCCCAGATATGGTGCATCTGAAGAAACACAACAGCTCTTCCAGTTCTAAACATCCATATTTGGGTACGTTCTTGTACTACACGGGGGCCGACGTGTCGAATTCTGCCACGATTGCGGCTCTGTTGAACTCGCTGAGCAACATCATTGGCGAGGAGCCGCAAATCTGGTTCGGGAAAGAAAAACACTGGAAAGTGACCGAGGCAACCTACTGTACCTACAACGTGTTCAGCAAAGTCGATGTCCGGGTCACGTGCAAGTTCCCGGGCCAGGTGGAGTCGTACATGATTGACGGACTGGGGAGCAAAGTGAACGAAACCGATCGCCTTTGGACTGAGACATTTGTCAGTGCTGTTGTGCGTGCTTTGATCAGTGCCGACGCCGACGTGGACGATTTCACATCTATGGTGGAGATCCGCAAGATCAACCCGTTTCTCAACAAGGAGTGCGCGTCTTTGTTTGTGAAGGGCTTCGAGGAACTGTATAACGAGGGCCCTAAACTCGGGTGTTCAGAAGATCTCCAGGTGCCAACCAGATGCAACAATTATTTGGTGGACGCTTTTGTCAAGTGTATTCAACTGACGGGTATGTGGGAGGAAGGAATTGCTATCCTCAACAGAATCACACAGGAAGACCACACGGCTTCGTATTTGATTGCCAAACTGTACCTGCTTAACAACCAAGAAATAAAAGCCGTCAAGGTGATGTACGATACTATCAAGCTTAATCCGCTGGATGGCGAGATGCTCACTCTTCAAGCCCAATACTGCCTGAAGAAGAAAAGGCTGGATCTGGCACTTCCAATTGCCATCAAGGCGGTCAACAGCACTCCGTCGTACTTCAAGCCGTGGTCAGTTTTGGTGGAGGCATACATTCAAAAAGGCGACTATGAAAAGGCGCTGCTCACACTGAACTCGTGCCCCATGGTTACTCACAAGGACAAATTTGTGCTGAAAAGAGTCAACAACCCGCAGCCTGAAGATCTGCATCTTCCTCTTCCAATGGATGTCACCCTTCCCAATGTGACCAATTTGAGCTCGCTGGACATTGCTGCAGAGCACCAGAAGGTCGACCACAATCTTCTGAATCTGGCTGCGGCCAATTTGAAGTCGACTTTCGCCAAAGCGTATAAGCTGCTGACAGACATAGTTTTGGAGACCGGCTGGGAGTCACTTCTGAAATACCGCACCAAGGTGTTTGTGATGGAGGACGAGTTCAAGAAGGAAAATGCACAGCTCAGCCTGGACAGCAGCTCAGGCTCCTCAGAAGCCGCGAACGGGTCTGCTGGATCGCAGTTCAAAAAGAAGCGTCTTTGCGAAAGATGGCTCGACAACCTCTTCATGCTTCTGTACGAGGACTTGAGGACTTACACGATGTATCGTGCGCAGGTGATGCATTTTGAAGCCCAGCAGCTGGATCTCGAGAAAACGACGCTGGAATGGGAGCTTTTGGGACTTGTCTCGGAGCGGCTGGGCCACCAGAGAGAGGCTGCCCAATGCTACGAGAAGGGCCTTGGCCTGCGTTTTGCTGTGCGCAGCTCCAAAAAGTTACTAGACTATTACACCGAACAGAAGAAGAAGACGGCAAACCTGGAGGCACTCAACAGGCTGAATGACCAGATCCTGGATCTGGTGGTCAATTTGATCGTGTGGTTCCACAGATGGTACTGCTCATTCTCGCCCAAGATGATCCTTGCCCTGTCGGGTCTGATCAACGAGGTGGGGCGCACCAAGGTGGAGAACGAGATCAAGGTCAAGTACAAGAACAACCGCGGTGTGTACGATCTTGTCCGCGACAATATTCTGTATTTGGAGGAATACGGGCTGATTGAGAACGACTGAAAATCGGCCACCTCACACCAAAGGGTGAAAATAAATGTTTGTTGTTATATTTAATAAATAGACACAAATGGTGAGTAAATCATTTTCAAAACGCTAACTCCAGGTGACAATTGGCAACGCGCACGATGATCTGATTCACGACGCCGTGTTAGACTACTACGGGAAAAGACTGGCGACGTGTTCGTCGGACAAGACGATTAAGATCTTTGAAGTGGACGGCGAAAACCACAAGCTGGTGGAGACGCTGAAGGGCCACGACGGGCCTGTTTGGCAGGTCGCGTGGGCCCACCCGAAATTTGGCGTGATACTCGCCTCTTGCTCGTACGACGGCAAGGCCCTCATCTGGAAAGAAGAGAACGGAGTGTGGTCGAACATCGCAGAGCACGGTGTGCACCAAGCCTCGGTGAACAGCGTTTCGTGGGCGCCAAGCGAGTACGGTGCAGTGCTGCTGTGCACCTCCAGTGACGGTAAGGCCTCTGTGGTGGAGTTCATGGAAGACGGGTCACAAAAGACAATGGTGTTCCAGGCACATGCCATTGGAGCTAACGCGGGTTCGTGGGCGCCACCACACAAGGACAACATCAAGGAAAGACGATTCGTGACTGGCGGATGCGACGACCTGGTCAAAATATGGAAATTCGACCCGCAAGTCAATAACTATGTCGAGGAGGCGGTGCTCACCGGCCACACAGATTGGGTCAGAGACGTGGCCTGGTCCTCGTCTCTTCTCTCAAAGTCATACATTGCATCTGCGTCACAAGACAGAACTGTTCTGATATGGACCAACGACACGGTTGGCGGCACGTCGCCATGGAAGAAACAGCTCCTGACAGAGGAAAAGTTCCCTGACGTATGCTGGAGAGCCAGCTGGTCGCTCAGCGGCAACGTGCTTGCCATCAGTGGTGGAGACAACAAGGTGACGCTATGGAAGGAGACCCTCTCAGGAAAATGGGAGTCTGCCGGTGAAGTCGACCAGTAATCATACATAATAATCAAGATGCTATAAAAGTATTACTCGGAACCTCACGTTTGGCTCGTCTTCAGGCTCGTCGTCGGGCTGTCCCGGCCGTCGCTGGCGCAGAAGCCGCCACCGGTTCAGCATGACTAGCAGGAAGATCGATGCAAACGCGATTAGGAAAAAGATGTCTGCGTTGCCGTTCTCGAAAGTGCTCTCGAAAATAAAGTTCGAGTCAGGCCCGGCTCTGCTGGGTGCGTTAGCGAGCTGCTCCTGTGCAGAGGTTTCGCGTCTCTCATCTCTGAGCCTCGTGTACATCTGCACCCAATCGTCCCACGTTCTGGTCGTAGGCTGTTGAACGTCCGAATCTTCAGCGGTTTTCTCGCCATACCACCAGATCTTCAGCCACAAACGCAGAAGAGACAGCTGAGCAGCTAAAGAAGGTTTCTGGTTTATCTCGAACATCTGGTCATAGTACCGCTTGGCCAGATGGAAGTCCTGGCTCAGTCCAATACCCATTTCGTACATGTAGCCGAGATTGAACCTTGCCTGAAGACTGCCCTTTGCTGACGCAGAAAGGTAGTACGAAAAAGCCGTGTTGTAATCTGGCTCGATCGCATACTCTCCATTCTCTGACGAGTTTCCGATCTGTGAGTTTTTGAGCCCGTTGTAGTAGATATCTCCAAGAAAGACTCCCGCGTCCAAATTTTGCTGCTGGTGTGCGCGTCTGTAGTAATTTAGCGAGCTTTGGAACCGCTCGAACGGAACTCTAGGAGGCTCCTCAAGGTACCCCACAGGCGAGTAAAGAAGAAATGCCGTGGATGACTGTGCGGGCTCAAAGCCTTGCTCTGCAGCCATGGCGTATCCAATAAGGGCCTGTTCATGGTTTCTGTTCAGCAGCTGGTGGAAGGCCCACTGCAAATCGCAAACCACCGGCTCCATGTGCTCCACAAAGGCCTTGTAGAACACTATAATTCCTTCTTCTTTGCCTGGCTCGTATTGTAGCTCCTTCATCTGTGCAGCCTGGTATTTTGCCTCGGGAACGTTCCTATATGCTGCCGTGATGAGCTGGCCCAGTCCGGCCTCAAAGTCGCTTCTTATGAGGATTTTAGCTCGATGGTAAAGAGCCCTAGCGGACGCATAACGGGCAGAGTTGTAGAGCTCAAACGCCTGCGCGCGGTGCTCATCATCGTCCATCAATTCGTAGAGAAGTCCGAGGTCGACGCTGGCTTCTGCCGACTTGGCTAGTTTCACGCCCCTCTCCAGCCAGACTCTGGCACTCTCCAGGTCCATTTCTGTGCCTTCGCCTCTGAGGTACATGTGGCCCAGATCCGAACAGCACTGGCCAACACTCTGGATGAGAGTCCGCGAAACCGACAATTTGCGGTCGATTCTACCTTCCAGCACGTCCTGGACAGGCCTCAGCTGGATTCCGCGGGTTGCGCATTCTTGGGCAATCTCAAAGGCTGTGTTGTAGTCGCGCGGTCTCCAGTAGTTGCCGTCGTAGTAGTATCGGACGGAGCGTGCTTTGTCTTTGTAGGAAGAGGATTGGAAATCAACGTCTGCAAAGTCCTCATACTCAACCACCTCTTTCAATGTGGAAGGAACAATGGGTGTTGTTTCGCTCGCTCCTGAGCCGTACAAGCCCCCTTGGAGGTCGTAAATGCGGAAGTTGAAGTGATCAATGTTGGGTCCGCCGATTGGCCCGTTCTTGATAAACTCAAAGCATTCGTGCGCAACCATGCCGTAATAGTACAGAGCCAGTATCAGGTTCTGTTCCACAGAAATGCCCTTGTAATATCTATATGCCAATGCCATAGCTGCACGGATATCACCCTGGTCCGCGGCAATCTGGTAGTGAAGCAGCGCTCTGCCTTGGTCCATGTCCAACTTGCCAAAAAGTCCGGTTGCGTATATGAAGCCCAGGAGGTAGTTTGAGGTTGCATTGGGCGCCAACTGCACCATTTTCTGATGGTAATGTAGTGTCTGTGTTGCGTTCGTTGGCAGCGAGTAGTTGCCAAATAAATTGATCTGGGCCAGGACATAGGTAGCGTCGGTATCGTTGTGTTCGTCGGCCAGACGGTGCAGGGAATCGAGGGCGTACAATTGGCGTTCTGAGAGCTTCGAGTTCCAGTATTTTTTCTTCATGTTGTCTGCCTCATCGTAGTAGTCCACGTCTAGAGCCAAATGGACTTGGTCGTCCTGTGCAGGTTTATAATCACTCAGAAACCACAGGCTTTCTCGAAGCGCCGGTTCTTCCTCTTTGAGGATGGCTATGCTTTCTTCCACGGAAAGAAGCTGCTCGCTGGTGCTGGCTATTTGGAAAAAAAGCCAGCCTGCTATAGCGAAACGAAGCCAGTTCATTAACAAAGGCAATAATATTTGAGCGAAAAATAAAGCACAAGTTTTATTTTCCTTCCTGGGTGCAAATTCATGGGGTCCGTATTTTGTCCGTGCTGCGAGCCGCCCGGCGCCGTGCACAAGATCCCGCTAACCCTGCAGGATCCCAGCCTACGGCACCCCCTAGAAGAGCTCTATTTCTGCAATTCCTGTGGCAGCATCAAATGCTACCGTTGTGTTGATCTGGAACACGGATCCAAGTATTGTCCGTCTTGCTGGCGATCTTTTGACCGAGAGTCGCGCTATTGCCAACGCCACTGCTTCAAGTGTCCGTCATGCCGCTCCAGACTCCGCGTAAAGGCAGACAGCAACAACCAGGACACGAAAAGCAGCAAGAATTTTCGGTTCAATTGTCCCAACTGTAAATGGACCTACACTACAGGGAGTCTCACGAGGCCGCAACCGTTGTACGAGATCATCAGGGAGAAAAAGCAGTCTGCGCTGGACCGCCGCTTTAGCGAGCTCAAGTCGCATTATGAGAACCTATACGAAACGCTTCACATCAGCGAGGCACGACACCGAAATCGTTTGATCGGGAAGTACTCGTCGCTGGAACTTGCACAAGTAGTGGAGCGTCGCAAGTTGCCTGAAATCGGGGTGATAAGAGAACAACAGGTTGACGAGTATGAGCTCCCGCTGTTTCAGGAGTTGTGCTGTAAGACGAGCGTGCGGTGCAAGAGCTGTCGTGAGATTCTGGTGCAACCGAGTTCCGAACCCTCGTCGAGCTCTTTCGAGACGCTTTCTATGGCAATAAGCAGATTGCCGGTTCTTGAGTGCATTGGTTCGACTTTGGTGATAACCAATCCGAGCGCGGAGTCGATGGAAATCCAGCTACGTTTGATAGATAGCGGGAATTTGACATTACACGAAACAGAGTTGTATTTGGGCGCTCGTCCAGAGTGCAAGAAACCCGAGGAGTGGGCGAAATTAATACCGACGCCGAAACTCGCCAACTCGCCAGCAGAAGCTCTATTGCACAAAGAAGAAGGACCCAACTGGAAGATCATCAAGGCAGACTACTCCAAAACCCAGGAAACACCAGTATTGCTGACTGCGAAAACAGCAACCGCAAGGTTTTCGTGGTGGCAGTTTCTTAAAATTTCTTGAGCTTGGCTCCCACGCATAAGACACGCGTCAGACTGATACAGACAGCCCCAAGCAGGCTCAAAGCGGAGGCGTATGCGATGAACCCGTTTGTTCGTTTGTTGCTGGTGCCATTACCAACAATGGCTGCAGCGGCAGGATTCAGGCCCAGCAGGGAAAGTCCGGTGATGGCATACATGGTGGCATAGTTGGCTCCAAACTCTTCTTTCTTGACGATCATTGAGCAGCACGTGGGGATCAGGGAGTAGATGCCGCCATAGAAGGTGCCATAGAGGATACTGTAGGTGTACATGGCGCCAGGGCTGCTTTTGAACGGCATCCAAACGACAAAGTTGAAAACTGCAGTGATGACCAAGAGGAATATAATGATGTTATAGCTGCCGAAAAAGACATCTGCAAGAAGGCCGCTCAGAAGTCTGCCCGCGACGGCTCCAATGTTGATCACAGTGACAAACAGATAGGCCTGACTCGAGGAAAACCCGTTTTTAATGCACACGAACGAAAAAAGCGACGATGTCACCAGAACCGTTCCTTCGGCAAAGACACAGCCCAGAACGCAAAACAGGAACTTGCGGTCGTCTCGCAACGCCTTGAAGTTGAACGACTTGGTGAGATAGAATATCACAGTGTCCTTTCGGGACATCTGTTCTGCCTCCACAACTCTTCTTTCCTTGACCAGGAAAATAGAGATCACAAGACACACAAACGAGATCAGAGCCAGCAGTCTCATCGACCAAGCAAATCCAAGACTGACATACGTCTTTCTCAGCATGGTGGGGATTATAAGACCGCCCACACAGCCGCCGTTGCCGGCGAGAGCCATGGCTGTGGCTCTTTTTCTGGCTGGAAAGTACTGCGAAACAGCACCCATGAGGGGCGATGAGAGAATCCCCGACGCAATGCCGACACCAGAGAACGAGAGAATGCTTTGGTACACCTTTGTGCTGTTGGCGAATCCGAGCAGCGAGCCAGTCATCATGATGGTGCCGGCGATAAGCGGCAAGCGAGTCCCGTGTCTGTCGAAATATGTGCCACTAAAAATCATGCAAATTTGCAAAAGAGCAGTGTAGATGGAGAAGATCCACGAGACCGTGGTTGTGGATACGCCCGAGAGTTCATACTCGAGTAGTTGGGTCTGGATCACACCGATCGAGTTGGCAAGCCCCCAGACGGGTAGCAGCCCGAAGAAAGAGCCCAGTACGACGAGCCAGCTGCGTTTTTTGTTGTTCTCGTAGTACACCTCGTCAGGGTCACTGGCCACAAGCAGGCCTTCCTCGCTGCGGTGGCTTACCTGCGTTTCTAATTCGACCTCTGTGGTCATCGCAATTTCTTCGATCGAGCAGCGGAATAATTAGCCCGAAATATAATTTAAATATTTATTTATTGCTTATTAATTTTGTGCAAGACGTACATTACAAATGGAGAACCAGGCCAATCACATTGACGCTACCACAATTGCGCGACTATTTCACACGGTTGCATTCGATGACAAATCCATCAAGATTTCACACAAGGCGCTGCTGCTGGTGTCTGAATACATCAAACTGTTCACCTCGGAGGCGATCGTGAGATCGAACGTGGAACGGTTAGAGGAGGGAAAGCGCGATAAAGAGCGCTACAGCGTCGATGTGGACGAGCATTTGGATGAGAAACAGCAGGACGCCGTGCTGGACACGCGCCATTTGGAGGCCGTGGCCGGACTACTCACGTTGGACTTCTAATGCATCTATTACACTTTAATGGCCGCCCACGTCGTTGGGGTCGATCCGGAATATCTTGTCGGGATTGAGAATCCGGTTTGGGTCCAGTGCCATCTTAATCTTCCGCATCAGATCGATAGCGTCTTCGCCTGCCTCCTCTATCAGATAGTCTCTTTTACCATAGCCAACGCCGTGCTCGCCGGTGACGGTGCCTTCTGCGAGCAAGGCACGGTCGATCATGCCCTGCACAAGCTTCTTGGTCAGGTCGTACTGGTCTTTTTTGAATAGTATGACTGCATGGTAGTTGCCGTCGCCAACATGCCCGACGATCGACGCGTTTAGTCCGGCCTTGGAAATCTCGTTCTTGGTCTCCTGCAGCGACTGGCACAGCCGCGAGATCGGCACGGCCACGTCGGTCGTCCAGACCTGGATGTCCTTGTCGATAGTCTGTTTACCGTAATTGATTGTGGACCACAACGCCACTTTTCTCGCATTCCACAGCTCAAACTTCTCCTCCTCGCTCTCAGCAAACCGGAACGACTTGCGGTTGTGCTGTTTGCAGATCTGCTCCACGGCGCGGGTCACGTGCCGCGTCGATTCCTTCGAGTCGCCGCCCAGCTTGAGCATCAGCGTCGGCAGCTCGTCGTACTTGGAGCTGGTCTCCCCCGAGAAGTTGACGTAGTGCATCATGTTCTCGTCCAGCAGTTCGATCGCGTTGGCCGGGATTGCCCGCTGCACCATCTCTGCCACAGTGTTTGCGGCATCCACCAAACTAGGGAATGCCACCACCAAAACATTTTCGTAGCGGGGTTTCACGTGCAATTTTAATGTGGCTTCAGTCACAATACCCAAGGTTCCTTCGCTGCCGATGAACAGACCGGTCAAATTGTAGCCTGCAGACGACTTCTTTGGCCGCTTCTTGGTCTTGACAATCGTCCCGTCTGCAAGAACAACCGTCACGCCAACAACGTTCTCCCTCATGGTGCCGTATCTGGCCGCGTTGGTGCCTGAACACGACGTTCCGATCATACCCCCTATACACGCTCCCGGGCCGGGATCAGGCCCAAACATCAGGTTGTAGTCCTGCAGATAGTCTCGGAGGTCCTCCCAGCCAACGGCTGGCTGCACTACAACGTCAAGATCGTCCTTGTGCAGTTCTAGAATCTTGTTCATGTTTCCTAGATCGATGCAGATGCCCTTTCTAGTAGGAATGAAGTGGCCTTCCAGCGACGTTCCGCCAGAAAACGGAACCACAGGGACCTTGTGCTTGTGGCACACCTTCAGGATAGCAGACACCTCCTCGGTGTTTTCCGGATACACCACGGCCACGGGTCTTTGGTCCGGCTCCGCGTGGTGGGTTGAAAAAAAAGTGTCACTGTGGTCGTCCAAAGTGGTCTTTGTTCTGCTCACTTTGGACGGTCCCAGCACATCTGTCAGCTCCTTGAGGGCGTCCTCTGTATTCCCGTAGGCAGGAGCAAGCATGTCCCGAAGCTTGCTCGTCGAAGACTGCGGAAACATAAATTCCGGCACATTGCCCCCAATTTTCACAGAAACGTACGCGGCCCCGAGGATAGATCCGAGCACAAACAAGCCGCCCGACCAGAGGAAGCTGGTCCTGTCTTTCTTGGGCCCAGGAATGGGTCTGGGCGTCTGCGACGAGGAATTGAACCGCTTCAAGGTCTTGGGAACCGCCCGCAGAGACTGTGGACCTCTCTGTCGGAATAAATTCATAATGATGTTTTTTTTCAGGCAACTATGGCTTTTATATATATGGCAGCGGGATAAATTCAGAACGGGTGCCCGTAGCCTGCAGATACAGGCTGCATTATATTAATTACGTGACTACATAAAGTCGTCGTCGCCGAGATCGTCGTCAGACAGGAAGCCGTCATAGTCGTCCTTCTTGAACGAGGACCCGATGTTGACCTGGCCCTTTGCCTTCTTCTTGCCCGCACCTCCCGTAGAGGTGCCTCCCGTCTTGGCGAGCCGCGCCTGTCTTTCCTCCTTCACTTTCTGTGTGATCATGGCGTTGAGCGTGCTCACCACCTTTCTGGTGTTCTCGACACTCATTGGCCCACACAGGTCTCTGATAAGGTCGATCGCCAGAGATGTGGAGTAATGCAGCTGAGACTTCTTCGCCAGGTCGGTCAGGGCCGGCGAAATCGCCTTTCTGAGTTTCTCGAAGTCCTGCTTGGTCTCGACCTCGAATAATGGATGCGCACTGATGGGAGTATTCTTGTCCAACTTCGGGGCAGAAGCCTTGGAGGCCTGTTCAGCAGCAAGCGCCTTGGCGCGCGGATGCTCGTTGGCAATGCCAAGACCGCCAAAAAGGTCTGCAGCATTGTTCAGATCAGAGTTCAGCTCTGCTTCCTTCAACATCTCCTTCTTTGTCTTCTCGTCAACCAGATCGATGTCAAGCAGTTTCTTGTCTGCAGTCTTCTTCTTGCCAGCCTTTGCCGGCTTCGCGGCCTTTGGAGCGGCCTTGGGAGCAGGCTTTTTCTCCTGCTTGGCCTTCTCATCTTCTGAGTCCATGTCCCAGGAGTCTAAGACTGGCTCATCGTCCTCGAGCTGGTCTTCCCACGATTCTGAAACTTGGGCGTTGGAGGCGGTGGGATACTCAAAGTCTTCGTCGTCTAGCCGTTAGTCGCGAAACCTCCATTGGCACTTACCCCAAGACATGTCTGCTAATTAGTACGGAAAATTCTTTTTTTCGTCAATCCAGGAATATATCGGTCTGCGTCGATCGTCGCCCGCCTAGTGGCAAAAAACTATTCCAAATACACTTGAACATTTATTTATACACAGTATCTCGAATGGTAAGTGACTGCGCTGATCTTTGTGCTCTAACGCTCAGTCAAATCCGCTAAGATTGATACCTGGCGAATCGCACAGCTCTCGCGTCAGCGTGACCGCCTTTGGCCAGCCTGCGCCCTCCGCCCCAGGACTCTACGATACCTTGAGGTCGGGCGAGGGACCTCTTTCTGTCTCGTCCAAAATCAACAACAGACACCCACTGGAGAGCAGAGTGCAGAATTGGGACGCTACTCAGAGAGAACACCAGCTGGAAGCCTACAGACGTATATTTGGAGCAGCAGACCCAATAAAGAGAGAAATGGAGCTGAAGCTTGTGCAGGACACTGATTTCAGGCCAGCCGTGCTCGGTGGATCTTCGAACCTCCACAAAGACATCCTCCTGAACAAAGAGACTAGCATTGACTGGGAGGATATTTATTCAGGTAAGTTTGCGCAGATTACGTGTACTAACATCTCCGCAGCCTCAGACAGACCTCCAATGGACTTCCATACCGAGATGGAGAAGAGGTTTGGTATTTGATTGATGGTCAGGTACCACGAGTCTTGCCCCCGTCGTGTGCTTGCAAGGCTCGACTGAAAAAATTCGTCACGGAAAATTTTTTCGACCACCTATGGAGACGGTATCTTATAGAGACGTCAAATACCACCGTTACGAGTAACTAGAGAATCAAGATGTCTCATTCGATGTATGGAAATTGGTGAGTGAAGAGCTTTTGCAGTAGTCGTGGACGATCCACTAACATGTAGGAACAACTCCAACACATATTCTAAAGAAAACACAGAACATGTTTACAACATGAACGGTCTGTCAAATTCCAATATTTTGGCTCCTTCTCCAGGCCAGGATGCATTTTCACCCTTGGCCTACAACCTGCTGTCGGGGGATCAATCCCAGGAGCGGCCAAATGCCCCAATTGAAAACCAGATGGCTGCTCTCACGGTCGACGACAGCCATTTGAAAACGCAGGATTTTCTGCACCCCTTCGTCGGCCAGCAGCAGTCTCCCACAGCGGCTCTCAATGCTTTGAAAGCGCAGTTCCAGCTCCCCAAGGTGGATCCTTCTAATATCAAATGGTACTACTTGGACGCATCCAATAATGAGCAGGGACCGTTTGATTCGTCCCTGATGCAGCAATGGTATTCTCTTCGATACTTCGACTACGGCCTGAAAATTCGCCGCGAAGAACAGCAGACTTATATGACTCTTGCAGAATTTATCCAGTCCATAGGAGAGTATCTTGTGCCGTTTTCCGTTCCTTTGGCTCCGGTGATCAACCAGCCTGCTACGGCTCCAGTTTTCTCTTCATTCCAGGAGCGAACTCACTGGACACCTTCCAATGAGCAGAGCCAGTCGGCGTCAGTGACTCAATCGCTTCCAGAGCCGGCAAAGACAGAGGAAGCTGCTGTGCCGAAGGTGGACGCCAGCGACATTGAGAGAATTGTGCGCAAGGCGTCCGGTCTGTCTGTGTCAACAAAACAGGAGACTCGGGAACCAGAGCCAGCTCCCAAGTCTGAAGGATTGCCTGCACCAGAAAAGGCCCCAGAAAAGGCCGCAGAAAAGGCCGCAGAGCCCGTCAAGCCCAAGCCACAGTCGCCAACCACGTGGGCCCCATGGGCTTCCAAGAGCCCTGTGAAGCCAACCAAGACCTTGGCCGAGATCCAGTCGGAAGAGGCCGAGAGGCGCAAAAAGGAGCAAAAGGAGGCGGAAGCTGCCAAGTCTTTGGCTGCCTCACTGGCTCCAAAGCAAGAGGCTCCTAAGCCGGCCGTGGCCCTTCCTTCTGCTGCCACCTGGGCCAGTTCTGGGACTGTTTCGCAGGCCATCCCTACAATGACACTAGAAGAGATCCAGCGAGAAGAAGCTGCCAAATTGCATGCTTCCAACTCTGCTGCCAAGCAGAAACCTTCCACGGCATCGTTTGCAGAGGTGACGGCAAGCAGCGGTTGGAGCACGGTGAGCAGCAAGAAGACTGCGAAGCCGGCGGTTGCCGCGCCAACAAAGACCAACAAGCAGTCTGCGGTGATTTCGCCGAACGTTCTTAGGTCGGTTTCTGCGCCAGCCGCCACACCGGCCAAAAAACCCGTTGTTGGTAGCACGGTTGCTTCTCCAAAGCCGCAGCCAGTGACAAATAGCAGCTCGCCAGCAAGAGACTTTTTGGTGTGGTGTAGGACGCAGCTGAGCCATTTGCACAAGGGCATCGACAAGGAAGATATCTTGTCGATCATAATCCAGTTCCCGACGGGAAGCGAGTCACAGGAAATTATTGCTGACACCATCTACTCCAACTCTGCTACCATGGACGGCAGGAGGTTTGCCAGCGAGTTTATGAAACGCAAGGCGGAGGTCGAGAAGCTCGTTAAGGCACAGGGAATACACTTCAGCTGGGGCGAGGCTCTGAATGCCAGTGCTCGGGGCCAGGAGGACGATTTCGACATGGCATTTACCAAGGTGGTGAGCAAAAAAAACAGAAGAAAAAACTAGTACAGGTCATAGCATGTGAATAGCATAGGTATAACAACAGTCATTATGTAGGTTACGCGGCGACTTGCTTGAGCCACTGGTTGTCCAGCGATTGTTTCATTGGTTCGAGCGAGTTGAGACGTCTTCTGAGCGCCTCGTTTATGGTGACCTCCTGACACACAGGAAAGAATGTCTGGGCCCATCCCTTCTTGAACGACTCCGCCTCCATCGCTAGCTCGTTGAGTTCGAGCTCCTGTAATTTGCTTTGCAATTTGAAGCTTTCGTACACGTCGTCTCCGATCGATCCCCGCTGGTACAGCACGTTGACGTACTGCTGGATCTCCTTGAGCTTGATCATTCTGCGGATCGCCTCGGCACCACGCCGGATGAGCGCAGCCTTCAGCACCTTTTCGTTGACCTTGGGCTCTGTCTGGTTTTTCAGCTGCAAATACATTTCACGCTGATAGTTGTCCTTGAAAATAGGTTTCATGGAGACAAGTTTGTTAAGCTTTTTGCGGCGGTGGGCAACAGAAAACAGCACCAATGTAGTCAGCAGCACTACCACATACACAATCGGGATGTATATGGAGATCGACGAGGGGGCTGGAGAGCCAGATTCTTCCGACATGCTTGACAAGGGTGTGTTTTTTTTCGCATTTTTGCCAGCTCGAGCCAAAAGTCTACCGACGCGACGAAATCCCACACCCGCCCTGAGTGCCCTCGATGCATATTTTTTCTTTTCGGTGGTTTCCGGTGTACGGCAATAATGCAGCTTGCTTATCATGCATAGTCCGTCTTTTGATAGGTAAGTTTCTTTTGCAGCCAATGCGCTCCTTTCTCGGTTGCTGATAAAAGAAAGGGACTGTATATAAAAGCACCAAATGCATCACCTCGCACCCGAGCACCAATGTCGAAAAAACTGGAGGAAATCAAGCAGATCTCGCTCGACAACGAGTCGCAATCTGCCGGCTCGTTCGAGGACAGAACAGGGTTCTTTGGCAAGGTCACGAAACTGGTCAAACGGCTCGAGCTCGACGGCACACAGAACTTCACGCTGTCCCAGCTGTTTCTGTATAACTATGACCTCAAGCCGCTCGAGGAAAAAAGACGTACTTGGAGATGGTGGAACTTTGTCACGTTCTGGATAGCAGACTCGTTCAACATCAATACCTGGCAGATTGCCGCCACGGGAGTGCAGGCAGGGCTCAGCTGGTGGGCCACCTGGATCACTGTCTGGCTGGGATACTCCTTCTGCGGTTTTTTCGTTGTTCTGGCTGCGCGGTACGGTGCCTACAACCATATCTCGTTCCCCGTTGCTACCAGGTCGTCCTGGGGAATATGGGGGTCTCTGTGGCCGGTCATCAACAGAGTGGTGATGGCTTGTATCTGGTTTGGCGTCCAGTCAGTGCTGGGAGGCCAGTGTGTGGCTCTGATGCTGCGGTCCATTTTCGGTAACGATCTCGAAACCAGAATACCCAACAAGCTGAAGGGAGAAATCTCGTCTTTCCAGATGCTGGCCTTCTTCTTGTTCTGGCTGTTCCAGCTGCCGGCGATCTACATGAAACCGCACACCGTCCGTCACCTGTTCACCATGAAGGCCATTGCGTGCCCGATAGCTGGAATCGCGTTTCTTGTCTGGACGTTGGTCAAGGCGGACGGAGGTGGCCCCGTCATCCACCAGAGTGGCACACTAAGCGGCTCTGCTTTCGGCTGGGCCTTTGTGAACAGTATGATGAACTCTCTCGCCAACTTTGCCACGCTCATAGTGAACGCTCCAGATTTCTCCAGAATGTCGCATAAGCCAAACTCCTCCATCTACTCGCAGCTGATCACAATCCCGGTTGCCTTCTCTGTCACCTCTCTCATCGGCGTGCTGGTCTCTTCCGCAAGCACTGTGCTCTACGGCGAGACCTATTGGGACCCTCTGGACGTGCTTTCGCGGTTCCTCGACAATTACAGCAGCGGAGCCAGGGGAGGAGTCTTTTTGATCGCTCTTGGTTTTGCTATTGCCCAACTCGGCACCAACATTTCCGCTAACTCGCTGTCGGCAGGTACTGACATGACTGCGCTGCTCCCAAAATACATCAACATCAGGAGAGGTGGCTTCATCTGCGCCATCATCGGCTACGCTATTTGTCCATGGAACCTGCTTTCGTCCAGCAGCATGTTCACCACTTACCTCAGCGCCTACGCGGTGTTCCTCTCGTCCATCGCAGGTGTCTACTTTTGTGACTACTACCTCATCAGAAAGGGCCGTGTTGTGCTGGAAGACCTGTACACTGCCGATAACTCGAGCCAGTACTTCTACACAGCAGGATTCAACTGGAGAGCCATCGTGGCATACCTTTGTGGAATAGCTCCCAACATTGTTGGTTTTGTTGGAGCCACCCAGACACACACTGTGCCCGACGGTGCTACCAAGGTGTATTATTTCAGTTTCTTCACTGGCTACGCCAGCTCGTGCTGTGTTCTGTTTCTGCTCACTGCACTGTTCCCGGTGAAAGGAGTGTCGCGGGAACACCTGTTCCAGAAGTCGTGGCTCGAAGAGTGGAAGGACGTGGAGTCGTTCGATGACTTCTTCCACCAGCGGCTCGGCACCGAAGAAGTGGCCTAAAAAGAAATATATCGTGTTAATCAGTTAACTATTCCCTCGCTAATGGTCAATCTATCGGAAGAAAGGACACTCGACTGTCTGGAGCCAACGTTGGTTCTCAGTCTGTCCAATAGAGACCCGGAACTTGTTGGCTTAGAGGCTCTTGAACCAGGCTTCATGTAGCCCGTTCCGGGCGGATTCTTGGAGAGCTTCTCGGTCCGGTACTTTTCGTAGTAGATCCCGTGAGTCGTGTCCTTCAGATCTTGCAGACACGCGCCCAGCAAACATGTTCTCAAAACAATGTAGTCGCTGTGAGCAGGATCGTCGACTCTCACGAGCCCGTGCGGCAGACGTCTCACTTTGTACTCCACCTGGTCGATGATGGCCCTGTCCGTACCGCACACAATGGCAAATGGAACCAGATCCTGAACGCTGCTGACTGCCAAGTCCTCGTCCTCCTCGTCAATGTCCGAAAAACAGTTTGAGAAGTCATACGTGTTGATTCTGTTCTTGGCGAGGTCCCGTAGAATCAGTTTTCTGTTCAAAGCAATTTCCTCCTCAGACAGAATGTCCGCCTTGGAGATCACAGGAATCACGTTGCACCGTTTCCCCAGCTCCTTCATGCAAGCAATGTCCAGCTCCCGCAATCCCTTGCCTGTCGGTCTGATGAAATAGATGGCAGCATGGATCCTCGTGTCCGTGGCCTTAGGAGTTCTCTGGATCTTGCATTCATCGTTCAGCACCTTCTCAAACTGGCTCTCAATGTAGTCCGTGAGACATTTAGTCGAGTCTCTGTTGTCGATGAAGTCGCCTAGTCCTGGCGCCATAACCACGTCTAAGTCAATTCTGGTCCCTCCCTCGTAGATCTTGGCAGAGTGACTTTCGATCGACAGATCTGCAGGCGCAGGACGATTAGTGGTGATGATGTCCTCGTTGCAAAGAGTGTTGATAAATGTGCTCTTACCCGTTCCCGTCTGGCCAACAACCAAGATGCTGAGTTGCAAACCCCGTTTAAGGAACTTTTTTTGGCGGATCTCTTCCGCTGTCAGCTATGCGGTCAGTCTGGTGAAACGGACTCAAACTTACAATGTTCAGCTTGGCACTGGTGCTCATGTTAAGAAATGGCGTATGATAATTATCCTTCTTTTTTATCCTGCGCTAGCGGTTCTTGATTTTTTTCTGGCGCCGAATCTGGCGCCGCTGCGCCAAACAGCCCCGTGAACTGCTCAAACTCGAGTTTCGGCAGATGCTGCAAAACTTGGAACGGCGGATCCAGACTACCCAGAGGCCGGCCCAGAGCCACCAGGTCCTGGTAGCACGCCCAGACCTGTTCCTGGTCCGTGCCCAGCTCCTGCACAAACTCGGGAGGAATCTTGAGACTCTGGTCTTTTGCGCAGCTTAAGACAACGCCCAGCATGGCTATCACGTTTGTCTCGTGCAGAAGAACCAACGGCACTCGCGAAGTCAACTCGTAGACGTTTGTGCACTGTATAAAGAGGTCCTTTGACCGCTTGAGCCAGTCTGTTTCTCTGGGTATGTCTTCTTCCAGTCTTAAAGCACTCAGACACAATTTATAAGGATTGGAAGGAGTGACCTCAAAACACAACGTTTCCAGTAGCATCTCCTCCAGATTGATCATGAGGTCCTTCCAGCGCCAGAATATCTTTGAGTTCTCGTCTATCGGGTCCTGACTGTTCGCCATCGCAGTTTTTGCGCACACTTTGACAACGTCGGCCAGACGACGCCGACACTCTTCTGCTTTGCAAGCAATAAATAAACTCGTGGCCGCAACCTCGAAATAGTGGTGGCTCAGCATGTCCCGACGCATGTAAAATCTGTGGAAGTAGCACGACGCAGTCATCGCCACCGACCGCGACAGACGCAGCTGTCTGCAACACTTGAACAAATATATTATTCCCTTGGCTCGCTTTTGGCACTCGTCCTCGAAACTCACTTTCTTCAGCTCCGACCCGTTTCTTCGCGACGGCGTGCCCTGCTGCAGCTCCTCAAGTGTGTATTTCCAGTTGCTCGTCTTCACATTGATCAGCCCGTCCCAATACTCGCGACTGGGTAGGGGTTCCGCGGCAGACATTTTACTGAATAAATATTTTTCATATTTTTTCTCTATTTACACCACCTTGTCCATCTGCTGAACAACATAGTCCAAAATGAAACTTTGCTCGACCAGATCGTCCAACCTGCTATAATGTCTCTCGCTGTATGGCAAAATGGCGTCAATGTACCCCATCAGCCCAGGCATGTCAAACAGCTTTTCGTTGGAGTAGTTGGTCAATATCGCCTTGATGAGCTTCTGTGCCACCTCGAAATGGCGCGAATTGGTGTTCCAGTCCCGGACTCTTTTGAACAGCAACAATATCTGGTCCTGCTCCAGCTCTGAAATCACACTCTCGATGCCAAAGGATCCAATCACAGACCCTTCGTCGCCCTCTGCTATACTGGCCAGAAGAACGCTATAGAGTCTCATTGGGTGGTTCAGAGTCAAAGCCAGCTTGAACGCGTTCACCCAGTCTTTTTTGTTGATGTAGTTCTGCAACGACTGTTCCTGCTCGACCTTCAATTTGCGCTCCTCTGCTTCCAGCTGCTGCACCTCCTCGGTGTTGTCTATCCATATGGTGATCGCTCCGTCCGCATCAGCAGACACAAACTCGCGGCCGTCGTCTTTGATACACAGCGCCCAGATCCTATTGTCGTGGTTGTCGAGTGTCTGTACGCAATCGCCGCTGGAGATTTCCCAGACCTTGATTAAACCGTCTGCACCAGCTCCGACAATAAACTGGTTTCTCGCGAGGAAAGCAACTCGCTGGATAGCGTTAGCCGGACCCTGGAAAGTCTTGATACACGTAAGGTCCTCTAATGACCACACCTTGGCCGTCTGGTCACCAGAACCTGTCACAATAAGTCTGTCGTAGGCACAGAAACTGATGTCGTAAATTGGCCGCTTGTGCCCCTTCAAAACTCCAACAGTCTCGCCAGCCTCCAAGTCCCAGATTTTGGCCATTTTGTCGTGGCTAGCCGTTGCCAAAAAATCGTCGTTCGGACTGACGTCGATCGAATGGATCATCTTGTCGTGCGCTCTTCTTGTGTAGTCGGACTTTCTCACATGTATCACCTCGTCGCCTGGTTCAGGAATCGTCCATTTCTTTATTGTCAGGTCTTCGGCTGCCGTTATGAGAAAGCGAGGATAATCTCTCACGGGTGTCCTAGGCAGCGCAACGGCAGTAACCGACGAGATGTGGCCTTCAAACACGGCAACACATACAAATTTTTGTTCCTCATCGTACCTCCAAAGCCGGGCCGTATTGTCCTTGGCAGCGGTAGCAAGCCAGAGGCCATCGGCCGTGGAATCCAGAGCATTCAACAGATCAGTGTGCGCTTCGCACAGCGTGACATCGAGCGGCTTTTCCGCAACGTCGACAATCCGCAACGCAGGCGAGTTCGTTGCTAATGCAAGCTGGTCAAATTTAGGACCAACATAGCGCATGTCAGCGATTGTACCATGATTACCAGCCATGACCCTCAAAGTTGGGAAGACGCCATCTTGTGCTTCGAGATCAATCTCCGCAATTGTCTGATCTGAATAAACCAGCAGCAAGGAGTCTATTCCTTTGTCTAGATGCAAAACGTCCATGATATTGAGCTCTTCTGTGGTTTCCAATGGCTTCCTGCTGGTTGCAACCAACTTTTCAGAATTCAAGTCCCAGACCTTCAGAAGGCCGAACTCTCCCGCCGTATATAATAACTCTTTGTCTTCATGTTCAATAAATCCGCACGCCTCAACAGAGTGCGAAACAGGAATTGTCTTCACCTCCTTCCACGTCCCAGTATTGTACACTATTATCACGCTGTCTCTTCCACTGCTTATAAACAGCTCGCCGTTGTCACTGAATGAAACACCTCTCACAGTAGCTGTATGCTCCTTCATCGTGCGACTACATTTGCGTTTCACCAGATCCCATATTTTCACTGTTCCCATGATATCTCCACTTGCCAGCTTCCAATCTTTAGAGTCAAGTTTTCCATAAAAACAAAGAGAGGACACTGTCGATGGATGGCCTTTGAAGTTGTGTGTGATGAATGACCCTTCTATATCCCAGACAATGACACTGCCATCGGTAAGTCCAAATGCAAATAAAGACGAAGTAGGGTCCACGGTAGAGATATACGACGCTGCGGGAAGTTTGAAAGTCTTGATGAATTTGCTTTGCTGGAGATCAAAAACCTTGAGTTGCTGTGATTGAGATACTATGGCCAGATATTTGCCATCCGGTGTGAGTTGCAAGGTCGTCACGAGGTCTCCGTCTCCCTGGATCTGGTGCACAACATCATCTGTTTCTCTATTGATGATAACTATGTCTTCGAGAACTGCAGTTGCTAGAACTACACCGTCTCCGGAAACTGTTGCATTAGCAGAACCAATGTAAAAAGGCTCGATATCGATCTTTTTATAGCTCCTTTTTGTGGTGAAGTCCATGCTAAAATTTATTTCAGATAAATCTAAAATAATTTTTTTTTTCCAAACTACCCTACCTTGAATTTTTTGACAAATTTTTTTGAACCAACGAGCCTTTCACCATGTCCTCTCCAATTTTGCACATTGTGAAACCAAATGTGGCAACGCCGAGCACTTCTGCTCCAGTGGGGCCAGTCAAGGTGCTGATCCAGGCTCCAGCTTTGATGCAGCTCATTGACGCCGTGTATATGGACAACGAAGAAGACCTCACGAAAAGCAGAACTATTGGCACTTTGCTTGGAACCCGTTCCGATGACGGATCTGAACTGGAGGTCAAAGAGTGCTATATTGTGCCCCACAAGGAGGAAGCTGAGGAGCTCACAATTGAAGAAAGCCACCACATTTCCACATACCAGCTCTTGAAAAGAGTGAATCCAGAACTGCTAATTGTCGGCTGGTTCTCCACCAACCCCGTGCTTGACTCATTCACCGGTCTCTTCCAAGAGTTCTACTCCAAGGGATCTTGTTTCCCCCATCAGCCAATCCATCTGACTCTGCAAACCAAAGACGATAACGGAGACATCATCTCGCCAATCCTGAAAACATACATCTCGTCCCCAGTCGGAGTGCCTGCAAACTCCAACCTGGCTAACCAAATTGGAATTGACAAGATTGGCTCTTTTGCATTCACTCCTGTCCCGAATGAAGTTATCTACTCTAAGACTGAGCTCACTACGCTGAAATATCTTAATAAAGGTGTCCAAACCGAGTCCAGAGCAGTGGATCTTCTGGGTCAAGATGAACTCAAACAAATTTCCGGATCCGTCGCAAATGTTGCCAGCTTGCTCGACACGCTCCAGGCGTATGTTCAAAAGGTCATCAAGGGCGAGATCGAGGGAGACTCGAACGTGGGAAAGAGACTTCTGGAAACTCTCAACACACAGCCAAGCTCCATCGACCCTGACCAATTGCACACCATGTTACAGAACCATGCCGACGACGCCTCGCTCGTCGAATACCTCGCTTCGTGCGTTAAGCAGCAACTCGATCTCAGTGCCAAATTGACCAACTTTATGACTCCAGAAGAGAGCGCAAAATAGCTATGTAAAAATCAAATTTAGTATCCATCCTTTATAAATGCCGTACCATAAATAATAAATGCAGGTCAGCTTCCAAACAGGAAACGGAGGTCATCGTTGTGTCCGATGTCGACCAGCAGCTCCTCCACGTCGTTAAGAATTTCCTCGCTGAAAAGCCCGCCTTTGGTTGGCCGCAGACCCTCTGCTTGAGTTTCGGCCGTGCTCTGTCTTCTTCCCTTAGACAGCTTGTGCAATCGCTTCGAGGCCTTGCGCAGCGACTTGGCCGTGTTGGCAGGGATCATCAGCTCGCCCCCGAACGAGCCACGGGCTCGTTTTTTTCTCTTTTTCTCCAAGGCTGCCACCGTGGCTCGCATCTTCTTACGTCTGTGGTCTCCAAAACTGTACTTGCGCGTCGCATCCGAATGGGGCTGGTAATACGTGTTGTTGACGACACCCTTGTTCCTAAAAGCTGATAGCGGAATACGTCTCTCGTGGAAAAGATCCCAGTCCACAGACGTGGTTTGCTCCTGCTCTTCGTCCTCGAACTCGCTAATATTAAGCAGCTCGTCCAGCGCAATAGGCGGTGCGCTCGGCTGTGTCTGCGTGCGTTGGCGTTGGCGATGGCCCACACTCAAGCGAGTGCCCTTCACCACCGATGTTCGGTTGTCCTGGCCAGGATACAAGAATCGCGTCGAGATGCCGTCAATAATGCCGAACGGCTTGCGGGTTTTAGAAATGATAAAAGTTCCAAGAACAGGCGCTCTGAAATTGTTCTTGGACGACGAGAGCACCTCTTTGGCGCTTTTGCTGCCAATCTTGCGCGTGGAGCGCACTGGGAGTGAGGTGTCTTCGTCCGTCTCGTCGCCGTCTTTTTCACCGGCCTCCTCCTCAGCACTCGAATTATCGTGCTCATCTTCCTTCTCAGAGGCACTGCTGTCCGAAGAGAAGAAATATTGTAGTAACTGGTTCTCACTGTCACTGTCGTCCTCGTCAGACACAATCGCATTCATCGGAACCACGCTCTGTCCGCGTCTGCTAGAGTAGTGGTCGTAGTCGCTTGTAAAAATGTCGTCGAACGCAGACACATCGATATCCGCCATGTCGTCCTCGTCTTCGTCGTCCTCGTCACTGTCCTCCGGAGCAGGGAGATATTTGACCTTATCGGGCTTCATCTCTTTGACCCTCACATGGCCTTCATCCTGGTCCTCCTCGGTACCGTTGGTATTATCCTCAACGATAGACGACCGAGACGTTGCTGCGGACGATGAATAATCATTCACGTCGTTTACATCGTTCACCAAAGCTTCAGTCTCCTCTTTAAGCAGATAATTGTCCTCTTTAAAATAAGGATCGTCTTCGGGCAGCAAAAAATCGTAGTCGTCGTCGCTATTCCCGAATGCGAGCAGCTCAAGATCATCGTTGTCGTTCTGGAGCGCCTGAATGAGATCGTTATTGTCAAACTCGTAGTCTGCTTCTGAGTCGATCTCCTGGTCGTCGAACTTTGGCACTTCCAGACTCACTGTCTCATCGATAATTGTGGCGTCGTGAAACGTGCCAATGTCCACTTCCTCTCCCAAATCTTCCTCTGTGATCATTTTGGCATAGTTCACCGGCTCGTGGTCAAGCTGGATATCTGCCACCGTGTCCAGGTGATTGAATTTGCGCTCCTCGTCTTCCAACACCTGGTCCACAATGTCGTCGTCCAGCTCCTCGTCCTCGTCGGCCTCCACAGCCTGCTCAGCACCTTTCTGAAAAGCTTCAGATTTCGCAGCCTTTTTGGAAACCTTCTTACTGCTTTTGCGCGGACTCTTGCGACGAGTAGCAGCCTTCATCGCCCTGGCTCTCTCCTTGGTCAGTTGCACGAAATCGACGTTGTCATCGTCAGAAGAGCTCGACTCGTCTTCGCTCTCAGAACTGCTAGATATTATCTCGTCCACTTGCCTGCGTGCGGAGCTCATCCGGTAATCTCCCTCCGTTGCACTGCTACCCGAATCAGAGTCGTCTGACTCCTCGCTGGATTCCGACTCTTCTGAGTCCGAAACAATGCTAAATCGTCTGCTGGACCGTGAATTCGAACCCTCGGAGGGATGGGGCAGGTGTCTGGGGACCTGCGGTACCCTCTTAGAGGTCACTTGTTTTCTGCCTTTAGCCATGATAGACTATGGTATGTTTCGCTCTTATCGGGGATTTTTAAAACGGTAAGTATTTTGTAGCTCTGATACGTGTCACTGATATCTCTTTGAGATAGAAAAATAAGCAATTGGCAGGCCTTGATCCGGTGTCCCCTTTTGTTCTTATAAAAATATATATCTGAAATTAATGAAAATTTTCAGATCCTACATATATTGTGCTGAATCAGAAATCACGTAAAATGGCAGATTAGATGGCCATACCCAGGCTTACCCGAAAGCCTCAGATAGTGCCTGCAAATCAATATCGGTGCTTCTGGCAACTGTGCTGCTCTATTGGGTAAGAGATGTATTACCTCAATAAACCCCTGGTCAGCCCCTGAAGCCTCCCCACAATGTTTCTAGCCTTGGCAGCAAGATATTTTCGTCAAAAATATTTATTCACCTTCAAATGTTTTTGGCAACTCACCGGCTGCCTTTAAGACAGGCTGTGCGGGCGTATTCGACGGTCGGAGTTGGTCCAAAAAAGTGGGGCGTCTTCAAAAAGTCGTTGCTGGCCGTTTCAGGGGTTGGTCTGGCGGTCTACGGATATGACTCCGTGCTGGGGGCCGGAGTCATCAACAGGAGCGTGCGATCCTTGTCCACGCTTTTGTTGATCTCGATCGATTATAAGCTCAACTTTGAAGAAGGCAAAGATATAGAAGCCTTGCACGAGCGCAACGCGCAGAGGCTGTACGACCTGCTCACTACGAACAAGGGGCTGTATATCAAGATGGGCCAGGTGATAGCCATCCAGGGAATGATGTTCCCGAAGCAGTACCAGAAGAAGTTTAGTCAGCTGTTTGATAAGGCTCCGAGAGAGGACTGGGAGGTTTGCGACCGAGTTTTGAGACAAGAGCTGGGTCCGAAGTATAGAACTGAGATCTTCGAGTCGATCGACGAGTCGCCCGTCGCAAGCGCGTCGATTGCCCAGGTCCACAAGGCGCGGCTGCGCACGGGCGAAGAGGTGGCTGTCAAGATCCAGCACGAGTCTGTAAGCAAGCAGATGTGGCTGGACCTCGCGACCTATCGATTTGTGATGAAAGTGTACGAGTGGGCATTTGACATGCCGTTAACTGCCACCGTGCAGTATGTTTGCAACAAAATGCGCGAGGAGGTCGATTTCGGGATCGAGATGCGTAATGGTAACCTGATAGCGTCGCTGATCGCGAGGGATCCGGAATTCAGGAAGACCGTGTACATTCCCAAATATTTTCCGCAAGCGTCTTCTAGACGGGTACTGACAGCCGAGTGGATAGATGCCGATCCTGTTGGGGACTACTTGAAGCTCAAGGACAAAGGATACGACATCAAGAGCCTCATGAACACAATCATCAGGGTCTATTCACGCCAGGTATTCTACTGGGGGCTGGTCCATTGCGACTTGCATCCGGGAAACTTATTGGTGAGGCATTTGCCCGACAAAACGCAGCAGCTGGTGATTTTGGACCACGGTTTGTACGAGCACTTTGGAGACAAATTCAGACGCGAGTACGCGCAGTTTTGGAAGTACACGTTCGAGCTGAACCCGGAGAAAGTCAAGAGCGTGCTGCTTGAGTGGGGGATTAACGCAGATGACATTATGCTCGGGCTGTCGTCGATGGACCCGAGCAAGAACAAGGCGTTGAAAGAACACATCAAAGGGCTTAGCAAGAAGTCGTATTTCGAGAGACAGGCCATCATCAGAGACAAGATGCGCGAGTTCTTCAAAAACTCAGACAAGTTCCCGATGACACTCACCTTTATCATGCGCAGCATGCGTATAGTGCAAGGACTGAATAGAAACTTCGGGTCGCCCTGCAATAGAGTCGATATCCTGGCAACCGAGGCCGCGAAAATCGTCAAGGTGTTCGACCTGGACGACGACAGGTTCCAGTTTGTGCTGAAGCGATTTGTCACATATAACCTGTTCCGGCTGGTGTCGTTTATCCAGTACCATTTCAACAAGCTGCGTCAGCATTTGGCCTCGTGGTTCCGGCGAGAGCCAGTGCAGGATCTGGAGGAGGTTTACGAGAAGCAGATGATTGAGGCCAGCAAGGGAATTGGATTTGAAAGCGTGCCTACAACTAAAGAGCTGCTCGATAGCTGATCTGTACATAGATAGATTCATAAATAAAAATGGCAGTGTATTTTTTTTCCTGGTTTTTCATTATTATAGGTAATGGCAAAGTGTTTCTGACTGTTTGTTGACATTGATACATTTTGACAGATGGGCTTGACGGGCCTTCCACACAATGTGCACCTGGAAATTGTCAGGCATCTAGGCCTGCCTGACAAGCTACGGCTAGCGTACTCGTGCGCTCTCTTGTACAAAACTGTTGTCCCCCAGATATACGCTCGACTTCTATATTTGAGCAACGATGCGGTGTGTCCCAAAAATTTCGATGTCGAGCTGATCTCAGACCAGTACACTATCATCGGGAAACATCGGCTGGCGAAGTTGCTCAGTGCGTTGTCTCAGACTTCGTGCTTGAACTTCCAATACGCCGACCTGGTCATCGAGCTTTTGTTGCAGGATGCCGAGTCCGAAAGTAGGACCCTAATAGAATGGAGAGATCGCTGCCCCCAGTTTCCCAACCTTGTCCGGTACAAGTTTCCTGAGACTGTGGCGATATCTCCTCTGAGCCATCTCCAAGCCCCTAATCTCGAGACGCTAAGGGTGGACGTGAATTTTTGTCGGGAGACAGAGAAATGCAACGGCATGGTCAGCTTCGTCAGCTTGGCACAGCTGCGACGGCTGGTTTTCGCAGGAAAGCTCGGGCCAAACGAGGACATGGTGATCTTCAAGCTGTTGACGACGTATCCGCATGCCATGAAACGTCTCACCGAGCTGAGGTTCGAGGTGGACTCCGAGTCCGGCGACCGCGCGTACCGGCGGGTGGTCGGGGTAATGGCGATCTGGCGCAAGATCGGCTTGCTACTCAACAACTTGACCAAGCTTGCGCTCCCGCTTACCAACCACTCGACAGCAGTCATTCTGAACCTTATCAGCAAGCACGTGCACTTCGAGCACCTGACCAGCTTGGAGCTGTTTATAGAGGACGACGGCGGGGTGCTGAATCTTATCAACACGACGCAGCATTTGGCGTCGCTTCTCAGGTCCAGAGGCCAGAATCTGCGTGAACTTTCCATCCATTATAGATTAGCCAAGCCGGACAGCGAGAAAAATCACCTGCGCTCGATAATGCTTCTGAAGTTCACAGAAACGTTCAAGAATCTGCGCAAGCTTGCCATCGACCTCAAAATCGAGGGCCTCGACCTTTCCAACCTGCTGATGATGGTGGGGACGCCGCTCTCGAACAACACCTCGTCGCTCAGAGACTTCCGGCTCAACATCGACACTCCTTCGGAAAACCTTGTTGGCAACTTGCTTAACAATCTGGACGACGTCCAGGACCTGTTTCCACAACTCAACTACGTCTACGACTGCTCGTGTGAAAATTGTAGGCGCATCTGTGACAAAATGGCACATCTTCCGCCAGCTATTGTGAAAGAGGCCATCAGAGTGTCCACGATGATGATCATCGGAAACGAACTAGACTATTTTCAGCGCCAGACAGACACATCCAAACCGTTTGCACGCTTTTTCCGCTCGGACCTGGGGGCCAATGGGTATCTATTTGACCACTTTGCTGGCAGCCAGCTCAACTCGTCGCTGAAAGTCTTTTCGAATCTCAAAATCTTTGAGGTTTGCGGTCTTATTTACCACAGATACGGCACTGAGTTCAGGCTACTGTTTGGAAACCCCTACACAGGACTCAGCAGGGAATCTGAGTCGTCAGTGGTTGAAATGGGGCTTGTGCTGTCCGGCAATCTGTAGTATATATATATTTATAAAAGTTTTGGCTGTGCCAAAAAATAATTTGGACCATGTCTCTTTTCAAAAAAGACCCGGGACTCAAATCGCTTTCGAATCTCAAATCTTCTGAGCGCAGAAAGCTATACGCTGCTATTTGTAGCCAGTATGGGCTGGATGAGCAGGCTTTGGCTAGTGACGGTTGCGCGTCGCTCGTTTTGCCTCCAGAAGTCAAATACGCTACATTCAAATCTCCCCATGCTCGGGGCACGCTGTACACGGATTTGGAGGGCGTTCCCATCTGGTTCCAAACGAGAGACTCTGAGCTGCTACCAACCCTTTTTACACTGTGGAAATATCCTTACATTGTGCCATTTGTCAATACCCACCAGTACGTTATAGAGCGGCTTGTTAACGGCTCGAATCTCATGCTTCCAGGCACAATTCCCCCGTTTCCTGAGGGTGCCAAACAGGGCAAGGTGGTAGCTGTTGGCGATTACAAGAAGCCAAACGTTGCTGTCGCTGTTGGATACTGCCAAATGGATTTAGGCGGCGTGACAGATGTCGTTGGAACCCATGGCGTAGCCGTTGAGATAGTCCACGTCTATCGAGACTGGCTGTTTACATTGGTCAAGGGAGTAAAACTTCCAGACAAAACTAATGTTTTGCCTACCAGTGTGTCTGTGCAGAAGCAAGAGTCTTACCAAGAGGAAGTGGAAGAAGCTACACACAAACTTGAAGAGACAGATATGTCAACCTCATTGACTGTCCAGGATATGGACGACATGTTCTTCCGGGCAACTCTGTACTCAATCAGTCAGGATACCATTAATACACCTATCAATGCGTCATTGTTCATGTCGGGCCATGTGTACAAGAACTTCCCTCCCATGGACAGCAATCTGATCAACATAAAAAAGACATCCTGGAAAAAGACTGCAAAGTATCTCAAAGCGATGGAAAAGGAAAATCTGCTGAAACTAAAAGGAAAGGGCGACGACGTGGTGGTTGTGTGGGTAAACAAGGAACACGAAAAGGTGAAGCGATTCGAGCCATACAGAGTTAGGAAAAATAAGTCTGGGGAAGCATCGAAAAAAGATACAGAGTCAACAGAGCTGCAAGTGACGCAGCTGTACAAAGCGCACTCTTCAGCATCAAATTTTCTCCGTCTGTTGGATTCGTCGCAAGATTACTATACTCTCCAAGAGATTAAAGCATTGGTTGGTAAATACATACAAATACACCATCTGGTGAGCAAAAACGACCCAAAAAGCATCACTGCGGACGAGCCGCTGCAACGGTTGCTGAAGACTGTCACGATTGAGAGAGCGAAGGTGGTGGACATTCTGGTGAAACAGCATTTCTCGCCGTACTATAAGGTGAGTCGTGGAGATGAGTCTACCAAGCCCAAGAAGGGACAGGTGCCTATAATCAAAATTGTGGAAGAAATGAAAATCGGACGCAAAATCATCACCAAGATCATCGGCGTGGAGGAGTTTTTGATCGATCCCGAAGAGGTCAGCTCCATTTTGAAAGTCAAGTGTTCGGGTTCCACCACCGTCGCTGCCAACGTTCAAAATCCAAAACTCGTGGAAGTCAGCGTGCAAGGCCCGCATTTCAAAACGGTCCAGGATCTTCTAATCAAGCAGTACGGGATGAAGCCAACATGGATCGAGTACGAAAACAAGCTGAAGAAAAATCGGTGACTCACTCGGTCTTGCCAGGTTCCTGCACGAGTTTAAACTGGTTTCCGTACTTCTTGAGAGCTGACTTCGCGTTGATCCAATATTGCTTGATCTGAGGAGACACAGAAGGATGCGACAGAAGGCCGTCAATTCTCACCTCTAACTTCTTGAAACACGATCTAGTGAAAATCGATTTCTCGTATCTGAACTTAATGAACGCTCCATAGACAACCAGAGCAATCCAGAACCCTTTGGACCACAAAAGTGCCCTGAAAACAATGTAGACAAAGGTGGAAATCTCAAAATTGGCAGCATAGTACATGGACAAGTCGTTGTAGTTGGCAACAAACGAACCAAGCTTGTTGGCAAGGGCTTCCTGGTTTTTGAGTCCCAATTTTGGCAAAACCGCTCCCCTGATGTACGTGATACAGTGGAAGAACGAAAAAAACACAAAGGGGAAGATGGACAGAGAAATAACAGGCAAAACCAGTAGTAGAGCCAAAGCAATTAAGATATATTGGACGTTATCGTCCGCAAGAACCACCTTGGGGTTGTTCAGTTTCAGGCTGCCAGCCTTCCACGATTGATGGATAATGATTCCAAACGACTCAATCACAGACAGATAAATCAGAGTGTAGCTGAATTTGTGGAAAGAGCCCCTCGATCTGTAAGTAAGAAAATAGACAAGAGAGTAGAAAAGTGTGGTGACATGGCCGGCAAACCAGGCGAATTGAGCGGTCTGCACCAGTTCAATAAGCTGATCTTTTAAAGGCTTTGCTGGGGCGGCGGCTTTTGGACTTGACATTTGCTAACTTTCAAAAATGGCGCAACTCAGCTTGAAATAAGGACTTCTAACATTTTTTTGCTGCTAACTTTGCACAAATTTCAGCTTGTCTTTGAAGGCTGTGCTGGGTGGAAAAAAAAAATTTATGTACAAAATATAGAGCATGAAGCAGAAAAGAGCAAAGCAGTACCGCAAACAGATCCACCAGTATATCTCGACGTTCAAGTTCAAGCCGCCTATACAGTGCATAGTTGATGACAACGTGATCTTGGAGTGTGAAAGAACCAAGTTCGATGTGATTAAGGCGATTTCCAGGACCGTCCAGACAGAGGTGAAGCTCATGATCACCCAGTGCTGCATAAACCATTTGTATGAGACGCGCAACCAGCCGGCAATCGACATTGCTAAAAAAATGGAGAAGCGGCGCTGTAACCACAAGGAAACACAGAGCAGCAAGGACTGCATAGGCTCGATCGTTAACATAGATGGCAAGAACAAGCACAGATATTTGGTGGTAACTCAGGACGACCGGCTGCGCCAGTCTTTGAGAACTGTGCCTGGAGTTCCTCTAATTTACATGAAGCGATCAGTGATGATCATGGAGCCGATGTCGCCTGTTTCTGAGCGGGTGGTCCAGGAGACAGAGGCGAGAAAATTAACGAGCTACTTGAACGATCCGCGTGCGGGAGTGCAGGAGCAAGATGGAGCAGAGATAGAGGAGCAGGGTCCAGCCAAGAAGAAACGAAAGGGTCCCAAGGGGCCGAATCCTCTAAGTGTGAAAAAACCAAAGAAACAAGAGGAGCCAGAAAAAGGAGGCAGCAAACGGAAAAGAAAGCGGGCCCACAAACGAGGTAGCAAGACACACGAATCTTCTGAAATTGGGAAGTCGGACGAAAAGGAAAACGTGGAACTCTTGCACTCTGAGAAACCCAAAGAGAACGACGTTGAATAGGCGGTTGAGCTAAAACGATATATTTGTCTGTATAGTACACTGGTAGCAATGCTGGTATGTAGATTATTTCTGCGAGATGTACAGCACGTTATTTCCTCTGAGAAACACTTCTTCGTAATTTCTGACCTTGTTGTTTTCAACCATCTCAACGGTGTCCTTGAGAACGACGTTCATATAGCCGTCAATGGAAGCAAGAACCCCGTGGTATTCGAGGCCATGCTGAAGCTTGACCACAACCGGCGAGTTTGTCATTTCGGCAAGAAAGTTGGACGTTGACGACATTGGAAAATAAGTTGAAGAAAAATTAAATTATTATTTCTTATCCTATGTTTAGAGTAGTGCGTGCGATCCGGTTTTATTCCACGAGCCAGGCCGGCGCCGATGCGAAAACCAAAGTGGCTGGCATGATGCCAGATGCCAAACTGCTCAACGAGAAACTCAAACAGGAGCGGGATCTGCGGCGAGAAAGAAACAAGCTCGCTCTTTCCTCAATTAAGGACATCTTTGCAATATTTTCTCCTACCGCAGGAGACGACGACGAGTTTGACACTGCAAACTTCGATCCCATGCCCGTGTACAAGAACCCGGAAACGTATCTGAAACTGCCTCTACCAAAACAGCATCACATTCTGGAGGAGCTCGAGGACAAGTTCAAACGCAAATGGACGAGAATCGACAAAGACAGGAAACGGTTCATTTATTGGCTGGCATATGGACCCCATGGGCCTCGTGAGGGGTTTGTCACAGAGCATAGGAAGACTGTGGTTCCAGAGAAGAAAAAAGCGGATACTCTTCTTGATCAAATTATTGCAGAAACAGAGTCACAGAAATATAAAGTGGAGGTCGATGAGTACGTGCCGCCAGATCTGCCGTTCCGCACGCCGTCGGTCCTCAAATCTGTGAACCCAGCCAGAGACACGATTGCATCCCCACTACCGCCTCGCGACCCGCGTCTCTTCGGTCCCAAGAGACTCGAACAGAACAAAAAGGACAGGAAAATGAACCCGTACAGCCAATTTGTCCTGGGATTCCTTATGGTGCTCACTTTTCTCAACTACCGCAAAGACAGAGAGGTGAACAGCACCGGAAAGGTGCCAGACTACGAGTATTTGCAAAACGATAACCTTTTGCAGATAGACGACCTTAGTAAAAAACTCGCCCAGGCGGTCAAATAGACATGACTTGTGCTCTCTAACGAACTATATGCTATTATGGTCGCTACTCTTTGTTGTCCGCCTCTCCCTTTTCCATACCGTCCTCGTCGTCCTCGTCGTCTTCGTCCTCGTCGTCGTCGTCGTCGCCTACATCCATCATGTCTTCTGTCCAGCTCTTCTCAACAGTCTGTCTAACTCGTTTGATGTACTGGCTGCGGTGGTCTTTGTACAGGTTGGCGGCCTCCACGTTGGCCGGCGAACTGATATTCGGATCGTTGAGGAGCGACTGGATCGACGTCAAGATCGAGGCAACGTCGTAGGTCGGCGACCATCTGTTCTGCAAGATATCTAAGCACAATTCCCCGGACCCGTAGACATTTGGATGGAACATCTCAGACGTGAACCGCACATTAGGTGGTTTATTAGGGTATTGCTCATCAAATGTTAGTCGCAGTCTGAACGTACCGTCCTCGTACGGGGTATCTTGCGGACCGATAATGATTCCGTTCCAAATCATCACATTGTCAGCTAAAGGAGATGCAGACACACCTCCAGCGGAGTCCTGCTGGATCCGCTTGAAATCCCTCATCAGTCTTCTTCTCGCAGGCGTTGACATTTCCTAACGTAGTTTTTGCCAATGGAACGAAAAAGAATATGCTATTAAAATATAAATATCGCCATCGCTTATGTAAGACCTTTTTTTTCCCTCGCTTACTATCGCGCTCTGGATAAATCTACAAAGGTTGTCCACCCCACTCCATTTGGTGGGGCAACTCTGACGGACTTGAGAGTGTAGAGTGACAAAAACGGATAACTGGGCTTTCCATGTAGATGTTGCCACTAGGCGTAAAAAAATACAAGGAGAGCTCCCATGCCGGGACTCGAACCCGGAATCTTTTGATTAGGAATCAAACGCGTTAACCATTACGCTACATGGGTCCCTGCAAAAAAAAATTTGGGCCTCAGAAATTTTGAGGGGATCGGGTTTTCGCTCGTTATTCTTCATCGCTTAATTCCTGCTCTATAAACCGAGATATGTATCTTGGAGTACCATATAGAAATTCAATTGTTCCTGCATTGCTCAAGATCAGCTGGTCTCGATTGAACATCGAAAAGTCATTAATCTCTAGAATTAGATAGCCAGGAAACAAGCTAGCCGTTGGCTTGAACTTTAATCCATCGAAAATCCTTTGTACTTGATCATCATTGTAAAACCTTACTGTAAATGAGTGGATCATAATCTCCGAGTTCAACAAATTTTGCGTGACCCTGCGCCGCTCCTTGCGCTCAAAAGCTGCAATAGCTTTATAGTTCGCAAAGGCGAGAATCTTGTAATTTGCATCGCACAAGCATAGAGGAAGCGAGGACAAGGTGTTTGATCTGGGATATATTCGCAGCACTTTTAGAACTTTGTCAACCTTGTAGTTGTGGCCAAGTTCCTCCTCACAAAGCACTGGCTCAAGCCAATGCTTCATGTGGGCACTGGCAGTCACCCGAACTGCGTCTCTCGAGGAAGGCGGCATCGTGGGGGCGAGTAAGTAAAGAACGGCGCTGATACGCTTACCTAATTGTTTAGGTCAGCAAATGCCCTTGGTTGCACGAGGCAGATCTGAGCTGTAGGATGCGTCCTGTTTAAGCTCGGAGATTGCGTGATCGATAACCAGGGCTTATTCAGAATCCAATTGAGCCAGATATGGCGAGTTGAGTCGGGATGGAAATTTCTAGAAGGATTTAAGTCGTGCAACAAGTGAAAAACTCGTCGAAATCAATTTTTTGAAGCTGTAGGTCGTTCTAGTACGATCAATGGCAATACTATATATATGCATTGTGGTCCAACTGGCCAAATCTTTTCATAGAATTGTTTTCTACCATTTCTTAGAATAGAATTATAGAAATTAATATGTCTAAAGCAGTCGGTATTGACTTAGGTACTACCTATTCGTGTGTTGCGCACTTTGCCAACGACAGAGTCGAGATTATCGCCAATGACCAAGGTAACAGAACTACTCCATCGTTCGTTGCCTTCACCGACACTGAGAGATTGATCGGTGACGCCGCTAAGAACCAGGCTGCCATGAACCCAGCCAACACTGTGTTCGACGCCAAGAGACTGATCGGCAGAAAGTTTGACGACCCAGAGGTTCAGGGTGATATCAAGCACTTCCCATTCAAGGTTGTCGACAAGAGCGGCAAGCCACAGATCCAGGTCGAATTCAAGGGTGAGACCAAGGTGTTTACTCCAGAAGAAATCTCGTCTATGGTGTTGACCAAGATGAAGGAGACCGCCGAGTCTTTCCTCGGAACCACCGTTAAGGACGCTGTTATTACTGTTCCAGCTTACTTCAACGATTCCCAAAGACAAGCCACCAAGGATGCCGGTTTGATTGCTGGTCTTAATGTCATGAGAATCATTAACGAGCCTACTGCTGCCGCTATTGCCTACGGTCTGGACAAGAAGAGCCAGGGTGAACAGAACGTTTTGATTTTCGATCTTGGTGGAGGAACCTTCGATGTTTCGCTTCTGTCCATTGAGGACGGTATTTTCGAGGTCAAGGCTACTGCCGGTGATACCCACTTGGGAGGTGAAGACTTCGACAACAGACTGGTGAATCACTTCATCAACGAATTCAAGAGAAAGAACAAGAAGGACATTTCTGGCAACCAGAGAGCTTTGAGAAGACTCAGAACCGCCTGTGAGAGGGCCAAGAGAACTCTTTCCTCTTCCGCTCAGACGTCTCTGGAGATCGACTCGCTGTACGAGGGTATTGACTTCTACACCTCGATCACCAGAGCCAGATTCGAAGAGCTCTGTCAGGACCTGTTCAGATCTACCTTGGACCCTGTCGAGAAGGTGCTGAAGGATGCCAAGCTTGACAAGTCTCAAGTCAACGAGATTGTGCTTGTTGGTGGTTCCACCAGAATTCCAAAGGTCCAAAAGCTCGTTTCTGACTTCTTCAACGGCAAGGAGCCAAACAAGTCCATCAACCCAGATGAGGCTGTTGCCTACGGTGCTGCTGTGCAGGCTGCTATCTTGACCGGTGACACTTCCTCCAAGACCCAGGACCTGTTGCTGTTGGACGTTGCTCCACTCTCTCTCGGTATCGAGACCGCTGGTGGTGTCATGACCAAGCTGATCCCAAGAAACACCACCATTCCAACCAAGAAGTCTGAGATCTTCTCTACGTACTCCGACAACCAACCAGGTGTGTTGATTCAAGTTTACGAGGGTGAGAGAGCCAGAACAAAGGACAACAACTTGCTTGGTAAGTTCGAGCTCTCTGGTATTCCACCAGCTCCAAGAGGTGTTCCTCAAATTGAGGTTACTTTCGATATCGACGCCAACGGAATTTTGAATGTGTCCGCTGTTGAAAAGGGTACCGGAAAGTCTCAGAAGATCACCATCACCAACGACAAGGGTAGATTGTCGCAAGAGGAGATCGAGAGAATGGTCTCTGAGGCCGAGAAGTACAAGGAGGAGGACGAGAAGGAAGCTAAGAGAATTGCAGCTAAGAATGGTCTTGAGTCCTACGCTTACTCATTGAAGCAAACCACTTCCGAGAAGCAATTTGAAGAGAAGGTGGAAGCTTCCAAGAGAGAGGCTTTGACCAAGGCTTGCGATGACACCATTGCTTGGTTGGACGAGAACCAGACCGCTACTGCTGAGGAGTACGACGACAAGAGAAAGGAGTTGGAGCAAGTCGGTAACGAGGTTCTGAAAGACTTGTATGCTGAGGGCGGTGTGCCAGGCGGTGCTCCAGGTGGATTCCCAGGTGCCGGTGGCGCCCCATCCACTGAGGAGACTCAAGGTCCAACTGTTGAGGAGGTTGATTAGATATAGAGTAAGCTAATGTGATCTGTTATTTGTGATAGGGAAAGGAAGAGTGAGCAGTATTGAACTTCGCTGGTGTAGTAAGGGTTAAAAAAATAGGATGTTTGCAAAAAAAGAAAGCACCCAAGCCGGGAGTCGAACCCGGAATCTTTTGATTAGAAGTCAAACGCGTTAACCATTACGCTACTCGGGCTAACTCTGCCTGGATAGAGGGGAGGCACATCTTGTTGGAGACGACTATCGGTAGAGAAATAAAAGTCAGAAATAAAATATCAATCCGCTAGCGTTGATGTCTAAACAAATTAAACAACTTGGAGACGACGTCTGGAAGACCAAGGTCGAGAAAGTGAACTCGGAACTGTTCACGCTCACTTACGGGTCGATAGTTGCGCAGCTTTGTCGCGACTTCAATAACAATTACGAGGAGGTGAATGCGCAAACGTACAAAATGGGCTACAACATCGGCGTGCGTCTGATTGATGAGTTCCTACAAAAGACACAACTTTCGCGATGCAGCAGTTTCCGCGACACGGCGGAAATCGTGTCCAAAGTTGGGTTCAAGATGTTTCTGAATATCGTGCCTACCGTCACAAACTGGACCTCAGACATGACTACGTTCAGTCTTATCCTGACTGAAAATCCTCTGGCAGATTTTGTGGAGCTGCCTGACGACGGCAAAGCCGTCAAGGAACTGTGGTACTCAAACATCTTGTGTGGTGTTTTGAGGGGAGCCTTGGAGATGGTCCAGCTAGATTGCGAGGTTGGGTTCATCAGCGATGTTTTGCGAGGCGATGAGACTACAGAGTTACGTGTGCGGTTGGTGCAAGTGCTCAGAGACGAGATTCCTGCTGGCGAGGAATAGATGATCAAAATGGCATCCTCAGTCATGGTTGTCTATCATAGTGATCAGGTAATGTAGATAAGGATAGAAAAAGACTCATCATAGGTTGCCATTTGTTCACTCTGCCAACGAACCGTCCGCCTGGACTGAACTTTTGCAGGGGATGTAATATGTAATTTTTTTTTTATTCGAATTCTAGTTTTATTTAATTTAAACTTTTCTGTCACCGTTCTTATGGTTAATTAATAAAGGTACCAGTTTGTCATCATGGCTAGTTCAAGCACAGAAAACTTGGCCGCAACGGCGGCCGCTGATGAGGACGGCATTGCTTTGTCTGCTCGTGCTCAGGAAGGATTAGAGAATTACATACACGACCTCTCTTTGAATGACAACCAGAAACTTGCCGGAACAGATGAAGAGTTACTGCAGGACACCGATCAGCAAGAAGAACCCACGGGCAGCTCTGTTGTAGCTGACAAAGTGCGTGATTCCGCTGCCTCGATCTCCGACCACACAGCTGTCGAGTCTCCTTTGGAGATTACTCCCCCATTAGATGTTCACCATTCTTCTGTTCCAGATACGCTCTCCGCGCAGTCGGGAAACTCCATCGATGACATTTCACGCTCTATCGACGAGTTTGCTAATGGCCTGACAGACGAAGACGCCAAACAGGAGGAAAACGAGGAGGATTTGGTTGAGCCAGAAAATAAAGCACGGGTCAAGCCTGGGGCGGAAACAGAGGAGTTTAGAGGCCAGTTCTTGAACGATTTCGACACTAGCGAGGAACAGGAGCTTTCAGAGATACATAATGATACCATTCGCACCTCGTTCGACGCATCAACAGACACTTCGTCGAATCGTGCTCCCGACGATCAGTCGTCGTTGTCGTACTCTTCTCGCCTCTCAAACTCCCCATCAGACAGGTTTTCGTGGCAACAGAATGACGACAAATTTCTGCTTGCAGGCCACGATACAAGATCGGTGAGCTCCTCGGGCTCCTTGTCGACCGGCCGCACTTACGATTTGTCAGACAGCTACTCCGAAAGCGTACTGGGAGAAGAGTCCGAGGCAGACCAGTTCAGACAGAATTTTGTGCGCCAGAACACAAAAGACACGGTCAGACCGGTGCGATCTGAGACTCTGGGGTCTTCAGTGTACGAAGATCCTAGAAGCGAGAGATACCAGGGAAGAGTGCCCATAGTGAAGCCCCCTATTCAGCAGACCCGAGTGCGATCCATGTTGATTGACGACGTCCCGGAGCCTCGCACCAACAGTCTAGGTGCAAGCGAGACGTTGCAAGACACCAAGGAGACAAAGGAGACTATCAAGGAGACACCTGCCATAACGGCTTTTCCCAACGCGGACGTGAAAAAAATCATGCAGCTACCGACGACCAAGAAGCGGCTTGCAGCGCTGCAGAAAGCAAGACAGGAGTTCATGGAGTACGACACTGGGCTGTCTGGGTACCTGCACGAGGCCATCAAGGCGGGCTCCAAGTCGTTTGCCAACACTGACTCACAACTGGGGCCAAACGTGCTGAACGCGTTCAAGAACTCAGACCAGTACCACTCAAGCACCCCGTCAACAGCAGAGCTGGCAAACGACCTTCTACGCACCTCGTCTGTGATCAAACAGAAAGGACGCAACTTGCTACGAAAAATACATCTAAAATGAGTACATTACTGACGTTCCTGCAACTGTCCACCTGCTACCCGCACTTGCAAATCCATGAGCTCCTTCAGCCGGTGACAGCCCTCTATACCCAGGCTGATGAGTCTTTCTAGCTTGTCGAGCGGCAGCTTATCCTCGCACAGAGTCAGGTTGATCTTGTCGGAATCGCCAACCACACCGATCGTGATGAAGCTGAGATCGTTTTCTTCAAGCGCGTTCATGTCCAGCAGCGGTGTCTGGTCGTACAGCCCCACGCTCACGGCACTGACGTAGTCGTATAGCGAGATTCCGGCGTCGATCAGCGCCAGAGTGATGGCGTTGCAGAAACAGGCCAGCAGACCGCCGTCCATCGCCAGCACCGTGAGATTAATGTCTATGGCTGTTCGTGAGTAATTTTTCAACACTATAGTTTTCATGAAGCAACGTTTGAGAATAATGCTGATTTCCTGTAATCGTCTATCGTTTTTTGGTCGTTTCTTTCTCTCATTAGATGCAAACGGCGGATAGTTGATGTTGAGAGATAGGACTGGCCCGTTAGGGTCCAGCTTTGTTCCTGCTGCGAGATTCGCCCCGTGTTCCATCGGGCCCTTCACCAGACATAACACCTTAGAGTTTCCCTGCTGGACGTACGACGACCCATCGGCTGCATTCGGATGTGTGTTGATCCGGCACTCAAATCGTCTGAGCTCGTTCCACCGTCTTCCATCCACCCTGAGACCTTCAGGCGAATACAGTTCGAGTCTGCTCATTAAATATATTTTTTTAGAGTTTTAAATTTTTCCGGCTGCTACAACCCGATGCTGGAGTCGTCAGTGGACTGGGACTTGCTAGCTCAGACATGGGATAAATTCAAAAGCTGTGTGATTTGGTTCAATGTGAGTATCCGACTGTGCTTCTGGGCTAACTGTGCAGTACACTGTGTCGATGATCATCATCACGCCATGGCTGCTATTTATTCTTGCAGATCTGGTGGTGTACATTTTCCGTGTGTGTTGGGACGCTGTCGCGTATTGTCTTGAAAAAGCTCTGTGTCGCCATGAGGCTGTAAAGGCCGTCAAAACCGAGTGACCCTAGTGCTTATACGATCTTGTGCTGTGTACTACTTAGGTATGTAAAATCGCCGCGACAAAATTATTTATTAAACTATGAGTGACCAAGAATCATCTGAGACAAGGACCAAAATAGAGCTAAAAGAGGAAGAAAAGGCTTCTCAGGAGACATCAGAGCCGGCTGTGATTGCTGAGAAGGCCGACCAGGCGTCTTCTGATGCTGCCCCACCGCCAATGCCAAAAAGACCAGTGTCTGCAGCCGAACGGGCGATCCAAGATCTCAAGGAGGCGTTTCCGACTGTAGAGGAGAAGTACGTGAAAATGGCATTAATTGCGTCTCAGGGCCAACTGGACCCTGCGTTCAATGCGCTGCTGTTTTTGTCGGACCCTTCGTCGGACATCCCAGTGCCTGTTATGGAGACCAAGCCAAAGTTGCCATCGAAGGACTCGTTTGAGCATCGGCGGCAGCTGGAGTCCGACGAGGCGCTGGCCCGTCGGCTGGCCCGCGAGTACGAAAAACGCGGCTCTCGCCCGAAAGCTGCGCCCCCAAAGCCCAAGAAGAAGCCCGTTTGGGCTGCAATCGAGGACGGCTCCGATGACGAGGAGGACTTTGTCGACTCGCTGGCGAAAAACGTCGAGGAGGCCAGAAATACCGTTGGCGGCTGGGTGAGCAATTTGGCCAAGAAGATCCAGAAGGAAGTCAACACCGTGCAGCAGGGCCAGGGCGAGAACCAGCTGTTCAATGCGTTTGGCAGGAAATCCAGCATGCAGTCCAGCAGGAGCCGCGACGATAGCCAAACGCCTCCTCCGCCTCCGGTGAGACCTCCACGTCCGCAGAAGACGAGCTCTGTGGCTGAGTCGCACAAGAGCGAGGAGCTGGAAGAGCAAGTTGCTGGAATAAAGCTCGAGGACGCTACAACCGATACGAAAAAGAAACACGAATCCATCTCGGCGATCCAGCCGGAGCCCGTTGTGGACGACACGTTTGCTGTGGACGACAGCGACGAGGAAGACGACAAGAAGGAGGAAGATAAGGAAAAGTAGTGTTGTCTATGTTTCTAGTATCAACCAATGTGTGCTAAAAATCCGCTGTCTGTGTAGCGGCCGTCGTTCATCACGGTCTTCATCACGCCCGGGAGCACCTCCACCTGTATGGTCTCCACAGGGAAATTTTCTCCGTCGACGGAAATGTAGCTAGTGCGGCCCTTTTCCAGCATCGGCACCAGTTTCAGCGACTCCACCTTCAGATGGTCCACGTGGTCATGCCACACGTGCAGACCCTTGTCGAGCTGGAGGAGGCTGTGCGCTGACCTCCACACCTGTGCGCGGCCGTCAAAGAGCACAAGGTCGATCGCGCCGTCGTTAGGCAGCGCAGCAGGGAAAAAATCCACGTCTTTAGCGATGTACGGTAGCTTCCCCGTATAAAAGATGGACAGATTCTGTGTGACGTTGTCGTCCAGCCATTCCCAGCCTGCTGGCAGCCGGTCGTCGTCGAACAATTGCCCGTCAAAATACTTCGGCTTGAGAGCGTCCTCGTCCAGCGGTTTTGTCACGCCATGCTGCTGGTACTGAGACTTGTAATGTTCCGAAAGTTCCTTTTTGTCACTGGTGATCCGCTTGACCGCCACGCGGCAGGGGAACTGTTTCCTGCGCAGAATGTTGATCAGCACCCCAATGTCAAAGCGAATTTTTCCAATAAACCTCATCCACTCGGTGCCTATGTCTGCCTCGGCAATGATACCATACGTCTGACTCAAAAACGAGATTCGAGGGCTGCTGCTCTTGGAGCAAACAAGCATCAGATCGCTGCGCACCGTGTGGCCCTTGATGATTTCCAGAGTCGCCAGTCCTGGTTTCAAAGTGCCCAGACACGAGAGAGCCATGGCGTTGCCCGATCCGCACGGAGTCTGCGCGATAAAGAGCTTTTGAAACGCCTTGACCCGATCTTCGCGGCTATATATGCCGTTCAGTACTTCGTGCGGGATTCCGTCACCTGAAGCACAGATGACTCCGTCGTATTTATCGATATCCACATATTTCATGTATTCTGTAGCATGGCCAGAATATTCCGTCTTGACCAGCTCCACGTGGTACCGCGCGGCGCTCAAAACAGGCTTCACATAGTGCTTGTACAAATGAATCGCCTTACCCTTGCCACTGTGCGGGTTCACAAACACAATGACAGACTTCTTGGGCTCAGAGTTTGCGTATGCCAGAGCCATCAACTGCGACACAGAACACTTCGATCCGGGCTCGTTCGACCGCTGGCTGCCGGTCACATCAGCCACAATGGTCCGAACCTTGAAATGTGAATCCTGCTGCTCGACATAGGTGATTTCCATACTCTCATTTAGAGCTCTCTCAACCCAGACAATATTCTTGAAGGGGATAAGCGTGCCGCTGGAAAGCTCTTCAGAGTAGGTTTTGCCAGCCTGCTCAGACGGACTGCAACAAAAGCCTCCGTCAATATCTCTGTCACGGACAGTTTGGTCCGTCAAAAGACCGTGGTCTGTTATCTTGGCCAAAACCATTATAAAATCCTTTTTTTGTGCACCGCCTGAATTATTATTTCATGATTCGTTCGTTCATTACCTAGTCCTATTTAATTACCATACGCAGAAAACCCGCCAAAGGTCGACGTCGGAGGCGGATACCGCTGGAAAAACTTCGACTTCTTCGTCCGTCTGGCCCCTGGCGTCCGTGTGAGGAACTGTGTCGGGATCTTGTTTTCAATAGAGATCGAGCTTGTGGTAAAGTCCACCTTGATCTCCGGCTCCTTCGAGATCTGCTCCGTCACGAACCGAAGCCAGTACTCCTCAAAATCCTCGTCAACCATGTCGGCCGACTTGGTGGCTTTGAGAAAGTTGTGCAGCTCCTCCAAAGTCATCTCTTTGCCGTTCTTGCGACGCAAAATATCCAGCGTAAACTCGGTCATTAATTTGATCTTCTCGAGTCGGTTTTCGTCGTAGACGCATTGCTCCATCCGAGGAATTAGACCTAACAGCGACTGCCACGGTCTTGACACAGTGTAGCCGCTCTTGCACTCCAGTTTCGAGTCGTATCTGCAGATGGCGTGCTCGGGACAGGGAATGCATTGCGGCTTGATCTGCTCCAGAAATGCGTCAGCTTTGCTTGCGAACTGTGCCAAAAATTGGTTTTCTGTAGGCATCCACGACCGCACACTCCTTATCTCGCCCTCTCGACCACAAAATCCAACGTCAACGGCCATCGAGCGGTAGAAAAATAGCGACGATAAAATTGGCAGCAGCAAAAGTGCATACTTGTAACGCCTCTTCTGAACCGGCTTTGAGTCAACCACAACGACAGTCTCCTTTATCGTCTCTGGCTCTGCCGCCTCTGTTTGTTGTTCGCCATCTATTTCCACAACCTCGCGCACCTCGCTCTCTTGAATTTTCACCTCTGCTTCTTCCACTTCCGTATCCGAACTGTCAACATTCGTGAGTAGTTCCCTCTGCGTCATTTTTGTAGCGCTTGCTATCGTGCGCTCGTCGTCTCCACTCTCGTTATCAAGAATCCTATCAGGTCCCGCCAGCATTTCGTCAAGAAAAGATGGAACTTGAACATTCTCGACTGCCTCGAATGTGTTCTCCATCTCCATTTCAACTATCTGGTTTTTTGGCTCTTCCTTTTTCGGACTCACAAGTCTGGCAAGGATATCAGAAATGTCGCCCTCTTCAACCGGACTTTCGGACTCAAACTTCTCCAAAGACAGTGGAGATTTGATGGACTTACTAGACTTTGCTTCCTCAATTCTGCTGACAGTCGGCGATTCAGCGTCGTCGGAAACGCCATTCTCTTCCGTACTTCTCTTCTTTCTATGAAGCTTTTTCCTTTTAGGGGTGGCCTCCTCAGAGCCTCGTTTTTGCGGAACGGTCTGGTCTGGGGCAGGACTCAGGCTTTTACGCGATCCTTTGTCGGGAGTTGAGTATCTGGAGCTTTTCGCGCTTCTCTTAGATGGAGTGTTGGCCTCTTCTATATTCACGCTTTTTTCGATACTATTCTTGTACTCTTCGAGCCACTTGGCCGCGTTAGGGCGAATATACTCTTCATACAGCTGGATGAGTTCAGCTTTCTTTGCGCTGGACGGATAGTCAATTTTTCGGTCAACTAGAATCGATCTCAGGCGTGGCACAGTCACCTTGTGGGGATCAAAGTCTGGATCGAGATACTCCACGCTATCCATGACTAAAAGAATGGTATTGTTTATGTTTATGTTTAATTTTTAAAACACATCTGAACCTATTTGCAATTTGACAGAAAGTAGTGGAGCAAAAAAAATTTTCCAAATCCATCCTTAATTTACTATAGCTTAATGTCGAACCCTAACCAGCAAAACAATCAGGACGACTTGTCTCAGGGGATGCAGAGTTTGAACATGGGGGCCCAACAATTCAATCCGAATGCGGCTCCTTCGTTTGTTCCCGGCCAATTTGGACAGCAATTTGGACAGTACCAGCAATATAATCAATACCAACAATATAATCAGCAATACGGCCAGTACCAGCAATATGGCCAGTACGTGCCGCCACAGTCATTTGGCTACGATGCCCGCGACCTATATGCTGCTCAGCCACAACAACAGAGCAACCACATGTCTTTGGAAGAGTACCAGAAACAACAACAGGAGTCACTCAACAAGAGCACCAAGCCTAAGACCAAGTTGAAGTTGAACTTGAACAGCAGCACCGTCAAGGCACCTGTTAAGAAGAAGGAGGAGGTTAAAAAAGAGGAGCCGAAAGAAACAAAGCAAGAGACGAAACAGGACCCGAAACAGGAGACCAAGCAGGAGACCAAGCAGGAGACCAAGCAGGATAGCAAACCGGTGGTCAAGGCGGCTCCCAAGTCTGAACCAAAGGCTGACGCCAAAACCGACGCCAAAACTTCTTCCAAGCCACAGAAGACAGACAAGTCGGTGGCTCCATCTTCTGTCATCAAGGAACAGGAGCAACAACTGGACGAGTCCGTTTTGCAAGATATGTTTGGCGGAAAAGACCACATGTCGATTATTTTCATGGGCCACGTGGACGCCGGAAAAAGTACCATGGGAGGTAACATTCTTTATCTGACTGGAGCTGTTGACAAGAGAACAGTGGAAAAGTACGAAAGAGAAGCCAAAGAGGCTGGAAGACAAGGTTGGTACTTGTCCTGGATCATGGACACAAACAAAGAGGAAAGAAACGACGGAAAGACAATTGAGGTTGGAAAATCCTACTTTGAGACCGAAAAGAGAAGATACACTATTCTGGATGCTCCAGGCCACAAGCTCTACATTTCTGAGATGATTGGAGGAGCTTCTCAGGCAGATGTTGGTATTTTGGTTATTTCTGCCCGTAAGGGAGAGTACGAAGCCGGTTTTGAGAGAGGAGGACAATCCAGAGAGCATGCCATTCTGGCCAAGACTCAAGGTGTCAATAAGCTGGTCGTGGTGATCAACAAGATGGACGATCCTACCGTCAACTGGTCTGAGGAGAGATACAACGAGTGTATCAGCAAGCTATCCGCTTATCTGAAGGGTGTTGGATACCAAAAGAACGATGTTGTTTTCATGCCCGTTTCCGGCTACACTGGTGCAGGTTTGAAGGACCGTGTCAAGCCGGAAGAGTGCCCTTGGTACACAGGACCTTCCTTGCTGGAGTTTCTTGATAATATGCCTCTTGCTGCCAGAAAAATCAATGATCCATTCATGCTGCCAATTTCCGGTAAGATGAAAGACCTGGGTACAGTAGTCGAGGGAAAGATCGAGTCTGGACATGTCAAAAAGGGACAACAGCTGTTAATGATGCCAAACAAGATACAGGTCGAGGTGCTGACTATCTACAACGAGACAGAGGCAGAGGTCGACACTGCCGTTTGCGGAGAGCAGGTGAGAATGAAACTTAAGGGTGTTGAGGAAGAAGATGTGTCTGCCGGTTACGTGCTCTCTTCCACGCTCAACCCAGTCAAGACCGTGACCCGATTCGAGGCCCAGATCGCCATTGTTGAGCTCAAGTCCATCTTGTCCTCGGGATTCTCTTGTGTGATGCATGTCCATACCGCCATTGAAGAAGTCACATTTACAAAGCTGCTGCACCACTTGCAAAAGGGAACCAACAGAAAATCCAAGAAGCCGCCTGCATTTGCTAAGCAGGGTATGAAGATTATCGCCGAGCTGGAGACCGCCATGCCAGTCTGTCTAGAGACATACGAGGACTATCCGCAACTAGGCAGATTCACCCTCAGAGACCAGGGCCAGACCATTGCTATCGGAAAGGTTACCAAGTTATTGTAAGTAAGAATGATAAACGAGCTGCTATTTACATAAGAGACAAATGTATTGTGACTGGATGCTGTTCTGGTAATGCAATTCTCCATCTGCGGCCTTCCATGCTTCTGGCTGTATGTGGAAACCTCATACAGTTCTCTGTCAAGAAGTCCTCTCTTTAGCTCAGTTGGAAGAGCATGAGACTGTAATTGTACAAGAAATCTCAGGGTCCCCGGTTCGATCCCGGGAGGGGAGACTTTTTTTCCAGTTTACAACAAGCCCAAGATGCGCTCTCTGGCACTTCCTTTTAGTCCACCACACTACTTTCCTGTTGTATGGCCCTTGCTTCACTTGCAATCCAAGTTCATCCACGTTATCATACCGGGAAATTAATTTTTAGCATTTTTAAAAATTTGTGCGGTTTTAATTGACATTTTTTAATCATGAAGTTGGACACTATACACATGCGTTATCTCAATGCGGACGACTGGCGAGTACTTCAGGCCGTCGAAAACGGGTCTCGGAGCCACGAGGTTGTGCCTACGAAGCTTATAGGCCAGATAGCAAACCTCAAGACAGGTATGGGCTCTGCCAACAGAGCCATCTCTGATCTTGCAAAATTGAACCTCATCTCAAAGCTCCGAAACGCTAAGTACGATGGGTACCGGCTGACATACAACGGGTTCGACTATCTGGCTCTCAGGACATTTTTGCAGAGAAAAACCCTGGTCGAGCTCGGGAGCACTATAGGGGTTGGTAAAGAATCGGACATTTATGCAGGAAAGGACGGCGAAGGCAACGAAAGGGTGCTGAAGATCCATCGTTTGGGAAGAGTCTCTTTTCGCACAGTGAAAAACAAGCGGGATTATCTCCGGAATAAGGAGGCTCAGAGCTGGATGCATTTGTCGAAGCTGGCAGCAGAAAAAGAGTACGAGTTTATGACGATATTGTATGGGAACGGATTTGAGATCCCGCGGCCGCTAGACTATTCGCGCCATTGTGTTGTCATGGAGTTGGTGGAGGGCTTCCCGATGCGGCAGCTTCGTGAACATTTCCAATACAAAAGGCTATACTCGCAGTTGATGCAGTTTATGGTGAAATTAGCCAACCATGGACTTATTCACTGCGACTACAACGAGTACAACATCATGATCAGAGAGGACGGCTCCTACGACTCGGCCACAGAGCCTGGGTTCCTAGTGATCGACTTCCCGCAGTGTATATCGATCAACCACGTGGACGCAGAGTTCTACTTCAAGCGGGACGTGGAGTGTATCAGACGGTTTTTCAAGCGCAGATTCGGGTACTCGCCTAAAGATGACTCGATGATGCTGGACACGGACGGCTTCGGCGACGGTTTCAGATACGCGTATCCCGTTTTCAGCAGAGATGTGCAAAGAATGGGAGATCTGGACCTGCAGGTGAAGGCCTCTGGCTACAGGAGCGAGAAGAAGACAGAGTTGGAGGACGCGCTGGGAAGCATGAGGCGGGATTACGACGATACTGAGGAGGACGAGGAGGACGAAGAGGAGGAGTATGGATCTGATCTTGAGTTTTCGGAGTCTGTGTCGGACACGGAGTCTGTGAACGAAAAAATCGTGCAGGCCCTAGTGGAAGGAGAAGAACTGAAAACTGATAAGTTTGGGAATTACATATTAGAAGAGTAATTACAACAATCGATACTTAATTCACTCCATTATGCGAATAAACTATCTCACGGTTAACGAGTAGCCATGGCCTTGGTGACGACTCTCTTCAGCGACAGCTCAGCCTTTCTCAGGTCGTCAGCAGAAGAGTCCTCAATCTCAAGAGCAGCCAGAGCCTCAGACAAAGCAGCCTCAACCTTGTCCTTAGCACCCTTCTTCATCTTGGCAGACAGAACTGGGTCGGTGACAGTGGCCTCAATGGAAGAGACGTACGACTCGAGTCTTTGCTTTTGCTCGTGCCTCTTGGAGAACTCCTCGTCGGCTTTCTTGAACTTGTCAGCGTCGTTAATCATCTTCTCAATCTCGGAGGTGGACAGTCTACCGACAGAGTTGGAGATGGTGATGTTGGCAGATCTGCCAGTGGACTTCTCGACGGCAGTGACCTTCAGAATTCCGTTGGCGTCGACCTCGAAAATGGCCTCCAAAACTGGCTCTCCAGCTGGCATTGGTGGGATGTTCTTGAGGTCGAACTCACCCAAAAGGGTGTTCTCGGCACAGTTGACTCTCTCACCCTGGTACACTGGGAACTGGACGGTGGTCTGGTGATCCTCGACAGTGGTGAAAGTTCTTCTCTTGATGGTTGGAACAGTGGTGTTTCTTGGAACAACTGGAGCAAAGACGTTACCTTGCATAGCAACACCAAGCGAGAGTGGGATGACATCCAACAGCAGCAGGTCCTTGGTCTCGTCAGAGGTGGATTGACCGGTCAGGATGGCACCTTGGACGGCAGCACCGTAAGCAACAGCCTCATCTGGGTTGATAGACTTCTCGAGTTGCTTACCGTCGAAGAAGTCAGACAACAGCTTCTGGACCTTTGGAATTCTAGTGGAACCACCAACAAGGACGACCTCGTCGACCTGGGACTTGGAGATCTTGGCATCCTTCAAAACTTGCTCAACTGGAGTCAAGGTGGACTTGAAGAGAGCAGAGTTGATGTCCTCGAATCTGGCTCTGGTGATGTTAGCAGAGAAGTCCTCACCCTCGAACAAGGAGTCGACCTCAACGGTGGTTTGGGTGACGGAAGAAAGAGTTCTCTTGGCCCTCTCACAGGCGGTTCTGAGTCTTCTCAAAGCTCTGGCGTCGCCAGAGATGTCCAAACCAGTCTTCTTTTGGAACTCCTTTTTGAAGTGCTCAAGGAGGTTGGTATCGAAATCCTGACCACCCAAGTGAGTGTCACCAGCAGTAGCCTTGACGGTGAAGACACCACCAGCAATGTGCAGCAGAGAAACATCGAAAGTTCCTCCACCAAGGTCGAAGATCAGAATGTGCTTCTCCTGGTCGGATTTACCAGCACCGAGACCGTAAGCAATGGCAGCAGCGGTAGGCTCGTTGATGATTCTCAACACGTTCAAACCAGCAATGGCACCAGCATCCTTAGTGGCTTGTCTTTGAGCGTCGTTGAAGTAAGCTGGAACGGTAACGACGGCTTTCTCAACCTTTTGGCCAATCTTGGCCTCAGCAATCTCTTTCATCTTGGTCAAGACCATAGAAGAGATTTCCTGAGGAGAGAAGGTCTTGGTCTCACCCAAGTACTCAACCTCAATCTTTGGGTTGCCGTTGTCGTCAATAACCTTGAATGGCCACGACTTGATGTCTTTCTGCACAGACTCGTCAGAAAAAGCTCTACCGATCAATCTCTTAGCATCGAACACAGTGTTCTTTGGGTTCAAAGCAGCCTGATTCTTGGCAGCGTCACCAATCAGTCTCTCCTCAGGAGTGAAAGCGACGAACGAAGGAGTAACTCTGTTACCCTGTTCGTTAGCGATGATTTCGACAGCAGAGTCGTATGTAGCAACACAGGAGTAAGTAGTACCAAGATCGATACCAATAGCACCTTGGAAAACACCGTCAGCCATTATGTCTATTTGTAAAGGTTATAAAAGATTTTAAATCCCCAAATTTTACCTTGAAATATTCCCAAAGTGAAAAATTTTTCAGAAAAAATAAAAAGATTTTGCTTTTGCGCACGACGCTTTTCGGTGGGTAAATCTTGTTTTAGCACTGCCTCAACTTTTGGTAGCACGCCACTGGCTGATTTTCTTCTGGATCAGCTGCTCGGCTTGCTTCACTTCTTCCTGGAGTCCAATAATTTCCAGCAGTTGCATTTGGTTCATGCCAGGACCCACAGCCACGTTTTCTGTGTCTGCGGTGTCGTGTATTTTGATCTTTGCTGTTGTCTGTTCTCGGATTCGCTCGATATCCTTTCCTTTCTTCCCAATTAGCGATCCTATTTCCTTGCGTGTCATGTGGTACTGCTTTTTTACTGCCACATTCTGTTTCGGAGAGAGAGCGACACGTACGGCATTCCTGTCCGTCAAAACTTTATTCTCCCGCAGGTATCCAATTCTTGTGGGGGGTCTCAGATCCACACTCTTTCCGTACACATCCGCCAGTGGAGGCTCTGAATTTCGGTCGAGCTGATAGATATCACCGAACGCGTAGTATCCATTGACCAGAACACCTGTATTTGGCGGCAGGCCAAATTTGGGCCACACAATTATCGGGTCTCCTGAAAAAAGGGAGATTATCTTGTTAGCAGCAATAACAGGTCAACTTACCATTCGATATATCTCAGCCACCCTCTGTGGTGGTCCTGTAATCTGCACATCCCACTGGTTGAGACAAAGATGTACTTTTTCGAACCGCAGACGCACGTTAGAGGGGCCCGGCTGGGGATCCAGGTGGGAGAGCACTAAGTCCACCGATGAACGGTGGCCAAGAACAAGCCGAACGCTAGCATTACCGAGTCCAGGGTCGCCTGGAAGGTGCACAACAAAGATTCTTGCTGACCAATTTTTCTGAAGCTGAGGAGACAGCGAACTCATAGAACTGCGAGGAGGAGAAAATGTTACCAAATCTAAAATATGCGCAGGCGCAGGAACCACTATCAGCAGACCTTGGAACTAAAATAAGCAACCATAAACACAACGATGAAGTTTGACACCATCTCTTCTCCCGCCCGTGGCGCGCTGTCCTTCAGGCCGAGGGAAAAAAACTTGCGTGATTATCACTTCTCCAGCTTATCTAGTAATTAAAAAAAGCATCTTCGAAAATTGTCGCTATTTTCTTTCGCACAAAAAGTATGGGTGTACCGCTTCCTGAAGTGATATACGCGGCGGTTAAGCCTATCATTCGGATGTACATGATCATCCTGACGGGCTTTGTGATGACAAAGCTTGGGTTTGTGAGCGTGTCTACGACCAGAGCAATCAGCGATCTCGTGTTACTGCTGTTCATGCCGTCTCTTATCTTTGACAAAATCGTGTCCTACATCTCGATATCGGATATCAAGACCATTGGCGTGATCTGCTTGTCAGCATTCATGATGTACTGCTGCAACGCCGGTGTCACGGCGGCGATCGTGACGCTGACTCCCGTGCCGAAGAAAAAAAATGAATCCTGGATAGGAGGTGCAATGTTGGCAGGAATAATGCAGAACGTCTCCGACCTTCCGATCTCGTATCTGCAGGCCATGACAACCTTCTCTGACGATGAGATCAACAAGGGCACCGCCTACGTGATCATCTGGCTCACCATGTATATAGTTGTGCAGTTCAACTGCGGAATGTTCCAACTGGTGGAATTGGATTTCCGACGGAAACGAGACGCGGAAGAAAAATCACAAAGCCGCGAGTTGCCTGCAATTCGCCAAGATAACGCCGCCCAACGTGATACAGACGCAGACGACGACCCCACGTCACCCAAGTCGTCGCTGTCTGGGTCGAGTCTGTCCAGTATCGACTCTGCTCCCGTGAGCGAGAATTTAAATCCGCATGCACTACTTTCCAACACTAACTCGCACATCTCGCACATCTCGCACAGCACTCGGTACCCTGTCTCGCGCATCCCTTCAGCACGGCCGCACCACGACTATGCTTTGAGCCAGTGCAACTCGCACGCGTCATCCGCCCGCTCTGCCGCGTCGTCGCACCGTTCCAGCGTGCTCACTCAGCCGCACGTCCAGGAACTCATTAGAGAATATTCGCGCCACGAACCCTACAATAGAGACATCCCAACCAACATGAACATCATCACAGAGACCAATCTAAGCTCCAAGGACATTGAAAACTCGGCAAAGGCCCCCTGGGTCAGACGATACAAGCTGCACTATTTGATTTTTTTTGTCAAGAACTTGAAAAAGCCAAACTCCATTGTGCTCATTATCTCGCTCATCATTGCATTAATCCCATGGCTGAAGGCTCTCTTTGTGCAGACCACAGTGTACATGCCCAACGCACCGGACCACCAACCACCATTGTCCTTTATTCTCCAGTATGCGCAGTACTGTGCTATGCCTTGCGTCCCGTTGGGGATTTTTTTAATCGGATCGCTTTTGGGCCGGCTGCAAATTAACGACATCCCCAAGGGTTTCTGGAAATGTGTGGTTTGCCATACAGTCTACCGCCTTTGCGTCTTACCAATCATCGGCATTTTATGGGTCGATCGCATGAAAAAGGCCAATTGGCTCACAGACCCCATGGCCATGTTTGTCACGTGCATGGAGTTTTCGCTCCCGTCTGCTACCATCCAGGTGTACCTGACGGCCAGCAACATGGACCCAGAGGATGAGAACCCGCTGCAGATCAACTGTCTTTCGCTGTATCTGATTGTTCAATATACCTCGCTGGTGGTGACGATGCCGATAGTTGTCTGCTACACTTTGAAAAACGTGGTGCACATATAATATGTACGACCAAAACTATGGACGATCGACGCACGCATATAAAAAAATTACCACTGTGGGATCTGTAATAATCTTTCCTTGTTGGTCCTGTTCCACCGTGAATTTCTTAAGACGCATCAAACACAAGCTAGGCCTTGTCCACCGTCCGCATCGATCTCTCCGGTACAATCTTGCCAGATATATCAATAATAAATTTCTGCGATCCAGCAAGGACAAGGTCTTTTTCTTCCTACTGCGTAAGGACGTGGATCCCGCTTTTTACAGGAAGCTGATGGAAAATCCACGCAAGCCGGTTGCTCCGGCCCCTAGTGAAGAAGAGCGGGTGAGTACGGTCTTCAACATGGGCAAAAAACGAATAATGAACGCTTTTAGGAGTACTAAGGAGTCTCCGTATTTTAAGAGCATCACTACCGCAATCCAGCAGAATTTCATCTACGATGAGGAACAGGCCGCCAATTTGGCCGCACAGGTGCCTGATGATGCCCAGATACTGCTCTATAGAACCTACACCCGGTACATGAACGGCGAATTCGTCACCGACGTTTCAGGCTGTATATTTTGTCCCGGAGTGATGAATCGGAAAAACAAGCTCATGATGTCGCTGGTACACCGTTTGTCCAAGTCCAACGTCTCGTCTTCTACTGTTAACCAGATAGAAACGGAATTGGAGGACTCCTTGACACACCCAGACACTAAAGGCCTCGACTCCGATACTGCCTCGACCGTGTCGTCTGGGTCACAAACTACTGACTCTTCTCCCGCCCACGATACAATCCGCGACCGCATGCAGGGAATTATGGCCAGAACGATCCCAAAGACTCCACTCAACATCACTCTGTACTCGGAGGACCAAACGGACTCGCTGCTGGGTGCCAATCTGTATTCCGACAGCGTTGGTGCGTTCAATATTTCGGTGGCATCATCATACAAGCCGTCTTTTATCTCTGTATCGTCTGTGGACAACCCAAACATTACTCAGACACAGGAAGCCAATGTGATTGGGTCGAAGGGAGTGAGCGTCATTACAGACATAGATGATACGGTCAGAATTACGGGTGTGTTGGGCGACAAGCGAGAATTGTTCAGAAATGTGTTTGCCAAGGAGTTTAGTGAATGTGAGATCCCGCGGGTTGCTAACTGGCTGCAACAGCTAAAATCTAAATATCACTGTCCAATCCATTATGTGTCGAACTCGCCATGGCAGATATACAACATAGTGTCTGGATTCATGGATTATGTCGGCTTGCCGGTCGACAGCATTAGTCTGCGTCAGTATTCAGGCAACCTGATAGCATCTTTTACAATGCCCTCCGCAGAACGGAAAAAAGACTCGCTTATCAAATTATTCAAGGACTTCCCTAATAGAAAATTCATTTTGATCGGGGACGCTGGAGAACAGGACGTGGAGGCTTATGCACAACTGGTGAAGCTTTTCCCCACGCAGGTTCTTGCAGTCTATATTCGTGCTTTGAACGGTGCATTTTCGTCCAACGGCGATGACGTCAAGGTGTTGAAAGAACTGCAGAGCGTACTGGCTCTTCGAAATCCCGCCACAGATGCCAAAAAAAAGAAGTTTTCGCCGATCCCGCCTCCAAAGCCAAAGGTGTTACAGGGAGAACCGTTAAGATCGACAGACTCCTCCAAAGACCACAGATCCTACAGAGATACACTACGGTCCCCTAAACTCCATCGGGAGTTCATCAAGACTCAAATATCCAACACGCTCTCGCATTCCGCAGACTATATACCCTTGGATACACCACCGCTCCCCAAGCGCAGCTACATGAGGAGTGACAACAGTCTCTCGAACACCAAGTCGCCGTCGCCGTCACCACCCCCAGTTCCGCGTCGCCCGACGGACTCTATGCGCTACGCGCCACACTCGCCAACCAAAAGCTTCTCGAACTCGCAGCAGCAAGCAGAAAGCCCCTCGGATGAGTACACTTTTGATCGGAAAAAGGAACTGTGGAAAGAGCGCGTGTACCATGTTGTGAGCGAGTATCCGCCAGAGGTCGATTTCCGGTTCTGGTGGGACGCCGCGGACGTGATGGATGCTTCGTTTAGCGCCATCAAGAGAGCCAAATAGGCGATCCACCCAATTAACTTGCATTATTTTCCTCAAAAAATGCATTCTTTCCATCTCCGTAGTCCTTAATGTTCTCGTGCTCCACCTCGTCAAGAGCAACACGGAACTGCGACATGTCAATCTCCGTGCCCTTCTCGCCCGTATCTTCCTCCTTGTAGAACTTGTCTGCAAACTTCTTGATGATAATCTCTCTTCCTGTGAGGGCCTTCTTGGCCGTCTCGCTCTGCTTCTCTTTTTCCTGTGTATGTTTCTTCTTCCATTCTGCAAACGTAGCTGGAGTGATTGGCGTCAGCTTGTCTCGTGGCAGCTTGTCTCTCTCCGTCTCTATGAAATCTTCCAGCGTGATCTTAGGCTGTGCCTCCAACGCCATTCTCTCTAGCCGTCTCTGCTCCTTAGTCTTGAGCACGAAGCCTGGCGGAAGCGAGTGTCTGTACTTACACTCCTTGCCCTGCTTGGGGTCAGAGTCCGGACACGTCCAAAACCATCCATACTTGCCGTCCTCGACCGCAGAAATGAAATGCTTGCACACCTTGTCTGTGGTGGTCTTTGGGTTTCCATGCTTCGACAAAATCACCTTTCTGAGCTTCTCCTCGTCCCAGTTGTCCATTGTGTCGTTTCTCTTCTCCTCGTCCTTGTCGTCCGAGTAAAGGTCCCTCTTGGCAGCCTTCCGGCCAACAGCAAGATCGTGACTAAATTTACAGTTCTTGCCTCTGGTGCATGCTCCCGCTTTGAAAAACTCACAGAGGATCGACTTTGGATCCACTCCAAACGGCACTTTTTGCGTGGGGATCGAGGACTGGAGCAGTTTGGCAGCCTCCTTCTTAGCCTCCTCGGCAGCCTTCTTCTCGGCAGCACGCTGCTTGGCCATAGCCTGTGCTTTCTTGTCTGCAGCCTGCGCAGTGACCTGGTTCACATACTGCTGCACCTTCTTCGACTTGTTCTTGTTTTTCAAGCCAAAAGTCTTATCTTCTAGCTGCTTCTGCACCTTCTTGGCGTTCTTCTTCTTTTCCGCGTCCTTCTGGGCCTTCTGGGCCTTCTTTGGCGGCATGGCTAGTCAAAGTTTTTCCAAACTTTTTTTTTCCAATCTTCGTGAGGAATTAAATCTTTGCACAGCCAGACAGACATGCTCACCCACGCTGATTTCGCAATCCAGAAATTCTCTTGTTCCTAATATGTTGGCACTTAGACTTAGATCCTGTTCCAAGAACATTCCCCTGGCTCGAGGATACCACCGATTCGCCACGAACTGCCACAAAGGCTCCAGAATGAGAACAGAGTTTCGTCTAGCGCTGGTTTCGGGCCTCCTCCTGGCCACCTCCTACGTCTCCCTCACAAATAACAATTTGCGCTCCGACTCTCTGCCGGCCCAGGGGGCCAGTAGTACGGAGCACAGACAGCTGTTTTCGGCATCCACAAACTCTCTTAGCGGGATTTCGGCCCAGCAAAACAAACAGGGCATCTATCTACTGAGCGATGCCGAGGTCAGCAGAAGGCTGAGACAATACGAAGAGTCGTACCTGGTCAACCGCGGAAAGGGCGTGATTCGGTACGATATCTGTCAATTGCCTAGCAACAACCCAATTGAAGACGACCGCAGCGAGAAGCTCGTCCAAGTTCCAGTCCAGGACAGGGAAAACAACAATGCGCGTGTCGAGACAGATTGGCACTTCTGGTCCATTTTCGATGGCCACGCCGGTTGGAACACGTCTGCCAAGCTTCGTGACAGCCTTCTAGACTACGTGGTCAACGAGCTGGACCAGGCTTACAAAATCAGCGACAAGAACCTCAGGCTGATCCCGTCGAGCGAAACAATAGACCGCGCGATCAAGCAGGGCTTTCTCAAGCTGGACGATGAGATCGTCAACAAAAACGTGCAGAAACTGCTTGAAAACCCGTCCAACAAGGCCGGGGCAGCCGAGCTGCTGATGCCTGCTCTCTCTGGCTCCTGTGCCCTGATGTCGTTCTACGATACCCATTCGCGCAGCCTCAAGGTGGCTGTCACTGGCGATTCGCGAGCTCTTTTGGGGTCTCTGGACGATCACGAAAACAAGTGGACTGTACGGGCCCTCTCGACAGACCAGACAGGTTCTAACCCAACAGAAGTGGCCAAGCTGCTCAGCGAGCACCCAAACGAACCCAACGTGGTGAGAAACGGCCGTGTCTTGGGATCTTTGGAGCCAACCAGGGCATTCGGCGACGCCAGATACAAATGGGCCAAGGACATCCAGACTAGGGTGGCCAATCAGTTCTTTGGCAGACAGCTGCCCGCCAACCTCAAGACACCTCCGTATGTGACTGCCGAGCCGGTTATAACGACACACGAGGTTTCGCCGGCCAAGCACGATTTTCTGGTGATGGCTTCCGATGGATTGTACGAAATGCTGACCAACGAGGAAATCGTGGGACTGGTAGTGCGGTGGATGGAGAAAAAGAAGATGGTGAGACCCAAGAAGTCGTTGATGGATACGTTGTGGCCGAGCTCGAAAGATAAGCTGCCTCTGGTGGAAGACGTAACCGACCAGAGCTCGAAGAGCAAGCAGAGAGTACAAACAAGACGAAAGTCGAACGAGGTCGGATTTCTACTGGAAGATGAAAATGTGGCCACACATCTGATTAGAAACGCATTAAGTAACGGGGGTTCGAAAGAGGAGGTGAACATGCTGGTTAGCATTCCTTCTCCATTGAGCAGGCGCTACAGAGACGACCTGACTGTGAGCGTGGTTTTCTTTGGAGAAGGAGACAAGCACGAGAAGTATTCGTCGAACAGTGCTTTGGAGATCAACCAGGAGGCCACCAAGGGCGGATTGACGATGAAGGCGAAGTTGTGATAAAGATCAGCAAGCGCAGTTGCCGGCCCCTCCGGACTCGTCGACAGGGGCGTTGAGGTCTATTCTTCCGACCGAAGAGGGCTCGTCCTGGGGTTTTGACGTCTCTTCCGGAATCTGTTTTCCAATTGCTGTGAACACCTCGTTGACGTTGAAAGCGGTCTTGGCACTGGTCTCAAAAAACAGCAATCCTTCCTCGTCGGCCAGAGCTTTGCCCTCTTCGACAGAGACGCTTCTGCGGCCCTCGATCTCCTCGCCCGTCTCTGGGTCCACCACCAGGTCGTACTTGTTGCCGACCAGAGCAATCACGATATTCTTTGAGGCCTGTTCGTGCAACTCTTTAACCCAATGCCTGGCTTTGATGAAGCTTGCTGGCTTTGTAACATCGTACACAACCAGTGCTGCTTGCGCGTTTCTGTAGTATAGCGGGGCCAGATTGGCAAATCTCTCCTGGCCAGCGGTATCCCATATCTCGAACTTGATGGTCTTTGTTCCAATAGTGCACCGCTGGGTGAGGAACGCAGCGCCGATGGTGGGCTCTTTGTTTTCCTGGAAGTCGTTCGACACGAATCGCAGCACCAGCGAGGACTTTCCGACGGCTGCCTCGCCTAGCAGCACAAGTTTAACAGACGTTTGTTTGGACATGAGAAAATAAATTATAGTATAAAATGAGAAAAAGATTAGTGGCGAGGGTGGCGGAGCAGACAATAAGTTGGCGGAGCGGCGCACACTTCTCTGGCGAGCTATGTCCACAAGATGTCTCTACTGTCTATTTACTGTACTAGATGGGTCCAGCCTTTGGTTGCGCCTTGGGCTATGCTACTGGTTGCTTGGCCGCTTAGCTGGCTGTGCATTAAAAATTCCAAATAGGAAACCGAGAGAGAAAAAAACCGATCTCAAACAAAAAAGGGGGTAGTGGTGCTGTTGAGAATGTCCACTATATAAAGGCGGCCGGACCGCCCTGGTGGGGGCAATGCCGTTGTATATTCCTCTGGGCGCCAGGAACTGCAGCCATCTTCGGTTTGTACTCCCCAACGGGATCAATGTCCTGTTGATTTCCGACCCGACACAGGAGACAGCCGCATGTAGTCTTTCCGTGGCCGTTGGCCATCACTCGAATAGCAAAGAGACGGTTGGATTGGCTCATTTTTGCGAACACATGGTATGCGTGAGCTCCAGGGAATATCCAGAGACAGACTTGTGCAAGAAGCTTGTATATTGCAGTGGTGGCAGATGGAACGCTGCGACGGTGGGAGAAAAAACGTCCTTTTTTTTCGAGGTGCCGGCTTTCAACAGCGACGGGACGCCGGATCTTGGTGTCTATGAGGAAGTTTTGGGTGTATTTTCCTCGTGCTTTAGAAGTCCTACATTCAACAAAGATTACGCAAGACGGGAGATTATGGCCATCGACAGCGAGCACACAAAGAACTGTTCTGTGGTAGGAAAGATGGCCCATCACGGTCTGCGGCTGCTTGCAAGCCCGGAACATCCGTTTCACCGTTTTAGCACAGGCAACTTTGACACTCTTTTCAGGGGCAGGGAGGCCAGCTTGCACGACGAGCTTGTGCGGTTTTACGAGCAAAATTACCAGGCTTGGAAAACAGGCGTGGTTCTGATGGGCCCCCAGTCGCTCATTGCTCTCAAGAAGCTGGCAATCGCAAACTTCTCGGAATGCATGCCGTCCCAAAGGACAGAAACGAGCAACGTTCTCAAAACCTGCTGGGCTCCCGTTTACTCGTCGCCCGTTTTCACAGAGTTGGGGAAAATGGTTTTGATCGAAAGCGCTAATACTACGCCTACTTTGAGGATATGTTTCCCGTTTACGACAGATAGCAAGGAATTGCTTATCTTCGCCCATGCGTGGAGTTATCTGATGGGCAGCGAAAGCGAAGTCTCGTTCAATTCGGAGCTTTTCAGAGGAGGTTTGATCAAAGGATCGTATTCTTCCTGTCCTCTGATTACATTCAAGGACCGTCTTTTGCAGCTCGAACTGAATCTGACCATAGCCGGCACAAGAGACCACCAGAAAATATTCGAGTATCTCATTCGGTACACCCAGGAAGTGTTTTCTCCCGATCCGAAGCGCGTCAAGAGAATGGCCAGGCTGATGTCGCAGTTCAACTCCATTGAGCTCTACAATTTTCTCCACCACGACACCGAGGCGTCCGCTTGCTCACGGTGCCGGAGCCTCGGCCAGCTTCTACTTGAAGACGAGCAGATCCATTCTGAGTGGCTACTGAAAAATGCTCCTTGCTGGGGTTTCAGCGACGCTGGTTATGACGGGTCGTATGAGGAATCTCTGGAGGCACAGACATGGTGGAAGAAGAAATCGGAACAGTTCTGTGCGCTAATGCGCTCGACAGTGTGCAAGAAAAACATGTTAGCTACCCTGGTAGCTCCCGGCGATTTTCTGGCACAATTTGGAAAGCAAGAGTACGAGGTCGATCCATACTACGGCTTCAATTACAAAATCTTGCCAATAACATTCTCCCAGTCCGATTTTCAGGTGAGGCTGCCACGGCCCAATCAGTTTGTGGTTGGCCAGATTGACAACCAGACAGGTCTATATGAGCTCTTGAGATCTACTCTGGAGTCAAGCCGCACTTTTGTCTATGCAAGCAAGGAGGAAACGACACCTCCAGAGCTGGTCCATTCGTCTCAAGAAACCCAGCTCTGGTTGAAACGAGACCGTGACAAATACCGTGGAAAAGCCTACTTTAGTTTCGAGATTACCAATGTCACCATTGAGCCTAGTGTGCAGTCAACCTTGTCACTGGAGATTTTTTGTGACATAGTCAAAGAACTGCTTCGCGAAACGCTTTATCCTGCTCTGGAGCTGTGGTATGCTTACGATCTGTTCCACTCAATGAAGGGCACCTGCGGCTTGGTAATCCATGTCTCGGGTTCCACTGTGGGGATCCACAATATTCTCGAAATAATGACGAACAAGCTGCGAGAGGTGAGCGATAATTTCGTGTCGTTAGTGACGCCTTCGATGTTCCGCCAGTCTCGCATCAGGATCAAAATGAAGTATGAGAATTTGCGAACGCTGCGGTCTCATGAATTGGCATCACTAGGCCTTCTTTCTGTACTTGAGCCAGGAACCTGGCCCTTGGAAGATCGTCTCGAAACTCTCGAGGAGCTGGACATCCAGACGGTAGCCACAACGGCCAAGGCCACGTTTGAAAGCTGCCAGTTGATAGCACTTCTTCACGGCGACGTCTCAAAGTTGGACTACCAGCGCACGGTAGACATTTTGAAGACGCTTGTGACGGAGTTTGCAGCGCCTCAGTACAAACAGTTGCACACACTGTCGCTTCCGCACGGCTGTAACTACCGGATCCACGGTTTCTCACCAGACGAGACCAATGCTCTGGTATATTATTTGCAGCTTGGAGCACGCAAAAACACAAGGGACAGATCGCTAGCAAGATTTGTGGCGTACATCTTGTCGACTTTCTTCACGACAAAGATCAGAACTCAATACCAGCTGGGATACGTTGCGTTTGCTGGGCTTCGTACGCTCAAAGACACTGTGGGAGTTCATGTGACTATCATGAGCGGTGACCATGAGCCGTTGGCCCTAGATGCAAAAATAGACGACATTGTGGCAGAGTGGATACGGGAGTTCGAAAAGAACAGCAGCAAATATGCAGAGATTGTCCAACAGTTCATAAAGTCGCTGAACCATCCCGTGAACGAGAATTCATGTCTGACCTTCGGAACTGTGGGCAGGAGCCTAGGTGACGGGAAGCTGATCAAGGAGCACCAGAGTTTCTGGAACCAGATACTGAACCAGTCACTCAATTTTTCCGCCTCTGGCGAAGATCAGATCGATGTTGCTGTGATTGAAAATCTGCGGTTCTCTAGCCTCATCAAATACCTCAAGACAAAGCTGGTTTCTGAGGAGCGGTCAAAGCTCTCTATTATGCTTTCGACCAGGTTCTCGCATGAAGAAGCAGCAATAAAACTTCGGCCCATACGGTTGCAGACGTTTCTCACTGGAGCAGGCCTTCCCATCAAGCGGGAAAAGCTGGAACAACTTTTGGCGCAAGCAGGAGACTCGCAAGCACAGCTTGCAAGACTTTTATTCAAGCATTACCAAGAGCAAGGAGGCTCACTACGGTTGATTTCCACAACGGTAATGAAGCTCACTAAAGACGTATTTGCGAGATCTAGAAAGGCGGACACCCCAAGGACGTCGTCGACTGAGATTACTAACTTGGAGTCATGGAAATGCCATATGCAAGAGCAAATCGCGCAGAATTAGCTCTGTTTCTTTCTTGCTACCCAGAACTCGCACCTGTACTTGAACCCGCCCAGTGAGCGTGGGTCGCTGCCATACGTTGTTTCAATGTCGGACTCCCTCTTTACAAACTCGAATCCAACTTTCTGCACAAGGTCGATCAGGTCGTCTCGAGATAGCTCCAATCCTCTCACTGGCGTTGCGACCTGCTCCCAGTCGCCGTTTTCGTTTTTCTGTGTGTTCATGGTGACAGTCTCGTCTTCCTCGTAATGCCACAAAAGCGGACCAAAGTTGACCCAATACCCGTCGTCTGCCAGACAATGGTGCACGGACTGCAGGTATTCGACAATATTCGACGCGGTGTCGAGAAAAAAACATGTTGCAACCACTTGGAACCTCTTGGAGTTTTGCTGGCGAAACTCGGCGGCCTGGGGATCGTTCGTGTACACGTCGCTGATCCGCGGCAAACTAGACGGGCCGTACAGGTCTACAAATGAGCCTGCCACCATTGACATCAAATCGGCGACCGGGATTTCAGGGTATTCTTTATTGATAAGGGAAATGTCGCCCGGATTGAAATCAGGAATGTACACTTGACGGATCTGGTCTGTTCTTTTGCTGACGTTGGAGCTCTTATGCAGATAAGGACAGATGACGAAGTTGTTTTCGCAAAACGAGTGATTGACTATGAAGCTGGAGTTGGTGAGCATGTGGTACGAGAACTCGTTTCCCTGGGTGCGGAATCCTCTTCGCACAAATTCCACTACCAGTCTGCCTAATCCCGAGCCAGGCACGAGAACCTCCACGTTCTGTCTGTTTACAACATCTGGGAACAGGTTCTCGCACTCTTGCAAAATGCGGCCAAAAGATGACGCTCGCTCCTCAGCGCACTCCGCAGACCACTCTCTCGCGAATTGGACTAGTATGCTGCGCACTTTGTCCAGGTCCTGGGCCGAGCACTCTGCCCACACACCTGGTTCTGGCTCTGAGCCCCATATTGGAGCCACAGTCATAGCAATCTGCTCAAGAAACTGCGCGTTCAAATCAACAGAATGCTCCAAATAGCGGATATGCTGATCCATCCATGGGAAAAATGCCTGCTCTTCTTTGGTCAAGCTCCTGTATTTCAGCTTTTTGGGAGCTACCACTTGCTTCACGGCCCACGATTTGTAACTCTTGTGAGCCGAGAAAACAGAGGTCAGGGCTTTGTATTCTGGGTCCATAAATTGAAAATGCTGATTTAATTTAATAAATTATGAATAATAATTTCACATTTTTTTTATTACTATTTCGCGTCCAATTTTCTCTCCAACGCTTTCACAAGCTGAGTCAACTCGTCCAATTTATGGTAAATTTCGTAGTTTTCCCATGAAACACCCGCATTCTTGCTAAGCTCAATAGGAGGAACAAGCCTGTCGAGTCTAGCTTCCCAAGCTTTGAAACTCTTTGCGAATCCAGGGTCCTCCTGCTCGGCCCTTCTCTGGGTCTGGATCGAGGCCCTAATGCCATCTCCGTTTTCATCGTTGTGGTCGAAACCATCGGTGAGATCCCAAGGAGTGTCTTCCTCGTTGTTGTCGTCAGCAACCTTCCTGTTTCTGTTGTACTCGACTCGTTTGGCAGCTTGGACCTCGTAGCTGGCAATAAACAGCAGCGCAGGAAGATAGAGCACAACCATCACCTTGTCACACAGCGAAAGATACAGTCTTCTATCGAGCCACCAGCTGAACGGCAATTGCAGGAACACTGTCTCCACGAGATTCAAAGGCGGACAGAAAGTCTTATCGTCTGGAGCACGCACGTATCGGAGAATCTTAGCCGAGTATTGTGCAAGGTATTCGTCTGTTGCGTTTCCAACAACGTCTCCATACGCCTGCGAGTACAGGGCAATGAGAATGTTGAGCAAGACCAAAACCACAATGAAGGTGTAGGCGTAGTAGAGAATGGCTCCGTACGGGTATGCAAAACGCTCAATGGTGTCGAAGTTCGGGCCGCCAAGAACCGTCTGAACCATCGTGGTGGTCAAGAATGACGTGAGCTCTCTCTTCCCGTCTGCCTGGTCCAAACCGATAAACGCCTGAAAGAAACCCACGGTGATGATGGCCAGTAAGAAGAAAAAGATAAACGACTCTCTAATCATCTTCTTGACCACCACTATCATGGTTCCGCAAAACTGCAACACGTCAAGATACAGCAGTAGGCGAGACCACATGAACGGAGCAGCCAGCGACAGAAGTCTGTAGGAAATCACGTTGACCTGGTCGCGTTTGTCTGGAGAATGGGCAGCCAACGCAATGAATCGCGTAGAGGCGGACGCAATAACGATGGCATACAGCACATCGTTGAACACGTTAGAAAACTGCATGTAGTAGTAACCCACATGGTAGAACTTGACCAGCTCGTCCAGCGCAAATCCCAGGGTGAACAGATAGAACACCACCTCGACGGCTCCCAAATGGGAGGAGATGGTGTCTGTGTTGACAATAAAGGTGAAAAGCGCCAGATACAGGACCGAAAAGGTGATTTCCAAAATGTTCTGGTACAGTGGGGTTTTGATTCTATCCGGGTCAAAGTGCTTGAGGAAGTTTGTGTTTCCTGTTCCCTTGAACAGGACGTAATTGGAGGAATCTGTAGACGACTGGACGATCCAGCCCCTCCATATCCATTTCAGACATCTCTGGTAGCCGCCTGACGAGATGATGATAGTGGCATGTGTGTCCACAGCCAGCTCCAGAGCATTTTCAGGCGCAGAGTCCACGTCGTGAAGGTTGATGGAGTATCTGTTGCAGAGCATAGAGATAAACAGGTACTTCTCGTCCTTTTCACGCTCGATCAGTGTGGCGGCGATTTTCTGTGCCGCCAGCATCCTGCTTGCGTACAGGGTGTCGTCAGACAGCTCCTTGATGGTCAGAGAGTAGTACCATTCGCTGACTTTTAGCAGACAGAACACGAGACACGCCTGGTACCGTCTGCGGGACGAGCCTTCACCACCTGCGGCGTCCAGCACCGCGTCGATCAGCTTGTCTGTCAAAACAATGGAGTCCAAGCCAAGGATCTGCTCTTCTTTCAGCGGAATAGGTATAACCTTGTCAATAAGGGTTTTGAGGTTGATGGAGATCCTCAGAACCTGTCTTGGCGATGGAGGCAGGTAATCACTGCACTCTTCGTCCTCGTAAAGCGGTAGAGCGACCGACATGGGGAAAAAAAGGAGACAATCTCTTTTTTCAACAAGCAGGAATTTCAGTAGGGTCCTGTTCTATTTATCTATTTTCGACGCGACGCGACCAAAAAAAGTTATCAACCATGTCGTTTGATTTTCTTCCTGCAGAGCTGAGAATCCAGGTCCAGGACGTGGTAAACGCATATCCGCCGGCGGAAGAGGTTTTCCGAGCGATCATCGACCATGTGGGCGGGACAAAGCGCCGCAAGCTGGACTCCGACGCCGACGTCCTGCCTACAAGTCTGGCTGGGTCGCACATCGTGTTGCAGATCCCAGAGCTGTCTGTGCAGTCGCCGATCCGCAAGAAACTCAATATTGTGTTTGGCTGTTTTCCCGGCGAGCGCAAGGTGTTTTTGGCGCTCACCAAAAGCCTCGAGTCGAAGCCAGAATTGCTCATCACAGATCTGTCGGTGAATAATATTCGGTTTGCTGTTGTTTTGGACGTGCCCGAGAAAAGACAATACAAAACACTACTCATCACCTACGATGCCAACAAGGGCCAGATGTACAAGAACGACCCGATCCTGATCCAGTTCAACAACGACGAATTGAGCGAGCAGTTTGGCCCGCTGCTGGACAAGATCGACCTGACAGACTTTCTACAGCAGCAGTTCCGAACGTTCGGGTTTGATCTCGTGAAAGGATTTGGCCCGCAGTGTTTTTTTGTGGACGCGTACAAAGGGTCTAAAGAGGGCTATCTGTACTTTCTTCCCAACCATGTGATATTCGGCTTCAAGAAACCAATCCTCATATTCGATTCCACCAACATCGAGTCCATCACATACACTTCAATCACGCGGCTCACGTTCAATGTGACACTGACACTACTGCCGGACTCCGAGCGACACGAGTTCTCCATGATCGACCAGAAAGAGTTCGAGAAGATCGACCAGTACGTCAAGAGCAAAGAGCTGAGAGACAGGTCGATGACGGACGAGCTCAAGGCCCAGAGGCAGCTCAAGAACAATACCGACAACCCTGGCGCTCTTGCAGAGGCCGCCAAGCTTGTGCCCGGAGGCAGTCAGATCGTCGGCAAGGACGACGACGACGAAGAGGAGGACGAGAACTATCAGAGTGATGAGAGCAGCAGTGATGACGGCTCGAGCGGCGATGAGGAGCAGGAGGAGGCTGCTGAAGTGGACGACTTGCAGGCAGAGCTGAATAATTTGCAAGAGGACTATGAGGACCTGGGCTATATTGATTTCGGGAATGAGGATGAACCAGAGCCAGAATGAAATAAATAAAATAGATAAATAAATAGGTTAGGTGTTGCTGCGATGCAGCTCACGCCGTCTTCTGTCTCTGTTCCTTAAGTTTCTTCAATCTTTCCTCTATAATGTCATCGTTGTTCCTAACCCACTTCTCAAACAGGTACCCAAATCCTACCCAGGCTCCACTAGAATAGACATATCCCATTGGAGCATACGTGAAACTCACATTCCGCAGAGCTTGCTGGTATGCCCTTGCAAAAGCCCCGAAAAGCGCCCATCCAGCTAGATTCGAAAGCATAACAAATAAGGTTATCTATTTTCCCCTCATCATGAAATATTTATGACCCGCAAATTCAGGTGACAGAAAGGGGAACGACAATTTAAAGGATACATCTGAGCGGGATAGTTTTCTAAGCATAAATATCCTTTTTTCTAAATATACCCAATGTTTTTCTCACAAGGAGCAGAGTTTGAGTTTGAGGAAACATTCATGGTCGTCAACGGCCACGATGTCTCGCTTCCCACGTTTATATCGTACGTTCTGGACTGGGCATTCTACATAGTTATCCTTTTGGGGGCCATTTTTTATGGGGTGTTTGGAACGCCACGGACAAGCGACTTTGACGTTAAGGACCCATCGATCATGCACATGTACGTTCAGGAGGCAAAGACTCTAGCCCCAATCTGGCTGCTTGTGGTCATGGCCGTTGTGGTGCCAAGTTTGGCTGTGGTTCTAGCGGGCTCTTTAGTCACCAAGCTGCCCCCTTCTCGCAAGGCATGGGATATCCACTGTGCGCTGCTCGCAATGTTAGGTGCCTCTGCATTCCAACTGTTCACTGTGGTTATTCTGAAAAACGTTTCTGCGCTTCCTCGTCCCGACTTTCTTACCAGATGCGTTCCTTTCACATTTGCCTCGCAGCAGTTGGGCTCGCTGAGTACAATCGGAATTTGCGCGAACCCGTCACACAGACTTATTTTCGAGGGATTGAGAAGCTTTCCAAGCGGCCATGCGTCGACAATCACCACTACATCCGCCGTCCAATTTCTGTTCACCGCCGGAAAACTCAATCTGTTTGACGGAAGAGGTCTATCCTGCAAAAGCATCATCTCCTTGATGTATCCTATAATCATTTCATCTACTATTGCGTTTTCCAGAATTTCTGATAACAGACATTTTGTTCGTGACGTGGTGGCAGGGATGGGTGTGGGCATTTTGTACGGCGTGCTATTTTACTCTCTGTACTTCCCCTTTCCGCTGATGGCTGAGAATCTAGGCAGAGCTTATCTGCCCCGCAGATTTGGTGTGAATGACTTATTCAATGGAGTAGGCGGTTTTTGGAAAGTGCCGGATCTGCCCGGCGCCCCAACGGACAGAACAGAAGTTCCTGGCTACTACCAGGAACAAAATCAGAAAGACCAAGCCCCAGTGCCGTCACCACAAACAGAGCAAAAACCTCCACCGACCCGGATAAGCATTGACACGTCCAAAGTCACCACCAAACTCAATGATCTGGCACAATCGTTGCGGAAATGAGTAATGTCGCTATTAGAGTTGACTATTTGCCGATGCAGAAATTTGCAAAAATCGATCCCAAAATCTCTTCTACCCCGATGGCCTCGCCAGTGATCTTTCCGATACCCTCCATGCTAATTTTGAGCGCCTCAGCGGCGAGGACCACGTCGTTGGATTTAGAATGCATGTAAAACTCTTCAAATCCAAAAAGCAGATCGTGTTGAATAATGTTTTGTACTCTGCTAGACACAAAAATCGGCTCGTCCTGGGTCCAATGATCAAGCTTCTGCGTTATGGTATTCAAAAGATCGTGTATACCATCTTTGTTGCGACAACTGATGACTTTGATCTCCTTTGGCTCAAATTCCTGTTCTAGTTGCGCTACCAAGCTTCCGACCTGGTCAGGGGTAACCAGATCACTTTTATTCAGAACTATCAACAACTTCTCTTTATCACATGAACGAATATGGTCTTTCATTTCTTTCTTCAACTCTAGAGGGGTGCACGGGAGGAGAACCAGGTTTAGATCTGCTTCCGAAGTCTTCATTTTCGCTCTTCTAATTCCTTCTTGTTCAATTTGGTTTTCGGCATTTCTGATCCCTGCTGTATCGCCAATCACGACTTTATATCCATTGATGTCTAGAGGCACCTCGATCGAGTCCCTAGTCGTGCCTTCAATCTCGCTCACAATGGCCCGGTCTTCGTTAGCGATAGTGTTCAAAAGAGATGATTTTCCAGCATTAGGCGGGCCTGACAGCGTAATCTTGAACCCATCCACTAATGTCTGTGACCGCTGGACTCTTTCCAGGTACCTTCTTACTTCGGTTTCTAGTGATTTGATATCAGACTCTGCTCTTTCGAACAATTGGCCGACTTCTTCAATGTCATGCTCTTCTCCAAAATCTATTAATGTCGTGATGAGGGCGTATGTGTTCAAGATTTTCTCCCGCCAATGGTGGAATAGTTCTTTGGTTTCTCCCTTCATGGAAGCTAGGGACAAAGCTCTTTGTCGTTCAGTTTCTGCGTGGATCAGACTATTAATGCCCTCGACCTGGGTAAGATCCATTTTACCATTCTGGAACGCCTTTTTGGAAAAGTCTCCAGGCTCTGCTGGCCTTATTGGGTTTGCAGGAGTGTGCAAGAGGTCCAGGCTTTCCATTATGCACTTGATCACTGCGGTACCTCCATGGAGATGAAGCTCGAGCATATCTTCTCCGGTATACGAATTTGGGCCTTTAAAATACAGAACTATGGCCTCATCTAGAAGAACTTTGGTTTTAGGGTGGTAGAGCTTGGCGAGAGTGGCTATTCGTGGTTTGGGCTGCTGTCTGGCCGTTAAAGCCTGATATATCGATACCGAGGACGAGCCGGTGATTCTGACGACGGCTATGGCCGATCGAGCGGGGTACGTCGACAATGCATAGACCGTGGGCAGCGCTACTGACGAAAAGTGTCTTTTGACGGACCCAAAAGTGAAAATCATCACGGTTGAAAATAATTGTTATTAGACATCAACTATTTAAGGCACCGATCTACACCTTAGACCTGGTAGTTGGGTATCAGGTGGGCCGGCTATTAGAAGGCAAGGATAGGACTGAGGATATCTGGTGAAATAGCAAAGACTTCAGGTAACTGGGGTCATGAGCGCAACATGACAATAAACGAGCGAAGTTGGTTTTTGGCGTATAAGGAGCGAAACGTCGGAGATTCCGAGCAAATTAGGTGATGGTACAGCAGCCAGAGGCTGAAGTTTCTTTGAGCAAGAGACTGGCACGAGTAGCAATTTCGAAAACATCGTCCACCGCTTCTCCTGTCAATGAGGAGCACTCGACGTATTTTCGGGCGCCGATGAGACGAGCCACCTGTTCGGCCTTTTCTTTTCGGACATATTTCTGGTCATAGTATTCGTCTGTGCCATCATCTTCGGGCCTGAGGTCCTTTTTCAGCCCAACCAGTATGAGGGGCGCGTTCGGACAGTATGTTTTCACCTCCTGTGCCCATTTCATGCCTGCGTTATCTAGAGAATCGGGAGCGTTCAACGCAAACCCAATCAGAATGATGTGCGCTTTTGAGTATGACAATGGTCGAAGCCGTTCGTACTCTTCCTGGCCTGCAGTGTCCCACAGGGCCAAGCGCACGGGCTTGCCATCGACTCTGCAATCTGTTGCGTAATTTTCAAACACCGTTGGGTGGTATTCTGTTGGGAATTCCCCGAGGGTGAACACGTACAGGAGCGATGTCTTACCGCAAGCGCCGTCTCCCACAATGACGATTTTCCGCTTGATGACGTTCTGAGACATTGGACTAGGGAAATATGTCAATTAGGGGAATCGTCCATAAAATTAGACATTGAAATTTGGAAAAAAATTATTTTTTCCAGGGTAGCAGCAGGCCAGGATGTCAGAAAATGGTTAGATACAGGTTGCTTATATAATGAGCCTTAAAACCCGATATTCCACGTATTTATGCTCACGTCGGTCGCGACAGGTGACACCTTCACCAACGCGGGCGTTGCCAGTTCGTCGTAGATGATGTCGAACGCGACGCCCAGCTTCTGGCTCACCTTGGACGCGAGACTGTCTGCGAATTGATCCATTGTCAGGTCCAGACTGTACGAAGACAGCATTGCCTTACGGGTGCATGTGTAGAGTAGATTTGCCGGATAACACTGGTTGTCGGCAACCAGCGTTGCAGTTGCTTTGATCGTTTCGATCTGCACCGCCTCAATCTGAGCCGGCGAAAGCGCAGACGGCTTTGACCAGATGGAAGAGGGGCCCCAGATGGACTTTTGCGATGCCGGCAGGTCCCATATCGAGCTGTTGATGGACGGGAACGGTTCCTTGAGCTGTGGGAGCGAGTCTGGGAACAGGTCCAGCGTGGAGAGCTGTGGCACCGTAAGGGAGGGCAGCTGCGGTTCCGGGAAGTCAAACAGGCTATGTGGCGGGTTCTGGGGGAGGGAGGACTGCGCGACGGGCTGTGTGGCCGGCACTGGTTCGGGAGCCGGCTTGTCGACAGGTATGTTCAGCTTCGAGAGCAGCTGGCTGAGCTGTTCCGCGGAGTACGACACCGGGGCGGAGGCGGAATTGCCGTCGACAGAACTGTTGGCGGGTGCGCACAAGCCATTTGTGGGTGGCTGGGCGCTGAGAGCAGCCTCGCGCTCCTGGCGCTCCTTCTCGCGTCGCTTCTCCTCCTCCTTGCGCTGCTTCTCCTCGCGCCGGCGCCGTTGCTCCTCCTCGCGGCGCCGCTGTTCCTCCTCACGCTTGCGTCTCTCTTCCTCCTTGCGCCGGCGGCCCTCTTCGGTTTTTCGCCGCATCTCCTCCTGGTGTATGCGTTCCTGCTCAAGCTTGTCCTCCTGGCGCTTGCGGCGCTCCTCCTCCTTGGCCAGCTGCTGCAACCGCTTCTTTTCTTTGAGCTTCTCCTTCTTGCGGCGTTCCTTTTCCTCCTTCTCCTTCTTGCGGCGCTCCTCTGCCTCCAGCTCTTCGATCAGCTGCCGCGTGCTGTCCTCGGCCACTTTCTCCTTGTAGGCCGCCACCAACCGCCCGCTGATGATCCGCGCAATCACCACCTGCAGATACCGGTACGCGTTGTGAAGCTGCTTGCGTTGCCGCTCGCTCTCGAGCTCGTACTCCTCGTCATAGTCGTACTCCTCGTCGTCGCCGTCGTCGTCAGGTCGGAGACCGCGCTCCTCGTCCAGCTGCTCCACCAGATCAATGAACGAGCTGCCATTGTTGTTCAGTATATCGTCGGCCACACGGCCGATGTCCTGGATCGTTGTCGGGGCCGGCTTCGGGTCCTCAAGCCCCAGCATCTCGTGCACCAGGGCCGAGCTCAGCTCGAGATCCTCGTTCGCAGTCATGCGCATTGCATGGTACAGCTTCTCCAAATCGCGCTCAAACGCCTTTTTCGGCCCGCTGCAGCCCCGGCAGTTGCACCCGGGCGGGTTCTCGTGTACAACCTTGTACACCTCGGTATACTCGACGTTGAGCAGATCGCGGCGCTTCTGCTCGTCCAGTTGCGTCCAGAACTCCCGCACTTGCTCGCGCTCCTCCACGCTCGGCAATGTGCCGCTCCAGTACAATTTCTCGTGCGTCATGGGCGGCTGGTGGTGCACGCACTCGTCGTAGTCCTCGTCGTAGTCCTCAAAGTGCTCCGAGCAGTTATCGTGGTCGCACGAGTGACAGTAGTCGTCATCACTGTGCTCGGAATGACTGTGTGCATCCGCAGAACTCAGCTCGCTCAGCTCGCTCACCACAACGTCGCCGTTCTCGCCTATCTTGATAACCCTCGACTCCGGATACTCGTCTTTCTCGTTGTTGAGCTGGACCTGGACCTTCACTTTTGCGCCAGCATGGGTTCTCGCTTGCGGTTTCATGCGGACAGAGTGCCCTTCGTAGTCAAAGTGCACGTTCTCGCCCGCAATATAACTCATGCTTAACACAAAGAAAGCTTTAGCAGGACACAATTTTTCATGGGCCGGGTAAAAGTGCATTTCTAACCGTTACCTACTGCTCTCTATTTACCATCCACCCTGGCGGCCTGGCCCTCCAAAGCCTCCTTGGGGACCCCCGAAACCGCCCTGTGGGCCACCATAACCGCCAGGTGGGCCATTAAAGCCTCCCTGGGGACCGCCCGGAGGACCTCCAAAACCGCCCTGGAAACCGCCCTGGAAACCTCCGTGCGGGCCTCCGTGGGGAGGTCCCTGGGGCCCGCCAAAGCCACCTCTTTGCTCACCGTAGCCCCCTGGACCGCCTGGACCCCCGTGGTGGTGCCCCCCATAGCCACCCTGCTGGTGCTCCCATTTCTGCTCAACCTTGTCCTCGATCTTGTTGGCTGCAAATGCTCCGAGCAAGCCACCGGCAATGCCTCCCAGTTTAGAGTGCGAGCCACCTAGCTTGGATCCTCCATACGCTCCAGCAGCGCCCCCCACAACAGTCGAGAGAAGGCCCCTGTCGCCGTCTGCGCCAACCTGTTGCTGTTGTCCTTGTTGTTGAGGCTGTTGATATTCGCCTTGTTGGCCCGATGAGTAGAATTCGTTAGCAGACATGAGCGTTAATGAAGGCTGGACTAGAGGCAGACGTGGTCTATTTATACCTGGATCAGTTGCAAGCCGAAACTCTTCGGGTTACCGTTTTCGGCTGTGGCTACGTGTTTCACGTTCCCAGGCGCAGCAAACGCCGATGACCTGTGGAGGGCGGAGCGAGAGTATGTGGGAGAGGCGCCCCCACATTATCGTTCCAGGTTCCTTGGCCCAGTTGGTTAAGGCATCGTGCTAATAACGCGGGGATCAGCAGTTCGATCCTGCTAGGAACCATTTTTTTCACTCCGCAATACTTTCCTTCCATGCAGCATGCGCCCGCCCTTCTTTGCTGCATGTGGCCGCTTTTTTTTTACCAACCTTACACGTAATGAACATTTAGTACTACATAGCAAGTTTACTGCTGGTTCTCGTGCTCGGCCCATTGAGCCTCAGCTTCTTCAGTCTGGTGCTCTTCGTAGACATCGTCGACAGTCTGGTGCAGAGAAAGAGCAGGCTCTTTGACGTAGGAATTGTCCAAAGTCCAGGAAGCCAGAGCATTCTCAGCATCGATGATGATCTGCTTAGATGCCTCGTAGCCGTCGTACGCAGGTCTGGTCTCACCAGGAGTCACTGGAGAGTCGTCTAACAGCTCGAGCAGAGCCTTTCCGTAGCTGGCAATCAGAGCAAGCTTTTCAGAAAGCTCTCTCAACGCGTCAAACTGGTACAGGAAAGAAGCCTTCAGTTTTTCTCTCGTGATGTTGGACAATTGCGCCTCAGCAACAAGCGACTCGGCCTCGGCCCTGACGAGCTCTTGCTCCAAGATTGGGATCTTAGGAGACTGAGGATCCTTGTACTTCAGGTGAGCAATCTCGTCGGTGATTTTCTGTTTCCGGTCTCTCGATGGCTGAACAGAGGCCTCAATGTTTCTGATGCTCTTGAGGGTGATTCTGTACAGGTCGTACTTGTCGATAAACTGGTCTTCCAGCTCACCAATCTCATAGATCAGAACTCCCAATTTGTCGGTGACGTCCGAAACATCGTCATCATTCTCCTCTCCCCAGAGAGAGAGCTGCTTGGCGACAGCCCTTCTCTCCCTGGCGACAAGCTCGACGCTTCTTTCGAAATTCTTCTCAATCTTGATCAACTGAGAGAGTTTCTTTGAGAGCTCTGGACCAAACGATCCAGCAGCAGACTTCCTGATGGAGGAAGCAATGGAGGTGGTACCAAAGAATTTACCCCTAGTATGGTTAGTTGAAAAAACGCGTGCCGACGACTTACTTGGTGCTCGATGGAGGTGGTGGCGGAGTGGCCAACTGGGAGGCCGTTGGGGCTCTGGAAGATCTCAAAGAATAAGTTCTGTGCATTGCAATAGCGATGAGTTCAAATACCTTTGGAAATAAAGTTCTTTATCAACTCTAGCAAGTTAGTACACTTTCAGGTGTTGATTTCCTTATGCGACCATTTGATTCCGCATTGGGTTAAAAGGGCGCAACACTGTTGCTGTGGCAGTGTCCCATAATTTTTGCTTCTTCTTTGGGAATATTGTGGCTTCCAGATTGGGACCATTGCATAACGTAATTGCTGACTTCACAATTTCAGATCTCCAGAGCCCACAAGCAAAAATTTCACACCCTTGCACGCTTTGCACCGGGCAACTCGTGCAACTGCTCTCTTTTAACGCCTGTCGCAAGACTGGCCTTCTCTAAAATCCGCTCGTAGTCCTCGCGTAGTCGCTCGTACGCCGTCTGTAGCTTGTCCATCTTGTCCGCCTTTTCCAGTTCGCCCAACGCGTCTCTGTTCTTCAGGTACAGCCTCTTTTTGATCTGTAAACGCACATTCTTTTCGCTCAGGTTCTCGACACCACCTTTCTTGTTCTGCAACATCCACAATAGCGTCATCTCCACGCATCTCTCAAATTGCCTGCGGTCCATTTTGTGCACTGCAACCTGTTTTTCGATCCACGCCTTGTCAATCGGCAGCTTGACGCCGTTAAGAAAGTCTGCCCTGTTGAGTCGCTCTAGATCGCAGCGGTCGCGCAGGTCATCAAACGCCTCGCTTGGATCTTCCACGGTGATTTCCTTGACTTTGTCGTCTGCAAGCCATTCGTCCACCATGCAATTGTATAGGTTTTTCCCGTGGCCCTTTAATTGGTATGGAGGAAGCACAATAAACTGGCTGATTTTCTTGCGGAATTGTAACTCCAGAGTCTCTGAAGCGTCGTGAACAGCCGTTCCTGGGTGTTTCCAGTGGGAATAGGCCGTGCTGAATCCGACAAATGACTCTTTCTTCCCCTCGGGACACTTATAGATCGCGTAGATCTCCCACACATCGTCGGTGCTGTCGATGTAGGAGCCGGCCTCGATGAACAACAGGACGAAGATCTGGATTCGCAAGTGCAATTTGAGCCCATTTGCATCGTTGAGCTTGAACTTAAAGATCTTGTACGTTTCGCCATCGACCTGGTATGTATATACTGGCTTGCCCGGGATTTCGAAGTTTTCCTCTTCAATTTTGTTTAGCCACAATGCCTCGTCCTTGACAACTGTTTCCTTGGGAAGAAACTCCAATATCGTCTTCTCAACATCCTTCACATCATCAGATAGCTTCTTTTCGAATTTGATGCCGAGAAATGGGTACATGGACCGGCAGTCAAAAGCAAGGTCGATTCGGAGGCCCTTGTACCCGAAGATCTGTTCGGAGTCTCCAAAGATCGGGTACGTGAATGTGGGGTTGAAAGTAAACGCGCCCTCTGGCTCTGCCAGCGACACGTGGAGGGCCTCGTTTGAGGACGTGGTCCAGCTTGATGGCTCGTAATCTGGTAGAGACATGAAAATAAGAAAAAATAAAATTAAAATGATTTTTCAGACCTGTGCAACGATGTTGATATTTTCCGGCTGCAGGAGCTCCCATTTGGACCGCCCATTCATGCCAATTGGCTCCAAATATACCACACTATTTGAGCAGAGCTCAAGGAGGTTGCTGAACTGCTGAACGGCGGCCTTTCTCGAGCACAGTCCCACCAGCACGTCAAAACTGATCTGCCTCAGATCAGACCGCTCGCTATCGTCCTGTTTGCGGCCGTGTGCGCGACACGCCTCTACCAGCACCTCATGAAACTTGTGCAGACGGTTTTCGTCGCGTAACTCGGACGCGTCGCCAAAACTGATGTCGAGCATCGCGTCGTCGTTCTCAAACGCGACAGGGCTCAAGTCTTGGATTGGCTCTTCGAACCGGATATGTGCGCTCGAGATGCTTCCCCGTCGCGACGACTGGCCAGACAGCGCACGCCGGGCCTCTTCAATGGACGACACGCTCGAAGCACGGCTGTAGCGGCGAGACGTATTGGTAGCAACTGTCGAATGCAGCAGCGATCGCAGGAAGGGCGGCAGCTTCTGCAACTCTGCACCAATCAGATCCATGCACGTCTCTTGCGGCATACTGCGGCCGGAGACCATCAGCTCCGAGTATCGCTCGCGGTCCTGTTCCATTTTGGCGGTGGAAATCGAGATCTCAGTGTCGCAAACAAGTCTGCGTAACTTCAGCCGTCCGGCGTCGCTGCGCAGCCGTTTGGGCGTCTCCAGGTCCACAACTGACACTTCTGTGTCCTGCTGTTGCGGAAGCTCGGGTAACTCGGGCCCTTCGAGGTCGAAATCAAGATCGACGTCCAGCACGTCGCCGACCCCGGTGCCTGCCGCATTGGCGATCACGTTGCCGTGCTCGTCGAACGAAAACTCCAGCTGGCCAAGACTCTGGTTCATGATGTCGTCTAGCGGGCCGACCGACCCGACAGAGCCCTGCGGCGACCGCCCGCCCCCACTGAACCCAGTTGCGCCAGTGTGCACAGAGTCGCGCGTGAACACCGTGCTCGAGGTGTCCGAGACCGACGATTCAGCCACAAGTGCGTGCTGCATATCAAACTCGCGGATCTGCCGCTGCTGAGCGCCTGTGTGGGGGTCTGCCGGCTCTGGGTCCAGCTCCGACAGCATGCCCACCTCGATGTCGAAGTTGGGGTCGTCCCGCAGCACGTTGACCGGCCGCGTGTGCATGGCGGCCTCGATTGCAGCGCTGAGCTCACTCACGACAGCCCTATGGCCCTCAGTCAGATCCCGGGCAACCTGAGTCCTAATAGCATGCGTCTCTCCTGAACGTTAGTAGCCGGCGAAAAAACACGTACGGAATGAGTACTCGGTCTTCTGCTTGTACACGAGGGTTACGCCGTACAACAGGCTGGATGTATGGCGAAGCGGCGCGTCGAACAGCGGGCTCGCGATCGCCCGGCACGCGGCAGGGATCGAGACCTGCTCAATTCTGCGCCGTGTGAGCCGCGAGTGGGCCGTGCGGGAGCCCAGGGTCGCCAGAAGCCTACTGTTAGTGGAAATTTACGGAAACTCACCAGATGGTGGCCATTCCCTCGTCGTGATCGGAAATAAGCGTGTTCATGGGGGATACTTATTTTAATTACAGGAAAATCTGAGGGAGGGTTCGATCCCTCTACTCCTCACACCAGGAGCACGGCGATCGACCCGGCGACGGTGAGCAGCGCGCTCACAAAGGCCATGAGAGCGAGCAGAAACTGTGCGGTCGGGGAAAGTTCACTGTGGTAGAGCCGTAGGTAGAACAGCAAGGGCAGCGTGATGCAGACGATGAAGCAGATAGCGGAGCCGAGCAGCGACATGATTTTGCCGAAATTTGTGATTATCAGCGACGACACAAGTAGCACGCCACTGACGGCGAGTCTGGCGGCCAGCGGGGACAGCCGACGGTCCAGGGCTGACAGAATGGGGCGGCACACGAGCGGCAACTTTGAGAGCGGCAAAATGCCCATCAAAACGACGATCGTCGTTCGAGTCCATGCCGGGTACGCTTTATTAAGCAGGACATTTTTTGTCACCTCGTCCTGCACAGTTTGCCCGAACATGAGGAACCCTACGATGCCTGTGGCGAGGTCCATCGAGTAGCTGAACAAGAACGCGGTCGACATGCACGCGGCGTATTTTTCGGGCCGTTTCTGGTCGGCGTACACCTCTGGGAACGCGGCGTGTCCGCCCCAGGGCGCAAGAAATAGGCCGAGACTGAAGCACAGGTCCAGCAGCGACGCCGGCCACAGGTTTGTCGGTGCCGGGTGCAGCAGCGAGCCGGGCTGAGTGCGGTGCAGCAGCCCAGATACCAGCACCACGCAAAAAGTCGCCGTGGTGCACACGATGCCGGCAAAACTCAAAAACGACAAAATGCGCAGCGGCAGCGCGTTCAGCACCACCAGTCCCGCGCACAGCACGGCTTTAAAAAACGTCAGCGAGAGACCCTGGAAAATGGCGTGGAACGAGTCCGCAAACAGAATCACCATCGTCACGCTCGCGCCGTATAGGTCCAACGCAAACACGACAAACACTAGCACGCTGGCGCGCGTGCCGAACGCGTGCTGTGCAATGTCGTGGTACGTTCTCAGAGATTGGTTGCGCGTCTGGATCCGGCCCAGTAGCACGGCCGTGTATCGCGTTGAGAGCGCTGCAAGCGTCAGTATGGCCGTGCCCATGACCCAGCCGGCCAGCCGGAATGCCAGCGGGATAGATAAAATGCCCAGTCCGATCAGAACGTTGATGGAGTTGAAAACTGTCTGCATGGGAGTGCTCCTAAGAGAGATAACGATCTCCGAGACGTCATCCTTGGGTGGCTCGAGCAGCGGCGTGTGCTCTTCGGGCGGCATTTGCGGTGTCACGCGCGGGCTGCTTGGTACCACAGACTCGGAGTCGAGCGTCGTTCTGGACCCTACCGACGAGGAGAGATAATTAACCGAGCGTCGAACGGCAGAGGCAAAATTGTTAATCGAGTTCTCACCTCCAACGTCCAGCAGCGAACCTCTTCTGTTGTGGATCCGGAACTCCGACGGCGAGCATACTGGACTGACCGAAGAAGAGTCGATTGCAGACATTGGTGAAAAAATATTAATAAATCAAATTAATTTGAAAAAAAATACACTTCAATGCTCCAGCGGGTTTTTGTCCGCCCCAAGTCCTCGTTCTCGGCGACTGTCCGGCTGCCGCAGACGAAATTCCCCGGCCGCACTGATCAGCACGCGGTGCAGACACTGCTGCTGCCGCAGGTCACGACGGAACTGTACGACTGGAACAACCGTCGCGAAGTGAAAAGTATACAAGAGCTATTCATTCTGCACGACGGCCCCCCGTATGCCAATGGCGATCTGCACATTGGACATGCTCTGAACAAAATTCTCAAGGACATAATTGTGCGATTTGAGCTTCTGAGCGGCAAGAAAGTGCACTTTCGTCCCGGCTGGGACTGCCACGGCTTGCCGATCGAACTGAAGGCACTGGAACAGATCGCGCAGCACAAAAAGACGCGCAAAAAGGAGATCAAACGAAAGCTCAAGACCAGCCCCAATCCAGAACTCGAGGCCGAGCTGGTTGCGCTCGAGGCCAGGCTGAAACCGCTGGAGATTATCGAGCTCTGCAAACAGCATGCGCTCTCGACACAGCAGTCCCAATCGGCCCAATTCCAACGTATGGGCATTATGGGAGATTTTGCCAATCCATACAAAACACTCGACAAGGACTTTGTTGTGCGACAGCTGCGCGTGTTCAAACGACTGTTTGACAACAACCTCATCAAAAGACAGGAAAAGCCGGTCTACTGGGGGTGCGAGAACGCCACGGCGCTGGCCGAAGGAGAGCTAGAGTACAACCCGCAGCACCACTCGACCGCAATCTATGTCAAGTTTCCGCTGGAGCGTCCGCCAGAACCGTTTGGCCCCGAGCCCGTGTACGCTCTCATATGGACGTCGACGCCGTGGACGCTGGCGGCGAACCGGGCGATCTGCGTCAACGAGAACACGACGTACACCATAGTGGAATCGAAGGGCGACCGGCTGATTGTGGCCCAGAAACTGGTGAATTCTTTAAGAACGATCGATCCTCAATTACGTGAGACGGGCGTTCAAATTCCCGGCTCAGAACTGCTCGGTTGCCGCTACCGAAATCTGCTGCTTGTCGGCAGCAGCCAAGACACGAGCCTTCCTATTCTGCACGGCGACCACGTGACAGACTCTGCCGGGACCGGTCTGGTCCACACGGCTCCCGGCCACGGACAAGACGACTATTTTGTGTGTCTAAAGCACAATATTCAACCTTACTCGCCCGTCAACGAGCATGGAAAGTACACGGACGAGCTGCCGGACAACGACTTACAGGAGCTTGTTGGTCTGCGTGTTCTTGGTGAGGGCACACAGAAAATGGTGGCTAAACTAGAGCAGCTACAGCTCTGCTACCATGTGGACCCAAACTACACGCATTCGTACCCATACGACTGGCGGTCGAAAAAGCCGATTATTATCCGTTCGACGCCGCAGTGGTTCATTGACGTGAGTAAGATCAAGGCTGTCACCACGGAGCTGCTCCAGAAAAACGTACAGTTCTTCCCGCCGCGTGGCTCGAACCGGCTGGTCTCGTTCATCAATTTGCGGAACGAGTGGTGCATTTCCAGACAGCGCAGCTGGGGCGTGCCGATACCGGTGGTGTACCACAAGCAGACGGGTGAGCCGCTGATCAATGACCTTGTGATTGAGCGCATTTCGCAGGTCATTGCCGCAGAGGACGTCGAGAGCTGGTTTGGCGAGTCGTCAATGGACAAATGGATTCCGTCAGAGTGCAACGTGAACCCAGACGACTACGTTCGCGGCACAGACACTATGGACGTGTGGTTTGACTCCGGCTCGAGCTGGACTTTGGTGGAACAGTTCCTAGAGTCCACGGGACTGCTTTCGGAGGCGGTAGCACGCGGATATCTGGCTGACGTGTATTTGGAGGGTTCTGACCAGCACCGGGGCTGGTTCCAGTCGAGTGTGCTGACCAAGATCGGTGCGACTGCGCCTGGCGAGTCTGCGGTGCTGCCTTATGGGAAAATAATTACGCACGGGTTCACGCTGGACGAAAAAGGAGACAAAATGTCCAAGTCGCTTGGAAACACTATTGTTCCGGTCGATATTGTTGAAGGGAACAAAGCAAAGAAAGTGCCTGGTCTGGGGATTGATGGGCTGCGTCTCTGGGTGGCCCAGGCCGACTACACGTCGGATGTGGCTGTGGGGCCAGTGATTTTGAACAGGGTCGCCGACGTGGTGAAGAAATTGCGTTTCACGTTCCGATTTCTGCTTGGAAACATTGGCGACCTGGAGCAGAAAGTTGAATATGCCGGGCTGGACACCATGGATAGATACATATTGTCCCGGCTGGCATCGTTCGAGAAGAAAGCTCGCCAGTGTTACGAGGCGCACAATTACTCGAAAATCATCAAGGACATGAATCAACTGGTCAACGTGGACCTTTCTTCGCTTTACTTTGACATTCGCAAGGATCCTCTATACACGGACTTTGCAGACAGCCTGAAAAGACGCAGCACACAGACGGTATTTGTGGAGGTGCTCAAGGTGCTGACGAGCGTGGTGGCTCCCATAATGCCGATCATGACGCAAGAGGCGTGGAATCACTCGCCAGAGCTGGTCACGGACGGGCTACGGTCTTCGTTTATGCGTGGCTGGTACGAAGTTCCGCAACAGTACCTGGATCCGGAGCTGGAAGCCGAGATGGAGCAGCTGCTAAAACTCAGTCACCAGATCAAGGCTGCAATAGACAAGACGCTGCGTAGCACAGAAGTCATGAAAATGGCCTCCGAAACAGAAATTTACGTGGATGTTGCTCCCCAGACTGCTTTAGGGGCTCTTGTTTCCAAGTATGAGGCTCAGATGACTGAGTATTTGATGGTGTCTAAATTCCACCTGAACACACAGCGTCCAAAGGACGTTTTGTTGGAGACTACAGACGGTGACATTTCTATCGCAGTGACGAAAACAGATCTTGAAAAATGTCCTCGTTGCTGGCGGTACGCCGTGGAGGGTCCTGCCGAGCTGTGCAAAAGATGCGCGGAGGTGGTAGCATGTACATAGCCATAGGAGAAAAATAAAAAATATCTTATTTTTTTTCATTTTTTTCATGTCGCTCCAAGCCAAGTACGACCAGTTCCAGCAGACGATCGAGTCGCTCAACACAAAAATCGTCCAATTGCACTCGCAGATCGATGAGCACGGGATTGTGCTGGCCACGCTGAAAGATGTGCCTCCAGAACGCAAGTGTTATCGCATGATTGGCGGATCTCTTGTGGAACTTGTTGCTGGAACCGCAGCCAAGATTCTGGAGGAGAACCTGGACGGCATGAAGAAGTCGGTGGCCACACTTACAGAAGAGCTCAAGAAACAGCAGAAAGAGTTTCTCGAGTGGAAGGAAAAAAATAATATCAGGATAGTCAAGGCAAACTAGAGATGTATTATACAGGTGCTATTTCCTCTCAATTTGTCTTTTCCTTGCCGAGCTTTTTGTTTCCCGAATAGACAAACACCACCACGAACACAAACCACCCCACCATGACCGCAAGAGCACTGCTCAGATACACCCATGAGTTGGTGATCTCCCAGGACCTCGGGTACTCGTCATTGGCAAGATGGCGCACAGGAACGGTCACGCTCTCGTCGATGAAGCTGTATCCCTCGCGCTGGTAGAGCACCTTGTACGTGAACATGCCGTGTTGATCTGGGATTTGGAACGTGGTGCCGTAGATCTGCGACGAGTTCTCCACGCGCTTAGGAGCAAGTGTGAGTCTATAGTATGGGTCTAGCATAACGAACTCCAGTTGAAGATCTTCGCAACCTGTGAATGGGGCCCATTTTTCGCCGTCCCACTCGGACACGCCGATTTCGAAGGTTGTTGTATCTTTGATTTTGTAGCCGGAATCTCCATTTTCGTTGTAATGTGTCACTGACGTGGCCTTGATGAGTCCAGAGATCTGGAACGTCCAGTTTATCAGGTCTGAAACGAGCTCCTTGTTGAAAGACGCGTCTTTGAAGCTAGCTGCCGAGCCGGTCCAGAAAACACGAGCGTTATTCAAGCCCTGCAGTCCGACAAACAGATACCCCTGGGAGCCGGAGTGCCACGTCGAGTCGGCATTGACACGTCCCTCATCGACATTAAAGGTGTACGACGTGCGCGGAGCGCGCACAACAGGCACCAGGAACTCGCTGTTCGAGAGCAATGCGACAGACCCATCCTTATACAAAATAGGCTTGTTTGTGTGCAGCACAACCTTGTTATTGACGTCTGGCTCCTCCAGTGTGTCGCCCTGGTGGTGATCAATGTATTTGTAGCCCTTTGGGCTTGGATAGATGCCCAATTCGTTCAAAAAGAGCACAACGTCGGTCTGCAAGCCCGTATTGTCGGACACCACGAACACGTCTCCGCCGTCCTGGACGAACCTGAGCAATGTATCGGTGTCAACTAGATCCTTTGCTGTCGTTGGCAGGATCAGCAGGTTCTGGTACCGTCTGTACCCGTTTCTGAACAGCTCAAGAGGCTCAGACTCCGGACCCACCAGTGCCAATTCAGGCTCCAGGTTTCTGTCCCTGAGCATCTCGAAGAGCTTCGAGTACTGCGACTCAAACTCCGGCAGGCGTGTATCGTACACCACAAGCGTTTTGGAGTCTTCCAGGGCCGAGGACAGCGCCCAGGCCAAGGGGGTCAGAAGAAACAAGAGAAAAATCATGGATTAAAAAAAAAACGTGTTCGCGGTTTATGACGTTAGACAACGAGGAGTTTGCAGAAGCGTACAAAAGACTGAACGAGGCCGAGGCGGCCGCGACGGTAGGTAGCAGGCATGACGATGGCTAACTTTAGCATTTGGAGAAACTGCTGGATGCGATCGAAAGCAGGATGGACGATCTGGAGAAAAGCGGCCAGTCGCAGACGACAGACACCGCACAGCGGGAGACCGTGCACGCTGACGTGGGCGACGGGCAGCAGCCAAACGCAGACCAGCCTGAGACAAATAACGGAGGCATTTAATTGCAACTACTTCCGGACAATTTCTACGCAGACTAAATTCCAATTCGTAATTCGTAATTTTATTCATTTTTCTACGTGTCATGCCAATCGAAGCAAGCGACGACAAAGTGGAGCTTATTTCCCCGGAAAACCCAAACACCAAGGTGTCTGTGCTGCTGTACGGAGCCACCATCACATCCTGGACCATTGAGGGCGTCGAGCAGCTGTGGCTGTCGTCGGCGGCCAAGCTGGACGGGTCCAGGCCGGTCAGAGGCGGCATCCCGCTGGTGTTCCCCGTGTTCGGCAAGAGCAGCGCGCCAGGGTTCGACCAGCTGCCGCAGCACGGCTTTGCCCGAAACTCCACCTGGGAGTTCCTGGGCCAGACCAGAGAAAACCCGCCAACCGTGCAGTTTGGTCTCGGTCCCGAACAGGCCAACAGGGAGGTGTACTCCAAATGGGACAACGGAGACAACGACTTCACGCTGCTGCTGACGATCGAGCTGCAGCCAGACGCGCTCATCACAACGATCGAGGTGGCCAACTCGGACTCCAAGGCATGGAAGTTCAACTGGCTGTTCCACACGTACCTGGCCGTCAACGACATTGACGACACATTGGTGAACAACTTGCCGGGAGAAACATGCTACGACCAGCTACTGGCCGAGACGTACGAGGAAAAGGCGCCGGCCATCGACTTTAACGGCGAGCTCGACAGAATCTATCAAAACGTCTCGTGCGAGAAGCTGCTGCAGGTGATCGAGCTGGGCAAGGTGGTCCACAACGTGGAGAGAAGAAACTTGCCCGACGTGGTGGTGTGGAACCCGTGGGCCAACAAGTCTGCAGGTATGGCCGACTTTGAGCCAAAGGACGGCTTCCACAAGATGGTGTGCATCGAGCCTGGTCACGTGCACGATTTCATCACGCTGGAGCCAGGCGAGTCCTGGACCGGGTCGCAGATCATCCGAAAGGGCGACGCGATCAAGTTGCAGGCTATATAAGTCACTCCGAGTTCGGGCCAATCGATTCCACTGGTTTTCTCACAAACTCCTCCTCTGTAGTTTTCGTAAACGGGTTAGGGGGCAGCTTGGGGTTGATGACGTACCTGCCGCTGTCGACCTCGGGGAAGCTCACCTTAATCTTGCCCAAAGTGCCGCCGGGGATCCACCACTTCGCCCCCGTCGTCTTGCCCGACGGAGCAGGCAGGCCGTGCGTGAGCAAAAAAGTCGACTCGTTGATGTTCTGCGCCAAAACCAGCGAGTTCACCCCCACCAGCTCCACTTTGCGCGTCTCGTACAGCTGTTTCTCGATCTCAGACATGATCTTCTGGTCCGCAATGTCCAGCTTGGCGTGGAACACGCCGTACACCGGCTTGTGGTCGCTGAACTTGATCTGCTGCGCACAGCCGTACTCCAGCTGGCGCAGCACAACGTTCTTGCTCCGTGCAAGACTCAGGATCCGGTCCGTCCACGCAGGCACTCTCTGTTTGTCGGAAGTGTCGTAGACGTCTGTGCCGCGGTCGAACTTGTACGTTGGCGGGAAATTGATGGCCATCTCGTTGAAATATGGGAACGATTCACCCGTGGCCATCTGCTTGTTGAGCTGGTCGTACTCAAACAGCGGCGAGAACCTGACCTCGTCCAGATGCGTGCGCACCTGCTCGTTGGGGAGGTCAATCCGGAAGTTGAAGTCACCGACCCAGAAAACACAGTCGAAGTCCCGGATGCTCTTGTTGTGTCTGAACCGCAGTCCGTTGGCAATGGCCTTATAGTTCTGATGTCGCTCATCCACGTTGTGGTGTCCAGCGGCCAGATGCGACGCAATGAAACACAGCCGGATCGAGGACGAGAAGTCGAACGCAACGGCTATGCCACCCTTGTTGGCCGAAATACCCCGGAACCCGGTTTTTTTGAAACTCGTCTCGACATTGCTGATGTACTCGAAATTTTTCTCCTGGACAAACACCAGGCTCAAAATCCCGCCCAGCTGCTCGCTTTTGAGCAGCGTGTAGACGATTCCCTCCTTGAACCAGTTGAGCGTCTCCTTGATTTTTTTCTCCCAAAAAATCTTGGTGGATGCATCAATGTTGAGCATCTTGCCGGGACTCAGCTCCACCACCTCCTCGAGCCCGACCGCTATGATGTCATACTCCTGGTATTTTTCAGGCACAGGGAAGAACCAGCTCGTAATGTCGCCGTCGTATTTGATCGCGTTAACGTTGAACGTGCCTGTCCAGAGAGTGAGCTCTTTGGTCATTGTGAACTCCTCTGCCCGTTTCTGCAGCTCGGCCATCACGTAATCATGGATCGGGTCGTACAATTCAACTTCCACCTGCGAGTCGCGTTGGCCCAGCAGCTTGTCAAACTGGTTCTGCTTGCTGAACGTCACAGACGACGGCGACGAGACGTATTTCTTGGACTTTTCAGCAACCTTGCCTACAAACCCACCGCTCTTGGTCTTGGCCTTGCTCGAGGTGTACCCTTCCACCATTCTTTCCAAACATGATCCGTTTTCTGTCCACAAGAACTGGTGCTTGGCCCAGAACTCGGAACCCGGAGTAAAATTCAGAAATTTGAAAAAGTAATCGAGCACCTCGGCAGACACAGCAGCCATGATGGTGTTTGCCCGTTCGGTTGAGGCCAGCGTATTGACCAATAAGACGCCAGACTGTCGTCCAACGTATGTGCGTGTCTCTATGTCAAAACAGAAAGCCTCGTAGGTCTTGAGATGGTCCGAGATCTGCTGCATCAGCGGGGCCAGATAATGGTAGCTGGACTTGAAAATGAGCGAGCTCGGGATGTCTGCCTTGGTGTAGGAGAGATGGCTGCCCCAAAACGGCGACTGCTGTACCATTTTTGCATACCGGCGGCTGAGTTCTGGCTGGTCGCCGCTTTTGGAGAGGGCGTCTATCACGTGCACTGCGCCGTGTTCGAGAATGAGCGTTTCAAAGTGTTTGGAGAACGCAACATTCGACGCCTCCTCTGACCTGGGGAACTCGATTTTCGTCGAGACCAGCTGCGACTCGAGTTTCCACACGAGCGGAACGTTGCCGCTCAGCTGAACCAGGGCGAAACAGTAGTATCTGTTGGTAAGAATGATCTCTGTCTCGACAAAGTTTGGCACGTTGCCGTCGTCGTCGGCGCAGTACGGCCCGAACATGGGGGCACTTTTGAGACAGCTCTGTTTTGAGATGATTGTGAGCAGCCCTTCGTTCTCATTGACGGTCACGGTCTGAGCAAAACCTCGGATTATCGATACCACAAACTGGCCGGCGTTAAATACTCGTCTTTCGTCTTTGCTGAGTCGGTTGCGGAACAGTTGCAGCTGGCCGATCATGCTGCGGTTCCACGCAAAGCGGCCGTCGTAGTCGTCGACAAGATTGAACGACGAGACCGACCGTGCGCTGCGGACTCCTCGTTCCTGGAACCGCGACACTAGGTCGAAGCACGGCGAGTAGTAGAAGGTTCCTGTGGCCAGCAGGCGGATTATCGAGTGCACAGGGATTTCAGGAAAATCCTCATGTGTTTTGATTCGCCCGTCAAACAGCACATAGTCGTACGAATCACTGTTCAGACACACAAATGTGGTGGCTGTGATTCTGTAAATGCGTTCGTTGATGCGCACCGACCCGACCTCCGATCGGCCGGTCACAAAACCGACAAACACCAGGCCCTTCATGCACACGATTCCCAACACTGCGTGGATCTCGGATCCGCCGAGTCCCCTGACCTCCACGTACTTGTGCAATGGCACGAGCTGCTCGGGCACAAACTCGATCACGCACTTGGGCTTGCTCTCTTTGGACGCCTGGCCGTGCATCTCTCGCAACAGCAGTGCAAATCCATCCGACACAATGGCTACCGACCGTGGGCTCTTGTTCAGATATACCCTCATGGCAGAATAAATATAATAAAATAAATAAATAGATAAATAAAATATTTCATGGCTAATGTTTCGCAGGAATTTAGAGATCTGTGCCAGGCGTGCCGAAAGGGCGACTTTGAACTCGTCGACAAGTACATCGCGCAGGGCGTCAACGTAAGTGTTTTGGTGCGCGGCCACTAACTCCAGGTGAATCAATTGGACGAGTGGGACTACTCCCCGCTGATCCTCGCCTCTATCTGTGGCCACGAAAAAGTGGTAAGACTGCTGCTGGAAAAGGGCGCCATTGTCAACAGAGACACGTTCGAGGGCTCGCGGGCCATCTACGGCGCGCTCACAGACGCTATCCGCAGCCTGCTGCTTTCGTATGACATCACCAAGGCCGTCGACGTGACACAGCCGTTTGCCTCCCACATCTCTGCTCTGCTGCAAAGACCGCCCATTGCCACCGCAGACGTGCGCATTGGCGAGTTCCGACTGCACCGGTTCTTGCTTACGGTGATGTCGAGGTACTTTTCGCAGCCAAACGTGGACTTTGGCGGCACCAGCGCCCAGGTTCTTCGGTTCCTGTTTGAGTACATATATCTGGTGCCGTCGCTGGATCTGAAGGGCGTCGATGTGGACGAGCTGCGTCGCGTTGCGGACCAGACAGACCTCACATACATGCGGGTGGCTGTGGACATGATTCTGGCGCAGACATCGGCCGCAGACATCAACAAAACCAAAAACACAGTGCAGCACACCATGTACGAGACGGCGCGGCAGAAGCTGAAAATTCTGGTCGAGGGAATCGTCTCCAACAAGATTGTCAAGGACACAGAGCTCACGGCAGCCGAGAAACGTGCGCTGGTGGCCCCCTGGCACGCAGACCTTATTTTCCGCGCGCAAGCCGGGTCCAGGACCCTACATTATGCCGTGCACAGAGCTATTTTTTCCAGGGCAGAGTACTACCTCACGCTGTTTGCGTCTGGGTTCCACGATACCGCTGTTTTTGGCGAGCTCGAGAAGGACGGCGTCGTCGACCTGGAGCGTCTGCATGCCGAGGCAGACGCGATCCCGGTGATTTCGCTGCCGTCGTCGGACATGATGGAGATCTCCGAAGAAACGGTGGAAATTCTGCTGAAACATTTATATTTTGACGAGGCGAACGTGCCTCCACAGTTTGCAATGGAGACGCTCGTGATTGCAGATGCGCTGTTCATCGACCGGCTCAAGACGATTGCCGCAATCAGTCTGTCGTCGATCGAGGACTTCTCGACGGTGTCGTTCTCTGTCTACGACGTGCTGCGCGCGGCGTGGGAGTTCAAAGTGCACCGCCTGGAAGACCGCGTGGCCTACTTAATAGCACAGGACCTGGAAGCTTTCTGTGCGGACCCGCAGTTCTGCGACATCATCCTGGAATCGTCGCGACGGATTAGCGAGCGGCAGGAGTTCGACACGATCGAGCTGGTCGACGATATTCGGTTCTATCTGGCGAAAAAACATGCCATCGACCAGGACGGCGGGACGCTGAACCCGACGATGGCGCGCGTCGAGAGCGACGAGTACCTGGAGCGCGTACGGCAGTACGAGCAGGACATTAGGGCGGTGGACAGCATATTAGAGGAGCTGGGGCTGAACGCATAGTTACTAAATACATTTATTAGTCTAGTTCTTTCTGGTGGTTCTGCGCTTGGTCTTGAGATGGGTCTCTGGCAGCCACGACTCGTCGACCTTAGCAGGAGCCGTCTTGGACGGTTTGGTAGCAGGCAGTTTCTGTTTTCTGGCATCCTTCTTGACCGTGCCAAAGTAGCGGGCGCCAAAGAGCGTGTACAGGAAGTACACAATGCCTCCGACAGAGGCGGCCAGAATGACCTCCAAAACTAGCAACTTGGGGTTGAATATGGAGATATTAGGGTCGTCGACCTGGATGAGCTGATTTCTCGAACCAAGCATCATGATTTGCTCCTTGAACACAACATAGATAGACGGAACAACCAGGTACGAGTCTGGGTTTAGGTCAATGCCGATCTTCTGAGAGAACGACACAACCTCTTGGCTGCCCACCGACAGTGGCCCAATGTTGGTTGCGGTGATGTTGTACAGCGTGTCTCCGGTGACAGGCGAGATCAACTTGCCCCCCACACCCAAAATTGTGCAGTCGTCCTCCTCTCCATTGTAGAACTGGTAGTCGATCGTGATGGTCTCTCCATTTTCCACGCCGATGAGCTCGGTAGGCGAGGTTTGCTTGTCCTTGATAAGATACTCAACTCTCAAATCGAAGGGTTTTTCTTCGGTGGGCTTGAAGTCGCCCTTGGCAATCTCCGGCTTTGCGGCAGGCTCTGCGGCGGCTCCTGAGACGGCAACGGCCAGGGACACGAGTAATGACAGCAACTTCATAATTTGACGGGCGTGTTATTTTTTCGTCGAGAAAAATCAAATTGAACAAAAATACTGGTAAATCGTCCTCTATTTTTTTGCGTCGATCTTTGTGCCATGTCCTTCGAACACGCCATGAGCGTCCTCAATTTGGACGTCGTACCATCCGCCGAGCCCGACGCGCTCGCCGGCATGGACCTTGCCCAGCTTGCCAATCTGCGCTCCCGTATTGAGGCCCAGATCGACACTCTCCACGCCCGTCTCTATGCCCAGAACGCAGACATGGACACCCCACTGGTCTCCGACGACGGCTTCCCGCGCTCAGATATCGACGTTGTGCAGGTTCGGCTCCTCCGCACGCAAATCATCCGCCTCCGCAACGACTGGCGTCTCGTTTCCGACGCCCTCCAGCCCAAATTGGCCCAGTCGTTCAGCCGCGCCACCACGGTCTCCCGGGCATCCAGCATCCCGTTCGCGTCGGTCGCATTTGTTGCACAGGACAGCCCCGCACATACGGCCGGCCTACGAGCCGGCGACCTGTTGCTCTCGTTTGGAAGGATTAACGCTACTAATCACAATAATCTAAAGGCATTAGTCGGGGCCGTCGCAGAAAACGTCCCTGTCGAAGTTGTTGTGCTCAGAAACAATACCCTCACGCAACTCACACTGGTGCCCGCCAAGTGGGCCGGCCAGGGCCTGCTGGGATGCAGGTTGGACGTGGTATCGTGAGGCAATTCAACCCCCGTGCAAAGTACTCGTGAACGCAATAACGTCTCCGTCCTGAAGCACATACTCGTCTTCGCCCTCCAGCTCCCAGTCTGTGTCGTTGATCAGGACCAAAATGCCGGGCCGGATCGTGCCGTCCTCCACAAACACATCGAAATCTTTCTTATCCACCAACAGTGTCTCGGTGATGTGGTACATCAGGTCCTTGACGGTGGGAGGCTCCTGTGCAGCCACCGTGCACTCGCTCTTGCGAACTCCCCCGAAGATGACATCGAGCCCGCCCCTGGAGTTAGAACGCCTCCGCTTTCTACTTACAGGAACTCGCACTTGACCGTGACAGAGTGCATCTAAGTCTAAGACAAATTTTACTAGTGCACGGATGTTCCCCCACAAGACAAGTGCGCTATAGTGAACAAAAATATTTCATTCTTGACTCATCTCTTTGCTATGCTTCCCAATCCTTCTGAAAAGTACAAGAAGTTTGTGCCTTTGAAGCTCCCCAATAGACAATGGCCAGACCGAACGTTCGAGAAACCTCCACGCTGGCTGTCCACCGACCTTAGAGATGGAAATCAGTCTCTTCCTGATCCGATGTCTGTTGAGGAGAAAAAGATCTATTTCCAGAAACTGCTTGACATCGGATTCAAAGAGATCGAGGTCGCATTCCCGTCAGCCTCGCAGATCGATTTTGATTTCACCAGATATTGTGTTGAAAATGCCCCACAGGACGTGTCTATCCAGGTTCTTTCTCCGTGCCGTCCAGAGCTGATCAAACGCACTGTCGAGTCGCTTTCTGGAGCCAAAAAAGCCATTGTCCATCTGTACCTGGCCACATCTGACTGCTTCCGTGACGTTGTGTTTGGATTGTCGAAAGAAGAGACACTGAAGCTTGCTACGGAATGCACTAAGTTGGTGAGAAGTCTCACCAAGGACGATCCGAAGCAAAAAGGAACCGTGTGGTCGTACGAATTCTCGCCAGAAACGTTTAGTGACAGCGATCCGGACTATGTTTTGGAGGTCTGCGAGAGTGTCAAGGCAGCTTGGGGCCCAAGTAAGGAAAATCCCATCATTTTCAACCTCCCTGCCACCGTCGAGATGTCGACGCCAAACGTTTATGCTGACCAGATTGAGTACTTTTGCACGCACATATCCAACAGAGACGCCGTGTGTGTGTCTCTCCACCCACATAATGACCGTGGGTGTGCCGTCGGTGCGGCAGAGCTTGCGCAGCTTGCTGGTGCCGACAGAGTCGAGGGGTGTCTTTTTGGAAACGGAGAGCGGACTGGCAATGTCGACTTGGTCACTCTGGCCCTGAATCTGTACACACAGGGCATTCATCCGAACCTGGACTTTTCAGACATGAAATCTGTGATTGACGTGGTGGAAAAATGCAACAAGATTCCTGTGCATGCCCGTGCCCCTTACGGCGGACAGTTGGTGGTGTGTGCCTTTTCTGGCTCTCACCAGGATGCTATCAAGAAAGGTTTCGAGAGAAGAAAGGACAACAAGGGCATCTGGCAGATTCCGTATCTTCCGCTGGATCCACAAGATATCGGCAGAACCTACGAGGCCATAATCCGTGTCAATTCGCAATCTGGAAAGGGCGGCGCCTCGTGGATCATTTTGCGCAACATGGAGCTCGATCTTCCTCGTGGACTGCAAATAAGTTTCTCGAAAGTGGTCCAGGATGCCACCGAGAAGAAGGGAAGAGAGCTCAAGGCAAACGAGATCATGGATCTGTTTAAGAACGAGTATCTGCTCTACAACTACGAGGACGGTGAGAATCTCAGGCCAGCGGGCAACTTATTCAAATTGGACAACTATTATCTCGGTAATAAGGACAATAAAACCAGACAGTTGGTGGTCGACATGTCGAATTACGACGGAACTATCTCGTACAAAGTCCTGGGAGAGGGTAACGGACCTATCTCTGCGTTTGTGAACGGTTTGAACACACAATTCAAGTCGAAGTTCCAAGTGATTAACTATCACGAGCATTCTCTGGGTTCTGACTCCAACTCCAAGGCAGCAGCCTACATCAACTGTAAGGTTGACGACAGGCATCTCATTTGGGGTGTTGGTATCAACGAGGATGTCAGTACTGCCAGCTTCAACTCTCTTTTGAGTGTCATCAACCAGGCCATCCGCAAAGGTGTGATCAAGGAGATGAACGTCTGAAATAAATATTCAGTTCTTATTTAAATATATAGGTTTTTTATTTTATTTATTTATTTCCCCTAATGGAGACGTATGATGATTTGGATAGGGACGAGCTTTTGCAACGTCTTGTGTCACTCGAAAAAGAATTCAATGCGTATATAGGCGAGTCAAAGGAGCTAGAGGAGTTTCTGGAAGGCGAAGTTGAGCGGTTGACCAAGCAGGCCCAGACATTGGAGGAGGCCAACAAGAGGCTACAAGACCAGCTGGACGCAGCCAGCGCCCAGAATATCGAGCTCACGCGGCAGATAGGGGTTTCGGACGATGAGAAGAGAGCACACGTCAGCCAACTCAACGAGAAAGTGCGAGCTCTGGAGAAAAGGCTCATAGACACAGAGGTGCTCAACGACGGCCTGGAGTCGAGGTTGCGCATACTGGAGTCTTCCAGAGACGACGAAGACGCACGGCTAGGGGAACTGATCGAGCGTTTAGCGCTCTTGGATAGCGACAATCTTGGCAAGGACCAGCTGATAGGCCAGCTACAACTTCAGATACAGGCACTTCAGAGAGAGAATAAAAACCTTGCGCAGCAGTGTGACAAGTACGAGAAGTTCAGCAAACTAATGACAATTAATAGAACGGAATTGAAGGTAGCAAAGTTCCAGACTCCTCCAATTAACGAATGAATTCGCATGGCACGGCCACGATGGGTAGATAGAATAAATACGAAAAAAAATTCCATAATTTCTTGTATGGCAGATTTTAATCAGCGACGCGCAAAACTGTACAATTCGCGGCTTATTCGTGCAGAGGTCTCTGATCCGGCATTCACAGCAGCAAAGGATCCCGTCACCGGGGTTACTGCGAAACTGGACGTGGAAAAGTTTGTCCAGTCTAGAGAATTCGAGATCAAAGAGTTTGAGCTTTCGAAGCTCAGATCGCGGTACTCCTCTGCAACGAGGGTGTTCCAGAGCTTGCCAAGATCCATGCGCAGACGGACTGCAAGCCACAATGTGCGGAGAGTGCCTAAACGCTTGAGAACCCGCGCGTTGCGGGAGATGGGTCTCTCGAAGAAGGAGCCCGACGGGAACGAAACTAAGGGCGTGGACAGACAGGGCAGACCGTCAAAGGCCAAGCATTCGCGCGGAAGGGAGCTGTATCGGCTGCGGCGGCAGGAAAAGCTTCTGCGTTACGCTGCACGGCTCAAACTCGCGGGACACCTGGTGGATGGAGAGCGTGTTAATGTGCGCAACGTCAAGATGAGAGCCAAGTTGAAAGCGCTGCGCGATAGAATACAGGAGCTTTCACAAAGTGCAGAAACGCCTCTCAACAACGTCTGTGGATCCGTGGACTGGACAGGAATCAATGAGCGAGCCACTATTGGCAAGGTGTCTGCCGTCCGGTACATTTCTCGCCAACGGGAGTTCAAATGGCTTCCGACCCACGTTTGGCACGCGAAAAGAGCACATATGGTGAAACGGTGGGGCTGGAACATTGCATATGAGCCCACCATGAAGTGCTTCCGCCAAACCAGCCGTCAAAGCAGGACCAAGGGATGCATTGGTTTCGATACTTCTTTTTATACAACGATTGTTTTGAAAGGAGAGGGATTGGGCAAGGTTGTGGGAACTCTGACGAATGGAAAAGCTTTACTGAAAAAGTACGTTCAAAACGGCCGGATATGGGAGGGATTTGTCGAGCTGGACGATGAGCTTCTGTGCCATTCCATGGTGTGGTGGATAAAAAATGGAAAAGAGTGCGTGCTAAGAATACACCCGTCAGTTTATGATCGTACAATGGACTACCTTCTCTCCAAAAGAGACGACATTGAAATTCAGGATAGCAGATACTCTATTGGCTCAATCACGGTCACCGGACCGCAGGCACTGTGCTCGTTGGCCTCCATCATCCATCCTTCCAGCGAAGCGGTAGCTAGCCAGCTATTTCGTCAGCTATCCACGCTGAATAGCTCAGCTGTTCCTCTAGGGACCACATTTGGTCTTTTTGCTGATGATCCTCGTCTGTGGCCAAGACCAACCAAGCCCCACACCAAACCATCAGACCCGTTGGAAACCATCATCAAGCTCCAGAACGGAGCCGGTGTAGAGGTGAGTGCGGTCGAGGCGCTTTTCTCTGTGGAGGGCAGAGTTGCATCTTACGCCGGCCAGCCGTCCCTGAAACAGCTGGGACGGCGAAGGACGCCGGAACTGGTGGGCCGGCCTATCCCCAAGACCGACTCCGATCCGAGTATCCCGATTGTGCTTGCGAAGTTGCAGTGCGGATTTGTTTTGCTGACCCCGTGGCATTGGGTGCTACCGTTTTGGCACCAGCTGGCGCACACGCCCCATTTTGCAATTGGCGGGCTGAAACAGCTTGCTCAGCTGGAATTTGAAAAGGGAGAGCTTAGTTTTGCCGATTGCGCGTTCACGAGGGCAGGTTTCGTCGAAGGCCTGGCCAAAATGGAGGAGCTGGAAGCACGCTGGGCCAAGCGGCCCAAGAGTAAACGTGTCAACTACGACAAGCTGGACGAGCCTGGATCGCCGTTTGGCTGTGATTGGCGCTACTTGCAGCTATTGCGGCAGAAATTGAAACAGGTGCCGCCAGTCGAGGACTATTCAGGCACAGAGTTCACAATCACGCAGGAGAGAGTGATAAGGAACAAACAGGACGTTTTCGAGGCTATTGAGGACCAGAAAGAGAAAGACAGGCTGATCACCGCGCTGGGGAAGCCAGTTTTCACACAGCTGCCCATCAAGCTGGTTGGTCTGACGCAGCAGCCCGACGCAGCGTCGTCCCGTCTGCCCGTGGTAGCAGTCAAGTTTCGCATGGTCAATAGAGGCCATCCTGCCGATAATGCGCGGATCTATGCAATTCCCGAGGAGAGTTATTTGCGTTGGATAGAGGAAGCTGGCAAAAAGACTATACTAGGCAACACAGTGCCGTTTGGTCTCGAGTGTCCAGGCAAAGAGTACCTAATCGGCTACGCCACAAGCGCCACGTTTAATCTGGCAGTTGGCAAAGGCACAGGAGTGGGACTCATAGATGCCGAAGTCGCTTATGACCTTCACACTAAAAACAGACACACATTCGTCGTCCGCAACGTGGCCAGCACTGCTTGCTACCTTGCAGAATGGACTCTTGTGGCTGTGTAAAAAAATAATATCAATAACAGCCAAATTAGGAATATTTTTGTTTACAAACTTAAATCTGAACTTTTAGAGCCATGTCGTTTCGTCCTCCACGGATGGCCAACACGCCTACCAGGGCACAAACCCCTACACGGAGCCGATCGTCGCTGGGATCTGTGGGATCTGCAACGCCAGTCCCCTCGTCGGCCTCAAGGACACGAGCAACAGCCTCGTCGACCGTGCGGCGTCCCATGACTCCCCGTGTCTCGCTGGCTAGTCCGGGGTCCGGACTGCGCTCCAGATCCTCAATGTCGAACATGAGCACCCCAATAAGAGCTAGCAGCTCGCTTGGCGTGACTGGTGCACAGACCTACCAGGGAACCATCAAGGTTTCCGTGAGACCCCGTCCTTTGAGCGAAACAGCAAGCTCAACTGGAAGCTGGAACATCAACAAACAATGCAGCATGATCGCCAACGTTGAAGCTGGAGAATTCCAGTACGACAACGTGTTTCTGCCGGATGCAGACAACAGCGAGGTCTATAGAGACGTTGTGGAGCCTGTGCTCGAGAAATGTCTCCAGGGTTACAACGGGACAGTTTTCGCGTACGGGATGACGGGATCGGGAAAAACGCACTCCATGCAGGGCTCAGAGACAGAGAACGGGCTCATTCAGCTGTGTGCCACAGAGCTGTTTCGCAAACTTAAAGCGGACTTCAATGCGTTCAAAGTCGGCTGTTCCTACCTGGAGATTTACAACGAAAAACTAATAGATTTGCTAAATTTCGACGGCCCAGCAGCGGATGACCTCAGAATACGGGACGACCCGACCTTTGGGGTGCGCGTGGTGGGACTGAGTGAGCACTGGGTTGCCAGTGAGAAAGAGCTAATCGAAGTGTTTGAGCGCGGAGACTCGGCGAGGAAAACAAGCTGCACAGATTTTAATGACAGGTCGTCACGGTCGCATGCTGTTTTGCTGATGCGTGTCGAGATGAAACAGGACAGCAGCACGCGGCACTCCACGCTGTGTCTGTGCGATCTTGCCGGTTCAGAGAAGGCATCATCGCAGACTGAGCGCCGCAAGGAGGGCGCATTCATCAACAAGTCATTGCTTGCGCTAAGCACAGTGATTCAGAAGCTGTCGCAGGGGTCCTTCAACCATATTCCATACAGAGACTCCAAACTGACAAGACTATTGCAGCCGTCATTGAGCGGCGAGTCCATTGTCTCCATCCTGTGCACGATCCATCTTTCAAGCAGCACATTAACAGAGACAATCAACACGCTGCGTTTTGCAGCGCGCGCAAAAAATATTCTAATGAACGTGAGAAAGAATGAGCAGCAGGACGCAGAGAAAGACAGATACGAGCAGCTGGTCCGCGAGAACGAGCGACAGAAACAAGAGATCGAGGACCTGAAGCGCGAGCAAGTGGGAAAACGGCTTTGGAGCGGCTCGGACGACGAGTCCGTGGCCCAGCTAACCGCAGAAAATCGAATATTAAACGAGAGGCTGGAGCACCTGAAGCGGCTACATGATACAGAGAGCATCCAATCGGCCATGGAATGCCAAGAAAATTTGCAGCAGTTGCTACAGTTCGACGTCTCGGACCCCAAGTTCTCCGAGATCGTGGCCAGTCTCGAGAGACAGTACAAGATGCAGATCTGCCAGATTGAGGAAATGAAGTCTTACATTTTGCACCTGGAAAACCAGCTGAGGCGGCAGATGAGCGGTTCGAAGTCTGCTATCTCCGTTGTGGGCAGCACTAGCGACATGGACGAAGAGATTGCGGATCTCAAACGGCAGCTCAGAAGCAAAGATTCGATAATCAGCGCGTTGCGGCAGTCTACAAAGGTGCGCGAGACCATCAACGGCGGGCTCGAGCGACGCGAAAAGCTGTTCCTACGGCCGATCGAAAATACCGTTGCGGCGCAAAAAGAGCATCTCAAAGGACAGCACTAACTAAAATACTTTTCGTGTATTTTTCAGCCACGGGCTTTTTTTCCTCCATAAGTAAAATCGGCACGAAAAATTATTTATCTGTTTAGGTTCTTCTATGGCTTCGGATAACCCCTACGCCAGCAAACTGACAGATTCTACTACGGACATTGAGCTGTCCCGGATGGACCAGTTCGAGGACGGCCTATCCACCAGGTATGCCGGCAAGACCGTGGAGGAAACCGTGCAAGAACTAGACACAAATGCGAGCAAGGGACTGTGCAATCAAAACGATATTGTGTACAGGCGATCTCTTCATGGAGTCAATGAGATGGTAAATGAGGAGGAGGAGTCTTTGTTCATCAAATTTGTGTCCACGTTCTACGGCGATCCGATGATCTTGCTTTTGATCGGGTCTGCTGGCATCAGTTTTTACATGGGCAATTTGGACGACGCCATCAGTATCACGGCGGCTGTGCTGATCGTGGTGACTGTTGGCTTTGTCCAGGAATACCGCTCGGAGAAGAGCTTGGAGGCCCTGAACAAGCTCGTTCCAGAGTTGGCGCATCTGACGAGAAACGGCACCACAGAGACGGTGATGGCCTCAACGCTGGTTCCGGGCGACCTCGTGCATTTCCAGGTCGGCGATCGGATACCAGCGGACGTGAGGCTAACAGAGGCTGTCCATCTGACCATAGACGAAAGCAATCTCACCGGCGAGACAAACCCGATCTCCAAGAATCTGGACGTAGTCACCAAACCTATGCCTAGCATTGGAGAGAGAACCAACATTGCATTCATGGGAACGCTGGTCAGAGACGGCCACGGGTCGGGAATCGTCATTGCCACGGGCCACAAGACTGCTCTTGGCGGAGTGCACTCTATGCTATCATCTATCGAGAAACCTAAGACACCGCTGCAGAACGCTATGGGTAAGCTGGGCCAGCAACTTTCCTTTTTCAGTTTTGCGGTGATTGGCATCATCGGAATCATTGGCGTGATCGAGGGCCGTTCGTGGCTGGATATGTTTCAGATCAGCGTCTGTCTGGCTGTTGCTGCCATTCCAGAAGGCCTGCCCATCATCGTTGCCGTGACGCTTGCGCTGGGTGTGCTCAGAATGGCCAAGCAACGCGCAATCGTCAAGAAATTGCCTAGCGTCGAGACTTTGGGCTCGGTCAACGTGATCTGCTCGGACAAGACGGGAACGCTGACACAGAACCACATGACCGTCAGCAAGGTCTGGACCGTCGAGATGAAAAATTCGCACTTGAGCCTGGAAAAGAAAGACGATGTGTCTGCTAGCCTGACCAAAGACGTGAAGTACATGCTTGAAACAGGAAACCTGTGCAACAACGCCAAGTATTCGGTCGAGAAGGAAAAATACCTCGGAAACCCTACCGACATCGCCATTATCGAGTCTCTATCCAAGTTTGGCATGGAAGATCTGCGAAACACAAGAGTGCGCTCGAGCGAGTTGCCGTTCAGCTCGAGCCGCAAATACATGGCGATCTCGTCGCACTTTGGTGACAAGGCCAAGAGCGAGACGTTTGCAAAAGGTGCCATCGAAAAAATCGTCGACATGTCCAAAATGTACTACGCCAAGGACGGCGAGATTAAACCGCTCACAGAGGAAGTGACTAAATTAATATTCAAGATGGCTGACGAGCTGGCTAGCGACGGGCTGCGTGTGCTTGGATTTGCCAGAAACTCAAAGGCCTTCGACAAGGTGCCTTCCGACCTTGTTTTTTGCGGTCTTATGGGAATGAACGACCCGCCCCGTCCACAGGTGAGCCAGTCGATTGCCTCGCTCATCAGAGGAGGCGTCCACGTGATCATGATCACGGGCGACAGCGAGGTCACGGCGACCAACATCGCGCGCAAAATTGGCATGCCGCTGAGCGACCCGGAGCGCAGCGTTCTTAACGGAGACAAGATCGACTCGATGTCTGAGCAGGACCTGGCTGACGCTATCGAGTCCGTGTCTGTATTTGCCAGAACGACTCCAGAGCACAAGGTGTCCATTGTCCGTGCGTTGCAGATGCGCGGCGACATTGTGGCCATGACTGGAGACGGCGTGAACGACGCTCCAGCACTCAAGCTGGCAGATATTGGTATTGCCATGGGCAAGAACGGCACAGACGTTGCCAAGGAGGCCGCAGACATGGTTTTGACCGACGACGACTTCAGCACCATTTTGCACGCCATAAGAGAAGGAAAGGGCATTTTCAACAACATCCAGAACTTCCTCACATTCCAGCTCTCCACGTCTGTGGCTGCACTTTCTCTGATTGCCGTTTCCACGCTTTTCAACCTGCCTAATCCTCTCAACGCCATGCAGATTCTATGGATTAACATTTTGATGGATGGCCCCCCTGCACAGTCGCTTGGAGTTGAGCCTGTGGATCAGGAGGTAATGAACAAGCCGCCTAGACCAAGGTCCGAGAGGATCCTGACTGCTGCTGTGTTGAAGAGAGTCTTGGTAGCCGCTTTCTGCATTATCGTTGGAACCATGTACGTCTACGTCCGGGAAATGAAGGATTCTGTCACGAGACGCGACACCACGATGACATTCACGTGCTTTGTCCTGTTTGACATGTTCAACGCTCTCTCGTGCCGTTCGTACACCAAGTCTGTTTTCCAACTCGGTCTCAAGAACTCCATGTTCAACTACGCCGTTGGCGGCTCGCTGCTCGGCCAGCTGTGTGCTATCTACGTGCCGTTCTTCCAGTCTATTTTCCAGACCGAGTCCCTTAGCTTTGGCGACCTTGCATACCTCGTGATGATCACCAGCTCTGTCTGGATCGTGGACGAGGTCCGTAAGCACCTCAGACACAAAAATGCGGGTTACTCATACGGTTACTCGACGTCCGTCTAGATTTAGGAGATGATTAGACCTATATACTCTATTTATTCTCCGTGAATCAGTTTTTCTGTCAATGCCTCCAGATCCTCCAAGGTCTCTGGCTGTTCGTATTCTATCACCTCCGGCTCCCTCTGTGTCTTTTGCTCGTGCTTCTCGAACCATTTTGGCTTCTTTGCCGGCCGTTCATCGTCAATATCGCTCGAAGACTCCAGGTCTGCCTCCAAGTCGGGCTCACTCTCGCTGTAATCTTGCTCCAGCTGCATTTTCTCCAGCTCTTTTCTTCTAATTTTTTTCTCTCTCCGTTTTCTTTTCACTGTGTCCTTGTCCTCCACGTCGGCAGCCTCCATTGCCTTTTTCTCCTCATTCACAAACTCCTCCTTCAACTTATCAGCTGGACCCTCCTTATGGAACTTCTCCTCGTCCTCCAGCTCGTAGATTGGATGTGCTTTTCCCTCGTCGTCAAACACCAGCTTTGTGCCCGATCCACGAGCCTTGGCAGCCAACTTCTTCGACAATGCCTTTTTCATGGCCCTTTTCGAGGTGTTCACCTCCAACGTAGGCAGATCCTGCAGATCCTGCAGCTCGTGGTCCTTCCGTTTCACTGCCAAAAAGTCATCGTCGTCCTCTGCTTGTGCATCCACGTTCAGCTTCATATAATGTTCCGAAAGAACACCCTGGTTTTGCCGCTCAAACATCTTGTCGTACTTCGTTTTCGTTTTCTTGGCTTCCACCTCACCATTCTCGTTCGCTTTGGCCAGTAAGCTGAGCTGACGAGATGCGTTCTTTTTCTGCTTCTGTTTAGCCAGTTCCTCGTCCCCTGCAACCATCTTTATTTTCGGCGTTCCAGGCAATCCCAGAGACTTGGCAAACTCGTCCAGAGGAAGCTGCTTCACGTCAAACACCTCCTTGTCCTTTTGTATGTACACAGACTTGACATATGAAATAAAAGCCTTTTGGCCCAAATATTTCAGATCCGGGCTTTTGAAGCAGAGAGATTGGATCTGGTCGCGGATACTTTTTTTCTTCGAATTGCGGATGTTGAGCTTCTTTGGAGCGATCTTCTTGCTTTCCAGCCTCTTCACAAAAGGTTCTTCCTCACTGGGAGTCAGCATCAACAGGGACTTTCCGGCACGACCTGCCCTAGCCGACCGGCCAACACGATGTATATATGTAGCCACGTCTTCGGGACAGTCCAGCTGGACCACCCAATCGATGACAGGAAAGTCGAGTCCACGCGCCACCACATCCGTCGCAAACAGACAGCATTGGCGGCTTTCTATGAACTTATATGTGGTCTCCATTCTGGCCTTTTGCTTCTGGCGTCCATGCAGCTTCATGAGCGAAATTCCCGGTTGCAGTTTCCGGAAAGCCTCGTAAATGAAATGCACCTGTTTTGAAGACGAAACAAACACCAAAATCTTGCTATCAAGGTGCGACTTGATAAAACTCCATAGAATATCCAGCTTGTCTTGAAGTCGTATCACCACGTACGATTGCTCTAGCGATTCGGGAGTGGAGCTCGTATCGGAGCTTGTGTTCACGTATTCTGGATTCACAAGAGAAAGTCGAGCCAGGTCCTGCACTGACTTGGTTTGGGTAGCGGAAAATAGAAGGGACTGGCGTTCAGGTGGCAGATTGCTGATAATGTCGTCTAGCGTCTTCTTGAATCCAAGATCTAGAATTCTGTCGGCCTCGTCAAGAACCAGGATTTGTAAATTAGTAAGATTAAGCGTGGCAGACTGGTCCATGTGCTGCAATAGGCGTCCAGGGGTACCTATCAAGATATTCATTCTGCCAATTCTCTCCTTCTCAAATTCATAATCTTTTCCGCCAATCACCAGTCCGGCAGAAAAACTGTGATGTTTTCCTATCTTCAGTAGCACCTCGTAAATCTGCATGGCAAGCTCTCTGGTTGGAGAAATGATCAATGCTCCCACTCCGTCGAATTCGTTCCAATTTTCATGCACGAGCTTCTCGATCACTGGGATCAAAAAAGCAAGTGTTTTACCCGACCCCGTCTTTGCAGCACCAAGTATATCGTGTCCCTTCAAGGCAAGGGGAATGGAATCGCGCTGAATGTCAGTCATTGTAATATAACTACTCTCCTTCACTCCTCGAAGGGTATTTTTAGTGAGCGGTAGATCATCAAACTTCGTGAACAACTTGGCCTGCTCAAGAGACAGCTCTTGTATCTGTTGCTTCAACTGCTCCAGCTCTTTAGCTGCAAGAGCGGCTAGCCTTTTCTGCTCCTCCCGTGTGTGCTTCTTTTTGACCTTTGCCATGGGTACGATCTACAATTATCTTGTAATTTTTCTGTAATTTTTTTGAATTTTTTTTTTTTTTTTTTTTGAATTTTTTATTCTAGATACTGTAATTTTTGGCAAAATATTTACACCGCCTTACTCTGCATCATCATATCAGCTTTCTTCTCTTCCTTGGTATCCTCGTGCTTCATTTTGCGCGCCAGCTCTGTGTTTGCAAAAACAAACGTCTCGTCTTTCTCACAGAACTCATGCTTGAGAAGTTCAGTGGCAGTAGGACGTTGTTCAGGGTCTGTCTCAAAACACCGGTCCAGGAAAGAAGAGCCTGTATCACTCATCATCTTGCGTGTTTCTTCGGGAACTGGAGGGGCACTCTTGTTTCCGAGCTTGAAAATGGCACCTGCAATAGCGAAATCGGACCAGGGCCGCTGCCCCGCATACATTTCCAGCACCACACATCCCAGGGACCAGATATCCACCTTGGCACTGTAGCCTTTGTGCTGTGTGTTGTCTATAATCTCTGGGGCCATCCAGAAAATGGTTCCTTGGAAAGACATTGCTGACTCGTTGGTATAAATATCTTTGGCCTTCTTGCTGATACCAAAGTCACTGATTTTGCAAATACCGTCCATTTCCAATAACAAGTTATCTGCCTTCAGATCACGATGCAGAATCCCTTTCGAATGGATATATTGCAACCCCTGCAGAACCTGCTCAGTCAAAAACTTGATGAGGTCTTCCGAAAAACGGCCGTAGCGTCTGATCAGATGACCAACAGAGCCTCCAGAAACATATTCCAAGAACAAACTGTAGACGTTATCCTTTTTTTCGAAACCCAAATATTGCACGATATTCACATGGTCCAAGTCCTTGAGAGAATCCACCTCCGCACGGAACGTGTCCATAATCTCTTTGGTTTCTCTGCTGGACCTGAACTTGCTGGAAATGACTGTCTGTTTGACGGCTATCATCTCTCCGGTCGTGACATTCAATGCAAGATACACTTTTCCAAATGTCCCGACTCCAATCAGCTCACCCTTCACCCATGCAAACTCTTTGTATTGGCCCTTGTGGTTCTTCAGCTTGTTCACGTAGCTAGCACGATTTCCGGGAGTAACCTCGACCACCTTCTGCCCCCACATCTTTGTGCTTGTACGTCTGAGTAGGTTGCCGGAAGGACGATGATTTCCGAGCTTTTTCTGGGCCTCCTTCTTTGCCTCCTGGGCGACAATACGGATGCTCTTCATACGGTGAATTTTCCCAGACGGCTCAGGCGCCTTGAGATAGTCATAGTAGTCTGGTTTCGGAGCCACCTTTTCCTCTGCCACCGGCGAAACTGGCGGAGATACAACCTCGTCAATAATCAGCTTGTCAAGATCCGTATTTGGGAAGTAAATTTCCAGATTGTCATACAGAACCTCAGGAGGAGGACGAATTTCCAGCAAGGAGTCAGTGGACGAAGAGCTGATGTTGGTCGGCATTTTGAGGCTCTGGCTAGAATTTTTGGACGGGGCCTTTGCAAATAGCCCATCGTCTGAGTCCAACGACGAGGAGTCGTCGCTTTCCTCAAGCTCGGGAGCATTTTCGAAACTGACTGTATTTTCTTTGAATGGATCAAAGAGAGTTTTTTGTGTTCCACTGCGCTTTATAGTTTTTGCTCTGATGATAGTGTTTTTCTCGCCTTGTGTTTCTGGTAGCGGAGGAGGTGGTTTTCTGTATTTTGCGCTAGCTGCTGATGTGGCAGAGCTTGGTGACGACTCCTGGACAGGCGGAGCAGGAGCTATGCGGCGAGCCACTAGACTGTCGCGACGAACAAATGGCGACTCGCGTTTCTTGTCGAAGTCGATCTCCCGTTTTTCAGGACGGATCACCCTAAAAGTGGCAGAGTCTGGGTTCGACGTGGTCGTGATGGAACGAGCCCTTGTGAGAGACGAGCTTGTCGACCGTTTCGGTTCGGCGAACGCCACTTTGTTGTTTTCTTGGTGCATATACTCCTTAAAGTTCACGTAGTCGACACCCCCGTTCTTGGTTGCCTCAAGCAGGTACTGAGGCGTTTCGTTGATTCGGTCTAGCGAGTTGTCGCTCGTCAACGAGTGCGAAGAGTACGCAGAGAGTGTGCTTGCGTATCGTTCAAGACCCTTCTGAGTGACGAGGATTTTCATGGTCTCGCCAAAAAACTTACGTTTCATAAGCTCGTCTATCGTCTCGTCATCCAGCGGCTGTCCAGGATCACTGTTGAAGCCTGTGAGTGCAAATTCTGCTTTGAACAGAAACTTAATATTCAACGCGTCGGCAACTACGCGTTTGAACTCGTCAACATGCGAGCAGTTCATCACGTCAACCCTCGTGAACGTGACGTTGTCGCGGGACGCCAAGACAAACACATCGCGGTTGTTGCGCGGGACAGGTCTGAACTTGTGATCCAGAACAAATGAGCTCTTTGTAGGCAGAGCCAGCGTCGACGTCGAAGACGAAAACGATTCTTTCGAGTGCAAAGTGGACTTGGTCACCACTGGGATGGTGACTCCAATCGGTGAAGGTTTTTTGCCCACAGGCCCGAGTTTCTCAAACTTTGGGTCGCTAGGCTTATTTTTCGAGACCGTGAAGGACTTTTCGTGTGCGACTTTGCGGTCTAGCGGTTTTTTGAAGGTCCCGTTAGCAGAGGAAGGGCCCACTGGAGAACCCTTCTTTGGAAAAGCGTAATCTGCTTTGGACTTACCAAAAAACTTGTTGAAGATATTCTTCGGCGTGTTCGAGTCGGAAATAGAGCCCTTGGAGCCTGTTCTTTCGTGCCTCTTTTGAAACGACTCCACCACTGAAGTGTTTAGCTGCTGAGCAGAAGGAGTAGGAGGCACGCCGGCGGAATTGCTGCCAAAGACCGGCGACAAGAAAGACGACTCCGACGAGCTGCTTTTCTGGTGTCGTTTGAAAAAAGCCTTGGAGTGGAACGACGGCGACGAGGGATACAATTGGGTGGTGCATGGCTCGATGGTCGACACTGGCCGTGGTCTTTGAGACTCGCCGTCGTCCCCCGAAAACATATCGTTATTTTGTAGGTCATCTGCAGCCAAAGTAGGAGCAGACACCACCGGCTGCAGTTTGTCTCCTATCGTCTGGTGGGCCTGCTCCTCCTTGCTTGGAGGATTGGAATCTTCCAGCGCAGAGTCGAATGAAGATCCGGAAACAAGCGAAATCGACGGACTCGGGACCTCCAGTTTCGACACCGAGTTCTTGCCCAGGGTTTTCCGTAGTAGCTGGATAAAGCGAGTAGGCGTGGAATTTTCGTCTGTCACCAAGAACGGCACGTACTTCTTGAGCTCATTGTAGGACTGTAGTTTCAGGAAATCGTGCTTGATAAGTCTTTCGGAAGTGAACAGAGAGATCCAGCTCTCGTTGAAACCGTGGCTGCCTAACCAGAAAACAACGTTCTCCAAAGTCCATTCTTCAGGATTATTCACGGACCAGGACACAGAGGACGTGTTGGAGTGGAATCCGCGCGAAATTCGCCTCGAGACACAAAGAGATGACTGATCTGGATGTCCATTCTCAAAAGAGAACTCGTTGTCATCAGGGTCGTCGGGCGCACTTAGAATAGTGGACAGCTTCTCATTGACATTCCCATATAAAGGAGAGTTTCCAGACGTGCTGTCCGTTCTGGGCACCTCCAGCGACTGCATGTCCTTGGAAACTTTGACCGGAATGTTGGCGGCGGCAACTCGACTCACAGAGGTATCGAGGGTCAGCGAGGAGGGCGTGCGACTCTGCGTCTTGGGAGGTTTACTGGGCACAGCAGTAGAATATGGGGAGTCTTTAGATGACTTGATTTTGCTATTCAAGGCGCCCGAATTTGTGATCTCGCTCGGAATCTGGTCATACAGGAATCGTGGCAGCCTATCGCCTTCGCTAGACATGGCGAACGAGTTTGGTCTGTGCCTAAAAGAAATCAAGATGGAAATATTTAGATATTTCCAGAGAGGTGTAGAGGTGTCGAGGGGGGAGAGAAGATGTTGGTCGTCCATTAATATATACAGTTTATATGTTCAGTTTGAGTTCCGACACGCGCAAAACAGTGTAGTCGTGTTTCACCTTGACGTGTCTGGTGTGTCTGTTTCTGCGTTTGGTGATTTCTTTCACGTACATCGGCTTTTTTGTCTTTTCCACCACAACGGCCTTGATGGTGAAAATGCTAGGGTCGATGGAGCCAGAAACGTTGTACGTGTAGTTACGCGATCCGATGGTGGTCACATCGTGGAAGTTGAGCACGTCGCCTACCTCGGCGTTCTTCAGACGGAACGGAAGAATCATCTCGTCGCCTTTAGTCACAAGGTATGGTTTGTTGTGCACGCGCAACGACGCGTACAGTTTCTGTTCGTATTTGAGCGGCGTCAGATCCGGCACGGTGGACTGGAACCGGCGCGAGATGCCGGCTGCGAATCCCTGTTTAGCCAAGTTATTCACCAGTCGGTTCAACATTGAGTAAAAAATTTTAGTGAAAAATATCCCAGACTATATAATCACCAACTTATTTACTCCTTCTTTTCTGTCTTCGCTGCCTGTTTTTTGTTTTCCTTTCTTCTTTGCTTGAGCATATGTGTATACATCACGTACGAGCCAGGAACGTATACGGCCAAACATGCAATGAGAAACCACTTGTACCATTCCCCAACTGCCAATGCTGCCTCGTCCAGGCTGTTGTAGATCATGGTACACTCACTGGAGATCCCAACCGGATACAGAATCATAAAAGCGTTGTAACGCAGCCATTTCAGAATAGTAGGCGGGTTGCCCTCGCTCAGAATGTTGACAGCGTAGTAATAGTACCGGATAATCTCACTGATGGCCCACGCGGTGATCATGGTGATGTATGACCAATGGGCGTTTGCGGGAGAGTCTGGAAGAATTGTGAAAATACCAATCACAAGCAGCAAACGGGAGGCCACCTGCATCACTGTGGTGACCAGGGGCGAACGCACGTTGCCCACTGCAGAGTTGTAGATCTCGACCACAGCACAACATTGGATCAGCGTGTTCCACGTTGACGTTAAGTCAAAAACTTCGTAGCCAGAGTATAGCGCTGCAACCAGCAGCGTGTTAACCAGCACAAAGGACCACAGTGCACCAGAAATAATATTATAATTGACTATCCAGGAAGGAGAAGACATACTCTGTTGTGTTGGGATTATAACTATTTTTTATGCTGGAATTTTATTTATCTCTATTCAAACCTACTAGTGGAACGCCCAAGGCGGTGCGTTTCAGCATAGGCAGAGTCGTCAACTTCGTTATCGTGACCTTGGCCAATAAGATCCTCGTTGTCAGAATCAGAATCAGACATCGCAAGCTCGCTCACTCCAGGGGTCCCGATCTGGTAGTTGAGCGAGCCATCGGCCTGGTATAATGGATGATTCTCCTTCACATACGACTGACCGTCATCGTTCGGGTCCTCATAATCGTCTTCATCGTACTCATCGTCATCCTGCACGGGTCCTTCGTCAGCACTCATCTGGTGGTAAGGATGGCCTCCAATGGAGGAACTCACCAGATTTTTGTCGTACATGGAATCAGAACCAGTTTGTTGGCCGTCTTCGTCTTCGGAATCCTCGTCAGACGACCCAAACTTGTCCTGCACGTTACTGGTCATCTGCTGTGTGATATATCGTGAAAATTGATCCGAGTCCAGCTCTTGTTCCTCGTTTTTCTCGTCCAAGTCTTCAGCATCAATGTCGTAGTCGCGTTGATACAACGACAGATCATGGTCTTGACTTGGGTCAAGATGCAACTGGCGGTGCTGCGGGTAGTCTTCTTCATCGAGTTCCTCATCATTGCCTAAAACAGCGTTGTACTTATTCCTGGTTTCCACGAGAATCTCATTGACATAATGAGTCCACTCAGGATTCATGACACTTTCTTCAATCACTGAGGCCTTGCTGCTAGGCAACTGTAGAGAAGTGAATTTGACCACTTCCTCAGCTATCAAGGTCAGGTGTCCCATGTACCCAAGACGCAGATCTGTCTGCTCTTCGTAGTCCAGACACTTATTATGCCCATCAATGATTAACTTGGTAATATTTCCTCGGTCAAAGAGGTCAATTGCAAGATACCTGTTGTATCCAATGTCCATCGAGGCGTTCAATATTTGCTGCACAATATCGAAAACAACATTGTGCAAAAAATTGTTCCAAGGGAACCTGAAAAACATTTGCAATATCGTGACAATAACATTATTATCGTAGAGAGCAATTTTTAGTTGATCTCCAACAACAGGGTTGTTTCTGAGTAATTGCTCGTTCTCATCATAATCGTCAGGATTAAGAGTCTGCTCATTCTCGTCAAAGCGACTTTCTTCATTGGTTTCGTCGTAATTGGTTTCATGTGGCTCATCCTTCTCATCGTCATTTTCTGACACTCCAAGATTGAGGTTCTGGACCTCTCTAGAGATGTCAAATTCCTCATCGGATCCTTGGTCCTCACTGTTCCTTAACTCCTTCTCCCTCTGGATCAGTATTTCTCTGGCCAAGTCTCGCTCGCGCACAATCTCTTCACCCTTCTCGTGATTGAGCAAAGCCATATTGGAACAATGAATCAACTCTGCGACCAGTTCGCAAATCTTGAAACGCTCAAATCCAAGCGGTTCTATCTGTCCAAATGGGGTCTCCAAAACTTTGTCAACTTTTCTCTCCAACATCTCCGTAAATTGAGTCATATACTCTGCGAACACTTTCACCAAGGTGCCAAGGTAGATTGGGTCCCTAGGAGTCGGTGGATGAGATTCGATAGTGATGTAAACCACAGGTATGGCATCATAGTCTGAGTTGTTTTTCCTGATAATCTCAATGACGATACCCACCCCATTAGATAATCCGGTGCCTCCGCAAAGCATTTGTTTGGCCAATTCCCTCACCATTGGTTCGCTCACAAGCTGCCTGCTGAGTTCGTTGGGTCCGATAGTGGTGTTTTCAGCATTATTAGCCGAGATTGTGATAAACGCTTTAAGGAAGTCACCAGCAGCACTCTGAGTGGAAGAGGGCACGTCTGGTCCTAAGAATCTGATCAAGGAGGGTATTAAATCTTGATCCTTCATCACCTCTATTACACCAGTGCTTGCATCTGGCTTGTCGGTAGAGATTACTTTGAGAAGAAAATCCATCAAAGGAGGTGTGTCAATATGTCTCATGAATCTTTCTATCAAATGGGAGTCTTGCAGAATAAATTGTATCATTTCGTCCATTTTCATATCCAGCAAATGCTCGTTAATCTTCATGAAATAGGTTGCCAGGAATATCGGCAGCGGAGCAGGTTTGTCCAGAATACTCCAGAGCTTTTCTATTAAATGGGGACTTTCCATGAACGCGTCGGTCAAAGACCAGACGTCAACCGACAATATTTCCGCCGCAACCTGTGCTCTTCTGGAATGTCTCTCGGCAGGCGTTTCCTCTTCTCCTTCCTCTTCTTCCTCTTCGTCGTCCATATTAATCTCACCAAAGGATTCGGTATCATCGTCGCCCAATTGGTCCTCGTCCTTGTTGTTGTCTTTTTCTACCGAGTCCGAATCAGAATCGCTTTCGGAATCACTTTCGTGCTCATGCTCTGATTCTTCCTGCTCTGGTTCATCTTGTTTGTTCTCAGTCTCGCTCTCGGGAGCATCAGCATCCTCTTTCGCGTCTGTGTCGCCTTCCATTTCCAATTCTCGCTGGTATTTGTCGTCGTCAACAATATAGTCCACTAGCTTCTCCATCACTTCCGGCTCTCGCAGATACTCCACAAGCTTCGCGTTAGAGGCCAAAAGCTCCGGAATGGTCTCCTGCTCGTCCAAGAGGTCCTCGAGCGTGAAATCTGGCTGTTCTAGAATTTTAGTCACGCGAGAAGCATAGTTGCTTGTGAACTTCCAAAACCCGGACATGCTGAGCCTCCTATTATGACTGGTGTATAACTCTAAACCAAGATGCTATTACGAAAATGAAAAATGCAAGTTAATGAAGCAACCCCAACGCTCCTGATCTCCTATTTTATATATCTCCCAATCTGGAATTGGGATACTCTTTTGCCACTGCAAAAAACCAAGTCTGTTGCTCTATGTGTGTGGGATAAACCAAGTCGGCTCGCCTTGATTATGTTCAGGCTTGTCGTGCTGGCTCCTGTATTGGCGAAATAAATCTCCTCCTATGTTTTTCGCCAGACAACCTTTTTGCTTGTCGTCGAGCTGCGAAAATCCGGGTAAAACGGGGCCAAAATTTTTCTCGCCTTAGTTCCAGGCGGTGCTCTCCATTTACAAGTCTATATGTCTATATCTTGGAACTGATCCAGCCACCGCAGGCTTCTGTCCACAAGCGACACCAGCCCTTGGGAGTGTGGATCGTAAGCAAACAGCCCTTCGACTTGATCCTTGATCAGAATAGCGTCCTGGTTTTGCAACAGCTTCTGTAGCACCTGGAGACACACGTACGAGAACTCTCCATAGAATCGGAAGTTCCAGCTCAGGAGCTTGCAGCAGACTTTCAGAACATACTCGTCTGTGATCTTGTAGTTCTCGGACTTGATGCCGTTCAGCTTCACAAACTCTGTGTTATGCTCCGTGTAGTACAGATAGTATTCCAGCAGCGTATATGCTGCGAAAACGCTGAACCGGTTATCGAAACATGTTTTGTATGGAACCAGCGACGCCTCGAACCTGTGAATATATTGGCACTCCATTGCGATAAGCTCCCATTCGAGAGCGGTGTGCTGCACCGGGGTTTCGTCGCTGCCCATTTTTTCATTCTCCCAAATCAGCACAGATTTCAAGTTATCATAAAGAATCAAAAACAGAGAGTCCAGCCAGCGCTCGCTGAGTCTTTTACCGCGGAATTTCGAAACGTGCGAGTTAGACGAGACAGATCCGTTACGCGAACGGATCGATCTCGAACGGCTGCGCCGCTCAGAGGGAATTTGTAGCGAGTTTTCGTCTCCCTGAGACATCTGCTCCCATTGGCGCTGCTGTTCCTGCTGCTCCATCATCAGCGAGTCGTTGTACTCAGTTTCCATCACAAAAATGCTTGAACGCAGCCTTAGCAGCTCGGACCATCCAAGCGCCCGTTCCATGATCGCCAGCAGGTCGTATGCCTCGCGAAAGGTGCTGTGGAGCTTGCTGACCTCGTCGTAAAGCGCGAGATGCGACTGCGAAACGCTCTGAATGTGTGCCACAGGCGAAAACTCTACAATACCGCCGTAGCCAGACACCCAACCAAACGTTTCCGTATCGTCCCACACTCTTTCCAGCTTTCCCTCCGGTGGCAGTGGGAATTCAAACTCCCTCGGCTTTAATGCCTTGAAGACGTCTTTCTTCTTGTTTGTGTACATGGGACAGGAATTGAGAGCCAACAGAGCGTTATGGAAGTCCTTGTTCAGAATGTGAGAGTGGATAAGCGTTTTCCAGCATTCGAATTCTGTAGGAAGACACTCGACGGCTCGTTGGGCAGAGGCCAGGGCTAGATCTGCTCTGTTCTGGCCATTCAGAAACCGTGCCTGCTCGAGAAGCATCAGTCCGTCGCGCGAATGCTCCTTAATCGCGGAATGCATCAGCCTGACAGCTTTTATATTTTCTCCCTGTTGGAGCAAGATCTTAACCTTGAGGACGTTGGCATTCAAGCCCTTGTGCGATTTTTCGAGTGCCTCGATCTCGTGCAAGGCAAAATCATGGAACTTGGTCATTTTCAGTAGTCGCATCAGCGACTCGATCAGGTTGTTGTTCATGATTGTGGGATGATTCACCAAACTCGAGCTTCCGCACGCAACGCCCTTAGGTATCATCCGCACGAGAGCAATGATAGCCTCCTGGACATCCTTCTTGGTTTCAAACATGTTGTAGCGACACATTCCTGGCAATTGGCGCTCAATGTCATCAGTGAAGAGCAGAGATCTGACGATACATGAAACGTAGGTCTCTATCCATATATTTGAGTTTTCATCCAAAATTTCGTACTTTTTCTTGGTGGATGCGGGGACAAACTCGGCTAGGGGCTCTTCCAAACCGGGGAACTTGCGCTGGATCCGCAAGTCTCCCTTGCTGAAGCAATTATAGGAGCAATAGAGACCTGTCACAGGGTGTTTCTCGGAGGCCGGTTGTTTGTCACGAAGTTGGGCCGTTTGCAAGTACATATAGGGCTGAACCATCGACACGGTGTTGATTCCGGTGCAGTAGTGGTACTCACCGACGTTTGAATGCAAAGACTTGTCGTACTTGGTGAAATGCACCAGGTCTGGAGGTCCAAGCTCGTTGAGCTGATCCAGAATTGAGGTTCGAGCGTTCACGCTCTCGGCCAGCTGGTTCTCATATATTCGCGGCAGGGTGATCACAGGCATGACTTTGGGCATTGCGGGAGATTTAGTATGCGGCTGTTAGCTCGGACAATAACTTTACGGATTGTACAAAATATTAAAATGTCGACGCGACGGTTTTTAAGTGAAAGTTTTTTTCCGTTCGAAAACAAGTTGAAAATAGGTTTCTTCAGTCATGTTCAAACGACTGTTTTCGACCTCGAGGGCGCTGCTTGAGGCACAAACCTCGAGTCTGGATCCGAAGAAGCTCAAACACATGCAATATTTGCTCCAATACTACGACCCGAAGGTGGTGGAGTCGATCATGCTCGCTGAGTCGTCGATCAAGAAGGAACACTTCGACAACAAGAAACTGGCCGCTGTTCCGTTTGGGCCACACTACCTGGACGATCTAACGCAAAAGGACGCATACTTCGACCACTTGCCAGAAAAATCGTTCACGGATTACCTGGGCATGAGACAACTTAATAAGCCAGATTTACCACCAGGAGTGAAAGGCGAAGTTGACCGATTTATGGGAGATTACGACGGGAACGAGATGTCGATGGTCATGCAGGACTTGGTGTTGTCGACAGGATTTAGCGAGGACTACATATCCAAACTTCGAAGCAAGACCCTGATCTTGAAGAGCGTGAGAAACCAGACCTCGAAGGGAAAAATCAGCTCTTTCTACGCCCTCGTTTGCGTGGGTGACGGCAACGGGATGCTCGGAGTGGGGGAGGCAAAGGACAGAGAAGACAATGTGATGGCCGTTTTCAAGGCCCATTGGCAGGCTGTCAAGAACATGGCAAAGGTGCCTTTGCACGAAAACAGAACGATATACGGAAATATCGAACACAAGTACGTCTCCACGGTGGTCCATTTGCGCTCTGCTCCGCCTGGTTTTGGTCTAAAGTGCAACCCAGTGATTTTTGAGCTTGCCCGATGTGCTGGAATCAAGGATCTCGGTGCCAAAGTGTATCGTTCCAGAAATAAGATGAATGTGGTGAAGTGCGTCACGGAGGCTCTGGTCGGACAGCGCACCATCTCGGACATCGCCCTAGAACGCGGAAAGAAGGTTGTCGATCTCAGGGGTATGTATTACTCGGCGTCCTGATGTACATAGTGAACATAGCTCATACCTTATTAACATTAGTGTTATTTAGCACGTTTCTGGGTGGCTTCAGCCACAAGCTCCTCGAAGATACGAGCCTCCTCAGCCTCCCACTTCGACCGCTGAGTGTTCTGGAATATCTCGCCAATCATCTTCAGAGCCTCAGCGCGCTCAAGGGCTTTTGCGGTATCGATGCTCTTGTCGTAGAGCACAGAGTCAACAACATCTCGGATGGTGGACGAAATCTCCAGATGCGAGCCTTTCCATGCCGCGGCGATAATTTTACCAATGAGTAGCTTCTCCATCTCAGCCACAGCCTCGTCTGACGGTATTTCCTCCTTGGGAGTTTTTGTATCCTTGGAATCTTTGGAGTCATCGTTTCCATCGTCTTTTTTGTTTGCTGAATCCGACGTCTCTTCGCCAGTTTCTTCGTTTTTTTGCATTTGTTCCCGCTTCTCAGTCATTTTTGCTAGCTCCTGCATCGTGCTTTGCGCTTCAAGAGCACTACTGATAGTTCTAAATGTATCCTTGATGATTCCCCCCTTCTCCCTAAGAGATCCCATCCAACCACCAAGCCCCAAAAACGTCCTATGCGATTTCATAAATATGTTGGCCTTGGCAATGTATATAGACCCTATTGTGTGGAGGATTTCCAAGCCAAAAGACTCCATTTTAAGGTTCTCGGCTTCCAGCTGGAACTTGCTCTTGAACGAGCGAATTATATCGTCCGACTTGTCTGTTTCTGTGTACAAAGAGAGCTTAGCAGTGAGTTTCTTGACTAATTCCTTCTTGATCTCCTCTTTGCGTTGCCTGCTCTCCTCGTCTAACTTGTCCTGCTCCTCTTTCTTCACTCTTTCCTGTTCTTTCTTCATCATCTTGAGCTTTTGTTCCTCGCTGAGGTCTCCATATTTGCCGTCTTCTAGTTTTAGACTACCACTAGGAGCTGCATTCTGACGAGCCTCCTCCTCAGCCTCCAGTTCATACTGTTTCGATAAATTTTTGAATAACGTGAGCTCCCCAATGTAGTCCAAAAAAGCCTCTCCACCAAAAATTTGGTCAAAGAATTGCTCGGGATCAGCCATTTCGCTGCTCTCCCGCACCTCACTGAGTCCATGCTGGTCGTATTTAGCACGCAACTGCTTATCACTCAAGATTTGGTACGCCTCGCTTACTTTCTTGAATATTTCTGCTGCTTCCTCGTTGCCGTGGTTCTTGTCCGGATGATATTTTATTGCCAACTTCCGATAGCTTTTCTTAATCTCCAGATCAGTCGCTGTTGGAGTTACCTCCAGAAGATCATAATAAGTGGTGTCAACAACCATGGAATTGAGGTAAATAGGAAATATTTTTTTTCTATATTTTTGTATGCCAGCCATAAATCAAAACATCCGTGCACCAGCTATATAAGCTACTCACAGACCGGCTCTTCTGCGCTTTTGAGCCTCGTTGCACTTGGCGCCGCTCTGGATGTCTTGAGCCACTAATTGATCGGCAGCAACGCGCTTCGGAATGTACTCCATGCATTTTTGGGCCAGGTCGCCCGATCCTTCAACTCTAACCACCCCGTTTTCATCCCCGATTATATAATCACCAGGGTTTATAGTTTCCTGATAAGGCTCCGGATGAGAATCTAAGGTGATTTTGAGAGGCACGTTGATTCCGGCAAGTTTAACCACCGGGGCGTGTGCTGCAGTGCCCAGACCATAAGCAAAAACATTCCTCTGCAGGTCTTGGTGCTCTTTCAGATCCCTGATCCGACCGAAAACTACAGTACCTGGGCTCTTCAGATAGTTGGCACGTGTGGACATGAGGCCACCGTAAAGAGCGTTGTTGATCTTGACGTAAGGAGCATCAAGCTTCTGGAGCTCAGGAGTCAAGCCAATTACCAAGACTGCATCCTCAGGCAAGTTGTCGATATATCCGCCTTTAATCTCCTCGTAATTTGGGTCATTCCGGGCAGCAAAAAGAACAGTGTAGGCCTTGCCTGCCATTGTGATTCCGTTACTGCTGAATTGAGTCAGATTAGGAAAGAATCCGCCATTAGAGACACCAAACCTCAAAAGAGCATCGGAAACGTCACAGGTGGAATACTGAGAGAAGAACTTGAGCATGTTGGTGATGGAAAAGATCGCTTCGGCTGATTGGAAAAACCTGGGGAAGCAACGACGCGTCGAACGAGCAAGTTTTGACGTCGATCGGCCCGCGGAAAGGCTTTCCCAATGGAGAAGGCTGACGCTAAAAATTCCAGAGGGACAGTATTGTTCGAACAATAACAAAACGATCGCAAATTTTTTTTTTTACTGGCAGTGCTGGTTCGAGACTTCCGAGGGCACTACGGTCCTCGGGTTAGGCGCTATATAAAGCAAGTATGGCGCCTTTGTGGAGCCATTTTACAATCCATTCAAATGTCCTCCGCAACTGCCAACGTTTTGGCCACTATAGGCACCATTCTATGGTGTGTGCAAATGATACCCCAAATTATTCACAATTATAGACGCAAAGACACTGAGGGACTCAACCAGTGGATGGTTTTGCTTTGGTGTCTGTGCGCTCCTTTTTTTGCCATCTACTTTGTTTCTGAAAACAGCACAATTCCCATCCAACTTCAACCTCATTTGTTTGGCTTCTTTTGCCTCATCGTTTACTTACAGGTGCTCTACTATCCTCCAGTGAGCAGGCCCAAGAAAGACATTATTTTGCGCGGCGGTCTATTTGTATTTCTCTGGGTTGTGCTCGAGGTGGGCTTCATCATCCCCCTGCGCATGGAGTACTCCAAAGGAGTGAAATGGCCGCTACTAATTTTTGGAATCATCGGCTCCGTGCTTTTAGCTGTCGGATTGCTGCCACCTTACTACGAGCTTTCAAAGCGTCAAGGACGAGTCGTTGGAATAAACTTCATTTTTCTGGCTACCGATCTTAGCGGAGCAGTGTTTTCCCTCGCCTCGTTGGCTATCGGAGACATTGATGTCATGGGCTGTATATTATATTCGATTTGCGCGTGTTTAGAGGTTGGGATTTTCATGAGTCACGCTATATGGTGGCTAAGATTCGGTCGCAGAAGGAAGCCTGCGGACGGTGACCTTTTGCAGGTGTGCAACGAGGAAGAAAAGGATCTCGACGCGATGGAAAATCCGGAATCCTTGGTTTAGCTAATAGGTTTACGCATGGAGTGCATAGTTTCATAGTGATGTAATTCTAATGACGTCTACACCGAATAAATAACTGCCAAATAAATAGAGCTGTTCTAGCAGGCGTCGCGTTGCTTGACGATGTAGTCGACGGCCTGGCCAATAGTCTTGATCGAGTCCTGGTCTTGGTCTGCAATATGGATGCTAAATTCGTACTCGAGTTCCATCATTATCTCCACCGAATCAAGCGAATCAAGTCCCAAGTCTTTGGCGAACGAAGTCTTTTCTGTGAGAGGAGTGCCTGGCTTGATCTTGTTGTAGCATTCGAGCATCTCCGTGATTCTCTCCATCACTATTTCCCTGGTTAATGTGGGGGCAGAGCTGTAGAATCGCAGGCATGACACAGGCCACCTGTGCGTTGTAGGATTCATGACACCCTGGCGAGCTGCCATGGCCAAAGCTCGACAGCCAAAACGGGATGCTGGAAACATTTTATTTTATGAGTATATCAAGTCTCCACAGCTACTCCAACTTTTTGAACCAAGGTGAAAGGCAGGGTAACCACTTTTGATAAAGTGTTTTTTTTACTAATTTCTTCATTTTTTGTTCGCTCGCCATGCTCAGACTATTTTCCGGATCCCTGCTCAAGCGGGGCCGGTTCGTCTCTCCTTTGAGAAGCGCAACGCCATCAATCATGTCGCGCTTATCACCACTTCCCACCGCATTCTCGCAGCAAAGATTCGTCACTATTAACCAAATCAATAGAGGTCAAGAGTTTATCACGAAGAAGAAGAGAGGTTCCAAGGCCCCCGATCTTCAAGGAAACCCAATAAAAAAGGGCGTCATCTTGAGAGTCATGATTCTCAAACCAAAGAAACCTAACTCGGCCCAAAGAAAGGCTGCAAGAGTTAGACTCACCAATGGAAGAGTCGTGTCGGCATATATTCCAGGTATTGGACACAATGCCCAAGAACACTCGGTGGTGTATGTGCGAGGCGGTAGAGTGCAGGATTTGCCTGGTGTCAAATATCACCTGATCCGTGGAGCCATGGACTTGGCTGGTGTTGCCAATAGAAAGACGGCTAGATCCAAATACGGAGTGAAAAAACCGTCGAAAGAATGATGTACATAGAACAATTAACCGATTAATTACCTGGTGTTTCTAATTTCTTTCTCGAGCTCGTCCAAGCACTCGTTGTAGACGTCTTTATTAAGCTCGAGCACGAAATCTGAGTCTGTTTTTTCGTCCGTTTCTCTGACCACCTTCACTTCCTTGATATCCTTGCCGTTTCTATTAATCACTCCACCAGAGTAAACAAGTCGCTTAAACCACCGGAAGTCTCCATCTCCAAAGCAGAGCGTTATGGCTGTTCCATGCCTGTTGGCACGTGCTGTTCTACCAACTCTGTGAATGTATTCCTTGGTAGAAAGAGGGAGGTCGTAGTTTACAACAAATTTGATCGATTCGATGTTCATTCCGCGCGCAATGAGATCGGTGGCAATCAAAATACCACCCTCCTCATGGAACTTTTTGAGGATCTTAGCCCTCTCGTGCGATTTGAGACTATAATTGACGGACATTATGTCCAAATCTAAGCCCAGCTTCTCACTCAAAAGCGTAAGCAGACGAGCAAGTCTGATTGCCGACTCATTGGATTTGGTAAAGACAAGTCCATGAGAATGGTACTCTGGCTGCTCCAAGTAGCGGAGTAACACCATTGGCTTGAAAAAGGCCAGCTTCTCGCCGAGCCGCACATATTTCTCGTCAAGATGTGGTGGAATCTGGTAAAGTTCGTTCACCAGCTGTTCTGTGTTGTTGATCACCACCAGTTTAGGCTTGAAAAGCTTAAGATGGAACAATTTTTCGGAGTCTGTCGTCAAGGTCGCACTGAAAATCAGTTTACTGCATTTCACAGTATAGCTGTTGTAGAAGTCTTCTCCTTCACCGTATTTCTGGTCGTTTTCCAATTTAGTGATCAAAGTGTCGCACCAATTTTGAAACGACTGGTTCAGCAACCGATCTGCCTCATCAACCACCAAAAATCGAAGCTGTGAAAGGTCCATGCCGTTTAGCAGATGCTCAACCAGACGACCGGGCGTGGAAACCACTATGTCAGGCTTGATTGTTGATAATTTCTTTGCTTCTTCCTTGACACTCACGTCACTACGGAGTGCTAGAGCGTTAATATCGAGGCCCTTGGTCAACTGTAATATGTTGGAGTAAACCTGTGTGATCAAGGGCTTCGTCGGAACCAGAATTATGCATCTTAGTCGAGGAACAACTCGGCCAATTAAGCTTTGTACTATTGGAATCAGGTATGCCAGTGTCTTGCCTGAACCTGTCGACGCATTGACCAAGTAGTCGCCAAAAGGGGTCGGATCAATCTTGTTGGCACTGATGTCTTTCAGAAGAGACTCTATGACGTTGATCTGCACAGAGAAGGCAGAAGTTATGCCAAATTTGGTCTCGAGGTTGGATATTATCAATGGATCAAGTGCAGGCTCAAAATCCTTGAAGGACTTCGTTTGGGTAGTGTTGTGATACTCAGGAGTGGAAAGCCAATTAAGATTCTTGTTCCTTTGTTCCTGAGAATAGAGAGACTTGTCTCGAGGCAACTTGGGCTGTGGAAGCGGTGCGACGTCTCTCTCTATCTCCATTGGTTCTGCCTCATTGATGTCTGCGTGATTATCGGCAATTTTGTCCTGTAATTCCATCGTTCTGCTGTACCGCTCAAGCACCGACGAGTGGGGATCGGCCCCTTCATCTTCAAAAGGCCTTTTACGACTGAGAGTGGACATGATTTTACTCGATTTCTTTTGGGAATATTTTCATTAAATAAATTTGTTTGTCTCACGGCTGTGCAAAAAGGCTCCCTTAGGCAGAGCTTGTCATTGTCGCTGGAGACGGACCGTCTGTCTCGTGCTCACGAGCCTTGGACTGAAGTTCATTAATCTCTTTCTGGAGACGCTCAACCTCTCGCTGAAGCTTCTTCCCGTAGAAGTCAATATAGTATGTGGCACCGTTATAGCTCGCCATGAAGAATATGAAAGAGAGGTAAATGGACGCAACGTATTTGTATTTGAATACTAGGGGACAAACTGTCATGGTTCCTAGCTGGTATAGGTATTGGATTGCCATGAAGGCAAAAACAGGGAATGGTTCTGGGAGCGAGTTGACGAATTTCCCTATTGGCTTTTTAGCAAACGCTTTTCGCAGATGCACAAACGACGTCACCTTTCCGTTCTTGATCTTTTCAGCGCGCTTGACGGTAATAAAATAGTGATACAGGGACTGCCACACAAAATACATCAGCGATGTGTACAAGATCCCGTTCCAGATTTCCCAGTTCTGCAGCTTCATGGATCCTGGGAACCGTGTTTGGCGATACTCCACCGGCAGTTGGTGTGTTATCACGTACATCACAGCAGGAGGAATGACATGAATGAAAGTGGAGGTTGTTTTATCGATGGAATGTAGAACCAGCTTGTTTTTCCAAGTTATCACAGCGAACGAAAGCGTACCGTAAGAGAAGCTCAAACAGGTCACGTACAATATTTTTGAACTTGGGAGAGCCCATAAAAACACCATAAGCAGCCCGTTGGCAAAGTAGCACAGGTCTGCCAGATAATAGTTCCAATTCATTTTATAGTAGGTGATGAATCTGATGGGCATCAAAACAGCAAAAAGCACTGTGTACACGACATGGAACCATTCCGGATGCTTTCCAATGACAAGACCAAGAAAAAATATTAGATACACGGAGCTCGCATAGTACAATTTCTCCGTTTTGGACGCGGTGATAGTCTTGTCAATTCCAACATACAGCTTGTCAAGTCTGTCATTGAGCACCAGCTTAAGATGCTTCATGTCATCGTTGCTGATGTTGAATTTGATTTTCTTTTTGTTGAACCTCTTGATAGACTCGGAGGAGTAATTTTTGACCCGCTGGTAGGTTGGATGCTTTTTGATCTCTGTTGACAAAATTTGGGGGTTTAGCAGATCGAAGAAAGAGAGATCGTCCATATTGATACTACTTGAAGAGCCTCTTCTGGGATGTCTTGATTTTGGACCACTTCCGGAATCCAATGCCAGCAAAATCGGCGACTCCATATCGGAACCGGACTTCATGAGCGGCGTGGAGTTGGCTGTTGATGGCTGGCTCATGGAATTCTCGTCAGACTTCTCTGTGGTGCCCGTTCCTGTGTCTTCAGACACGTCTTCCATGCTTTCTTTACCATTCTGAGTCACCTGAACATCGTCGGGTGGAGATTCGGGCTCTTTTGTCATCCTCAACTTGTAAGTCAACAAGATCAAAAATAAATTAAATAATTTACTTTTATCACATGCTATCAATAATAATGTTGAAAAGCAAGCATTTTTGGCTGTGCTGATTTTATAGCAAATTATATAGATTACCACCGGTGTGCCTCGTCGCCTTCTGCCCACTCTTTCTCGACATAGCCCAGCTCCTTTTTCACGCGGGCAACGGTGGATGGATCCCCCATGTTCTTGCCCAGGTTATCGCTGATCTTGATGGCCGGGTTTCCGTTCATGCTTTTCAGCTTGATAACAATGTTCAACGGAGAAGAGCCCTCAAAGTCATTAGTCAAGTTTGTGCCAATGCCAAAGGACGCACGCATACCACAGCTATCAGCCTTTTTCTTGTATTCAATACATTTATCAACATTGAGCGAGTCGCTGTAGCAGATCACTTTCGAGAATTTAGGTAGCTTCAACACTTCTAGGTAGTGGTGAGATATTTTGTCGGTGTAGTCCAGAGGAGATCCAGAATCCTGGCGCACCCCAACGTAATGGTCGGAGTAGGGTGGCACGAATGCTCTCAAAAAAGCGTCTGTACCAAAAGTATCGGTCAATGCCAGACCGGCATTTTCAGGGCCCATTGTATTGAGCCAATAGTCCATTGCCAGCTTGTTTGCATTCTTGTAGTCCTGCGTGACAGCCGCAATGCCCATCATCCATTCGTGGCCGACTGTGCCAATTGGTTTGACTCCAAATTCTCTGGCAAACATCACGTTGGACGTTCCCAGAAACAGCCCGCCATTGTCGGCCTCTTTGGCAGCTTGACACAGTCCTTTCATAACCAGGCGTTGTGTTTCTAACGACCGTCTTCTACGGGTGCCGAACTCGCTGAATGCACAGCCATTGGCAAGTAATTTGGCTCCTTTTTGCCTGGCTTTCTCCAATTGTCCCTCGTTGGTCCAATTGGTATCCACATACCTAAAGTAAGCTTCCGAGATGAGAGAAAGCAGTGGGATCTCATACAACGTGACATCGACCCACTTACCGGTCACCTCGAGACCGAATTCCTCCGGCTTGTCCATGTTTATGAGTTTCACTTGTTCAGTAGGCCGCAGCTTGAAATCCTTGATAAATTCGAGATACCTGGCAGGCAAGAAAGGAAGTTCGGTCCTGAGATAGTCAATGTCACCCGGGGTAAATCTGAGCGAGCCCAAATGGTCAATCTGTGTGCGCAGCCAGTCCAAAGCGGCCTTGTTCAGTTTCATCGATGGCGTCCTATTGGTGTACCCAAAAACAGCCTCTGCGTTTGGCAGATTTATATAGATCGCTGCGTGCATAGTGATCTTATAAAGGTCAGTATCCAGCAAAGAATTGACAACAAAAGTCATTTTGCAAAATATGAGTAATTGATAAAAGAATTATTTATCAACTAGAATATATTGCATACATACACTAAAATACACTATCTTCGCCCAAATTTATTATTTCGTCGGATCTCGTCAATATCGTTGATTTCATCTCAAACTCATTCAGCCCAAAAACTTTCAACCCGTAGAGAACCACAATGTCTTTGTGGCCCCAGTTGTCCTCGACAACTAGCACGACGTTCTTCACCGGGAATTCGTCCAATATCATCAGGATCTCGCGTGAAAATGGGAACGTTTGGTAGCTTTGGCCGCCTCGCGCTTGAAACTCAAATTCACTCACCTTGGCAAGCCCGCGCAAATTCGAAAACACGAGATCTTGGTTGTAGTAGACTGCAAGCTTGTTTCGTAGCAGTTTTGCATGCTTCGAGTTGGCCGGCTCCACAAGAAGTGAAACGCGACGAGGAGCACACTCGGTAAACGACGAGACACGTGGGTAGTATAGCCCCACTTGACGCAGGTAAGCCGGCTCACTTAATTGGACGCCAAACGTGATCGGAAGGTCCTGCGCAAGAGCTTGCCAGTACTGCGAATTGTCCACCAAAACGTTCGCTGGTGAGTTTTCCGAGCTCGTAAGTTCCACGTTGTTCAGACCCGTCAAGGTCCGCTTGTGGCCCTTTACGGTTCGCCTTACGAAATCAAGCCAACCGTGAAGAACACGGTCAACCACTTTTGTGCGAACACGTTTCAATTTCGGTAGAGTGGTGTACTTTTTCAAGACTCGTGCGCCCCGATCGTAACTTGCGTAGTTCAATGTGCCAGCCACACGCGGCTCTAGGCGTTGGTTGAGCTCACGTTGGACTAGTCTTGACAGAGTGGTCTCTATCTCCTGCTCAGAATAGCCTGTCGATTGAAGAGCTTGGATCTGAGAACTTACCGAAGACATTTGCCCATCCACGTTTTCTAGCACCTCGTGCGAGATCTCGTCTCTCAACTTTTCGACCTCAAGATGGGAAACCCGTTCTTCCATAACAGACGACAAATGTTCCATCTTCTCAGATACTAGTTCTTCGAGCTTTTTGTCCAATGAGTCTTGGAGAAACTCAATGACTATATTCTGCACAGACTGCTTCGTTTCGTGATGCCAGAAGTCTTCGCTTTTCTGCAATTGTTGTATTTGTTCTTCGATTAGCTCTAGTTTGTGCCTGTCATTGTTATTGTTCGTATTCGAAATCTGTTCCAGTTTCTCGCCAATCTCGCCAAGTTTCTTTTCAAAACCTCTGAATTTGTGATGCACAAGCCCCAGATCCACTGTATTTTCGTAGTAGCTGCCAGCAGATGCCAAACGCGCAATCACCATCAAGAATAATATCACTACTAGCACAGGGAATGTCTTGATGATGTACACGATCGTCTTGGATTTCAAAAATGCAGGAGGCTCCACATCAGGCTCCTGTAATTTATCTTCGTCGCTGGATTCAACGATGGTCTCGTCAAGAGATTCATCATACGAATCTTCGTCCTCATCTACCCACTCCCCATCAGACTCATTGTCCACGAGCTCTGGTGAGTCTTTTCGCCTCAAAAACTGGCGATTCAGGTACTCGACATCCTGTCGTCCCAGCAGGCTCGCCTCGTCGTCCGACGCTGACCAGTCGAGCCCCGACGCTATCTGCTCTAGCTTGTCTTGTATTTTCATGCGCGAAACAAATAAACAAAAAATATCTACAGTTTTTACCGGTGTAAGGTGTAACAAATCTGTTGCACGGTAGCATGGACGCTATCACACATTAACAGGTTGCAGTCTAAAGAAGAAGGTTATCTTCCATGTCGTAAAATATGTTTCGCAAAAATCTGTCTCCTGTGGTGTCTAGAAACTGCCACAGTGAGTCGGAGACTTGACCATCGGCATCCTTTTCGAGAATGTTGTCGCTTGGCGGAGCAAATGCCATTCCGTCTGTCGAATTCTGTTTCTGCTGCGAGCTCAAGTTGCGCAGATAGTGGTCTATGCCAATTGTCCCTTCCAGAAGTCCACCGTTGGAGAAATCTGCCGATTGTTCACTGCTCGATTCGAGGTGGCACAGAGCAGCCTTTGAAATCTGCTCAAACGTGTCTCGAAACATGCAAGCCGAAGGCCACTTCTCGGCCATTACATACAAGATGCTGGAGCAGGCATTGATGGTCTCGTAAATAGATGATTTGCGCTTCCATTTCAGCACACCAAGCCCTGCATCGAGCCAGAGACAATATATGAACGAGATTCCGGAAACGAAACAGCAATGCATGGCTAGCCAGGTGTAGCTCAGTTTGCCTTTTGCGTGGATGTTTTTGTAGTTGATGCAGATAGCAGAGGCAGACTCTGTAAAAATTCTGAACCAGTCAAGAGCTTCTTTAGGGGCCTTTTCTCTCAGTTTTGCTACTTCTAATACCACTGGCCGAAGTAGAAGCAGCATGGAATTGTGGTACGAGATGATCGACCAATTGTCAGTTTCAAAAGTTGAAACCGCATCGTCCTTGGATGGGAACGTTGCCATCCAGTCGTTCAGCTCCACAACTATCTGTACGCGCGTGGCCTCAACGTCTGCTGGGTTCCCTAATAAATGTGCAGGCTTGTAAATAAACGTGCAGATACTCGATTGTATTTGCCGTAGCCGTGCCACATGACAGGCCACTCTCGTCTCCTCTGAGTGCGGAGGAAATGGGGCGTCAATGTCCGCATCCGAAATGCTGAACGGTCTTCCAAGAACCAGAGCGTTAATTCTCTCCATCCCATATGCCGACCAGAAAACACGTGACCTGAGCTCCTCAAGCTTTGCGTCACAGCTGCGGTACGGTTTGCGGTGAAGACCCAACGCCACCGCGGTTCGGATGGCAAGACCTGTGGTCTGCCAGCACGATGATCCATCAGGCATTTTCTGGGCGAAAACAGTGATCAACAAATACGCCTGGACGGCGCGCAGAGTAGTGGCTCCAATGACCGAGCCAATATTCTCGAACGCTTTTTCGTAGTAGCTTCGCTTCTTGGATGTCTGAGTACGGTCCTCAAGCAACTGGGTACCTATGGCAAAAATGATGTACACGAAAAACAATGACTCTGGGTCCTGCGAGTCGTCGTTCATCACTTGGTTGAACATTGTCAAAGTGCTATTCCAATCCAGAAATGGGTACTGGCATTGAACATAGTTCTTGTATGCCGTGAGATACGAGGAGGCAAGTTTCTTTGATGGTTTGGAAAAGACGGTTTGCGGAGGCTCGGCCTCTTCAATGCCAGAAGTTGTGGTGTTGGGCTTTGCAGTGTAACAATTGATAGACTCGCTAATGGTCTTTGCAATGTAGTAGGCACTGCTTTCTCCCAAATATCTTGATTCTCCCGCTGCCTGCAATGTAATGTACCCAACCTGTTGAGCGAGATCAGATTTGGTGGACGCAGGGTTCTGGACCTGTGGCACTTCGACTGAACTTTCTTGTTGAGAGCTACCAGCGCTCTCCAACCGGGCAGTGAGCTGCTGTAGTCGTGTTTCTAAAATCTCCAAATAATTCCGCTTGATTTCTCTTCCTGTAGGAGGGTCGATCACCGTGCAATCAATTCCCAGCTTGAGACAGGCAGAGCAGCTAGGGTATTTCCCGTCGCATTTTTTTCTTCGCTTCTTGCAAAAGCAGCACGCTGCCATCTGATGTTTTCCTCCCGATCTCCGCCTCATCGTCCTGTCTGGGGTTTCCAACTGCATTGGATAATCTGGCACTTGTGGAATAAAAGTCTGCGAGAGATAAGAATGCATACTATAGAAAATAATATCTCCGACTCTATCTTATCTGAAAACTTTTGGCGGAAGTTCCCGTTGGGGCAGATGATAATAAATATGCTGACATGTGGATTAAACCAGTAATCATGTCGACCTATCCTCCAAGAGAAGAACTACCACCACTGGGTGCACTATGTCTTGATTACACAGATGACATCCACCGGCCCCCAGGCGATCCACTGAACGAGTTGTCTTACCAGTTTCCAGTGATCCACGAAACGGTGAAAGATGCTACTGTGTGGAACGTTGTCAGAAAAGACGAGTATTCCGATGAGACATTGCAAAACTATACTGATGCCTGCAACCGCCTCCAGCAAAGAGGAGCTGTTGGGGTGATCACCTCGTGCGGCTTCTTGGCTCAGGTGCAAAACCGTCTAGCTGCTGCGGTAAAGATTCCGGTTGCAACTAGCAGTCTTATTCAGTTGCCGTTTGTATCCATGGTGATTGGCCCATCGAAACTTATTGGCGTCTTGACTTTCGACGCACAAGTTCTAGGAAAGGCTCACCTTAAGGGGCTGGGAATTGGCGAAGAGCTTCAGTCCAGGATTGTCGTCAAGGGATGTCCTGTTGGGGGTGTTTTACGCGGGATGATCATAGATGGAGACCCGTATATTCATGAAGACCTAGAGAAAGAGATGATTGGTATTGCAAAAGAGCTTGTTGATGAGAATCTGTCAATTGGGGCAATTGTTCTAGAGTGCACTCAGATGCCACCATTTGCTCGCGCAGTTCAAAAAGCAACAGGATTGCCGGTCTACGACGCAATCACAATGATCGACTGGTTTTACTCTGGCTTGGTGACAAGAATAGTTCCAAAAGACGAAAGGAAAGAAGAGGGGCTACGTAGAAGACGCAGAAGCGCTAAAGAACTCAAATAATCTATTCTAGACCTGGTTTGAAAACGTTTTTTTCTCGTATCCTCTTGCCGAAAACGAAAAAAAGATAAGGAATTGGAATCATTCCCAGGGCAATGAAACCAATTAAACTGGCACCCCAGTGCACATTCAAGTTGACAAATAGCTGTTTTGCAAATAACGGAAAGGAGGCAGCAAAAACCGACCGCAAAAAAGTGGCAGCCGCTATTGCAGATGCAGAGTAGCAGGTATAGCTGTCAATGAGATAATTCAGGCTCCCTTGGAAAATCGTTATGAAGCCACAACCCATCATCATAATTCCCAAGCAAGGAGCGGGCCAGGGAACGTTTGGCGAACAAGTCCATCCAAAAATAAATATTCCGGCAGGCATTAGCCATCCCAAGATCATCATCACTGGGAGCCGCTGTTCAGGTAAAGGGTCCCCGTTGTTCCTTTCCACCAAACTGGCATACCGATTTGCCCAAAGCATGTTTCCCACACAGCCAAAAAGAACTCCAAGCAGGAGCGAAATGCATGGTAATGTGCCTAGTGTTCCTTTCCACCCCTTGGCCAAGTAAAATGCTTCCGAGACATTGGTGAGAATCAAATAAAATAATCCATAAACGTAGCTGGCAAATAGCGACATTAAAAACACAATGGGGGTGGCCAAAATGGCAAACGGCCGCACCATGTGGATTTTGACGAGCTCGCGAATGTTCAGGTCCCAAGTATCCCTTTTTGAATGTATGTCCCATGATCCTGATTTAAGGCGCTCTTTTTTGGCTTCTCGTGCCAGCAACGCAGGCTCGTATGTTTCATGCAAAAAGGTGCAACAGACGGCAATAATGCAAATGCTAAATCCCCCGATAAACCATTGCGGGTTCCTCCAATTGGTTCTCATGCTTAATAACGACCCTATAGTAGGGCCCAGCGCTGCTCCATTAATAACGAAACAGGCATAGAATGCAAATGCCGCTCCTCTTTGCGCTGGCGACCATATATCTCCGAGAACACCTCCGGACGCCACAATTGGTGCTCCGGCAAAGAAGCCACCGAGGAACCGTGTCACCATCATTGCACCTAGGCTGTATGAAATACCGGTTGCAAACGTCAGCATCGCAGACACAAGAAATGGAGCAAATATGCCAATTTTGCGGCCGTAAATCTCTGACAGTGGAGCAAACACCATAGGGCCAAAAGCGATGCCGAGAATGTACAGAGAAGTAAGCAGCAGCACCACTTCTCGCGAGACTCCAAACTCTTTCCGAATGTCGTCAACGCAGTATTCGAACGACATAGTTGTGGAATTGAATTGTGCACTGAATGTGGTCAATCCATAAAGCACTGTGTGTACCAGCTTTTTTTTCGTGCTCCAGTTGATTGGTCTTTGGAGACTTTTAGGCTGGAATTGGAGCATCTTGGCCTTGTCTAGTTGTAAGTGCTCATCGAAATAAGACTTGTCCGTCGACAGGGTTTCCAGAACGACCTCAGAGCTATTTTTCGACATGATGGGGCATTTCAGTGAGACTGCTCTCTTAAAAAGCCCCCCTCCTGTTTTGCAATCCGCCAAAAATTTGACGTTTCACTCCGAAGCGTATATCACCGACTCAGATCTTATCAAAAAAATGTCGGACATTTTGACAGAAAGTTATTCGAGATAAGCAAAGATGGATGCAAGACGACTATTTATTGCAAAGCAATTTCAGCTTCGCCTTACAAAATGAAAAGACGCAGCGACAGTAAATCCAAAGAAACGGTTTCTCAGGTTGAGGTGAACCCTGTTCTCTCGACGGTGGTGTCGCTCGACGGACGCGAGATCGAGATCCACCAGTTGGATGCGGACGTTGCTCTGCAGTACCATCAAGACGCCATGGATCTAGTAATGGAACCAGAATTTGAGCGCAAGCTGGTGCGCAAGATAGACTGGTGTCTGATGCCGGTTATTGCTGCACTCATGTCTTGTCAGCTGATGGACAAAACAACCAACTCTTACGCTTCGATCATGAACCTACAAAAGGACCTCAATATGTCCGATAAGGAGTACAGCTGGGTGGGCAGCACGTTTTACTTTGGGTACCTTATTTTCCAATTTCCAGCGAACCTGCTACTGCAGAAGCTTCCTCTTTCCAAAACTTTGGGAGCAGCAGTTATGATCTGGGGTGTTGTGCTGATGTGTCACGCTGCCTGCACTAATGCTGCCGGGTTTCTTGCCTGTCGAGTCATCCTGGGAGTTTTCGAAGGCTTCATGAACCCAGCGTATGTTCTTCTCACCAGTCAATGGTACCGCAAGAGCGAGCAGTTCATGCGTGCCTGTGTCTGGTGGGGGTTTCAAGGTTTCGGTACGCTTTTGGGAGCAGGAATCGCTTATGGCCTTGCAGTGCACCGTTCCGGCAACTACTCTTTTGACTCCTGGAGAATGCTGTATATTATCACTGGGATTATCACTGTCGTTCTGGGTTTCGTCTCTTTGGTGCACGTTCCAGACTTGCCGGTTAAAGCATGGTTTCTGAACGAGAAGGAGAAGAAATACTGTGTTGAAAGAGTCAAAGGAAACCAGCAAGGATTTGGAAGCCATAAATTCAAGCGTCACCAGCTGCTCGAAGCGTTTCAAGACCCTGTGTTGTACTTGTTTTTCCTCTATGGAATGTCGTACGCGATTCCCAACGGAGGCTTTACCAATTTCGGTTCCATCCTTTTGAAGGGAGACTTTGGATTTTCCACACAGAATGCGCTATTAATGGGAATGCCTGGTGGAGCCATCGACATCGTCTTTCCTATCTCTGTGGCCTATCTCACTTATCGCTTTTTGAATAATAACAGGCTCGTCTCATGCATCATTGTCCAAATAATCACAATCATCGGGATGTGCTGCTTAAACTTTACGAGTCACAGGGGTTCTCGGCTCTTTGGATACCTGTCTTTCTACATGGCGACATCTGTCTCCGCCGGTATGGTGTCTGTTCTTTCATCAAACGTTGCTGGAAGTACGAAGAAGGTCACTATGAACACGACTTATCTTGTTGGATACTGCGTGGGCAACATCATAGGACCCCAGACTTTCATCTCTTCTCAGAAGCCTGGATACATTGGGGCAAAGACTGCTATGCTGGTGAGCTTTGCAGCGGGACTACTTTGCATTGTGTCGCTCCTGGCGCTTTATATTCACAGAAACAGAATCCGTGACAAGAAGCGGGCTGCCTTGGGTGACAAGTACCAGGTTCCAGATACCATTGCTTTTGCCGACCTGACAGATATCGAGAACCCGGAGTTTAGATATTCTTTATAGCGAATGAGATTTAATGCGAGACCAGGAAGAAAGTGAAACTCCGAGACAGGCCAATTTTTCCTTCGTGAGCTAGCTTCCGTTGAACTATAATTATAATATGGGACCCAGAGGTCTATCCAATTAGCTATAATATCTCGTAGATATTGGGCGTTTTTCAGGAACAGTGATAAGGCCCTGTCCCTCCTTGAGTCTAAATTGGACTGCCTTCAGAAGCTCGTACAGCAGAGACAGCACGGGTGTGTCGACCTTGAGCTCTCTGGCGACCCTTAACAAGTTGCCCAGAATAACCTCCAGTTCAATAGGGTTGCCCTTCTTCACGTCAACAAGCATGGACGGCTCAAACCAGTCGCCGTCGTCAGAGTGGACAACAGTGTTGATCACGTCCTCTGGAAGCTCGACACCGTCAGCTTTGGCAACTTTCACCACCTCTCTCATTGCAGGAATAGACACGGCATCCAGAGTGCCAGAAAGATCCAGTCTCCCTGTGTCCACGCATGTGAGAGCACAAACCGTGTTCAACGTAGCATTGTACACCAGTTTTCTGTATCTGTACCATTTGGTGTTCTCAAAGTAAGACACGTCGTTCTTGTCGTTGCTGTAGAGCGAAATGAACTCCTTTGCCTTTTCCACTTGGAAGTCCTTATCGAGGTGTGGGTTTTCAAACACACTGATGACAGCCTTGTCGGTTTGAGTTTGCGAAATGACACCATTGTGATTATGAGATCCGATATGCGAAACTCCGGAAAGACAAACGTTCTCTGGGTACTTTTCAATGAACGGTCTTCCCAGGTCAAAACCGTTCTGCATCAGAACCACCACTGTTTTTCCAGGAGTGATCACAGGCTCCGCAAGAACCTCAGGCTTCACAATGTCTGGTAAAGACTTGGTGGATATGACAACGTAGTCGTAGGTCACCCCAGCATCAGCTGCTGCTGCCACAGACTCGTACACGGCAGCCGGTTTCCAGCCCTTTATGGTGCCGTAATCACACGAGTTGATCTCCCAGCCGTCATCTTTGACTTTCGAGTAGTCTCTTCTCACTACCACAGAGAGATTGGACTTGCCAACATAATCAATACCATAGGCCACAATGGTGCCAACTCCACCGGTGCCTATAAGAAGGACGTTTGGTTTGGACATTTTTGGCCTAAATGAGGCATTTCGACATATTTATAGCTCCTCGAAACACTGTGCTGGACAAATCGCGATTGTCCAGATTTGGTGTGGCATATCGGCGGAAGTTTTGCGTCGGGGATTTTACAATGATAAGATATTGGAAATTTCCTAAAACGTAAAAAGTTCAGACTGTAGGTGAGGACCCGCCACACGGCACTGCTGGAAGGTCGTACTAGGCCAGCGGACTACCCCATGGTCAAAACGGCTACAAAAGTTTCATTTCCGCCGCAAATCGTTAACGTGTAAATGTCATCTATCGGCTGGACTGCAGATAAAGAGGCGGTAACGCAGTTAATTGACTAGAGGCCCTCAGCACCCCCATTGGATTGAACGCCTTGGCTCGTGGCCAAGATCACGTTATTTGCGTCCAAGTTACATCCCTTCACGTATCTTTTTGCCCAGAACAAGCTTTTTCTTTCTGTTGTTCCCAAGGTTTCTTGCGCTCGCTCAGTGTGCTGTTGGACGACAGCTCTGGCCCCAGCACCGTATCTGGTATTTGTTTTATTCCTGAGATCGGCTTGTTGTTGACAATCAGATCCACCAGTTGCTCGTAGTTCGACGAATACGGAATTTCGTTCATGTTCGATCCCCGTGGCTCTTGCACCTTCCTTTCGCTCTCCCACTTGCGATAATCGTCAAGATCCAGAATCTCTCCCGTTTGCGAACAGAAAAAGTACACCTTTGCCTGCCATACCAACTGCTCCTTATCTTGAGGTTTGATTTTGGAGACGTCGAATACGCCCTCCGATATGTCTTTTGAAATCTCTGGATCGCTCTGGCTTTGCAAAATCAGGTACTGCTCCATAACCTGCTTGAGACCAGATAGATACTCCTCATTAGAGTCGAAATCATATCTTGAAAACTCTTCGTAGACGGAATCCATGAAAATTGAATTTTTAATATTTCCGTAGCTATTAATGTACATAGAAGGCTTACAAAAAAGCAGAAGAAAATGCATCAAGTCGTCATAGCATCTTCTTCCCAAGCACATCAAACACCGCACCATTAGACCTCGTAGTCAAAGCTCGTACTATACTGTTACCTGGTGCCTGTGTATCCGTGTACTCCTATTCGGTTGGCCTTCCTTGTGAGGTTTGTCGCTGATAAACGTTACTTTTCTATTGCCTCACCCTTAATACTGATCTCCCTCAATCTCCTTCTTCTCCAGCGGGTTATATCTCAAGAATTTCTCGATCAAGTCCACATGAGTCAACACCATCCGTCTACAGCAATATCTCTTCAGCTTCAAACGATCCAGGGCATCTCCTTCAGTCATATTGTCCTCCTGAAGGTACTGGAGATAAGTCTCCCATTTGTCACCCACAACTTTGCCGCAAGAGAAACACCGGACAGGAATAATCATGTTAAAAAATTTTCAGTACCAAAAAAAATTAAAAAAAATATATACATGGTGCTCTCCGACTGGAACCTTAATTTTGGTGCGGGCGGCCGTCTTCTCGGGCGTGCGCAGCTCGTGTCTGCCGATTCCAAGTTTGCCATTGTGCCGTTCATGTCACAGATCAAAGTTTATTCTCTGGCCACCCGTCAGTCAGTGCGGAGCATTAGGCTGGATCTCGATCTTTCTCTGGTGGTTGATGCTGTGTTGAGCACTCAGGATCCAGACCTTTTGTACTTGTTCACAAGGACTAACACTATGGTTGTTGTGAACTGGAGAGAAAAGCTGGCATCGCCGGTGATTGCCACCTATACTTTACAGCTACCTGCCGAGATCGTGAGATTTGTGCGATTCGGAGCCTCCGAGAACGAGCCCTATTTCATCGTTGGGAAATCTACTACCAAAAATCAACCACACAGCCGAACTTTGTTGAAGTCCACTATTGACTCTCAAAATCAAGAAATATCGACTCTAAAAAACGTGGTGCTTTTTGCCATGTCTATTGATAGAAGCACGCTTGCATACCTCACAAATAAAAATCAGTTGTACTTCCAGTCCGGAGACGGTCCGCTGGAGTTGATTCCATTTGCTTACAAGACGCCTATTACCTCGTTGGCTGTCTCTAATACACAGACCCCGATGATCGCTTTGGGAACCTCGTCAGGTATTATCCAGCTTATTTACGTTTCAGATAACACCAAACCTCAACGTCTGCTCAAGTGGCACATTGGCCAGGTCAATTCTGTTGAGTTTAGTACAGATGGCACTTATCTGCTCTCTGGAGGTCAAGAAAAAGTTCTTGTCTTTTGGCACCTGGAATCGGATAACCAGCAGTTCCTTCCTCGTTTGAATGGAGAAATTGTGGACATCCAGCTTTCTGCCTCAACAGAAGAGTTGTACGGCGTCACTTTACTTTTGAACGGCTCCGATAGAGAATTTTTGGTCTTGAGTGCGGTGGATTTGACTTCCAGGTTGAACGTCAATGGGGTACGTCCAAGATTTGTAACCGACGTTGAGACAATTGAGAAAGACCGTCGCCGTTTGGCAAAGAACGGTGTCGTATTGGATGAGGATACTTTGACGAAAATTAAACACGACTTCTCGTCTTACTTTGAGGTCCATCCTGTTTTCAGTCATTGCTACTTCCCATATGGAGCACTTTTACAGTCATACGATTTTGTTAGGAACGAACAAATCTCCGTCTTCACTGCGGCACCAACTATCCAGGCAGGTAAAGTCCGAAGCGAAACATCAATCCAGGATCCAGAAATCGAACAGTTGGCATTCAGTCACGACGGAAAATGGATGTGCACATTCGACAGATTGCAGCCTCCAGAAATTGACAATCTCCTCTCTCACAAAGACGTTCAATACGCCTTGAAGTTCTGGAACTATGTGGATGGTAAAGATCGAGGTGGCTGGTCATTGTCGACCAAAATCATCGATCCTCATGGACCCGGAGTCGAAGTAGTGGCCGTGGCTCCAGCACCACAATCTTACAACGATGGTCTGGCGTTCGTGACTGCCGATATCAAGGGCGGCCTGCGTCTTTGGAGACCACGGGTGCCAAAGGAAATATACCAAAAAGTTGGAAAGGACAGGAAACTACAACAAACCGCATGGACCCTACGTAAAGTGCGCAACGGAAATGAGCGCACTGATGTCCAAAGTATTAGCATTTGCTGGTCCCCAGACGCGTCGGTGATTGCCGTTGGCCAGGAGGTGAGCATTAGCCTTATTGACGTGAACACGTTTGAAGAGACACCGGTTCGGATCCCATCTATCGCTGGCTCCAGGGTGCGGTGTCTGAATATTATAGATAAATATCTGGTGATACTTGCCAGAGACAGATTGGTGTCATTTGATCTGCTTACTTTTCGAACCACAGACCTTGCCGTGAAAGTCCACACACAGCCCGGAAGCCGCAATTTGCTGGCGGTTGACCAAAACAGAGGAGTTTTCTGTTTTTGCGTGAATTATTACACAAAGACCTACACTTTGAGATCACGAATTTTTGTGTTTGAGCCAGAAAAATTGCAACCGCTCTACGTTTCCGACCACGACACCGGCATATCCAGTGTAAGGTTTGCCTCTGGAATATCGTCTTTTGTCATTGTTGATACGGACTCGCGCATAGGGGTTCTGGGAGCAGGAGTCTCTTCCTTGCAAGAGCAAAGAGAGCTAGACCGCGCGTACGAACTCAGCACCCTTCTCAACAACGCCAAACAAATGGCTTCCATTAGAAAAACCGACTCAGAAGCGGAGAGTGAGAGAAAAGTGCTCAACTCGCAAATTTTCGAGCCTATTCTTGATAATTTGGAGGGGCTTCCTCTCGAGGCCTTATTCGATAGAGTGATGAAAATAATTGTGTAAATCAATAAAAAATTATATTTTATTTATTATGGGCACCTTCAGCAACAAGACATTTCGTTCCAAGCGCCAGCAGGCAGAATACGAACGCTCTTTCATAGGCCGCTATCAAGCCCTAGTTAAGAAGAATTCGTTTCTGTATCTCGGTCTTCCGATGATGTTGTCTGTGGCCTTTGGTTCGGTGATTCTCTCCAAATTCACGGCATTGCGTTACGAGCAAAGAGACGAGAAAGTGAAAGAACTTGACGAGCAACAAGCACTGGACCTTGCTAAGAAAAAGCGGAAGGTTGATATTAAAGAAGAATACTACAAACTTCAAGGCCTTCTGGATGAGCACGAGAATTGGGAACCAAAGAGAGTCGAAAGACTTCCTGGGGAATCTGATAATGTGTTTTGAGGCAGTGCCGATTTTTTGCTAATGCTAGAAAATAAAAAAACGAAAAAAAAATCATACAGATCAAATGGTTTCCTTTTCGTGCGAGGTTTGCAACGATACAGTGGTCAAGAAGAAGCTGGCGGTGCATCAAAGACAATGTAATGGTGCATATTTTACATGTATTGATTGCAATACAACATTCTACAATAACGACCACAATAGTCATACCAGTTGTATAACGGAAGCTGAAAAATACGAGAAAGGCTGGAAAGCTCCTAAATTCGGGTCTTTCAAAAACAAACAGGAAGCCCAAGAACCTCAGTTGTCTGAACCTAAGAAAAGAGACAATAAGCAAACATCAAAGACCAAGTCCGCCGAGCCATCGCTTGCATCGTTTGTTTCTGGGTCTGAATCGCTCTACAAAGTTCTCAAGAAAGCCCGCAAAGGACTCAAGAAAGACAAGTCCGAACTGCTCAAATCATTAAAAGTGCACAAGAACGCAGATGGCACCATCACCGTCTCCCTGTGAATAGATAATTTCTCATGTAGAAATCAAGACACTGTCTGTAATTTTTTCATTCCACTTTCCTGTTGAGTGATCTTCCCAGCTTATTGTAGAAGTTATAAAGTGTATTGGATGGGAATGTCAAATTGTCCAGCAAGTAATCCGGCAGAACTTTTTCAAGCTTGTTCAGATTCTCAGTCCACTCTTTGCGATCCGTCCCCGACTGGCTTTCCTCATGCTTCATTATTGGAATGTAAACAATTTCTCCAGCCCCCGTCTTGCTGATCAAAAGTTGATAAATCAGAAAACAAGTCTCTCCCTGCTGCTTCATCTTGAATATCATGTTCTCAGAGTCTTCAATATACTCTTGGCATGTAAGTCCTGTTAATAGCTCAGTGATTTCCAGTTTTGTGCCTATAAGATCAAGTTCTGCCACCGCATTGTCGATTGTTGATTGGTTAGAGCCGCGCTTGGCGCTCAGCGACTCGATTTCGGAGCTCAAACGTGTATTTTCGTGCTTGAGAGACTCAATTTGTCGTTTTAATAGATCTGTCTCTTTTGAATTCTGCTTATTCACCTGCAGCGATTTGATACTTGTGCGTAGCTTTTGGTTTTCTTTTGTTAGGTTGTTGATTAGTGTCTCACTAATCTGTTGCTTTCGTTCTGATAGCTTTTTGTACTCCTGAAACATTCTTTCAGTTTTCGATGTAGTTAGGTCGTTGAGAATATTTGTAAGCGTCTTCAAGTCCTTACGCTGAACCAATTGGGACACCGCAGCCTCAGAAGGCAACTTAAATTCTGGACGCGTCTTTGTAGGAGAAAGCAATGACGAACGCTCCGGACTATCAAATAAACGCTTTGATGGTGTCATCAGTGGATTCTCGAGTCCAGGAATAGGTGAGAGTGGTTTTTTTCCAGCTGGGTCTTTGCTATCCTTGCTTTGCGGTTCCTGATTTTCTTTCTGATCCTGACTAGCGCTAGGATTATCTACTCCGTCATCGTTTCCGTTGGGCTCGGGCTCAGGCACGGGTTGACCAGTCTCGTCGTGTCCCCTCTCCATAGACTTAGCCCTAGTGGTGCGTTTATTGGGTGATTCAGCGCGCTTTGCTGTCCTCTTCCTTGGCATGACGCGTATCAAAACAAAACAAAAAATACAGTATTTACATACTTTTTTATCAACGCATCTTTGCACCTCCCCTAGTTTCTCGCACTATGTCAGGGTTGACCACCATGCTTCTGTGATGATGCCTGCCTCGGTTTTGAACTTCATCACAACGCCATAGGATGCGGAGATAGTGGCCATCAAGGCCAGCTCACGACTGAGAAATGACGTGTGGAATTGATCGTCTCTGTGAACGACGTCTCTGTACATCTCGTACACCACTTTCGTCCAGAATAGCATAAACCCTACAACGTAGAAGATTAGCGGTGGGGTCGACACAATTGACACCATCATCAGCGTCACATTGTATAATATGTGTATTTGCAGGATGACGTACTGAGAAAACGATCTCAGCCCGTCCAATGGAGGTCCCATCAGATAGATGATGACTCGCTTCCAGCGAGGTATGTCCTTGAGTTCATTTATGTGAACAGTTCCAGCCTGATAATTTCCTAGGAGGCATGAGTACATCCGTTTCCGAATTTGCTCGATGGTGTGCTGAGGGGGCAGCATTGAAGCGGATATAATTTCCAGGGCTCTGGCAAGCCTTTCCTCCTGCTCCTTATCTCTTTCCTGAGTTACAACTAGACCCCTTGCAACTGTAGCGTGTGTGTTGGCTGTATTTGGAGGCCCCGGTGGAGGGCTGTATGTCACTGAACGATGGCTCATCGAGACGAAAAAAGGATATACGGTTTGCCGCTGAGATGAAAAATCACAGCAGCAAATAATTTGCGCCCGTCATTGTGCAGCTTAATTATCCAAGTGGCGCACACGACACTTTACCAATAGGAGGCACACATTTTAGTTCGCTATAGACGTGCGCCTTATCCTTCACATCAGACCCTTTTTTCAAAAATTAAAAAAGGTTTTCCATCCGTACACCTCAAAGCTATCACGACCTGACGAATTTCATAAAAACAAAAGGTTGTTGCAGAGAACCTTCCTGGAAGATATTCAACGGCATTTCCAACACTACCAAGAATGGCGTTTCCCTTTCTTTGGTCTCGGTCAAGATACCGGTTATATATCCTGCTGGCAGTGTTTGTGTTTCTGACGTACTACTACTGGCCTGTTAGCCAGATAGAACAGTTGTCTGATTCCGTGCACAGATCGACTGTTCAGAGTAGCGGAGGATACTCCTCAAATACTCTTGATCAGCTGGAAGAGGAAGAAGACACACGAATTTACCGCATCAGTACGGAGCCCTTACGCGTTAACTTCAACCCTGACACGAACGAACTGGAGGTCCCAAAAATTATAGAGATCGACTCGGTGAATGAGGCACTGAGCTCCTTGAACCTGAAACCATTACAGGAGAATAAGGATCCCCAGAAGCCTACGCAATCTTTGGACAAGGTGAACTTACTGAGCGAGTTTATTGCCAACAAGAATTACAAGCCTCTTCAGTCAGTGAAGGGTTTCATTGGCAACATCGATGTGCCGTCTACCTCTAACTATTACGATCTTTCATGCCCGGACATTATCTACAGGCCTAAAGAAAAACGGAACATTGAATTTTCCGAGCCTTTACTCTTGAAAGACGACCTAGCTAGTGCTCGTGAATCCTTGCTGTCAACAGAATACAAAAATCTCATCACTATGGGTGACAAAGTTGGCAGCCGTGTGGTTGAAAATTGGCGTCAATTTTCTGGAGCGTCAGTATGGCTTCCTGATGAGGAGTGCCACATGATGGCTAGCCGTATAATCTATGCACCAAACTCCAAAAGTAACCCGGTGGCTTCGTTCATCAGGCTTCAATTATTTGACGCCAACTGGAAAGAGATCACGGGTAGACGAATCAGATATATCGATATCACGAAACAAGAAATCGATGATGTTTTGAGAGAATACAACGACGCGCAAGACGATTCGTTGCTGGACAAGATATCGATAAAGTTTCCTACTGTTCTGGATATTCCATTTGATCCAAAGGTGAATACTAAAGAGCTGCTCGGTCCTGAAGACCCACGCATTTTGTTCAAAGATGGAGAGTACGTTCAAGAGCCGGTCATCTTCTTCAATATGTTGGACAACGGAAAACGCAACATGCATGCAGTTTTCCCGTTAAGAAAGCCAAATCCAAAGACTCAAAAACGCGATCTTGTGAACTTCAGAATATCGGGAATCGCTGCGTCCAGAACCCTCTCCACGGAGAAAAACTGGGCTCCCTTTTTTGACTCGATCCGGATTGGAGATTCCTCGAAAACCAAAGGCTACGTTCAATTCCTCTACACTGTTGATCCTCTCGTTGTGTTCCGTTGTAGCCTGGACAATGGGAAGTGTGAGAAACTACAGGACAACATATATTATTCTTCCTTTGCTGAAAATGCTCTGGGATTCATCCGCGGTGGCACAGAGTTAATACCCGTGCCAAGGCAGATTTTACAGAAGCATGGCACTGGTAACGCAGAAAGCAGGCTTCAAATGTGGGTTGGGTTTGTGAAAACTCACATCAACAACTGTGGGTGCGGAGACACCACTTATAGACCAAGCTTGATAGTGTTGACCAAAGAGGATGGCGTTTTCCGCGTTGACTTGATGACAGATAGTATTGACTTTGACATAGATGTCTTAGCGTGGGATGAGAAAGATACCAGGTGCGGAGGCGGACCCAATGTGCTTACGCCAAATGGCATTTCGTTCTGGAACATTAAGCATCCGGAGGATAGTTCTGGCAAATCAGACGACGTGCCCGAAGGATTATACAAGGACTACATGGGTCTTACAGTTAGCGAGTCTGACGCGAACATCAAGATCGTGTTTTTGCGTAACGTGTTAAACTACATTCTGGGAATACAGGGCATTGGCAAGCACAATCTTGGAGAGTATGAACTCAATGAAGGGGTTTCCGAACGCACAAGAAAAGTGAGCGATTGCATGCTTGAGGCTTCTTACAGTTACTGTAAGGCCTACGCCAGGAAAAAGTCTGCTGTGAAAGACATGGGCAATAATATATAAACGTATTGGACTATTGGTAATACTCACTTTTTCATTGGCCTACTGCAGCTGGAAAATTTTCAAATTAATTTTTGACTAATATTTTTCAGTGATTTTTATTTGTTTGATCATGTTGAAACATATCTCCCATGTGCCGAGCAGCTTCTCGCGCCGACAGTTTAGCACGCAAGCCACTGCGCTCGAGAAGCTTAATAAGTACTCTTCGATCTTGACTAGCTCAAAGTCTCAGGGTGCTTCGCAAGCCATGTTGTACGCTACGGGGTTCAAAGATGATGATTTCTCCAAGGCTCAGGTCGGAGTCGGGTCTGTTTGGTGGACAGGAAACCCGTGCAACATTCATCTGATGGACCTAAATAACCGATGCAGTGAATCTGTTAACAAGGCCGGCTTGAAAGCCATGCAGTTCAACACCATTGGTGTTTCGGACGGTATCAGTATGGGTACCACCGGAATGCGTTACTCGCTGCAAAGTCGTGAGGTTATTGCCGATTCCTTTGAAACCATGATAATGGCCCAACATTACGACGCCTGTATCGGTATTCCATCTTGTGACAAGAACATGCCTGGTGTTCTTATTGGCTTTGCTAGACACAACAGGCCGTCCATCATGGTGTACGGTGGTACTATTCTCCCAGGTTCAGGAACTTGTGCAGGCGTTCCAGAGAAACTTGACGTTGTGTCCGCTTTCCAGTCGTACGGACAGTATTTGAGCAAAACCATAAACGAAGAGCAAAGAAAGGATATCGTGCGGCACGCTTGTCCCGGTCCAGGATCTTGTGGTGGTATGTACACTGCCAACACCATGGCCTCTGCTGCTGAAGTGATGGGTATGTCTCTTCCGGGCTCGTCTTCTGCTCCTGCCGTGTCGAAAGAGAAGATGATCGAGTGCGACAACATCGGAGAGTCTATGAAGACTTTGCTTCGTTCGGGATTGACTCCTCTGGACATCATGACCAGACCTGCGTTTGAGAATGCCATTGCATACGTGATTGCCACCGGAGGGTCCACCAATGCCGTTTTGCATCTGCTTGCCATTGCCAATTCCGCTAATGTTGACCTCACAATCGATGACTTCCAGGCCATTTCGGAAAAGACCCCATTGCTCGGAGACTTCAAGCCTTCTGGAAAATATGTAATGGCAGACTTGCAGAAGTTCGGTGGAACTCCTGCTGTGATGAAGTATCTGCTGAAAGAGGGCATTCTGAATGGTGACCTCCCAACTGTCACTGGTAAAACTATAAAGGAGAATTTGGAGAAATTCCCGGAGCTTCCTGTTGACCAGGATATCATCCGTCCGGTTTCCAACCCTATCAAGCCAAGAGGACACTTGCAGATCCTCAAGGGATCGCTTGCCCCAGGTGGAGCTGTTGCCAAGATTACTGGTAAAGAGGGTACTTACTTCAAAGGAAAGGCTAGAGTGTTTGAGGAAGAGCAAGGATTTATCGAGGCTCTTGAGCGTGGGGAAATCAAGAAGGGCGAAAAGACCGTCTGTGTGATCCGTAACGAGGGCCCTAAGGGAGGTCCGGGTATGCCAGAAATGCTGAAGCCTTCGTCTGCTCTAATGGGTTACGGTCTAGGTAAAGATGTTGCGCTGCTGACAGATGGACGTTTCTCTGGTGGGTCACACGGATTCTTAATTGGGCACATTGTGCCAGAAGCTGTTGAGGGAGGACCAATAGGACTGGTCAAGGATGGAGATATCATTGTCATCGACTCAGACAACAACTCCATTGACATCCTGGTGTCAGAAGAAGAGCTCGCGGAGAGAAGAAAGCACTGGAAACGTCCTGCTCCAAGATACACGAGGGGCACTCTGCACAAGTACACAAAGCTTGTTTCCGACGCCTCCAGGGGATGTGTCACCGACCTCTAATAGAGGAGCATGCTTTACTGTTCTAGAACGAACATTAAACTTTTACATTTATTTATTGCAAACTATATATCCCGAAGGAATAGTTGAGAATGAAATTTAATCAAGGCTGTGTAACTTAGTTATCTGTGTAATTTTTGTTTATGTCAAGCGAGCGAATAAACGAGGGAGAAACCATTCTCGATTCCTCTGTCCCGCCCCAATTGGATGTACCTGAGAGGCAGGATGATATTTCGAATACAAGCTTGCCTCCGGTGACAACAAAGCCCCGCAAATTTACGCTTACTAAATATACTATCTACGTCACCACGCAAAGAATGTACATAGTTGGCAGCAATGGCCGCGAAACAGTGTTCAGGATCATGGAAATCGACCTCACCTCTGGAGATAAGCTGATCATCATGGAAGACAATGTGTACTTTACCACAAACGAAATTATGGACGTTCTCAACGGACTGGAAGAGAGCAGCGAGGGAGGTCTCAGCAAAAAAATTACCGCTGTGGGACTCTTGGGGTTTATAAGATTCACAAAGCACTATTACCTGTGTGTGGTGACAAAAAGACGGCCAGTGGCCATACTTGGAGGATACTATCTGTACCACATTGATGCTACCGAGCTAATTCCCGTTGCCAGCAACCCTAAACGGCCAGATCGAAACTCCGAAGAAGCACGCTACATATCTACGTTTCAGAATATTGACCTTGGAAAGACGTTCTACTACAGCTACAATTACGATCTTACCAACACGCTGCAGGTCAATTTTTTGAAGAACAAAAGACAGTCCCTAGGTCTGAACAAACAGGACCTTGCCAAAACATTTGAGTACCACGATCGCTTTGTGTGGAACTCTTTTTTGCTGAAGCCTGTTTTCAAAACCTTTGACCGTGTGTACGACTGGTTTCAGCCGATCATTCACGGTTTTATTGACCAGGTGAATATTTCGATTTTTGACGTTCAAGTATATGTCACCCTTATAGCTCGCAGATCGCACCATTTTGCAGGAGCCAGGTTTTTCAAAAGAGGAGTGAACGACCGTGGAGATGTGGCCAATGAAGTGGAGACGGAGCAGATTGTGAGCGACATGCTCACTACTTCTTTCCATGATCCGGAGGGTGGATTCTACAATAACCCTCGGTACACCTCGTTTGTGCAGCATAGAGGATCGATTCCGCTTTCGTGGTCTCAAGAGACTGCGCCAAACATCCGAATGACGAAGCCCCCAATCGAGATCAACGTCTTCGACCCTTTCTATTCAGCATCCGCACTCCATTTTGATAATCTGTTCAAACGGTACGGGGCACCAGTGCAGATTCTCAATTTGATCAAACAACGAGAAAAGACAGCGAGAGAGACAAAACTACTGCGCGCTTTTGAAGATTGCATAGAGTACCTGAACCAGTTTCTTCCTGAAAAGAAAAAAATCGACTACACGGCCTGGGATATGTCCAGAGCGTCGAAAAATCGCGGTCAGGACGTTATCGAGTGGCTCGAAAATTACAGTGCAAAAACCCTAGAAACTACAGGTTTCTTCCACAACGGGAAAACGCTCGCACAGACTAAATTACAGCAAGGCATATGCCGTACTAATTGCATTGATTGCCTTGACAGAACTAATACAGCGCAATTCGTGATTGGCAAAAGAGCGCTTGGTCACCAGTTGCATGCCTTGGGGCTTATAAAGGAAAAATACTTGGAGTATGACTCTGACGCGATCAACATTCTGACCGAGATGTTTCACGACCATGGTGACACAATCGCTTTGCAGTACGGGGGCTCACATCTGGTCAACACTCTGCAAACTTACAGAAAAATCAACCAATGGACTTCGCACTCGCGCGATATGATTGAGAGTGTGAAACGGTTTTACAGTAACTCGTTTGTTGACGCCCAACGCCAGGAAGCCATAAATTTGTTTTTGGGTAATTACGTCTACGAGAAAGGACTCCCAATGCTTTGGGACTTGAACACTGATTACTATCTGCACAATGACTATTATGGAGTTCTTCTGAATTACAAACCAAGTTATACACACTGGTATTCAGACTGCCATCTTGAGGACCCTGACTGCGGCAAGGATGATGGGCTTATCGTGCCGAAAATCGACCCTTATCCAGGGTGTTTTGACAACTATTGGAACATAAAGTACGTTCCCCGGGAGCTAACTAGCTTCAGCCAACTGTTTGAATTTAACATGAATTCAACTCTTAGATTCAACGAGGAGCAACCAAAAGACGCTTCCTCCGTGGTTTCGACACAGTCAACAATGAACAAGGTCAAAGAGACCAAGAATAAAGCAAAGCAGCGGATTCAGAAGCTAGCTTTGACAGAAAAAAATAGCATTTCCAACTTTTCGGAGTACGAATATGAGGGATATGTGTCGCCGTTCAAGTCCAGAAAGCCACACCGCGAACTGCCTTTCTTTAATCTGGAAGATATGGATAATAACACGCAACCTCTCGAGTCCATCCAGCCAGCGTCCGAAGATCTTTTGGAGTTTTACCGTCATCAGTTCGAGCAACTGAGGTTGTCGGACCAACAACGAGCAACTCGAATCGACAAGATCAACGAGGCAGTTGAGGACCACATCCTTCCGAAAAAAGATCTCCCAGTTGTTGACGTCACAACTAATGAGCTTCTCGGTATATCGGATAGTGATTCACTATTTGATACGCTAAGTGTCGCGACGGGAAGCACCGATTTCGAAGAGGCTTGCCAACAATACTCCAATCGAACTCCAGTGGTGTCCGCTGAAAATCAGCAGTGCTATGAGAATTGTGTGAACCTCGATTTGCGGATAAACGATGAGCTGACGTTTGATGATGTTTTGGATACAAGCTCGAAAGTGGACTTTTAAGATTGTTTGTCTGTCTGGGCTCTTTGAATGGCTTTCATACATTCGATGGTGTTTGGTAGAGTGTCTGACTTGATCCAAATTCTGCCATTTGCACCAATGGCGAGTTCAAACTGGTATTTCCTCATCAATTTGGTCAACACAGGAGCGTCCTGCTGTCGTAGTAAGTATCTGGCGTAAGCCAATCTCACTTCAAATACGAAACCTCCTTCCAGATGGCCAAATCCGCCTTCTTTGCCAGTTGTTGCATCAAAACACTCCAACTCCACGTCTAGATCGGGGTCTACGGCCGCCACGCGTGCGTAAACAAGGTCCCCAGTCTTTAGTTTTGGCCTATTTTTCTTACTTGCATTAGGAAACGCATAAAAGCCAAGCACTGCTGGCGTTGAGAAGTTCGAGAGCGAAACTCTATAGAACTCCCCGAAAGAGCCCACAATGGTGCCGACAACGAAATCCTGCACAGCAGGCATGTATCTTCTAGAATCAGCCTCCACATAAGCCAGCGAGCACGGGCCTGCCTGCGTCTGCACAAGGTATCCTGCAGTCGTCGGGCTGGCAGTGTTACCGCTTGTCTGCAAGTTGGGGCCCAGAACAAGCTCGGATCCTGCCTCCAGCGTAAATTGGTCTCCGGGAATAACGATAGACATGGCAGGTAGCAAAAAAAAAAAAATGGAGCGGAAAAAATTGTACAGATCAGACGCGTCGATCGACGCCCACTCGCTGATAACCAAGCACCGCATGTAGTCATTATTTGCTTGATCACCCGAAATCAAGTGAGTGTACGACAACTACCCAAACATGTGGACAGCGGCCACCCGCGCCTGAATGCGGATTTGTTAGCCGACTTTAAAAATGCAGCATTCGCTTGTACGTGCTGACAAATAATTGAGAAAGGAAAAACTTTCCTGAAAAACCTTATCGACCATGGGTCTGCTCTCTCTGGGTACGCCTCTACATTGGAACGACTCCCGTCTCTATGCTGATCATGTGCGCACAAACGGTATCATTCAGCTGATAAACTGTTTCAACGCGGCACGAGACCGCAAGAATGACCCGTTTTTGTGGGGAGACGAAGTGGAATATATGCTGGTGAAGCTGGACAGGGAGCACAAAGTTGCTCGTCTTGCCATCAACAAGGACCATCTTTTGAAAGACCTTGGCGAGAATGGCTCATCCTTCGAGGTGGCGGTCAGTAATAATGTGGTGTTCCACCCCGAGTACGGCAGATACATGATAGAAGCAACTCCGCTCCGGCCCTACGATGGGACGAAAGTGGAAGAGTTTGAATATGTTGAGCATAACATGAGAACTAGACGGCAGATTGCCACACAGGAGCTTGGAGAAGAAGATATGTTGCCATTGACACTCACTTCTTTTCCGCGAATGGGCGTTGAGATTTTTACATATCCGGCCGCCGAGCCTAACGGTGAAGCGTCCAAGTCTCTCTTCCTTCCGGACGAGATCATCAACCGCCACTTCCGTTTTCCAACGCTGACAGCCAACATTCGTCGCAGAAGGGACCAGAAGGTGAGTATCAACATCCCTCTGTACAAAGACGAGAAAACTGTGGCTTCAGGAATTGATCCGTCCATTCCTCGAAGGAACTTGTTCCCGCATCACGACGAAGAACCATTTTTGGGGGCCGCCAAGAAGGGCTACATATACATGGACTCGATGGGCTTTGGCATGGGCTCGTCGTGTCTGCAAGTAACGATGCAGGCCCCAGATGTGGCTCATGCTAGATTCCTGTACGACTCTCTGGTCAACATCGCTCCATTGATGCTGGCTGTGACAGCTGCGGCTCCGATTTTCCGGGGCCATCTTGCTGATCAGGACGTTAGATGGAATGTGATTGCCGCAGCAGTTGATGATCGGACCCCGTATGAGCGCGGAGAGCCGCCATTGAAGGGTCACAAAGAGAGAGGGAACACTTTGGACACAGCAGAGCTTGTGCGCATACCAAAGTCACGGTATGACTCGGTGGACCAGTACCTGGGTGACTTGGATTCTTCCGGCAGATTCTCCTATTTCAGAAAAGAGTACAATGACATCGAATCTCCGAAAAATAGCAAGGTTTACGAAAAACTTGTTTCCAATGGGTTTGACGAAACACTGGCGGGCCATTTCGCACACCTGTTCATCCGGGACCCTATCGTCATTTTCACCGAATCCATAGAGCAGGACAACACCGTCGAGACCGACCATTTCGAAAACATCCAGTCTACAAACTGGCAGACACTGCGTTTCAAGCCTCCAAAACAGTCTGCTGTGCCGGAAAGGCACGATGTTCCGGGGTGGAGAGTTGAGCTCCGGCCAATGGAAATTTCCTTGACAGATTTCGAAAACGCTGCGTATGCAAACTTTTCCGTCCTGCTCTCGCTAGCGGTGCTCAAATATAGACCAAACTTCTACCTCCCTATTTCGTATGTGGAGGCTAATATGAAGACGGCGCATCGCCGGAATGCCATAGTGGAGCAGACATTCCACTTCCGAACCAATGTGTGGGAGGCAGGAGAGGCAATTGTGGAGCAGCTGAGTCTTGAAGAGGTTTTCCACGGATCCGGCTCTTTCGAGGGACTTCTATCTCTAGTTTACCGATACATCAAAGAGACATGGGGAGAACCTCTTCCCGCAAAGCTTGAGGCGTACCTCAAGCTGGTGAGCTTTAGAGCTTCGGCAAAAATCCCATCCACAGCGCAATACATACGGAATTTTGTCGTGAGTCATCCAGATTACAAGAAGGACAGTATTGTCAGCGACCAAATAAACTACGACCTGCTGGAGATGGCGGCCAAACTGTCCACATACGATCACGGCCTGGTGACTGACTTCTTCGGGCCCGAACTGGGTCAATGGTTAATTGATAATGGTTACTAGATAAAAAACATAAACCATACAGCTGCGCAAACCTAGTTCTCGTTTTCGCTTTCGGACTCAGACTGAGAGTCGAAGGCTTCCTTGTGGACTTCCTCCTGAGCCTTAGCTGGTCTCTTGTGCTTCTGTCTGCGTCCCTTCTCGACCTTCTCGACCTTCTCTTCCTCGTCCTTTGGCTCCTCGTCTTTTGGCTCCTTCTCCAACTTCTCCTTCGAATCTTCCTTAAGGTGCTTGTCCTGTTTCGTCTTGGAGAACTCGCCTCCCTTGTGGCCCTTCAACTTCATTCCCTTATGATGTGGTCTGTCGTGAGCCTTGTGCTCCTCGATTTCAAACTCGTGTTCGGTCTCTCTGAGTTCACCTTCAGCACCCTTGATGCTCTTGTGGCCCTTGTGCATCTCGTGAGCCTTCAGCATGCCGCCCTTCTTGTCCATCTTGCAGTCCTTGAATGGCTTGACCTCATCTTCCATCTCGTGCATGCCTTCGAATCCCGGTGGAGGGCGGTGTGCTCCGTGGAATCCGTGGGCATGTGGGTGGTGTGGATGGGTCAAGGACTTGACACCGTGGACAACCGGACCGGACTGCAAAACCAGACAGGCAACGAAGAACAAAAACACTCCCAAGCCGAGTTTGGCAATCTTTTTGTTGGTCTCATATCTGCTCTTGATCTTGTAGAGTTTCTCGACCTCCTCGCGAGGCAAAGTGACGTCGGTGTATTCTGGCAATTCTGTTTTAGAAGACATGGTTAACAACAAGGAAAAATTGCACGCTATATAAATATCACTCGATAAGCCACCAAACTAAGCATATTCCAAAACGGGCTTCCCAAACGCATTTGAATCACCGAATAAAATTTTTGGCAAAGCCCGATGACATAATATTACAATCCGAGGCTGACAAACGCGCTTGGCAAGGCAGGAGGGTTCGGATGGGACCTAAGCAAGTGTGTGAGCGCCTCATAGGGCTATCACCGATAAGTCTTCGTCCAATCGCACATCTGAGCATTTTCAGAAGTAAGCTGCTGTGACACTGTGTGACTACTTGACTATTTGACTTGGGTACAAGGCCCCTAAACTAAGTAAGCAGCAGTCTTCCAGACTCCTTTCTGCATATAGGCAATCTTATACGAAACTAGCACACTTTTTTGCATATATGGTTGGTGTACAGATGTCGAATATTATTTTTCAAGATTTTTCCCCAGTCGATTGACTTTCCTTATGTATCGACCCTCAACTGGTCTGCTCAATCAGCGTTCAGTGCCGTTATTTGCCCCTCGCTTTTATTCATCAGCTTGCAGAAAATATGGGACAGCGACACAGCAAAATCCGGATTTTCTTTCCCCACCAGAACCTCAAAATTGGTACGCACTTCTAACCAAACCACCTTCCCAAAATAAACATCGCTTAGCCAATTTCCAAAAGGAGGTCATCGAAGGTCTCCGATCGCCGTCATACGATTCCTTCAACTCGCTCTTCATCAAGCCCTACAGACGACACAGAGATTTGGCGCATGTCACAAACTCCAAGAGCGCCCTCCCCCATGTTCCTAGTTCCTACGATGCTCCAGAAGCATTGCGCAAACAACTGAAACGCAGGCCCTTACCCTTTCACCTATCCCATCGACTTTCGACATATCTGCAGAAGAAGAGCCTGCGTGATATAGGTTCCATCTATTTTGAAATCCCTGCACCACGAGCAGCTAGTTTTTCCATACTTCAGCTGGAGCAGCTTCTATCGCTGATTTTAAGCACCAAGCGAGCCAATATTGAGATTGTGAATGTGGCGAGACGTATTCTAGAGGACATGGAGTCTGATTCCATAAGACTAGGACCGCTCGAGCAGACAAAACTAGTTTATTTTTATACCCGGTTGCAAATGCCATTTGAAGAGGTAATTCAAAAGGTTCTGGATAAAGGCTATTTTCATCCACACACATGGAATCTACTTCTTCAATTCTACACATCGCATACGGACAAGATTTTGGAGTTAATGCGGACCCGTGTGTCCCTGGACAGGACGTTGTTGCTGACATTACTGGAAAAGAGCTCCTCTTTGAACAGTGTGCTGAATATAGTCGATATTTTCAGACAGCGGCACATGCATCTGGATCAAGAAGCCCTGGACAAGATTCTAGTGAAGCTTGCCATTTTCGATGAGTACTTGGTTGCCAAATCCATACTAGACACCATGATCGAGACCGCTCCAAAGCTTGAGGAAAAACCGTTTCAGGTGCAGCATAGTAGCACCCATGAGCCCTGGGTCCGCAAACTTAATTTGTACGAGCACCATGGACTTATGACGACACGACGTCGGCGAAGGTTAGTGAGCCAGATCGAGCTCGTCAACGAATGGCTACCAGATAACACTCCTCTGATCCTTTATCCACAAAGACCAACTCCATTTCTGATGCACCAATTTTTTGTTCTAAATTTAAGCTCAGATATGAGTATCGCGCGCAGATCGCAAATATCTGATCTTCTTGAGTTGATGAATATAGCGAAAATCCCAATTCTAAACAAGACAGTGATCCTAGTGTTACAACGTCTTGTGGAGCTAGACCAGCTCAGGCAACAGGAAGTCGATCTTGCTGCGCACCTGGTGGAACTTTACCAAGAATCTAAGCGTTTCAACTCTTATTTGGAGATCCAAGCTACCAATATGGCTTTCAACAGAACAGAATTGGTGCCGTATCTGCTCGTCAAGAGCGAAAATAATAAGAAACTTGAGTTTGAGGTCCGTAATGGAGCAGGCTACAACTCGGATTGCTACGACCAAGTGATTTTTCGCCTTGGCTCAAAGATGTACCACCAGTCCGCGCACTTGGACTTTGAACGGCTCGCCAAACTGCTCCTCGAGCTCCACAGAGATTAATTTGTAAATATAATTTTATTTCTTCTTCATACTTTGAATGGCACCAATGGCGCCACGCAGAAAATTCAGGTCTTCGTTGACCTCCTCCGGTTTCAAACCTGGACAACCCTGGTAACTTCTTGTGGAATGCCTCGTGTTGGCCTTTTCCTGACGCTTGATAAATTCCTCACCGTAAAGGAACTCGTTCAACTCCGGATTGTCGGTAAGAACTTTAAGAGAATTGGAACTTTCCTCTCCAGCAGACGAAGCGTCTCCGTTCCGAGCAACATGGCCACCAAGGTGGCGGCTTGGCTTCTGTCTTTTCCTTGATGAGCTCGAGGCGTACCCTGTCGCAGTCCCGGTGCCTGTTCCCGAGTCGTAAGAATCCTCGGCATTGCTCAAGTTTAGCGAGCCGTCGTACCGCTTGTTATGCGTTCTGCGAGAACGTCTTTCTCCAGGAAAGAAAAATGACGTCGAAGACTCGAATCCGCTGTTATACCCGTTTTCTCTATGCGCGCTCCCGTTGGTTGTGTATCTCGATGCTGTGTGAGAAGACGAGGTCGTGGCTATATCAATTAGTGCTTTGTCTTCCTTGAGTTGTTTAATCTTCTTGAGGATGCGCTCGTGAAGTTTCTCCTTCAACAGCTGCACCACCCTCTCGCGCTCCTGCACAGCACTGTCGTAATCCTCTTTGAATTGCTTGTTGATAAGCTGTACTTGGTATTCCTCCGCCAGCTTCAACCGCACAAGCTCTGCGTCTCTAACCTCTTCGAAATCCCGGATCCGCTGCATGTACTGCGGATTGTCGCCGGAATGTAGCGAGCTGAGCTTATACTGAAGTTGAATCAGTGAGTCACGGTAGAAATAATCTTTATCTTGCTGAAACTGGTCTTCAACCTTGCCCAGCTTGGACTGAATCTGTTGTCGCCTCTTGTCTTTCTTGGAGATCTGATACTGATACTGTACATTATAATCAGCAGGGTCTGGCATGTTAGCGCGTAAAATCTGGTGGTTTACTTACAACCATACTGGTTTGCCCCTTCCATGTTATACTCCATAATAAAGAAGAGAAATTACGGAAAAAAACAAACTTTTAGGCTGTGCAACAAAATACGTCGTATTAATGGCTGTGCTAATGGTGAATCTCAGATCAAAAGCTTTTGATCTTTCTTGAACTGCTCCACGTCGGCCTTCGCCGTCGTCTCAATCGACTTGACCGCGTTGGCTGTCCTCTTGACTATCTCCAAGTAGTTGTACGGCACAAATCCCATGCGTCCATCCCGCGTACGGCACTTCCACCAACTATCGGTCTTATTCAGTATGGCCACCAAGTCTCCTCGTTTCAGCCTGAGCTCCATCTCCTCGTTCTCAGGATTGAAGTCGTATAGCGCCCGCGCAAACTCCAGCTTTTTAGGATCAATGCTAGGTTCTGGGTTTTTGTTCATTGCTAGACCAGTAATCGCACCCTGGTCCGGCTGTCCGTTCAAAAGGGCCCTTTGGTGTTCAGCCATGTGAGTAACCAATTTCTTCAGTACATAGGGGAGTCCGAACACGGCCGCCAAAAAGAAAACGAGAGGTTTCAGAGACATCCTCTCCTTCTTGCCCTCCTTGTCTTTCTTATTTGACTCGATTTGCTTCTTGAACTCATCAACGCTGATTTTTAATTTGGTTCCTCTGATTTTTCTCAAGGCCTTTTTGGCCCAGTTCAACAACGCGCATATCCCCAGAAAAGATCCCATCGCATTTTTCAAGTGTTGGAACTGTTCAGCCATGGATATCATCGTGAAAAATGAGCTGTGTGTCGCGTAATATGTGCTCTCCAGCATCTGCGCAAAACCCCCTACGGCACCAATCAAGCTCTCTATCAACTGAAACGTTGCTTCTGTTCCTTGCGTAAATGAGCCCACAATCCCGTGGTTCATGCCGTTCATGCCGTTCATGCCGTTCATGCCGCTCATACCTCCGTAGCGATTACCATACATCCCACCACCATATAAGGATCCGTACATTGACGATCCATATGATCCGTAAGAGTTGTACATGTTTCCATATATGGGATTGCTATAGCTTGAGGAGCCATAGCCACCGTAGTACGGAGACGTGCGTGAAGGCATGCCGGCTCCGGACATGTTGGTGATTGTGTTGGTAGATAAGGAAGATGGCCTGGTGGGCAACTCGGGAGGCGCCGACGAGTTATCTGTACTTGTTGTAGCGTTATTGTCCTTATCTAAGCTGTTCGTGGTTCCGCCCGTGGAGTTGGCGGTTTCCCAAGGCTTTGGACGTGGTGTAGTCATGGAAGAACGATTTTCTTGTTTTTTTTCGCCCGATGTTTCTTAATCTCCACTATCCGCTTAAGCTTACCCAAAACGTGCAGTGTTAGGGAAAATTATCTAACAGCTTATATAATACACACAGATATGGCGGCCCCCTAAAAATTATATCACTGAGACCACATGGAGTAGAGCTGCGGCTCTTTGACACTGATTGGCTCGAAATCTTCGTTTAGACTCACCTTCTCAGGAATGTTGTCACCCTTTGTGGTTCCTAGTTCGCTAGTCTTGTTTGTAACAACGACTCTAGGTGCTCTGGTGGCCTCCATCATGGCCTCCTCACAGAGCATCAAGCCTTCGTCAGTGGCTCCCAACTCGCTAGCCTTTAGCAGTTTTTGGCGCACGGAAGCAGTCTGTTTGCGCAAAGCCAGTCTGTCAACCACCAGATTGTGCTTCTCCAAAGCCAGCTTTCGTTTTTCGGCCTGAAGCTGATTATCCAGTTCTTGGAGCTTTGAAAATTTAAGCTCGAACTGTTTGAGCGAAAGCGCCATGATCTGGCTAATTAGCGCGTCTTGAGCAGCGGTCTCCTGTTGGAGTTGTAGTTGAGAGTTGGCAGCTACTTTAGCGAGCGCCTCATTGTCTTGCTCCAACATCTGCTTGATGGAGTTGTTTATAGCATCCACCACACCTGTAGGCTTGGAACTCTGTTTGAGGAACTCTTGATACGTCGATTCGGAGAGCTGTTTTTCAAGATACTTGTCTTCGATAGGAAGCTGGATGAAGCGCGAAATGCACTGTTCCTTGGTCCGGGTTCCAACGTGTCCGCTTATGGCCGTCCAGTCGTCGCGGTACATTTCAATAGCCTCGAGCAGCAACAAGGTTTCCTGATCAGTCCAAGGCCGAGCGTCAGAGCGGTTATATGATTTCTCTAGCTTGACGTAATCGCTGCTTTTGAATGCCGCCGGAAACTGGCCATCCTCAAATGCCTGCTTGCTGATATTTTGCTTCGTCTTCAAGTTATGGTATCTGGTCTCGGTGATTTCGTTACCTGTGATGCTACAGAAGAACTGCTTGAGTCCGTTCTTGGCAGTATCCTCAGCTTTCAGGGCGAAAGCATCCTGAGCAGTATCGTAAACGTTCTTTCTGATTTCTAAATTTAGGGGGAAAGAGTTGTTTGTGGCCTTTTCAGCTGACTCTTCTGTTTTCTCTTCCACTTCGTCAGATTCTTTTTTGACCGGAATATGAGCTTCCAGTCCCGTTGGCTTGTCGAGTGTTATTTGGAAATGGCCCGTAAACTGAGGACCCATGATCACAGGTTTTGTCTTAGGATCAATTTGGTAGTTAATCAAACCCCATTTGCACAGAAAGCCATGGACCCTTATGATTGAGGCTACGTCTCCCGCTAATCCCCTTCTCGCAGCAGTCACGGTGAGATATTCCATTGGGTTGAGCCTATATGTGTGGATCATGAAATCTCTATATTCCTTGTACACCTTGGGGGTCTTGAATCTAGATTCGTTGTTGAAGAATTCAGGCAAGGAGCGTTTCTCAATTTCATGAATTTCGTTCATGTCGAACCAGCGCGCAAATGATGGCAACACAACTGGCTTCATTTGTTTCGCCACAAATGCGCGTGCCTCGTCATTCATAGAATTGTTTTTTGTCTCCTGTTCCGTTGGCGAAGACATGTAGAAAATTAAAAACAAGAATATGCTCTTCCATTTTTTTTCCACCTTGTAATTTTTGATTCGCGGTGTACGGATGACCTGGTCAGATCAGCTAGACACGGAAGAAGAGCGTATCCTGAAGCTGTTGCGCGAACAGCAGTCGCGTACAGTGACTCCTGAGCAGGCTGAATTTGAAAGTCTTTCCAAGACGCGTAAACTGGAGAAACTGAACGAGCTGGTGAAGCGTTCGCAAGTGTTCAGTAGTATCATTGCTGACACGCTTTTGGACAGTTCCAAGAAGGAGGAAGTTGAAAGCAAGCAGAAGTGTCGCAAGACTAATGACGGTAAGGCTGCTCAGGATGAATCTGTGCAGCCAAAACTACTCACCGGGTGCCAAATGAAAGACTATCAGAAAGCAGGTATGGAATGGCTCATCACGTTGTATCAAAACGGTCTCAACGGGATCTTGGCCGACGAAATGGGACTTGGAAAGACTTTGCAAAGTATTGCCTTGATTGCGTTTCTGATTGAGCAAGGAATCGAAGGCCCATTTCTCATATGCTGTCCGCTGTCGACTGTTTCGAATTGGATCTCCGAGTTTGAGAGGTTTGCTCCGGAAATCAAGGTTCTTGCTTATGTTGGCTCCAAGACGCAACGTCCAAAGTTACGGCGACAGTTCTCCAAAAATGCGGTAATCGTCACCTCCTACGAGATCAGCATACGCGATTTCCGCTATTTGAGTGCCAAACTATGGAAATATCTGATTGTAGACGAGGGACACCGTCTTAAGAATAGTGAGTGTCTTTTGATCCGCCAACTGAAACGTCTTAGGACCTCAAACCGCTTGCTTTTGACGGGAACACCTCTGCAGAACAATTTGAATGAGCTGTGGTCTCTTCTGAACTTCATTTTGCCCGAGATTTTCCATGACGTTGATATGTTTCAACAGTGGTTTGATTTTTCTGCTCTGGAAGAAATGAAAGATGAGGATACTGAGTTCAACGAGTTGATCAACGCAGAGATCCAGAAAAGCTTGGTCACCAACCTGCACACTATTTTGCAGCCTTTTCTGCTCCGCAGGCTAAAAAGAGACGTGATACAAGGCCTGCCACCAAAAAGAGAGTTTATTATTTATGGCAAGCTCACGTCTAAACAGGAACAACTTTATCGTGCTACGCTGGGCCAAAAGTTGAAAGAATGCTTACTGGTGAATGGTCTAAAAGAATATCTTTCAGTAAACCATTTATTGCAGGTCTCTGACGAGGAGGTCGAAAAGTTTGTGGCTCTGGAAGATAAGCCAAAAGACCATAGACTGTACGAACATTTTGAGTTTGTCAGGAAACAGGTTGGAACCAAAAAGCTAATGAACGTGATGATGCAGCTACGGCTGGTTTGCGACTCACCTCACCTTTTTTTCTATCCGTGGAACGACTATGCGGACTCAAAGTTGGTGGAGCAGTCGGCAAAGTTGCAACTTTTAGATCAACTGCTTCCAGCGCTTCATAAAGATGGACATCGTGTTTTGATCTTCACACAATTCACGTCAATGCTAGACCTGATTGAAGAATTTGTCAACTATACACTAGGATACAAGTCTTGTCGAATAGACGGCTCCACCGATCAGGCAGACCGTAAAGACGAGATCGACAGATTTTCCACCGAGGACGTCGATGTATTTCTGTTATCTACCCGTGCTGGAGGCCTGGGGCTTAATTTGACGGCTGCAGACTCGGTTATTCTTTTTGACTCAGATTGGAACCCGCAGGTTGATCTCCAGGCAATGGATAGAGTCCACAGAATAGGTCAGACCAAACCTGTGTCGGTTTATCGACTGGTGATTGCCAACACTGTTGAAGAGATCATGCTGGCGAAAGCAGACTCAAAAAGACGTCTTGAGAGGTTAGTCATCCAGCTGGGTCATTTTGAAGATCTTTTGAAATATGGTACGGGCAGCAGGAAGCCACAGGACGCTCTTCTCGAGAATCTCAGTGAATTCCTTAGTGCGAAAGAGTTTAGAAAAAGAGAGATTCTAGACAACAAGCTTTCGGACGAAGAAATGCGAGAATTGCTTGACAGGTCGCCGGAGGCCTACCAGAGAGAAAATGACGAGCATTTCGCCCACTTGATGCTCTTTGAAACAATTAATTCCTTACAATAGTACATACAAAATACGAGACATGTCCCAACGCTGTGAACGATCGGGTTCGAGACATGCGCTCAAAATAGAGACTAGAACGTCTGCGCGTGGAAAATCATTAAGGGCCGCTCGGAAACGGGTTTTGTCGTAATCGTTATTCATGATCATGAGCTTGAGCCGTGGCTCAAAAATATGCTGGAAAGGTAGTTTCAGCGTGACCAACGTGTAAAGCAGCACCCCCACTGCCCACGCATCCGTTAGATTATCAAGGGCAGGAGGATTAGGTCGCAGGATTTCGGGCGAAGAGTAGGGAAGTGAACCAATATGTGTATCCGGTAAACGGGCACTGTTGTAGGAAGAAGTTGTGGACGCCGTTGCTGAGGAGCGTGGAGAACGGGGAGTGGGCGTGTTGGCAACCGATGACAGTGGAGAATGGCGGTACGAGTGTGACGAGCCCGTAGAAATGTTGTTAGGGGAAGATGGCAAGACAGTGTCATCCAGAATTCGTCTAGAAAGGTCAGGAATCTTGATTAGCGCCTTGCTATCTCTGCTGTAAAAGTTGGCCATCCCAAAATCGCAGAGCACAACTCTGCCATCTGAAAGAAGGCAGTTTTCCAGTTTAACGTCTCCGTGATAGATTCCCAAGCTGTGCATATACTGCAGTCCAGAACATATGTCGGTCAAAAATGTCACAATGCGGGGCAGACGTTGCGGATCGTTAGCTGACTCCCATTGCTTCACTAGATCAAAGAGCGAGCCAGAACTATATTTCTCGGTGAGCAAAAAGAAAGATTGGTCGGTAAATTTGAAATCCAACAACGGCGCAATCCGTTCGTGGTTCAAGAGCGACCAGATGAGAGATTCAGTCTTGAAACGCTTGATGAACTCCACAGAACCGTGAACATCGATGATCTTCATTGCTTTTATCTCGTCGTTTTCGTTGCTACATTCACGGATGATACCGTATGCACCTCTTCCAATTACTCGACCTAACCGCCACTTGCCAAGAATCAATGAACCTTTCACATTAGTGTTGTCAGGAGTTGTAACAGTACTGTTAACGGAATTTTGTAGCGAAAAGGAATTAGACAACCTGTGCGCCGGAGAGGTTGCACCCGACATGGAATTTCTGCGAATCAATCTGGTGATATGGTTTTTGTAATCCTTGTCATTTTGCAAAAAATCAGGTAATGCCTCGTTCATGATCCTCTTTCTTTCACTGAAAGAAAGCGATAGGAAGTTGGAAGGGAGAGATGCGAGAATCAAGCGGTCTTTTTCACGTTCTGGAGACCCTGTGCTTCGAGAGGTAGGACGCGCGGCACCTTCGTGCTTTTCAATTGAGATTGGTTGAACTTTGGAATGCAGCTCATCCAGAATATGGTCCTCGTTAGCCAGTTTGTCATCAATCCACGTCCTAAAGTTGAAATCCACAAAGTCTGGAACATACTCATCCTCAATTCCTTGTAATGTTTTCCAATTATAGCTTCCAGTGCGACTGTAAATCATCCGCCTCCCGGCTTTATCAAAATACGTCTTGTCTGTCTCTGAGGAGACTTTAGAAAGCCCACCCTCGACCTCCCAACCACTCAGTAGGTCATGAAAGTCCATCGCAGGTATGAGCTCCTCATTATCAATATTGTTGATTACCCTGGAGTCCTGATAAGAGCGTGGGATAAGAGTGGGGTTCTTGGGATTAGACAGCCCATTATTGGTATAACTTTCCATAAAAGCGAGGAATCCAAATTGAAAGTACAGAAATTAGATTGAACCGCTGTGGGGTTCAAAGTATGTAAACGTGTACCTAGACGCCCCCGCAGGTCAAACAATGATGCTACTGAAACTTTTGCACCAGTTGACAGTATGAGGCTACCGGTCTTAATATGCAACAAAAAAAAAAAAATCTGACAATAATCATCCTTTTAGGTCTCCCCATAGATGGAGCGGCAACATCCGTGCACCATTTGTTTAACCAATAATTTTCATCGAAAAAAACTTTACGCTCTAATAACAAATATGGCAGGACATCCAGGTGCTTATATGGGATGGTGGGGTCATCTTGGTAAGTACTCACGTCGGAAACTTGGTAAACTAATATCCTAGGCTCTCCAAAGCAGAAATACATCGCTCAATACACTGTTTCTCCTTACGCTCAATCTCCATTAAAGGGATCTCTTGAGAACGCCTTCTTCAACACTTTCAGAAGAACCAAGGCTCAGTTCTTGTACGTTGCTGCTCCAGCCTTGATTGTTTGGGAAGTTTGGGTTTGGGCCAGAGACTACAACGAGTACCTCTACACCAAGGCCGGCCGTGAAGAGCTGGCCAGAGTTAACGTTTGAATATAGAATTGTTGATAGTGCAATACATGAAAAAAACAAGCACCCAAAGCAGTAGATGCAGTATGTAGCGTGTTATGGTTGAGCGGTGTAATTTGTATCGCCTTTTGGATTGCTAGTGACGAGAACACTAGACCATCAAGGAAATGTTTTAACTTCGGCACGAAGACCAAAGGACTGTACTATAGTCTCTGAGTTGTACAATATTTGAGCCCAATCAAGTCGGCTTCATAGTACTGGGGTAATTCTTATTTTCCACACATTGTGTTTAGCTATGAAAACTTAGTACATTATGCTCGCAGATCATTCATCCCTGCATGGTTTCACTCTTCCTTCTTTTCTTTCGAATCCTTGTCAATATCCTCATTAAAGGCAACAATCACATAGCCAATCAACACGATGTTGGCCACTAGGGCAGCCAAGCCTCCTGACACGATGGAATTGCTGAACACTGCCCTGCTCACGAAGAAGGTGAATAATGGGGCAATGATCATCAATGCAGTGCAAATAATGAGCTTCTTGATAACACGACTGGGCATTAGTGCTATAACATTTCGTACTTACGGTGGAATATCTGCCATGGTGAATTGAGGTGTGAAAAAAAAAAATGATAAGGAAATCAAAATATGCTTACAGAAAAGCAGCTAGCGCAATTTGATAGAGATGGCTGCATTGCCATTGAGAACTACCTCAGTCCTGAAACTGTAGAAGAGTTGAATGACGAGATCCAAAAACTATTGGGCGAGATCGATCTCAAAACACACCCCCTCACCAGGTTCACTACTGATGAGGACGAGGAGCATGTTGGCGACGACTACTTTATCAACTCGTCAGACAAAATACGTTATTTTTTTGAGGTGGACGCTTTTGAAAACGGCGAGCTGGTCAAGCCATTACCAAAGGCTGTCAATAAGATAGGACATGGGTTGCACATGAAAAACGAATCTTTCAAGAAGATCACCATCACTGAGGATATTGCAGCGATCTGCAGTCAGCTGGGTTTCAAGGATCCGCGCGCGCTACAAAGCATGGTGATCATCAAGCAGCCAGAAATTGGTGGGAAGGTGCCTAATCACCAGGACGGAGAGTTTCTTTACACAGAACCTCAATCTTGTATCGGATTCTGGTTTGCTTTGGAGCCTTGTACTGTGCAAAACGGATGCCTTAGCTTTTTGCCTGGTTCCCATAAAACTGCCGATATCAAACGTCGTTTTGTGAAGGATCTGGAAAATGGTGGCACGAAATTCGTGGATCCCAAAACACTCAAGGACACAAAAGCTACAAACGACCCGAATGACTCAGATTTTGTTTGTGTGGAGATTCCAGCAGGCAGCCTCGTGTTGATCCATAATAAAGTCATCCACAAATCCGAAAGAAACTTGTCCAAAATGTCCAGAAATGCTTACACTTTCCACGTTATCGAGGGTGAGGCACAATACGACGAGCTCAATTGGCTACAGGTCCCTCCCGCTTCTCCTGCAGGTACTTCTCAATTTTCCAAAATTTATGTAAATTGACTACTGCAAGGAGTAGCAAGAAATAGCAAGAAAAAGACCCATGACTCATCAGGCACGAGTTCCTGGGTGGTGCTATTTTTTATTGGCCGATGCTCAAACAATGTCGATTCGGACACTTAACCCCGCTGTAGAATCGAGGATTTGGTTAGCATACGTGCGCTGTTCGGAATTGGAGACGGACTTGCTTTATTTAAGTCCGCGAACACTGTTGCGCTCTCGCGACGACATGTCTACGCAACCCAGCCAACCCGCCTCTTTGTTAGCCAAAGTTCTCTCTTAGAAGAGCACAAAATCGACCAACTACAGCTTACACGCGATATGCGTAATGCTGCCCTCATTTCAAGAATCTTCTTTTGCGTGCGCGAAAAATAAGATTCAAGCTAATCTGCTACCGTTATTACATTTTTTTTATTGTTTGCTTCTACCCGCGTTATCGAATAGCTTAGACTGATTTTGTACACCACATGGCCCATAAATAGAGAAGCAATTCGTTGCAATAAAAGATCACTCCCTTGAGGACTTGTAGTCAAAATAAACAGCTCAGAAGAAGATACCAACAGGCACGACAAAGCTAGGCCTTCAACTCAATCGCCACCCGAAGATTCACAAACAATGCAAGACTTCCTGCCATCATACCAGCTCCACCGCTATCTGAATAGACACCTGGATGAGATCATTAACGATCACAAGCTCGATGCTCCACCGGATTACTCTGAGGTCGCAAATAAGGCAGGCGAAAGACCAATAATGTCATTTGAGGTTCGGGAGGAACTTCAAGACGGAAGAGCCTCTCTGGTGTCGGACCAGCAGAACTCTGTGTGGAGGAAGATTGATAAGCTGAGGTACATGGATCAAAGCTCTGTGTATATTGATATTCAATTGGATGACTTCACAAATGTTCATTATGCTCCAGTCACTAGCGGAGATATTGTGAAAGGAACGGTGAAAGTCCACAATATCGGACCCCATCCAATCCCCTTTGACAACATCTTTGTTAGTTTTGAAGGGTATTTTTGGGCTTTGAAGTCATCCTCCAAAATGCTTATCCATAACTTTCTGGACATGATAGATTTTGAAGCCAGTTGTTTATGCGAGGATCCTGATGCAGGGCTGCCTCCAGACCGTGTTTTAAGACGAAACAGCATATATATGGTGCGCTTCAAATTCCAAATTCCGGAAACGTCTAAATCCGGGCTTCCTCTGCCTCCAAACATGGGAGATTTGCATCTCAGACACAAGATCCACTCTCAGATCCAGGACTCGTTATTCATGCGTGAAAATTGCTTTGGTGGAGACTACAGCTGCGACAGTTTTAGCATCAGCTACTCCGTCAATGCCAGATTGCTTGAACTCAGTGAGACCAAGGACGAGCTCGTAATCAGACGACACAGCAGACACATGGTTTCATTTACGCCCAAGTTGCAAGCAGACGACGCTTTGAGATTACTGGACCCAGTCGATGAACTGCGCTTGCTTGTTAACTCGCTAGAAGACGAGATTAGAACTTTGCAAATCAAAAGTGAGCCGTCCTCTGGGGCGAAAGCTGAAGAAAGGCCCACGTACCCGTTCCGAGTATCACAGGAGCGGGAGGTTTTCCGACTTCAGCTGAAGAGCAAGCCTGACATGTTTATCGACAAATGTCTAGATTACTCGCTAAGTTCAGGCGACCTGCAGACTAAACGGAGCATCACCATTTCTTTTGAAGAAGAAATGAAAATTAGCTCGATCGACCTGTACGCTGTCAACTACTACAGCCATCACAAATTACCCGTTCACATTTCTTCTGAGTGGTTTATAAATCACGTACCTTTTGAGACAGTTATTAGGCCCAAGTTTAAAGAGCTGGAGACAAGTTTGGAGACTTGCGGCAATGAAGACTCGTTGGAGCTTGTGAAAAGTGTGAGCAGGTTGAAATTTGCGGCGAGAAAAATGCCAAAGGTGATTCAATATAAGAAAAAAGGTCCGGCCTCGTATGAGATAATCCTAACTAAGCCAAAAAAGGACATCGTCATTCCCTCCTTTGATTTCATGTTTTGCGGACGCTTCTATTTCCTGCGCTTCTACTTGAAGCTGCCGCGCGATGTGCTGTATCAAGGCGAGTCAAAATTAGCTTTCGACGTTCCGGTCTCGATCCATTGAGTCATGGGGATTTTAGTTTGTTTTGCAATCGATTGAGGCTTTGTTTTATATGTAAAGGTCCTCGTCCTCTTCGGTCACGCGATTGAGTACCTTATCGCGGCTCTTGGAGTACTCCACAGGATAAGTTTCTTTTATTTTCTTCGTTAGTTTATTGCATAGCTTGGTGTTTTTGTCTAGGTTTGCGTTCAACTCTGGGATGATTTGCGTTTTTAGCTGCTCGTATCGTTTGATGTGATTTTCCAGTTTTTCGCTCACCTCGTCCATCGTTCGTAATAAATCCTGCATCGTATTATTTATCGTGCCAGAAACCTGTGATTGCATCATGAGCGAGCGATCTAGCTGCACAGAGTCCAGGGAGTTGTTGAGCGAGCCAATCAGATAGTCGACCGCATTGAACGTGGACTGCTCCTCCACCGGCGTCTCCTCTGTGGTTGTGTTTGTGTACGACTGAGAGTCGGAGTCGACCTCGAAACTGTTTGCGTCAAGAACCATGCAAAATAATTAAACTTAATATTTTTCTTGTCGGAACCTTATGTCCAGAGATATAATAAGAGCGCGCTTGCGGCCGTTCGGGATTTCATTTGAGAAGTCTCTGACGGACCTCATAAAGGGCATCAGAGCGAACAATCAGGATCCTGAGAAATTGGCTACGTTCTTCGACAAATCCATTCAGGAATGTCGGGCTGAGCTGAAAACAAACGACCTCGAACTAAAGTCCATGGCGATCCTCAAGCTAGCATACTTGGAGATGTACGGCTACGACATGAGCTGGTGCTCGTTTCACGTGCTGGAGGTCATTTCCTCGCCAAAGTTCCAACACAAGAGAATAGGATACCTTGCTGCGATGCAGCTGTTCCAACGGCAGAACAACGATGACGTGCTCATGCTGATGACAAATTTGCTGAAAAAAGACATCAACTCCGGCAACTCTGTGGATACAGGCCTAGCTATCAGCGGCATTGCGTCCATAGTCACTCCTGAGCTGGCACAGGATATCTGTGACGATATGGTGCGAATGCTTTCCCACTCCAAGCCATTCATAAGAAAAAAGGCCGTCTTGGCCATGTATAAGATCTTCCTCAAGTACCCTGACGCATTGAGGCTGCATTTCGACAAATTGATAGAAAAACTGGACGATGAAGACGGGTCTGTGGTCTCTGCCACTGTAAACGTCATCTGCGAACTTGCTCATAATAATGCGAAAAACTACGTGGAGCTTGCACCTCGACTCTTTGGGCTGCTGAAGGAATCGAACAACAACTGGATGGTCATCAGACTTTTGAAGCTTTTGTCGTATCTGTGTCTTGAAGAGCCTCGTCTCCGCTATATATTGCTGCCGGAGGTGGTGGACCTCATGAATAGCACAACGGCACTTTCTTTGGTTTATGAATCAATCAATTGCATTCACAATGGAAAAATGCTTACTCCTGACGATACCAAAGTTGCAAAACTGATAATCAGCAAACTGATTGGTTTTATTCAAAACAGCGATCAGGATTTGAGGTATGTGGGGTTGCTGGCGTTCATCAAAACCTGTAAAATTCACAAGGAACTCATCAAAAAGCATGAGAAAGTCATTATGGCATCCACCTACGATTCCGACCCCACAATCAGAGAAAAGTCTTTGGAACTGATCGATTCTCTCGTGACCGACCGCAACATCGTTTCTATTGTGTCCAGACTGCTTGTCCAGCTGATTCCTGTGGATGAGCAGGCAGAAAGATTGGAATACATCAACGTTGAGACTGAATTGGCGCTTCAGAGTCCTCTCATGGTGTCAGATAAGTATAGGCTGCTTGTCATCACCAAAATAATCCATATATGCTCCATGGACAATTACGAGCGGATTCCAAATTTCCAATGGTATCTTGGTGTTCTTGGCGACATTCTCAATATCAATGCCGAGAATAGGCTTGCTGGTGTTGAAAAAATGGTCACATCGCAATTTATGAGTGTGGGATTGAGAGTTCCAAGTATTCGCAGCAGATTGGTTCAACGCTCTCTGGAGCTGGTACTCGATAGTTCGCGACTGGTCGGCTTAAAGGAAGGCCTACACAATTGCATGTGGCTTGTTGGAGAGTACTATACAGACTATATCACGACACTGGATGACGACGATAACGACGACAGCGATAACGAAGAAGTGTACAAAATAACAGGCGCACAGATTATTAAGAACGTTGTGGCCCAGGAAGACCTTGATACTCTCACTGACCTCATGGATCCAACACTCGGTGTTTATATCCAGTCTATGGCCAAACTATTTGGAAAGTACTGTCTCTCTTTGAGACTGAATTGGGGTCCTGAAGACCGGGTGCACCTGATTGAGGTTTGCCAAATACTGATCAGGTGGCTGGAGAAATTCCATCAATCTGTGAATTTTGAGGTTCAGGAGCGCGCTGTCTCCTTCACTGAACTTCTGAAGCTCGCACTCGAGGCTGTCGAGACGGATGAAGAGAGCTTCCCCAATTTTCTGGTCTCTGGGTACGCGCAGCTATTTGAACAATATCCAATCAAGCCTGTTGGTCCACACGCCCAAAGTCGCATCCCTATAGCCATAGACCTGGACACCGCTATTGACCATGAGTCTATTTCTGAATTCCACCGGATGCTTGCTAGAATTGAGGAAAAAGAGACTCTGCAGCGTCAACAGGAAGAATACGAGGAAGAATTGGTGTCTGAGATCAACCATTCATCCGATGACCATGGCGAGGACGAGCCACTTAAAGGTCGCCCAGATCGCTCCGACAGGATAGGCGATCCGTTCTATATCTCGATGGACACAAGCACGCCAGATGATGTTTCGAATTCAGAACCTGTTGTGGAGACTAAACGCAAGAAGCCTAGCAAAAAGAAGATCAAAAAGGAGAAAGTGCTTGTTCTGGGCGACGAAGACCCTGGCGAAGAGTCTGTTTCTGAGCCTCTATTCAAGCCGAAGAAAAAGAAGGAGAGAAGTAAGTTACTCATTGACTCTTCGACTCTGTCAGACTTCGACCTCACGAAATCACCGGATGAACCTGACCACACCGAGGAGGTCGAAATAATGCGGAAAGAGTTCGAGAAACTAGAGCAAAAACAGGAGCCGCCCGTGGTGGTTAAAAAGCCAAAGAAGCCAAAGAAGAAGAAGCTCGTGGTGATTGAGTAGAATGACTAATGCATAGTTATGAGATGTCTGTAGCTGGTTCCAGTTTTCTTTTTCTATCGGCGCCGTCGTCAAGATCTAGCACTGATTCAAGATCGCTGTTTAAAACGGATGAGTTGGGGTTCTTTTCTAGCAGTTCGTAAAATTGCGAGAGCTCGTGAGAATCCAAATCTCCTGTGTTTTGTGTTAATGGTTGAAGAATGTTTTGCAAATATGGCTTTTGGGACAGAACGGACTGCAAGATTTCCTGTTCCTGATTACCGGACATTTTTGATTGTGTTCCATTCAATCTTAGCGATTCGGCCCGCATCAAGAGCTGGACAAGCATAGCGTTTCGAAGCTCAAGATACTTGATCAGCCTGTTCGTTTGTGTTTCTTTGTTTTTGAGCTTCTGTGCATCGGAATGCACCTTGGCATATTTGGTGAGCAAGTCTTCGTACAGTTCGCTATAGTTAACGGCGGGGTCTTGAACGATAGGATTGTTAAGCTGAGCAATGTCCATTTAACAAAATACACAAATGATAAAAATTTCAAGTCGATCGACCAGACAAAAAAAAATTAATCAAAAAAAAATATTTTTTTAAAATATTTTCCCTTATTTTTTATGGTTTTAAAATCAACGACTGCCAACGACGTCTCGGTTTACCAGATCTCGGGAACTAACGTTGCCAGATCCCTTCCCGATTGGATTGCTCGTAAGCGCAAGCGGGCTTTGAAAAATGACATTGATTACCAGAATCGTGTGGAGCTGATTCAAGATTTTGAGTTCAGTGAAGCCTCTAACCGGATCAGAGTCACTCGCGATGGCCAATACGCGATGGCAACGGGAACTTACAAGCCACAAATTCACGTTTATGACTTTGCCAACCTTTCTCTCAAGTTTGAGCGCCACACGGATTGTGAGAATGTGGACTTTCTGCTTCTCAGTGACGACTGGACCAAGTCTGTGCATTTGCAAAATGATCGCTCTATCGAGTTTCAGGTGAAAGGAGGGATGCATTACAGAACCCGTGTTCCTAAATTTGGCCGCTCTTTGGCGTACAACGAGGTGAATTGTGATCTGTATGTGGGAGCTGCGGGAAACGAGATCTACAGACTCAACTTGGAACAAGGACGTTTCATGCAGCCTTTTGAGATAGACAGTGAGTCTGGTGTTAACATTCTCGATATAAACAATGTTCACGGCCTGGTCGGTGCCGGACTAGAGGACGGCACTGTGGAGTTTTGGGATCACAGGGCAAGACAGAGAGTGGTCAAGATGGAGATCATTGACGGTTCTGAAATGCCCTCTACCCAAGTTACAGCACTCAAATTCCGCAATGATGGGCTAAATATGGCCGTGGGTACCTCAAATGGAGTCTCATTGTTGTATGACCTCCGTCGATCGCAACCTTTAATGACCAAAGACCAAGGTTATGGATTCGCAATTAACAAGATAACCTGGTTGGATGATAGTTCCAGTGTGAGCAACAAAATTATGACCTCGGACAAAAAAATCGCTAAAATTTGGGACCGTCACAGCGGCGATCTGTTTGCTAGCATGGAACCAAGTGTTGATATAAATGATGTGGAGTACATTCCCGACTCCGGCATGTTTTTCATGGCTAATGAATCGATTCCTATGCATACTTATTACATTCCAGCTCTCGGACCAGCTCCTAAATGGTGTTCCTTCCTCGACAACATCACCGAGGAGCTGGAAGAGAAGCCTTCAGACACAGTTTACTCAAACTATAGATTCATCACCAAGCAAGACGTCGTTCGTCTTAATATCTCACATCTCATCGGCACAAAGGTTATGCGTGCGTATATGCATGGTTATTTCATTGACACCGAGCTGTACGACAAGGTGAACCTGATTGCTAATCCTAACGCAATTCAAGACCAACGTGAGCGTGAAATCAAGAAGCGTGTGGAGAAAGAAAGAGAATCTCGGATTCGGAGTACTGGAGCCATTTCTAACACCAAGATTAAGGTCAACAAGGACTATGCTACTAAGCTTGGACAGAAACTTGGTTCTGAAACTGCAGAGCAAGTCGTCAACGATGACCGTTTCAAGGAAATGTTTGAAGACCCAATGTTCCAGATTGATGAGGAGTCTCATGACTATAAGCAGCTCAATCCTGTCAAGGGAAGTAAGCCACTGACGGCAGCTGAGGAGTCAGACGAGGAGAAAATGAACCCAGGAGGAGATAGTGACAGTGAAAGTGAAAGTGAAAGCGACAGCGAAAGTGAGGACGAGGCTACTATCCAGAAACGCGAGGAGATCAGAAGAAAGCAGGACCAAAGATTGAGAGAGGAGTTGGAGAAAGAAGAATACCTCAAGAAAATGCAGACTGTCTCCATGAAACCTTTGGACGCTGCAGCTGAACTGACAGGAACAACAGACCACAAGAATTTATCGTTTGGCAAGCGACTGAAGGATGTTAATAGAGAAAGAGAACAAGAAAGAGAACAGAAGCAGCAAGTCAGGGTGCACAAAAATGTTCGTGGAGAGGCCGAGATAAGCTTTGTTCCACAGAAAAAGAAGAAGGTGCGGTCTGAAAGCAGCGAAGATAGAGGCAAAACGCGGCAGAATTACGAAGGAAGACGTCGTGCAAGTAAGAACGCTTTCAGGGGTATGTGAAAATAGTAAAATAAATTATGCTCCGTTATTAATTACGCTAAATTGTTAATTCTTTTTATCGAGATTGAGTCGTTGTTTTAGCTCGCACCAGTCCTGTATAAGGTTATTGTCAATAAGTTTCTTGAATATTTCCAAAAGTTTGACGTTCTCGTCGAGCATTTCTCTCTCTGCCACCAAGTTGTGCAACGAGCCTCCTTTGTGAACTAACGGAGTAAACCGTTGAGGAATTTGAACAGACAACCCCTGGATTTGTTTCACTTTATGATTAGGTAGTTGTCGAGGTCGTTGAGGACCCGATTCGTGAAGAAATCTGCATTTTGCTCCGTTTTTGCAATTGCGCGAGTTCTGCCAAAACCTACACACACGGCGGTTCCGTTGCTCGTTCGGTTTCGCCTGCGCCTGCTCCTTCTGCAGACTCTTCTTTTCTTGTACTCTTTTGTTTGTTGGCCAGTTTTTGCGTCGCTCTTCGATCCATTTTTGAATTTCTTCCTCTGAATTCAGAACTATATTTGTTCCTGGGATTGCTATGAGTTTTGACGATAGTTCCTTTTCATCTTCTGATTCTTCGCTCGAGCCTTCTGTGGTGGCGTTAATGTCTAACTCGTTTGGATTTTTCGTGATCTCGAGCTCGTTAGTGTTGGTCTCTGCCTGCTGGAGGCCGACTTCCGGGAAAAGATTCATGTTTTGTAGCTCAGATAAATCGCTATTCTCCAGTTTAGCCCGTTTTATGTCTCCGCCGTGCTCTTCGGCAGGCCTTTTCAGCTCGCTCATAAATCAAATAAATCAAAATTCGAGTAAATAATTTACTTATCAATGAAAAATCTCAGGGACCAGAAAATGGGCTTTACCAAATCTGTGCTGCAAGATCCTGATGTGCTTGAAAGGCGTCGGAACAGGTTTCTAAAGGACGAGTACCATAGCAGACTTTCAAAAAATGCAGAGTTCGGCCTGATCAGTCGAGGGGAGGACCTCCGGTTGCAGCAAAACGAATCTGCTCGAAGAGATCTCTTCACCAAAATTCAGCTCAACATCAAGAACAATGCCAAACCAGATTCAATCCTCATGGACTTTCGCAAACTGAGGGAAAGTCTTCTTTCTCAACCGCACACCGACTTTGCAAAAGACGTGTTTCTGAACTCGATCCAATATTCTGCCTCAATAGGCCATCATCAGTCGTACGTCCCCAGTATAATGCATCTAATGGAGGCCGAGAAAAAAAACCAACTCATGTCCAGCACTGAAAAAGAACTAGTGCTGTCGATTCTGGCATTACACAAGGCTCATTACAACGGACAATTCGAGTCCGTTTTTGAATTACTATTGCTGAACTTTGACATCGTGCCAAACTTTGGTAAGCTTGCTTCATGCGTTCCCGAGGCTGCCTTCTTTGCAACTTACGCTCTTATGACTAAAGATTTCTATCTCTGGACGCGCCAATATAACTTCTTGTCGAAGAATCCTTGCTACAAGTCTGTAATGGATTTGAGACTCAAAGCATTCAGACAGACGGAAGTTGACACGCTGCATCGATCGTATTTTATGCTAAATAAAAGAGTGTTACTGAACTTTGTGAATGCATCATGGGAGGAACTCTGCAAAGATCACAATATTGAGTGGATGCTGGAGAACGATACGGTTACTATCCGTCGCAGGAAATAGCTACCACGATTTGTATTATGTAAGCTGACACTCAAATAGATTAAATTTCTATACCCAATTTAGTGTTTCACAAGACATGTCTATGCCTACGCCTGCCACCAATCTAACGCCGTCGGGGCCTCTTCCGGGGACCAGTGGAGTGAGCACCCCCGTGGCAGACACCATAGCGATCCAGGACCTCGAGAACGGCAAATTGGACATCGATTCTACCATACTGGAAATACAAGAGCTCCGATCTCGCATAAGCGGTTTGCGATACGAAATGGCCCGCTATATAAGGCTTCTGGCCTCCATCGATGAGGACACCACGTCGTCAGTGTTTTATCAGGAGGTGGCGACGCAGATCAACTTACTCAAGAGCAATCTGGACTCATATCAAAATGCATACAAAAGACTAATTCCGGTGGTTAGATACGCCAAACTCAAGATGGGCGCCAATCCTGAGGATCAGATCAAGGTTGAACCGCATGAGGTGAAATTCGAAACCAAGTTCTTGAACGAACAATCTCTCAACAGAGTCGACTCCTCCAAAAATCCGCTGATCTCCTCGATAGAGATGGGTGGCCCGCCGTCTTCGGGAAGCGTAGGGTCGCCAGGAATGAAGAATAGCGCCGCTAAGCGGCCGCCTTCCAAGGCGAAGCCTGCAGCGAAAAAGAAATAGGCGACGATCGACGGGACTATCCACCTTTTTTCGCCCGGCTCAAAAAATTCCCCAATGACTGATTTTTTTCACCAGATAACAGTATGGCAACTGCTTTAAGAGAAGCTTTTATCAAGGCCAAATCTGAGAAGAGAACTGCTCTGGTGACCTTTGTCACTGCCGGCCACCCCACCATCGAGGAGACTGTTCCAATCTTGCAGAGTCTGCAGGCTGGCGGTGTGGATATCATTGAGCTTGGCATTCCATTTTCTGACCCAATGGCTGATGGACCAGTGATTCAGCACTCCAACACCGTTGCTCTGCGCAACGGTGTGACTGTGCGTATGGTGCTGGACATGGTGAAGAAGGCCAGAGCTGCTGGTGTGACTGTTCCATTGGTTCTCATGGGATACTACAACCCTATTCTGCAATACGGGGAGAAGGAGATGATAAGAGACTCTCGTTTGGCAGGGGCCAACGGATTTATTGTTGTTGACTTGCCACCAGAAGAGGCGTTGAAATTTAGAGGCTACTGCAAGGAAGAGGGCATGGCATATGTGCCATTGGTTGCTCCGTCTACCACTGACGAAAGACTCAAGTTGCTCGGCGACATTTCCGATTCCTTCATATACGTGGTTTCTCGTATGGGCACTACGGGTAACTCCATCTCTGTGAGCACCAGTGTTGGAATTTTGGTCGACCGCGTGCGCAAAATCACTGGAGGCAAGGCTCCGTTGGCTGTTGGGTTTGGTGTTTCTACCCGAGAGCACTTTCTTCAAGTTGGTTCATCTGCGGACGGTGTTGTGATAGGTTCGAAGCTGGTTTCTTTGCTGGACGATTCCCCGGAGGGCGAGAGGGCTGCTACTGCTGAAAAATATGTCAGGTCGATTTTGACCGGAGAGGGTGAAAATGTTGTTGGTGAGTCATTGTTTGAGGCGGAGCTCGATTTGAGCGCAGACGTTTCTTTTGACGAGAAGCATCTCCACAACCCAAGATTTGGCGAGTACGGAGGACAGTACGTGCCTGAGGTTTTGCAGGCATGTTTGAAAGAGCTGGAGGACGGCTTTGAGAGTGCCATTGCGGACCCAAAGTTCTGGGAGGAGTTCCGCTCGTTGTACGACTACATAGGCCGTCCATCGTCTCTACACCGTGCTGATAGACTGACTGAGCATGTGGGAGGCGCGCAAATCTGGCTGAAAAGAGAGGACTTGAACCATACCGGTTCGCACAAGATCAACAACGCGTTGGCACAAATCTTGATTGCCAGACGTCTAGGAAAGAGCGAGATCATTGCTGAGACTGGTGCAGGTCAGCACGGAGTTGCCACTGCTACCGCATGTGCCAAGTTCGGTCTCAAGTGTACCGTTTTCATGGGAGCAGAGGACGTCAGAAGACAAGCTCTGAACGTTTTCCGGATGCGAATTCTAGGAGCCAAGGTTGTTGCGGTTACTAACGGAACAAAGACGCTCAGAGATGCCACTACCGAGGCCTTTAGATACTGGGTCACCAACCTGTCGAACACGCACTACATTGTTGGCTCTGCGATCGGCCCACATCCATATCCAACTCTGGTGAGAACGTTCCAAAGTGTGATTGGTAACGAGACCAAGGAGCAATTTAGGAAGATGAATGACGGCAAGCTGCCAGATCTGGTTGTTGCCTGTGTTGGTGGAGGATCCAACTCCACCGGTATGTTTTCTCCGTTCGAGAAGGACACAAGCGTGAGGCTGCTTGGTGTGGAAGCAGGAGGTGAAGGGCTCAACACCGATAGACACTCTGCTACGTTGACTGCGGGAAAGCCTGGTGTTTTCCACGGAGTGAAGACATACGTTCTGCAGGACACTGATGGACAGGTCCACGACACTCACTCCGTCTCTGCCGGTTTGGATTATCCCGGTGTCGGCCCTGAGTTGTCTGCATGGAAGGATGCTGGCCGTGTTGAGTTCATTGCTGCCACCAATGCAGAGGCCTTAGAAGGATTCAGATTGCTGTCGCAGTACGAAGGTATCATACCTGCTTTGGAATCGTCACACGCCATTTACGGTGCTGTCCAGGCTGCCAAGAAAATGTCCAAAGACCAGCACGTGATTATCAACGTTTCCGGTAGGGGTGACAAGGATGTTCAGAGCGTTGCCGAGGTGCTTCCTAAGCTTGGTCCGCAGATCGGTTGGGATCTTAGATTCGAGTCGTTTGACGACGCTAGCAAATGATGTGTATTGCGCATGTACAAATGAGATTTTGAGATAAAGTGGACCGGAGACTGAAAGACCTGCTCGGCGGTTGCAGGGAGTGTAGCTCTCCAAAAGATGCTGACATAAAGAACACCTCAGTTATACTTGGTTATGGCCCATTTTTCCAGACCCAATCAGATGTAGTTTTGTGCTTTTTGAGGAGAACTGAGCGCACCGGTGGATTTATTTCCAAGCCTATCATTAGATACATAATTTAATATGAAAAAAATAAAAAAATTAAATACGCTACTATGTGGCCCGGAAAAAACGTCCATCTCACCTACGGCGTAGATGGGACGTGCACATTTGACCGAGCGAGCAACTCCTTTGACTTTCCTCGGGTGCGGGACACCAAATCAGAGCGATTACGGCCTCTCAAGTCCTCTTATCACTGTCTTGTTCCAGCGCAGCTAGACCAGAGATCGGCAGATATTGACACAGGCAGCATCAAAATGGCGTCCGAGATTGCAGAGCATACAGAAGATACGTACTTTGTGCCCAAATCGCTACTCAAGGCAGGCCACCAAGAGTCTTTGGCAGCACAAGATCGAAAAATCCATGATCCAACATTCGGAGATATGCTGGCTATTCTTCACTACGACGCGCATAAGGTGAGCGCAAGCCTCTTAATTAGCACTACAGGATCATATGGTAACATTTTGGCTGTCAGTATCCTGGACTCTGCTGGAATGCCGTCTACAACCAAGGCTATTCAATTTAATTCTCGAATAAAGCAGATATTCACCTTTCCGGAGACTCGCCACTTTGGAGTTCGCACAAATGTTAGCGTTAGCATATTTGAAGTTCATGTGGAAAGCAGATTTGGCGTCGGGGTGGCCCGGCTCGTGGAAATCCCGCAGAAAAGTCTTGCTGGTCAGGCTTTTGCAGACGCTTGTGTCTGTTCACATATGGAGGCATATATTGCGTTGATTGACGTGAAGGGGAATTTTGGGCTGTTCAAGCTGATCAAAAGAGATCTGGATCGCAGTTTCAATGACTACAAGCGGCTGTATCTGTCCACCATACACGATCCTGCAGAGCTGTCCAATTTCAAGAGAGTACGGTTTGCACAACAAAATGACCAGCTTTTGCTCATGTCTCGATCGTCGCTTCATGTGTGGTCGCCAGCACAACAAGTTTGCAAGGTGGTAGCAAACTACTGGTCGCGGCTTCTGGATTTATGTGTTCCAGCTGGCCAGCACGACCACTGCATTCTTTTGACCACCAGGGAGATTTCTTTAGTGCAGCTGTCCGGCTTCGAGCCGGCCTTGAGCTGGTCACATCACTTGGATGGACAAGACCTTTCACTGAAACTGATGGTGCAGAAATACAAGGACAGATTCGAATGCCATATAATCTCGCAGATCAATTCACTGGTACTGGTTGTGACATTTGGATTTTTAAGGGGCAAGGCTCGCATTTTCGGCGATTCCTATTTCTACGTCCCGCATCCGACCGAGCCTGTTCAGTCTATTGCGTTTTTAAACTATGGCACCAAGTTTGCATTCTTCCAGCTCACGCGCGATCTGGAGATCTCGAGGATGCAAATGGAGCGGTCGGAGCGGGACGTTGAAGTTCCAGATAAAAAGTTACCAAGAGAGCAGGAGAGAATTCCGGCGCTGCCTCAGTTGCACGACATTAAAGCCAATAACTGCGGAAACGAGGTTGAAAAGCTGCTGGAGCAATTTGCGGCAAACGAAAACGAAATGTTCTTCTCTCTGGGATCGATGGTTCCAACGGCCGGGCCTCTTCCTGGAAATCTCGAGTCTCTGATAGCACAGAACGAATTGATCGTCTATGACGCGTCAGAGCGTCTTTTTTCCGACGTCGGGCAAATACAGAGACTACACAGTCTTCCGGAAGGTTTGCTCCGGCCTCTCAGGCCGTTTGAGAACCGCGCATCCCGGCTGAAAAGTATACTCCAAAATAAGACAAGTCCGTGTTTGGACCGCATCAACACCAACCTCGGGCTCAGTCTGCTCACTGTGCACAAAAAGCACCAGGGCGACCGCGGAATCGAGGAAATTCGGTCACAGCTGCCGTTTGAGCTGGCCGCGTTGTTGGACCAGTGGAGACCGCACGAGCCACAGGGCACCAGCATCTTCAGCCACGCAGAGCCTCTGAGCCAGGTACCAGTGATCACCACGTCGCAGAAGAGCAAGAAAAAGCTCAAGGCTCGGCCCTCGAAGCTTGCAGGGTTCTCGCAGCAGTTTTCTCAAGCGCGCTCCCCAATGAGCTCACAGCTGGTCCCGTCATCCTCACAGATTAACACATCATCTCCTGCTAGCTTCCAGATCGCATCTCCGCCAAGCTCGCAACCGGAGCCGCCTGTATCGTCACACCCGCCCTCTTCGCTTCCGACGCAGAGCTCCTCGTCGCAAAAAAAGCGCAAGAAGCGCAAACTGGGTGGCTTTATGTAATTATTCGCTGCCCTGCGTATTTGTACTAATATTAATTTCTTCAAAAATATTCATCCCATGCTGTGGAATGTATTACTGGCCTCCTTTTTCTATGGCTGCTCCATTCTAGCCACAGAGTATGGAATCCTGGGCAACAACAGCGAGGACTTGAGTGGCTTGGCGGCAGACTACGCCAGTGCCAACAGCAGGTCGCTGTTATGGGGAGCGTATCGATCGAATCTGTATCTTGGAGTGAAGCCTCGGCTGCCCGAGTCTCTACTAACTGGCCTGATGTGGTTCAACGTGGATAGCTACCAGGGAGTTGGTGCACTGCGCCACGAATGTCGCCAGGACGACCAGTTGGACACTTTTGGATGGACCAGATACGACCCCCGATTAGGGGGCCACGAAATTGTCAAGGACGCTCAATTCGGCCTCAAACTCGAGGCAGACTTCGTCAAGACGGACGACGGCAACTGGGCCTTGCGTGTGTCTGGAAAACCAAAGAAAAAGGACGCCAAAACGTCGGTAGTTTTCTACGCTGGTCTCGAGGGAGAAGGAGAGCTGAGATATGCTGGCGCCGACGACGTGACCGACGGCGACGTGAAGCTGGTCGGGTACTCAGAGCGACTTGGCGGGGTGTTTGATCTGGACGTCACGAAGGGCTCGCCCAAACAGTATGTTGCGGAAGGTGACTATCGCGGTTTGGGACTCGATCCATCGAAAACCAGACATCTGTCTCTGATGGTCCCCACGGGCAACGTTTGGCGAGCGAAGGATATCTTTTTGACGCTTCTAGGCGAAAACATCAAGAAACTACAGGAGTACCTGGATAAGGAGGACAGGATTCCGCCTGAACAACTGTTCCAAATGAAGAATATGGACAATTTCGAGGGAAACATGCATTTTGTGCAGAAAACTTTCCAGGGCAGCTTTGAGTTTGACATTATTTTCAACTTGGCAGACAATGAGCCGCTGATGGCGGAACAGCTTCCTCAGAAAGTCGCAGAGATGAACGAGAAATTTGACTCTAAGTTTGCGCATAACTTCCAGCTGGCTCCACCATTTATCAAGCCCCAGCATTTCCAGTTTGCAAAAGAGATGCTCTCACAGCTTTTGGGCGGAATCAGCTACTTCTACGGAGACCAGCTGGTGGATCGCAACGCCGTGGTAGACGATCTTGAGTTCAGCCACGCCAACCTCGAAGGCAAATCGGAAGGCCCATACGAGTTGTTCAGTGCCGTCCCAAGCAGACCGTTTTTCCCCCGGGGTTTCTACTGGGACGAAGGTTTCCACCTGTTGCCGGTTCTGGAATACGACTCGGACCTGGCGCTCGAAATAGTCCAGAGCTGGTTTTCACTGATTGACGAGGATGGCTGGATTGCCAGAGAGCTAATTCTGGGCGACGAGGCCAGAAGCAAAGTGCCTCCAGAGTTTACCGTTCAGAATCCCAACATCGCGAACCCGCCGACCCTGATGCTTGTTTTCACCAAACTGCTGGACCTGGCCAAACAAGCCCAGGAGGCCGACAAATACGGCATGGACATCGGCTCGTATGCGGGTCCATTGCGGCTGGGTGATATGCACCTGAAAAATCCAGAGCTGCTTGTGAAGTACGCAAATAAAGTATATCCGCAGCTACAGAAACATTACGACTGGTTCCGCAGGACGCAGCGCGGGGAGACGAAACTCTTCGCCAGAACATGCCACTCTGCGCTCGACGTGTTTCGCTGGAAAGGCCGCACAAAGGACCACTGTCTGCCCAGCGGGATCGACGACTACCCAAGATCGCCGCCCGACATCGCAGAGCTGCATATTGACTTGCTGGCGTGGATGGGAGCGATGACGAGGTCGATATACAGAATCGCATACCTGCTGGAGAAACACGAAGACGCACAGCACTACAAAGAGATATACGACAACATTGTTGCCAACATGGACGATCTCCATTGGAGCAATAAGGACCAGAGCTACTGCGACGTGACAGTGGATGAAGAGGACGAGGACGTTTTTGAGTGCCATATAGGATATGTCAGCATCATGCCGTTTGTGCACCGGCTGATTCCGGCATCGTCAGAGCATTTGAAACCGATTCTGGACCAGCTACAGGACCCTGAGCAGCTGTGGTCGCGGTTCGGCATCAGATCGCTGTCCAAAAAAGATCCTTATTTCCATAAAGGCGAGGACTACTGGAGAGGCCACATTTGGGTCAACATCAACTATCTGGTGCTGGAGAGTCTGCAATACTATGCTGCGCAGCCAGAAACAGCTCCAGAGATCCGCGCTCAGATGAGCGATATATACGAGTCTCTGCGGAAGAACCTGGTCGAAAATATCTACGAACAGTACCGGAAAACAGGATACACGTGGGAGCAGTACAACGAGGAGACGGGGGCCGGACAGCGGACACGGCATTTCTCCGGCTGGACATCGCTGGTGGTGCTGATGATGAAGATGCCGGAGCGTATATAATAGAGAGGGCTCAGGAACCTCCCTTAGAAGTCACGTGCATGTATACAGGGGAGGAAATTTTTCGTGGGTAGCACTGGGGTGAATTTTTCAAAATTTTTACTTGGATAATTTAACAACTACAACATGGCTCCAAAAGGAAAGAAGGTCGCCCCAGCTCCTTTGTCGACCAAGGCTGCTAAGAGCACTGGTCCAAAGAACCCTTTGTTTGAGTCCACTCCAAGAAGCTTTGGTATTGGACAAAACATCCAACCAAAGAGAGCCTTGAACAGATTTGTCAAGTGGCCACAATACATCAGACTGCAGAGACAAAAGAAGGTGCTCTCGATGAGACTGAAGGTTCCTCCAGCTATTGCTCAGTTTGCTAACACTTTGGACAGAAACACTGCTGCCGAGGTTTTCAAGCTCCTGAACAAGTACAGACCAGAGACTGCTGCTGAGAAGAAAGAGAGACTCACCAAGGAGGCTGCTGCCATTGCTGAGGGCAAGAAGAAGGAAGATGTTTCATCCAAGCCATTTGTTGTCAAGTACGGTTTGAACCACGTTGTTTCTTTGATCGAGAACAAGAAGGCCAAATTGGTGTTGATTGCCAACGATGTCGATCCAATCGAGCTGGTTGTCTTCCTGCCAGCTCTGTGCAGAAAGATGGGTGTTCCATACGCTATCGTCAAGGGTAAGGCTAGATTGGGAACCCTTGTTCACCAGAAAACCAGTGCTGTTGCTGCCTTGGTCGACGTTAGACCAGAGGACGAGGCTGCTTTGGCCAAGCTCGTTTCCACCATCAACGCTAACTTCATCGAAAAGTACGAGGAGCAGAGAAGACACTGGGGTGGAGGTGTGATGGGTGCTAAGACCAATGCTAAGCTGGCCAAGAGAGCCAAGGCTGCTGCTGTTGCTGCTGCCAACGCCCCAAAGAGAGTCGAGGCATAAATAATGGAGAGTAACAAAGATTTCAGATAATACTGTGACTGTAGCAACCATAGCTAGATGTGCAAGAATTTGTTCTATTACACTCTGAATACCTGCTATTTTGATGACATATACACTTCTATCCCTTATTTCAACTTGTAGAACAACTTTGGAGCAACACAGTCGTTGATACAGTGCTGGAGGTGGAAAAATTCCTCCACACAATCTTCCTTGTATTCCTTTTCGTCGTATCCTGGCTCCTCCATCTCTTTGGTCACTCTTTCAACACACTCTTGGTAATGGTGAACATAATGTGCGCATTCTTTGGTTTCGGAACATTCTTTTCTAAGGGCATCCATTGGGTCGCCGGCCTCTTCATCATCGTCCTCGTCGTCCTCATCTTCGTCGTCCTCATCTTCTTCCTCTGCGTCGTCACCGTCTGCTTCCTCTTCTTGTGGTTCCTCGGGAGTCTCCTCTTCCACTTCTTCAACAGGCTCTTCGGCAGGCTCCTCTGCGTAAGCGGTGATTGGCGACAGGGCGTCTATGAAATTTCTAAGCAAGGACATTGCAAATCAACACGAGTGGATATTGTACAAAACTTTTTGACCTTTAAAGAAAACACTCTACACCGAAAAATTTCAATTTTTATGGTTTTCATTGGTGGATACTCGTTTGAGTCGATCGTCGCGTCGGGCCATAGTCCAACGACAAGAGGTATAAAAAAAACCAAAAATGAGACCGTAACCATGACCGGGTAACCTGTCATTTCCTATTCACGTTTCTGGAAAAATATCTCTCGCCATCCTCCGTCTGCCGTCGTGTTGCCCTCACCGGACGAAAAATTTTGAAAACCCTCTACTATTAAAACCGAAAAAAGACACCAATTGTAACCCCAATTCTATCATATCCGGAACCCAACTGCGGCAATAAGAATCCTGGTGAACCTCAAACGTTGAATATGTCTGCCTCCGAAGTCGAATCAGCCCAGCCAGTTACCGAGAAATCTCCATCGCCAGTCGAAGAGACTGATCCAAACAAGGTCTTTGTGGGTAACTTGCCATACGATACTACTGAAGATCAGTTGAAAGCATTGACTCCCGAACTAGAGGTTGTGTCAGTGGAGCTTCCAACCAGAACTGTCACCAAGAAAACAGACCAGACTACCGTCGAACTTCAGAAGGGCCACGGTTTCATCGTCTACAAGAGCTCTGAAGACGCTGCCAAGGCAATCGAGCTGATTGGTGGCAAGACGGTAGGAGAAAGAGAGGTGTACGCCAGAGCTGCTCTTCCTCCAAGCCTTGCGCCTAAGAGGGAGAGAAAGCCAAAGAAGACTGCGCAAAGGTCTGCGGCTTCGAGCGCTAGCGGCAAGATGAAGAAGAAGAGTAAGGCCAAGGCCAAGACTGAATCCAAACCATCTGGTTCCGAGTCTGACGCCAAGACGGATTCTAAAGAGGCCTCTCCTGCTGATCAGAGCGAGTCCACCTCTGCGGAGTCATCTGCGCCTGTGAAAAAAGCCAGAAAGCCAGTTTTGTCCAAGGAGGAGAAGCAGAAGAAGTTGTCGGAGGGTGTTCCTTCCAAGACCACGTTGTTCCTCGGAAACCTCGACAAGTCTGTTACCAGTAAGGATTTGAAGGAGTTGTTTGCTGAATACGAGCCAGTCTGGATCCGTGTCCCAAGAAGAGAGCTCCCAAAGAATCTGTACCTGAAGCTGAAGGCTAGAAACGTCCAAATCGACAACAAGGGTATCGCCTTTGTGAGATTCAAGTCCGAAGAGGACCAGCAAAAGGCACTTAAGGAGTTCGAAAACAAGGAGTACAAGAACAGAAAGCTCAACGTCACGGTTGCAATTGACTCTGCTGCGGAGGCTGCCGCTCAGGCGTCTTCAGAGGGCAAGGAAAATGAGTGAAAGCATTCAGCACGTTTAGACATCTCATTCATCGGACACCCGGTTATGTAGACTTGTGTCATTTTTGCTTTGTATATTTATATGTCTCTTTAATCACGTGCATTCCATAAGCAACTATCAGATGAGCTGTTGGTAGGAATGGCTGTGAATGGTGACTAATTTTGATGCCGCGTATGAACGGCTGTTGGCATTCAAAATTTTAACCGTATCTGTCAGATTACAAGAGCGTGCACATTATGTATAAAAAAATTGAGCTCTAAATTATTATACTACTGCTAGGTTTACTGTTTTCAATGAGTCTTGCGTTATCAAATAGCACTCTGTGCGACTCATATTGGGCAGTAGATGACTTTACTGCGTGTGGAAGGCAGCTGGTAGAGAGCTGGATATTAGTCCCGTTGGCGCTGTCTGCTTTGCTAGTGGCTTTCAATTTGCTGCGTAACCCCTTCGCTTCAGAAAAAACAGATCCTTACTCAAAACTAGACGCCGAACAACAACCACTCCTACAGAATGGTCACACGCTGTATACCTCTTCGATTGAATCCGACAACACCGATATTTTCCAGAGACATTTCGACATAGCTTTGCTCAAACCCGTCAAGGATGATGGTAAGCCCATTGGTGTCGTCCGCATCGTTTACCGCGACACCGTTGAGAAATTGAAGGTTGCCCTTGAAGAGGTCCTTCTCTTGATTCAAACTGTGCTTGCATTTCTCGCATTGTCCCGTCTTGAGGACACTTCAGAGCCCCGTTTCCCGCTTGTGAAATACATTAATTTTTCATTGTGGCTCTATCTGACGGTGATAACCTCTGCTAGACTTCTAAACGTTTCCAAAGGGTTTTCTGCCAACAGAGTGGATCTCTGGTACCATTGCGTGACTCTTTACAGCCTACAATGGTTTAATTCGGTCATGCTGTTCCGCTCAGCACTTTTACACCATGTGTCTGGCACGTATGGCTACTGGTTCTACGTTACGCAATTTGTCATTAATACTCTTCTGTGCCTCACGAACGGTCTTGAAAAATTGTCTGATAAGCCAGCAATTGTGTATGACGAAGAAGGTGTGATACCCTCCCCAGAGACCACCTCGTCCTTGATAGATATTATTACGTATGGCTATCTCGACAAGATGGTCTTTTCTTCATATTGGAAACCAATCACCATGGAACAAATCTGGGGGCTGCGTTACGACGATTACTCTCATGATGTGCTTATCAGATTCCACAAGCTGAAGAGCTCCATAAGATTCACCCTCCGTCTTTTCCTGCAATTCAAAAAAGAACTAGCGTTGCAAACGTTGTGCACCTGTATCGAGGCACTTTTGATTTTTGTGCCGTCTTTGTGTCTCGAGAAAATCTTGGAGTACATTGAGTCTCCGCATACCAAGTCCAGGAACATGGCATGGTTCTATGTGCTGATCATGTTTGGATCCGGAGTAATTGCGTGCTCGTTTTCGGGAAGAAGTTTGTTCCTAGGAAGAAGAATTTGCACGCGTATGCGGTCGATATTAATCGGCGAAATCTATTCCAAGGCCCTGAGAAGACGGCTCGGCTCGACGGGTAAAGAGAGCGCCACAGAAGACGAAGAGGATAAGCTGGCTAAGTCCAAGAAACAAGATGAGCCTTCGAACAAGGAACTGGGTGGCATCATCAACTTGATGGCCGTGGACGCCTTCAAAGTGTCAGAGATTGGTGGCTACCTTCATTATTTTCCTAACTCGTTCGTGATGGCTGCCGTTGCAATCTACCTGCTATACAAGCTTCTTGGCTGGACCTCCCTGATAGGAACTGCTACCCTAATAGCCATCTTGCCTATCAATTACATGCTGATGGAAAAACTCAACGAGTACCAGAAACAGATGCTTTTGGTGACCGACAAGCGGATACAGAAGACAAACGAGGCGTTCCAGAATATCAGGATCATCAAATACTTTGCCTGGGAAGACAAGTTTGCCGACGCCATCATGAAAATCAGAGAGGAGGAACTCGGCTATTTGGTTTGCAGATGTGTCGTTTGGGCTCTCCTGATTTTTCTTTGGCTCGTGGTGCCTACTATTGTCACCCTTATCACTTTCTATGTCTACACAGTGATACAGGGGAACCCTTTGACGTCGCCGATCGCGTTTACCGCGCTGTCGTTGTTCACGTTATTAAGGGGTCCTCTGGACGCACTGGCTGACATGCTGTCCATGGTTATGCAGTGCAAGGTTTCTCTGGATAGGGTGGAGGATTTTCTGAATGAGCCTGAGACTACAAAGTATCAGCAATTGTCTGCTCCAAGAGGACCAAACTCGCCCCTAATTGGTTTTGAAAATGCAACTTTCTACTGGAGCAAAAACAGCAAGGCTGAGTTTGCGCTCAAAGATCTCAATATTGACTTCAAGGTTGGCAAGCTGAATGTGGTGATTGGGCCGACTGGCTCGGGCAAAAGTTCGCTACTGCTCGCTCTTCTGGGAGAGATGGACCTTGACAAAGGTAAGGTTTTTCTCCCGGGTGCCATTCCACGAGACGACCTGACCCCGAACCCTGTGACCGGCCTGATGGAGTCCGTGGCCTATTGCTCGCAGACGGCATGGCTATTGAATGCCACAGTGAAGGAAAATATCATTTTTGCATCACCGTTCAACCAGGAAAGATACGACGCCGTGATCCATGCTTGTGGACTCACGAGAGACCTCAGCATTTTGGAGGCCGGCGACGAGACCGAGATCGGCGAAAAGGGTATCACATTGTCGGGAGGACAGAAACAACGTGTTTCGCTGGCCAGAGCGCTGTACTCTTCCGCCTCGTACCTTCTGCTGGACGACTGTTTGTCGGCTGTCGACTCTCACACGGCGGTGCACATCTACGAACACTGTATCAACGGAGAGTTGATGAAAGGCAGAACGTGCATTCTTGTGTCGCATAACGTCTCTCTGACAGTCAAGGAGGCCGATTTCGTGGTCATGATGGACAACGGTCGTATCAAGGCGCAAGGAAGCCTGGACGAACTGATGCAGGAGGGTCTGCTGAACGAAGATGTGGTGAAGAGCGTCCTGCAGTCGCGGTCGGCGTCGACTGCCAATTTGGCGGCGCTGGATGACAACTCGCAGATTTCCAGCGAGGCCATCGCGGAAGGGCTTGCCAAGAGAACTCAAAAACCGGAACAGAGCAAGAAATCAAAACTCATTGAGGACGAGACCAAGTCCGACGGCTCTGTCAAGCCCGAGATCTACTACGCTTACTTCAAGTATTTTGGCAACCCTACCATGTGGATAATGATAGCCATCCTGTTCATCGGTTCCCAGTCTGTCAACGTCTACCAGTCGTATTGGCTGAGACGCTGGTCGGCCATCGAAGACGAACGGGACGTTTCTGCATTTTCCAACTCCAATGGCATGACTCTGTTTCTCTTCCCTACGTTCCACAGCATCAACTGGCACAGGCCTCTCGTGTCCTATGCTTTGCAACCGTTCGAGCTGGCAGTGGAGGAGCACAGCACGATGTATTATCTTATCATCTATACTCTGATCGGCGTGGCATTCGGAACACTTGGATCGAGCCGTGTGATTCTGACATTCATAGGTGGTCTCAATGTGTCGAGAAAGATCTTCAAGGATTTGTTGGATAAGCTACTGCATGCAAAGCTGCGTTTCTTCGACCAGACTCCAATTGGCCGCATAATGAACAGGTTCTCCAAGGACATCGAGGCGATCGATCAGGAACTCGCACTTTACGCCGAAGAGTTTGTCACGTACTTGATTTCGTGTCTGTCGACGCTTCTTGTTGTTTGTGCCGTCACGCCGGCATTCTTGGTGGCCGGTGTGCTGATACTATTAGTGTATTACGGCGTGGGTGTTCTGTATCTGGAGCTTTCGAGAGACCTAAAACGGTTCGAGTCGATCACCAAGTCGCCTATCCATCAACACTTCTCCGAGACGCTTGTTGGCATGACCACAATCAGAGCATATGGAGACGAAAGACGGTTCCTGAAACAGAACTTTGAGAAGATCGACGTCAACAACCGTCCATTCTGGTACGTCTGGGTCAACAACAGGTGGCTGGCATACAGATCCGACATGATTGGCGCGTTCATCATCTTCTTCGCGGCAGCCTTTGCGGTGGCTTACTCAGATAAGATCGACGCTGGACTGGCTGGTATCTCGCTTTCCTTCTCCGTGTCTTTCAGATACACGGCCGTTTGGGTGGTCAGAATGTACGCCTACGTGGAGATGAGCATGAATTCTGTCGAGAGAGTGCAAGAGTACATTGAACAGACCCCTCAGGAGCCACCAAAATACCTGCCACAGGACCCTGTCAATTCGTGGCCGTCGAAAGGCGTAATCGACGTGCAAGACATATGCATCAGATACAGCCCGGAGCTGCCGCGCGTGATCGACAACGTGTCGTTCCACGTGAACGCCGGCGAGAAGATCGGAGTGGTTGGCCGCACGGGTGCTGGAAAATCCACCATCATCACGAGTTTCTTCCGGTTTGTGGACCTCGAAAGCGGCAGCATCAAAATTGACGGTCTTGACATCTCGAAAATCGGTCTCAAACAGCTGCGCAAGGGCCTCACCATTATTCCGCAGGACCCCACCCTATTTTCGGGCACGATCCGGTCGAACCTGGACATATTCGGCGAGTACGGCGATCTTCAGATGTTCGAAGCTCTTCGCCGTGTCAACCTCATTTCCGTCGACGACTTCCAGAGAATCGTCGACAGCAACGGTGCCGCCGTCGCGGACGAGACTGCACAGGCTCGCGGAGACAACGTGAACAAGTTCTTGGATTTGGACTCGACTGTCTCGGAGGGAGGCGGCAACCTGTCGCAGGGAGAGCGGCAGCTGCTCTGTCTTGCACGCTCGATCCTGAAAATGCCAAAGATCCTGATGCTGGACGAGGCCACAGCGTCGATCGACTACGAGTCGGACGCCAAAATCCAGGCCACCATCAGAGAGGAGTTTTCCAGCAGCACTGTTCTCACGATTGCGCACAGACTCAAGACCATCATCGACTACGACAAAATTCTACTGCTGGACCACGGCAAGGTAAAGGAGTACGACCATCCTTACAAGCTCATCACCAACAAAAAATCCGACTTCCGAAAAATGTGTCAGGATACGGGCGAGTTTGACGATCTGGTCAACCTCGCCAAGCAGGCATATAGGAAATAATTATCTCATTCTTGCTGTTTTTTTTCCCACTGTTTCACGACCAGACCGTCGCTCAGCGTGTCTTGGACTGGGTGAAGCGTATAACCGCCCCATTTTGGGGCCCACACAAAAATATAGGCCCAATAAAGTATACATAGTAACAGGATGCTGAGCGAAGTGTATGCGTAGTTGGGGAAGCCCTTGAAGTCTGCCTGTCTGAAGGGGTTGAGCGGAGCCACAAACAGAAACAGCGAGAGCGCAATTATGGGGGATGCGTGCACAACAAGCAGCCGGTTGCTCGTGTGGTAGCCAGGAACTCTATATTTTAGCACAAATATACCGGCCACTGTGAGTCCGACAAAGAGCTGCAGTGGATAGCTTTCAAGGTTGACGATGTAGTCGTAGACGTTGTCAGGGGTTGGGATGAGAAGGAAGAAGCACGAGATGACCAAGGGAAATAGCAGGGCCCGCAGAGGTGCTCCAAAAGGCCAGTTCGATGCGAAAAACCTGCTAAAGGGTAGAAACCCTTCGCGGAATATCTCCTGGTTCATTCTGGAGATGTGGAACATCACCGTGAGAATGTTTCCGGCGGACGAAATGGCCACCGTCATGGTGAGACACTGGCGGCCAAAGGTGTAGCCAAATAATTTTTCGTACAGGAGACTGCCCACCATTTCACCAGAGCCGTTCAGTTCCGCATCCGGGATCACAACCAGGTAGCTGAGATTGACCAGAAGGTACGAAAGGTTGACTATGAGGAGCGCAAGGGGTCCGGCTATCGACAAAGTTCGCACGGGGTCCTTAATTTCATTGGTGACAATGTGAGCGGTATGCCAGCCCCCGAACGAGAATATGGCCTTGAGCAGAGCGCTGATAAAGGAACTGGAGGAGAACGAGCGTTTCACGGCAAAGAATCCGTCCCAGTGGAGGTTATTTGAGACGCCTGTAATACTCGAAGGCAGCAAAAGCACGTAAAACCCCGTCAGCGACATGATTGCCAAAAGCACCAATTTCAGAGCTCCCGTGAAATTTGACATCCTGACGCCCAGATTTGTCGAAAACCCAATCACCACAGAAACCAGCACGACGTAGGCACAGCCAACATATTTCGGAGCCATTCCGTCCACTTTGTCCCAGCCAAGCGCATATAGCGTATACTCGCCAAATATAATTGCATTAGTAATGGTGAAGCCGAACGCAACAGAATACGTGTTGTATAGCACACTCATGAACATCCGTGGTTTGTAATAGATGTATTCCAGAAACACTTTCATCCCACCACTGCGCGGTATCACCCGTCCCAGCTCCAGGAAGCAGTACAGTCCAGCAAAGCTTACATAGCCAGCTATGACCCACACTAGAAAGAACAGCGCAGGCGAGCCCCCAACATCGCGGTAGATCAAAGCCGGCACGGCAAAGATGCCAGACCCAATTATACGTTGCAGGATCATCATGGTCATGGAATAAACGCCCAGATGACGGCCATGTGGCGTTTCTTCCATCTCCTGGAGATAATTCATCTCGTCTAGCATGTGCTGCTGAAAAATAAGCTCGGGAGCCAGCTGGTGTGTCAGTGGGTTTTCTTCATCTATAGAGTCGGCATTTCGTGTCTGGGTTTTGTCTAAAGGTCCCAACAATTGGTCATTTTCGCTGTCCATCTTAGCAGAGACTGTGGCATCAGAAGTGTTTTTTTTGAAAGATAAGCTCGGTGCCAGGTGTACCAAATTGGGAGCACTCAAGGGGGATACAGGAGAAACAAATATTTATCCCTTCATTCACTATGGGTTCTTTGTACACCTCAATTTCGTTCCGCAAGTTTTCTTATATTAGCGACCAGAACCAGTGGATTCACTTTCCGTACCGCTCGGACCTGTCACTCAATGTGGGACAGAAGAGTGGCAGCAAGAAGCCACAGGAGCCGGGCGACGACATGCTGATTAAAGTCATGTGGAAGGCAGAGGTATTGGAACGTCTCGTGTTTGACGAGCACCAAATGGTCAAAGCGTACGCAAAATTTCCGTCAATTGCACTGAAATACTATCCGAATGCAAGATATTGCAAGAAATTTCAACTGGGGTTTGCGTCGCATGACGAGTTCAACAAGTGCATCGAGGTGCTCGAATCTCATGGCATTCCGACTCACCAGCAAGAAAAAGCGCGTTTTCGGGGTAGCCAGATGCAGTCGCAGATACAATCGCAGATCGACTTCGGCAGCCAAGTGGCTTTCTCCCAAAGCTCGCAGGTGGAAAAAAAGGACAGGAAAAACGATGACTTTGTCAGGGGCGGGATGGTAAACAGCTGGTCGCAACCACTAAAACAGCAGAGCATGACAGAGTCCGCTAGTCAGATCCCTGAAATTTCTGCTGTCGAGCCCACTCCAAACCTCGATTTCCTGAATTCGGTCCACTACACCTCTTTCCAGGACGAGAACCTTACAAAGGACCCATTGCTGAATTTGAATAGCACAAGCGTGGATATGAGCGACCTTAGCACGTCGACGAAAGTGGCTTCTGTGGATTTTTGTGCGCTCAGTGAGAAAGAGCTGCGCAGCTACATCTGGGAAAAATTGAAAAACGAGGATTTTAAATATATGCTTTACAAGCTCGATCGGATCCTGAAAAAATAGTCCTATATTAATATTCCTAAAAGAAGAAGTCCGAGACCGGGGACAATCAGCTTGGAGCCGCCAGCTGTGGAACCAGCGAACACAGAGGAGCTGGAAAAGGATGACGAGCTAGACTTGCTGGAAGCTGCAGAAGATGAAGTTGCAAGGGTGGCTGAAGCGGAGGTTGTGGCCGACACCACCCTGAGATTAAACCGGTTGGATTCCTCATCCACCGCGACAGTTTTGGAAACTAAATCCTCCGTCAAATAAATCGTCGAATCACCGCCAGCAGAGAGAAGCGAGCTGTACCATGGGAAAACAGAAATGTACGTTTTGAATTCAGACATTGGGAAGTCGTTCACCAACATTGAGGTGACCGCAGCCTGGTCAGTACTTGCCTGCTCGACGTTCATATAGAATTGCACCAGAGACCCTGGAAAAGGTATCTTGGCAGAATTCATATATGAGGTATAATCGTCGAACCGGGAAGCGAAATCATTTAAAAACACCTGGAGCACGCCCGCATTCGCACTAAAAACCAACTTGCGGGCGTCCGCAGATGCAACAGTAGTGGTGATGGTGGCGGACAGACTAATACGCAGGAAGAAGCTCAGGCACACAAGCAGCAGCATTTACACTGAAGGCAGGGCTTACGACAAATATATACCGTGAAGTCTCCACAACAGAGTTTCTCTGGACATCACCAATTTTACCCTTTTAGGGCTTCAAAGGGATGGGGGTGATACAAATTGTTGCTGGGCTTTAATAATCAACAGACGCTTGTGGTGTTTCGGATTCTGCATGCCAACGCGTTCAATTTACCGCATCGGGACAATAAGCAGTTTTCTCTCTGCTGACATAATCAGGCATCGACTGGGCCTAGAGAAATATCAGATGCTTCCTATTGCGGAAAATTGAAAACACAATAATATTTGACTTTTAAAAAAGACGAATTCAGATTCCCATCTTTATCGCTAGTTCTTTTGGTCTTTGCTAGGATGCCAAACAACTTCAATGAAAACCCCTTTGAAGACTTCCCGGAGTCTCCAAAAAAGCCGGAAAGCGTTTATACCCCGATATCATCCCCGAGGAAGCGTAAGTTGCAACCCGAATTGACTAACCATCAAGAATCTCCGTCAAAGGCAGCTTTGAAATACTCGCCAGCAATTTCGTTCAAAAGGAGCGATTCCGAGCTATTTGGAAATAGCACGGCAAACAGGTTCATTATGGCAGCTGAGAAAACGGGAGCCACTCCGAGAGCAGCCTACACCACGAGCGAGTCTCCCACCAGATCCAAACCAGCTTTTGTGAGAACTAATTCCGATGATGATGACGACATATTTAGTGCTAAGAGTGATGAATTTACCAAGTCTTTGCGCAGTGACCGAACTCTAGAGTCCCCACGGCCGATTTTTTCTGCCTCTGCCTACACAGCCGCTAATGCCAGTCCGTTTAAATCGTCCGTTAGTAAGCTGGACGCATCCAGAGAATCTTCCCAGTCATCCCAGTCCACTTTGAGCATGGGAATGGCCCACCTTGCCAAGAATGATACCAATCCATCTCTTTTTGATCGTGATACTCTCGGATCCCAAACTATCGATGAAGAATACAATTTCACCACCAGTCTTGATGGGAAGCTTTTTGACGAGCTTCCAAAGGACTTTCAGCCAAGAAGAAACAACTACAGAACCACTCAAAAGACGTTCAAGTCGAAAAATGGTAATCTGGTGCTCGATAACCCAATTCCGTCCACACTTTACAACTTCCTGCCGATCAAAGGAGAAGATGAGTTCGACTACATGAAGTATTCAGCGGTTACTACAGGTCCAGACGAGTTTGCTGAGGAAGGCTTCAGTTTGAGAACATGCGACATGGGAAGAGAGACAGAGATCGTTGTTTGCATTACAATGTATAACGAAGACGAGGTTTCTTTGACAAGAACTTTGCACGCAGTGTTCCGAAACATTGCCTATCTTTCCAGAAGACAGAATAGTAGAACCTGGGGTAAGGAATCCTGGAAGAAAGTCGTTGTCATGATTGTTGCCGATGGACGAAACAAGATCTCTCCCGGCGTTTTGCAAGTTCTCTCTGCAATTGGTATCTACCAAGAAGGAATTGCCAAATCTCTTGTCAACCAGAAAGAGGTCCAGGCCCATCTATTTGAGTACACTGCTCAATTGTCAATTGATGAGGATCTGAAGTTCAGTGGTATCGAGAAAGGCATTTGCCCTGTGCAATTGGTTTTCTGTTTGAAAGAAAAAAATGCCAAAAAGATTAACTCCCATAGATGGCTGTTCAACGCAATTTGTCCTCTTTTGGAGCCCAAAGTGTGTGTTCTTCTTGATGTTGGTACCCGCCCTTGTGACAGCGCTGTTTATAACCTTTGGAAGGCGTTTGACTACGATTCCAACGTCGCTGGTGCAGCTGGAGAAATTGTTGCCATGAAAGGTAAATTGTGGAAAAAACTGGCCAATCCGTTGGTTGCTTCGCAGAACTTTGAGTACAAAATGTCAAACATTCTCGACAAACCATGCGAGTCCGTGTTTGGCTACATCTCCGTCTTGCCAGGTGCACTGTCCGCCTACAGATATGCCGCCTTGAAGAATCATGAAGACGGCACTGGCCCGCTAAATGCCTACTTCAAGGGAGAGAACACCGATGGCGCTCCTGACGCTGGAATATTCTCTGCCAACATGTATCTTGCAGAGGACAGAATTCTTGCGTGGGAGCTTGTTGCCAAAAAGGACGCCAAATGGGTCCTCAAGTATGTGAAGAGTGCTCAGGGAGAAACAGATGTTCCTGAGGCGCTCTCTGAATTCATCTCGCAAAGAAGAAGATGGCTGAACGGTGCATTCTTTGCTGCCGTGTATTCGCAAGCTAAATTCTTTCAAATTTGGAAAACCGACCACTCGACTTTGAGAAAGCTTTTCTTGCATATTGAATTCGTCTACCAGTTCTTGACATTATTGTTCACATTCTTCTCGATCTCCAACTTCTATCTGACCTTTTATTATCTTGCTGGCTCTCTCATCGATCTTGCAGGTACTGGTGGAAAGGTGCTGTTTGAAATCATGAATTATCTGTGTTTATGCACCCTACTGGGCATGTTAGTGATCTCCATGGGCAACAGACCGCAGGGAGCTCCAAAACTGTTTTTGATAGCAGTCATCCTGCTCACCATTTGCGGCACGTACGCGATCATTTCCGGATTCTACTTCATGGTGCTCATGGTGAAAGAAAACAAGGCTGGAAGCGCAGGGGGTCTCAGCTTTGCCTCCATTTGCGTCAGTTTGGCGTCCACGTACGGTCTGTACGTGCTCATGTCGATTCTTTATTTGGACCCATGGCACATTATCTCGTCGTCCATCCAGTACTTCTTCCTGCTGCCGGCCTACACCTGTCTGCTGCAGATCTACGCTTTCTGCAACACACACGATGTCACGTGGGGTACGAAGGGAGAAAACCAGCCTGTTTCGAGTTTGGGATCTGCCACAATTGTCACCAATGAGGAGGGCCAAGAGGTGATCAAGCTGGAGATTGTGGGCGACCAGAGAGACATCGACTCGATGTACACAGAGAATCTGTACCAGCTTAAGGAGAGAAGAAAGACCCCTGTTAAGATGAGAGACGGTGGAGCTGTGAAACCACAAATCAGTTCCGAGGACTACTATAGAGACGTGCGTTCGCGAGTGGTTCTCCTGTGGACAATTGCCAACGTAGTTTTGGTGATGACCATCACGCAGATTTACCAGCCAGACTCAATCAAAAACAACAAGTACCTGGCAGTGATCCTATGGAGCGTTTTTGGATTTGCACTCTTCCGTTTTGTGGGCTCGTTTTCGTTCTTGGTTCATCTTCTACTGCGCAAGATTGTCATTGCCAAGAACAAATGGGACATAAAAAGAAGCTCTCGAGACGAGAAGAATGAGATGGTGATGCTATAAAGCGAGGTGAAAAACAGATAGAATATATCGTCATTGAATATTATGTGGTTGCATACTTCATGTTGAGAACTTTCTCCTTTAGCTTAGTGAGGTCGTCGTCGTCCCTAAACGAGGAAGACCTTTTTCTGTCTGTGCTGTTGAGCACGTCGACGCTTTCAAGGTTACTCTCAAGATTGCTAAACTGCTCAAGGGTATCTGTAGGGGCAATATCCATCTGCTCTGTTTCGAGGAGCTGCTCGTTGAGCTCGAACTTGAAGTCGTTCAGCATCAACGACTCCGGCTTGACGAAATCGTAGTGGCTCTTGGACTTCTCGACAACCGATTTCGACCGGCTGCGGCCCTCATGACGCAGCTTTCTCAGCCCGTTGTTGAGATTGCCCGTGACCGACTGGCTAAACGTCTCATAGAGAGCACTACGCTCCTTTTTAGCGAGCAGGTCGTCTTTCTGCAGAGGAGCTGACGCTGACGGGAACAGACAGGACGGAGCATCGGCAGAGCTAACAGACAGTCTGTTGGAGGAGATGGAAGAAGCCCTAGACACAGACGAGAAGACGCTGGAGGACGGCGACGGCGGCGAGCCCGACGTGGTGCGCTTGGCACGCTTGGAAGACCTGTCGATGTCAGGGTCCGTTGACGGAGCAAACGAATGATACTCAGAGGGCGTTTCGAAGGCAGAGAGATCAAAGAGGTCTGCGTCCTTGCGTCTGAACAGCGAGGAAGGTGCAAGGTAGTAGTTGAAAGAGTATAGGTCGTCGGAGCCTGTAGAGTTGGTGATGTGTTTGACAAGCTGGATAATTGCTGGGTCACAGTGTATCTCAGACACCAGTTGCGAGTATAGTGTACAAAGCGAGGTGTACTCGGCGGGGCGGTTGTCGAGCTTGGCCACGTTGACGAGGGCCAGCAGAGTGGTGAGGTGGAAGTTGAAGCTGTTGAGGGCGAGTTTTTCGAGGTCGTTTTCCACTAGCTCGCCGGCGAGCTGCACCACCTCGTTGCACAACGTAACAAGATCGGGACTCTCTGTTCTCAGATAAACGTGGAGCTTGAAGTAGTTGTAATAAGTTTTCAGCTTGTTGACGGCGAGCGTATTCTCCTTGGTGGCCATTTGGTCGAGCGTGTTCCAGGCTTCAAGTTGAGCGTCAAACTGGAGAAGTTCCTGCTCGCCCAGCTCCATAAAATTGTGCGGCACCAGATCCAGCAGGTCGACGAATTTTATGGTGATATCCAGGTCCTTGGCCGCCAAACGCACGGTTTCCAGAGACTGCGGCTGGTGGTCGAACAGATCGAGCTTGAAGTTGAAGTAGACCTCGAAAAGCCGGGTCAAAGAGTGCAGACTCCAGTAAAGTTTGAGTCTGTGGATTTTCTGTGTCTCTGCCAGCTCTGGCGTGAAGCAAACGTGCTCGACGTCTTTGTTGAGCGTGAGCACGCGGCACAGTGAGATGCACACGTTGAGAGTGTCTCTGAGGAAAGAGACAGGCGGGCGCTCATCTTTTTTTATGTGGTAGTTTTCGAATTTGAGCAGGTAGTAGAGCATCAGCAGGGCCACCTCGAACTTGTCTAGCGAAGGGTCCATAACAAAGCTGATATTGCGGAACAGGAACGCGAGGTTCTTCGTGTTGATCAGCTTGATGGCCTCCTCGAACTGGTTGAGCGACTGCTTGTTGAGAATCGACGACTGGGCCACGGTGCGAGGCGTGGGCAGGGCGAACTTGAGCACCAGGATAAGCTTCACGAGAAAGTCCTGTTCTTTTGGCAAAAATTCGTGGTATTTCTTCTTCTTGTCGCCGTTCTCAATGTACGTGGAGCTTTCGGGAGTGTACTTGTTGATAAAGGAGAGGTAGTCATTGTAGAAAAGCTCAAAGTCGAGCACCGGAATAAGTTTGTTGAGGTCGTTGAAAAAAAGCCAGATGAGGTGGTCGAGACTGCGCTCGGCCTTGTCTGCCAGCAGCGGGAAAATTAGCTTGTACAGCACGAGGTTCAAATACCGGTTGAGATTCATGTGGTAGTTGGCCAACATTTTGGATTCCGAGTCGGAAACCGCGGAGGGCTGTTTTTCATACCCATTGAAAATGTTGAGCTGGAGCTGGTCGATGTACTTCTGCAGCGGCGAGACAAGGTTCTGGTCTATGACAAGAGCGCCGGAGGCATCAACCAGCAAGGGGGTCTCTGGCCGGGATGCCCGGCAGGGGTGCATATTTGCGGTGAGCTGTTCGTCCCCGCTTTTTTTCTTGAGTTCGCGCAATTCGAGCATCAGCTTATTTCTGTCAAGCTCGACTTCCAACAGCTTCTTTTCCAGGTTTTTGGTGTAGCCTTTAGGGAAACTGTTTCTGGTGAGCTTGTCGCTGACAACGCACTGGAAGCCGTCACGCTCGCAGTTGGTGCAGCGAGGGGAGTCTTCGGATTTGCCCGAGCACTTAATTTTGCGGCTGCGGCATCTGTCGCAGGCCTGGGAGATTCTTGTTCTGCCGTTGACTGGGTTCTTGATGATGTTCCAGGGATTCTTCCGATCGCAAGACATGGAGAAAATGCGTACTGGCGCAGCAGGAGCCGTGTCAGCTTTTATAATTTGACATGGACGTTTTCAAATGCGTCATCTGCACCCCCGCCGATCGTAGGTAAAATTCTGGGGAAACAATAGATTGGGGAATCCGGTGTGCGTGACCAATTAGCGGTGCAGAAAAAGAAAGCTCGAATAATATACGGAATTCGAGTAGTGTTTCCCCACTACACGTCACCCCCTCGCAAACAATAGAAATGCGTGTGGAATAAATAGAGAAACGGACGCGGGTCAGACTAAATTTACATAGATTAGCAGCGCACAAATGGTACACCCCGACGGGGACGCCTCACAATCCACTATGGGGGCTTGGGGGTGCCCCGCAGACGTCATAGTCACCACCCAACAAGCTTCTGCGCGGTTCTAACCAAGGGGTCGATGGCACTCAGAATGACCATCAGCGTTCCGAAAAAGGTAAACGACAATGCGCTCATCGCTCCTGCTGGCGGGTCTTCCACGGTGAGGTAGTACGTCGACACGGCTCCACAATTCAAACCAAACGACACACCGCGACTCACAAAGTCGTGCTTGCGCACACGGAACATTTTGAACACTATAAAGTCGCCCACCAGCACTCCCAATATTCCGCTGATGATCGTGGTCACCGCCATGAGCTGCGTGGATCCTTCCAAAGCAGTCACCAGTGGTATGCCGAGAGCCATCGTCACCGACCGGCCCGTAAAACCCAGCGACCGGGCCGGAGAGATGCCCAACCGATAGCACACAGGGGGGTATATGAAAAATGACATAAATGCGCACAAGATGATTGGAGGGAGGACCGAGGCAAAATGCCGCTTCAAATCGCCTCGATATTTGTACATCGACAGAGAAAGGGACACAATGGAGATGTCCATCAGCGAAAGCAGAAAGTCGCCTGCTCCCGGCCAATCTGGGTACGTCTTACTGTCAAAGAGCGTCAAGTAGGTCCGTCCCGTTTTGTAATGCCTTATGCAAGTAAAGTAATTTTGGCCTTTGATCAGCGAAAGAATGTAATACACCAGCAAACAAAGAGCAAAACTGATCAAGATCGGATGCAGGAAGCGGCGAAGCTTGGCCGGGATGAACAAGCACGCCCGGAATAGCAACACTGCAGTAGCTAGCTGCACAGGCATCTCGTAGCCCGTGACAAAGTAGACGGGGATGCCAGCAATGAATAGAAGACCGTAGATGAAGAAGTCGATCCATTCAAGCACAAAGTCCCGCACTTTGTCCTCCCACGGAGTCTCTTTCGTTGTAGAAGTCGAAGACTGCTTGCTAGCATTGTCGTTCACCTCATCCTGTTGGTTCGACTCTGGGATTTGGCTCTCCTCGTCCTTTTCGTCCTGTTTCACGTGAAGCTTGTACGTGCCAAGTAAAAGTTGCAACCCCCACGTAAAATAGGCCATGAACCCAAACGTGAAAATGTAACCCACAATATACACCGCCATGATGGTGAAAGCCTCCGCCACGCTCACCTTATCTGACAGAACAAGCGTCACAAAGGGAGGCGTGAAGTATAAATTCATCCATCGAAGCGCGAATCCACACGGAATATCCACCAATTTTAAAAACACATCAGTGCGATGCTCGCCAAAAAGCCACGAGTTCAGACTCAGCCCTCCATACATAAGCAGCATCAAGCACACCGATGCTGGGAAATTAATCGTCGTCTTTTTGATTATCTCGTTGATGCCATACAAAAGCAGCATCATCAGCAGCGTCCCGATGGGCACAAGCACATATTTGTGCCACAGGTGGACCAGCAGCGGCCTTCCCGCAGCCTTCAATCCATTCAGCGTTTCCTCAAACATTCAGTGTCATGGGAAGGAGCTCGTCAAGGTGTTTTATACGATCTCTAGAGTGTATTAGTTATCAGAGATGCGGGATAGCGCGGGATGCATAATCGGCATGATGGCCAGGGGCTGTAGCACCCGGAGAAATTTCCACCTTTTTGCGTGTATCCCGCATTCTTGCTTGGCCTCCAGCGCATGGCGCACGGGAGCCACAGACAACCACAGGCCGGGTAACAGGACTCTTGAGATCTTGAAAACGCTAAAACAGTATAAAGACGTTACGTAAGCACCCACACTTTTGCTCCGTACTGCACCTTGTTGGAAAAAACGCGTTTTCATTTGGCAGGTGAAATTTATGGGCTCTTTCAATAAGAATTACCGGTACTTCAAGACCCGCGCGCTCGCGTACTACTATCGGTATCCCGCACGGGTGCTGTTGCTGGCCGTCGGCGTCGTGTCGCTTTTCCTTTTCTTGTTCACCTCCACTTCTCCTCAGATCCAACAAAAGATCATTTCCTCTAATTACACCTCATGGCTGAACAATTTATCGCAAAGTAAAAAAACCGCTGCGAATGTGGATCCACAGCAGGAGCTGTTAGATCGCGAGCTCGCCAAGACCAACAAGTTTAGAGAGATATTCAAGCTCATCGAGCAAAACAAGCCGCCTGTCAAGCTGGACCCTTTTGAGTATGACGAATCTGGCCATGACCAGGAGACCGTCCCCACTTCTAAGAGACTTTCTGCGATTGGTCGCTTTTCGCACGAGTTTGTGTCGGGTGTGAAGAATGCACACCACAACTTTGTCAAGCTTCTGCCAGAGTACGACGAGGTGATGCGGTACAGGGGTAACGGTGTGATCATTCTCGGCGGCGGCGATCTTTCGTGGCTGGCGCTGCTGTGCACGAGAATGTTTAGACGGATGGGCGGATCCTTGCCTGTTGAGATGATGCTGCCGCGGATGTCTGACTATTTGCAAGACCGCGAGATCTGTGACATTTATCTTCCACAGTTGAACGCAAAGTGCGTGGTGATGACCGAACAACTGGGCATCAAGACGGCCGAGGAGGAAGAACTGTTTTTCACAGATTTCAACATCAACTCCAACATGTATAGGTCGCTGGCCCTGCTGACGTCCAACTACCAGAACGTGCTACTCCTGGAAAGCGAAACGCTGCTCATCAAGTCTCTGGACGAGTCCATTTTCACCTCTGAGCCATTCAACTCACACGGTCTGGTTCTATGGCCAGACTTCTGGAAAAGAAAAACGTCTCCTTTCTGGTATCTTGCGGCCGGTCTCTCAGTGGACAACACGCTGGTTCGGGACTCTGTGATCGAGCTGCCAGAATCAAAATATGTCACCTCGTCCAAAGCAGAGAGCGTTTTCCCACTGCACGACCGTCGCGGAGCCATTCCCGACGTCTCCAATGACAGCGGCGAGCTGATGATTAACAAAAAAGCCCATTGGAAAACCATGCTGCTTGCTCTGTACTATAATCTGTACGGTGAGGGCTATTTTTACCCGCTCCTTGTCCAGGCAAGCTCATCAGGAGAAAAAGAGACGTTTGCCGCTGCTGCCACCGCGCTCAAAATGCCATACTATCAAACAAGAACAGCCACGGAAGCCAACGGTTTTTGGTATAACGGCGAGTTCCGCGGCGTGGGAATGCTCCAGTTCGACCCAACTGTGGACTTTTATTCGCTTAACTCTTTCAAAGAGAAATACGAAACAAACCCGGACAAGATCACCGACCAGGAGTTCAAAAAGTACCTCAACGACGCCTCAGAAAGAAAATCTGCTCTCTTCTTCAAAGTCAACTATCCAAGACTGCTGCCAATCGAGCTTATCAACGACGGCTTTATTGTCAAGGAGAACGGCGACAGGATCCGCATGTTTGGCGAGAACGACAACTTTGGCAACGACCTCGAGGCCACTCTATGGAGAATCATGGTGGACTATATTTGTTACTCGGAAGTGCGCTGCTCCTACCTGGACAAGCACTTCCCGCACGACCGCAAGTCGAAAGAGGCTATCAACAAGTACTGCACAGACAACTTGAAACCGCATCTGTTGTGGCTTGCCGGCAACCACTAAGCCTAGTGCGGCCCGAGAGCGCTTTGCGGTGCACGGGTTTTCTGTCAAGACAAAAAGAAACTGCCGCTTTCGTTTTTTTTTTTGGTCTTCAAAAAAAAAAAATTGCTCTCCGTCAAATCCAACGGCGCCAAGGCTGTGCAGCGTCCGTGATATATCGGACCAAAAGGTCCTTCCTTTACCGAACAACAACACTATCGTCAACGCCATCACCAGAGCACGCGCTGCCTGTTGTTGCCAGGCATGTAGACCGCAGGGTGTCCTTTCAAGAAGTGCGGTAACCAATAGCTACTCATTGTATAACCGCAACCTTGCATATAATTAGGGCTCGACCCCCTCGAAAAATCTTTCCCCTTCTTATGACTACATTGGAACTCAATTCCGCCCAAGAGCTTATTTTCGGCGGTATTCCTGAGTCTGCCAATACCCCTAACGAGTTCTTCTTGGCTCAGCAGCAGAAGCTGGACCAGCTCGATGCTCTTTCCCCTCTGCCGTATGAACTGCTGGACAAAATAATTGGATATGTTTATTATAACGACACCGACAAAATTTACTCTTTGAATGCTAACACCAAGGACTTTTGCCGGTCGATCAGTTTGGTGAACAGTGCCTTCTATCTGCTCAGTCTCAAATATGTGTTCAGATACGCAAACTTTACCAGATCCATTTTTTTTGACCGATTTCTCAGAAATTTGCAAAAGAACAATATTCTCGGAAGCTATGTAAAATTTCTGGATTTCTCGGAGTTCACCTCAGTTGGACTGGGGAGAACAGGTCAGATGATGCAAGAGATCCAAATGGTAACACACAAAACCATTCTCCAGTGTCTGGAGCTGACTCCGAACCTCACAGAGTTTCTTGCCAGTGAGAGCATTGAGGGCGATATCGATGGCATGGTAGTTGATCACCTTTTCAACAAACTACCAAAACTGGAAGCTGTGGATTTCTGCGGCTCTAGTGGTATCGGCTTTTCTCAAAGCTTTGCGAACCTGCACATATTCCCCAACTCCAACGTCAAAAACCTCTCCTTCCACGAATGTACAGACCTCACGAACGAAGCATTTACCAGCATTTTACGCAACCTCACTGCATTGGAGCGGCTAGATCTCAGCCACACGCAAGTCACCATCCAGACCCTCAACGAGAGTCTCCAGGAGTCCGCACGGCTCACCCATTTATCGATTGCACGTTGCTCCCGTCTTGGAGCCGCTCGACACCTGATCGAGTTTCTCACCAAACATCCAGCAGTCAACAACGACTCTCTGCTCTGGCTCAACTTGCAGGTCGACACAAACATTGCATCTCCGTTTAACACCAACACACTGACGTTTTTGCTTGGAAATATGAACGCTTCAAATCTCCGTTACCTTAATTTGGCCGGCGTCGACGTCGAGCCCAAACATTTAATGCTCATTGCCGAGAGATTTCCCGCGCTTGAAAGTCTCGTGATCGCTCATTCGCAACTCTCTATCGATGATTTACTACTAGTTCTGTCAAGCTTGCACAACCTCAAATTTATTGATCTCACAGGAAACAAAAATATCACCAGATGGTCTTTGGACAATAACCAGCTGCTGACATGCTGCCCAACATTACAAGCGATTGAGGTGGACTACAAAGTAGTTGACTTGCTTGACGATACCACCGGTAAGCTCAGAGTTTACAACAACGGTGCTCTTGAGATCTGGAAAACCTACAATGATAACGGAAAAGGCAGACGAGCTTGGGTATTCAAGCTCAATGAGCTGCAGCTTAAGAAAGAGCTGAATGGCCAATCTTTGAACTTCAATAATAACCTGGTGTATTTTGACATCAACACAGGTAGAAAGATTATGCAAAAGATTGAGCGTCCGGCTTTTTTGAAATACGCTTCGAGGAAAATCAACTGCTCCAAGGGTCTGTTTCAAAACGATGAGTTGGCATTTCCAGGCGAGTTCACCGAACGTGGCATATATAAGTACTATTCTTTGAATAAGTAATGTAATAAATAATAGGATTCACAGCCTTGTAGACCAAAATATTTTTTTTCAAAAAATTTAGATATATTGTATCATGTCTAGAAGGCCTCAGTTTTCTCGTCATGATCTCGACAGCGAGGACGAAGATGCATACTCGAGCGAAGTCTCTAATGACTCTTTGTCATCGCTGTCGTTTGGAGCTCTGTCTGCTGCGCAGAAGAAACTAGATGAAGAAGATAGGAACTCGGAAGCAGAATCAGACTCGGATGGCGGGTTTTTTGAAGAGCCAAGCAAAAAGAACCACCCTCAGAAAAAGAAGAAAAACAAACATGCTCCTAGCGAGACGTCTGCAAAAAAGCCGGTTCCGAAGGTGCGAGAAATCCCCGGGTTGCTTGATGGCACAAAGTACGCAAAGACAAAATATCATGACATACGATTCGATTCTGCATTTGGAAAAGTAAACGAGAGCGAGGTTCGGCGAAATTACAAGTTTTTGGATGAGTATCGACAAAAGGAGCTGGAGCAAGTTCAGAGTGTTTTGAAAGATCCGAAAAAGCGCAACAAACTGAGCGAAAAAGAGTTGCAGGATCTTGATTACATCGCAAAGAGCACCAAGTCACGTTTAGATGCTCTCAAGAACAAAGATCTGGAGCGTGAGGTGATCAAAGACTACAAAAAGAAGACAGGAAAGGAATTTGTGAAGCGCAGCGACAAACGGAAGCTGGTTCAGGTTGCAAGATTCCAGAACATGAAGAGCAAGCAGCGCGAGAAGGTGATGGAGAGAAAGCGTAAACGGAGGCTTGGAAAGGAGATGCGGCAGTTCGAACAAAACTACGGTGACGCAAGAAGATAAATATTCCTTAGATGTATTTAATTTTTATTAGTGTTCCAAGATGGTCAAATTGCCGGTGACGACAACGTTTTCCAGAATGGAGCCGTTAGGAATGTCGATTCTTTGACCATCCGAACAGACAATGATCACAGTACCCTTAAGCTGGATACCTCTGCCGAAGTAAACGTTACCAGTGACAGTCAAATGGTCGAGTTCAAGAATTCTTGGCATGTGAGGGATACGTTGCTGGAAGTTGGAGACTTTCTTGAAGTGCGATCCCAGCTTGATCAGCGGAGCACCGCCAAACCTAGCACTATCGAGTTTCAAAGCACCGTGTTGCAAGTTGAACAAATCACTCTTGACAAGCATCAGGTCGGAACAGGTCTTGACTGGCAAGAACCTGGACCTTGGAACAACCACACCATGAGCACCTTTAAAGTGTCTGATGGCAGCACCAACAGCGGTTTCTAATTGCAGCACCTGCATCTCAGAGTTTCCGACGCTGATAGACTTGCTGTTTGGAATGATCTCCATTTCGAGGGCGTTGGCTTCCACCAGACGCTTGATAGCACGCAAGTTGATCCACAGGTTGTTGGTATTGAAGTTGGTGAACTTCTTGATGGACTTGAAGTCCTCGACATGGTCTTTAGGAACCTGAGCAATCTCGAGCAATCTGACCTGGCCATTGTAATTGATCAGAGTACCACCCTTAACGTCGGCTCTAGTTTTGTCTGTCAGCTCCATGATGTACTCTGCCCCCGTCTCAACCATGTGGTTCAAAATCTTGGTGTCGACGGTAGCACCGAGGTTGTCACCATTGGAAACAAACAAGATCTCTTTGCCTTGCTCCAGTAAAACATCCAGCTCACCAGAGGAGACCAGAGACTCAAACAAGTCGCCGTGTCCTGGCGGGTACCAGGCGTCCAACTTGTCGTCGTAAGATTGAGGAACAGGCAAAAGAGAGTCCTTGAACACTCTAGGGTATCTGGACTGGTTGAAGGTTCTGATCCGGATACGGTGACCTTGGTACTTTCTGACAATGATCTGGGTGTCATCGTTGGTATTGAACGAATTCATCAGCAGCAATGGCACGTCGGTGTCATAGGTTTTGTTGAGGTGCTCGATCTGGCGAACAGACAGATCCAGGAACGACTGGCCATCTCTCACCTCAATGACAGACTTGGGACCCACACAACCCATTGAGGTACCCAGACCTCCGTTCAGCTTCAACACCGCCAATTTCGAAAGGTTGCTATTGTCTCCATTCTGCAAGCTGGAGTAGGCAACAACCTCGTCAGGGGTAGGCGAGCGGATCTGGTTCCAGTCCAGGGTCGTCCCTGAGGCCTTGTCTGCAAGGTAGCGTCTGAACAGGGAGAAGAACGAATCCATCTCGACCTCGAACTTGGCCCTGACCTCGGGATCTTCCACGGCGTCGATCATCTTGTTGAGGGAGTTCCTCATTTGAGACGCAGCAACGCTGGTACTGGTGTTTTCAAAAGCGTAGGTGCTCTGGGACTTGGCGTGCTTACTCATGGTAGATGAATGAGGACGTCACAGCGATTATATCTGATGGAATAGAAAAGAAATCTAAATTCTTATAACCTGTTTGTCCTTAAGGGTGCGACCGCGCACGACCGACTACAGAATAGAAAAACTATGTCGTTCTCCGAGCCGAATCACAACCTACACATCCTTGCACCGCAGAGAGCAACTAAGCATGCCCCGAGTAGCTGCCGGCGATTATCGTCTGGAGCGTCGTGACGGGGCTCCACTCCTCCTCGATATGATCCGTGGAGCTGAACGGGTCCTCGGCGGTGTCGGAGAGCGCTTTTATGCCGATGTTGGTGTTCAGTCGCGAGACAAGTTCAGCTCCCGTCTCGCTGTTGATCGTAAACCGAAGCTGGATACCGGCGTCGGCCTCTCTGGCAACTCCGTTGGTCATGAACCGCGCAATTAGTCGTTCCTCGTGGTGCGACGCGGAAAACACGAACGGAGTCGACGTCAAGTTCCACGTGACTCTATTTTTCTCTCTATTGAACGACCCGGACGGCTTGGTAGCTGCAGATGCCGCTTGTGCCCCGGTGATCGACACAGACACCATGAGGTTGGCAAGCTCAATAGAACCGGACTCGAGTAGAGGCAGCAGCTCGTCGGAAGGCTTGATGGAGATGATTACCGTCGACTGGCTCTGTTCGTGTTTCCAGATAGGATGCACCACGATCGGTGGTTTGGAGCTATTCAGCATGTACTTGAGCCCACCCACTGTGCGCAAATGAATCTGCGACGGATCCATGATCGTGAAATGGTTAGGTTCTTGTTGGTTTTGCTGGATGAACATCGGATTGGTGATAAAACTTGGCAATGCACCCGACGACGACAACTGGAGCTCGATTTTGGACGGAATTTTTTGGACGCTCTTATCCAACAGGTAGCTGAAGGCAACCTCACCAATCACGTTGCACCCGGTGACCTCGCCGTCTTTGAACGAGGCATTGTAGATCTCCACGACCGACGCATTCAGACCGGGCTGCGTGAGGTTAGGGTGCCGGATCTGGCCGCTGGACAGGCCACCGGTGCCGGTGTTAGTTCTGGACAACATTGTGGACCCGGTAGCATTTGGTGCCATTGGCGCCTGCTCCAGCGAGCTGCCAAGGGTACTGATTCTACGCTGCTGTGGAGGAGCTGGTGCGGAGCCGTGCGGCTGTCTCGGACCAAAGCCAACGTCTGTCGAGGTGTGCTTTCTTGCGGAAGGCACTGGCGGAGCCGGTGGTTCAGCGCTGGACTCAAGAGCAGCCTCGGGGAGAGGAGAAACCACAGGAACGGTCTTCTGGACAGGATCCGGAGCCGAGGTAGGAACTGTGCCTGCAGAAGCAAAGGCCAGAGAGCTGGTGGAACCTCTATAGGACGGCTGAATGGAAGAGCTGTTCGTGAGCTCGCTGGCCATCGAGTTGGACCGCCTTGTAGGTTGCATGGCCGGATAGCCGTTCGCCAGCGCGGCAGAGGAAGGGGCAGTCGCCTGGACAGTTTCAGGAACGTTTTCCGGAACGTTTTGTGCCAGGGGCTGTTGGGTTGGCGGAGTCTCGGAGATTGGAGTGGAAGCCTGCGGAGTGGCTCTCTCGCTTACGCTGGGCTCGCTGCGTTCCGTAGCAGGCGCAGGGCTGCTCACCACGGACGAGAGCTCGCTTTCTGCAATAGCGGTGTTGTTGAGGCTGTGGGCGTCGCTCTTCTTCTTTCTGCCTCCGCGCAGCATGGTCCCAAACTTGGACCGTAGACCGTGTTTCTCCTTTGGTTTCTTCTCTGGGGATGGAGACGGAGCGGCCGGATGTCTGGATTTTGTTGGAGACGAGTGCTCAGTCTTGGAGCTTGCGAGACTGAGGATCCGGGACTTGCGGTGCGAGGGTTTCGGAGTCGCGGTGAACCCGTTGTCCTGGGCCTTTTTGGTAGGAGGAGCCTCCTTGGTCAGCTCAATTGGCAGCGTCTTGGCCGAGACGGCCTCCGAAAACCGCTGGATCTCGTCCGGCGGATTGAAACTTAGCGTGTGCTCTAGTGCCGTCTCGTTCAGCTTTTTGAAAGTGTCTAGAACGTCGCTCACGTCGGTCTGGTACTTTAAAAACACATCCTTCAAGAGCACAAGCCGGTTGTAATCGTAGCGTTCGAACACCTCAAAAAAGTACGGAGCTCTTTCGCTCCACTCGGTCCTCAGGGCATCCACGTCGCCGTGAGCCTCTTTCTGAGAAATTGACGAAGCCAGACCCACAAGCTCATCCATTTCAATTAGATTCGAGTCATTGTGGCGGCCAAACACTTTCAATGGTGCTATCATGTCCCTTCCCATCTTCCGGGTGCTGGAGTCCAGTAGCTCGGCTTCTTTGTGGACTATATTCAAAACGCCTGTCCACATTGGGGTGGCCAGGCCAAGTGAGTCAACGGTCGCATTGTGTAGTTTTGGGTTGTCGAGGCTCGTCAGCAGACTGTCTCCCTTGTTGAGAAGGGCCTTGAGCTGGTCAACATACTGGAGTCGGAGCCGGCCGTACGCGGTGAACCATTCCGCCAGCTCGTGGTTGATGGTTTTCAACTGCGTGTGGCGCAGCTTGAGTGCCTCCATTGCCTCTTGAGGCGGCTTTCCAAATAGCAAGGACGAGGAATAGACGACTTGTTCGCTCATTACAGAAAAGTTTGTTGCCATTAAATTCCATAAATCGTCGCGACTAAACAGCCTGGACGGGGAAAATCCCATTTTGAAGAATTTGCCTCTAGGGAAATGTTTCAATGTCTCTACAATGATTCTAGCCATGATGATTAGCAATATTCACAGTATCGATATACATAGTACTAGCGAATTTCAACACTAGCAAATCCTTTTTTTGGGCAAAATGCTTCACTTCTTCTCCTCGCAGGTCTTGCAGTCAGAGCAATTGCAGTCGTCCTTGCAAGCACACCGTCCGCACGAGCACACGGATTCTGGCTTCTTTTCTTGGCAATGCGAGCACGAGCATCCTGCTTCGCAAACACAGCCCTTAGAAGATGAACACGAACAAGGCATTTTCAATGAAAACTAAATTTGGATCTCCGCTGAATAAATTTTTTTCAGCGAAGCACAGCCTCTTGTGTACTTCCCGTTCGTTCCCTGATAAAATTGCATGATTTCTACCAGCAGAACTCAGGGTCGGATATTCGGATATCCAAGCTTATCGTAGGCAATTAATTTTCCATTAGCCGTATGTGCGAGTCTGCTAGTTAGGCCAAAATAGCGCATGCTGTAAAGCTCGAGAGTTATCCGAAATCCTGTCTACAACTACGGAGTAGCAAGACTGTAAGTAATCAAGCTAAAAACCCGATTTTCGGCTCAAAAAGCCATACGTTGTACTATCATACGCATCGAAGTGCTCAAAAGTAGTGTTCCACCTGGCAAACCGTGCAATGTATGCTTTTGCAGTTCTCTTGGCCCGATAACAAGTTGCAGAGCAATAGCCGTCAGCGGACCGGCCTTCTTGCACTTTTTGCAACCACGCTCGGTGCACGGTTGCAGTTCTTTGGGCAACAGAAGAAGGACATTTTTGCTGGTTAATTTGTTATGTGATGTTTGGGAGACCCTATTATTTATCTACTCCGAGATTGCATAGATAAGCTATGGCGTACGCTTATCAGTTGTCACGCAAATTGCAGCCATCTAGCCCCCGCAAAGCGTCTTGTGTCGGAACGGTTTATCATATTATTGGTGTCATTTATATTCTGGATCTACATTAATTCTTTAATCAAGTAGGGTAGCAGCACACAAGCGGCAATAGACAAGGTGCAGATATTTTCCCAAAGCGCAAGTGGACTTCGTAGAAATCCTTTGTCACAGAAGTTGAGATAGCAGCTGTAGAACGCGACGCGGAAGAAATGATAGAACAGTAGACCAGGCGATTGCAGCATGCCGGACAAGAGCCCCACGGGGCCCGAGATACAGTCCCCTCCACACAGGAAATAGGCGAAGCAGCCCCGCTGCAGAAGCTCAAGGTATTTGGATTCCGCCGCAAACAATGTGTAGAGCGCAATGGAAAGAGTGTTGATCACTGCATCCAGTGGCTTGCGTTCACCATGGAAGGTGAGCATTTTTTCTAGCATGACACCCTCATCCAAGAATTCCTCGCTGGAAAGGGGTGCCAACAGCTTGCACAGCAGAACAGCATCGTTCAGGCCAACTGTCATGCCCCCGCCTGTCAGTGGATGTCTCATGTTGAGCGAATCTCCGACATAGATCAGGCCAGGAATCGTATTTGGCTTGGCAGTCAAATACTGGTTTGGCATGCTTTTGTACACGTTCTGTTCTGCGCTCAAAGCTTTCTCAAATGATGGCTTCAGTTTCTCCGGCAAAGATATAAGGACCTGCGACCTCAGATACTCAAGAACTTCCTTCTGCTTTGGTAGCTGGGCGCCGCGGTACGCACATAGAATCCGTGTGTGACGGGGGCTGATTTGGTATACCAGGATAGGGGCGTGTTTGCCGAGTATCACATGGCCGTGGTTCTTGAGAGGAAGCTCAGCGTCCTCTAGGTCCAACCCCACGAAATACGACGCGACATCCGGCTGTCTGTCCTTGTAGAGCTCCTTTCTGAATTTTGAGTAGATTCCGTCGCAACATATCACCAGCTTGGCACGGTACTCGTCTTTGCCGGCCACCTTCACACCAACGACTCTTCCATCTTCGCGGATAAGTTCTGTGACGTTGCCCTCCACTTTGGTTACGTTTGGCTCTGCCAAGCACAGCCCCCGTAGGTTCATGAGAAAGTCTCCGTGGTGGAAGGCCACTCCATGGACTGTGGGCGTGCTATCCCATTCAGACATGTTCAAAGTGCTGTCTGTGTACAGCTTATCCTCATTTCCAAGCTTCAAAGCGCCGGGCACGGGCTCGGTGTCGATATCAGGAAGGACGCTCTTGTCGGGGTATTTGATCTCCACATGGCAGCCATTGTACGAAATGTAGTACCCGTCAACCTGGATTGCATCTATATTGTTTATGGCACCAATCATGCCAAGTTGCTTGAGTGCTTTCACACCTGCGGGCTGCAACAGCTCACCAACAATCCTGTTTGGCTTTGCCCATTCACGCTCGGCAATCAGAACCTTGCGGCCTTGTCTAGCCATCACCGTGGCAATACATGGCCCGACCACTCCCGCACCAACCACAATCACGTCGTACATTAAGAAAAATGGTTCCAAAAGCACACCTTTTATAGCACAAAATGATCTGATTTTACGAACCTGAACGAGAGAGCTCAATAAAAAATAATTTGGTGCGCGCTCGTTTGCGGCGGTGCAGACACAAGACACTATATTTTTTTTCGAAAAAGACACGATAACGTTCAATGCCCGAAGAAGTGCTGCCCTACCACAAAGAAGAGAAGAGACTGGCAGCTTCTGAGTACGAAAAATACGACCTTATACGCGAACGTTTCAGTTACGTGATCGCCCTCCAGGTATTTCTGCTGTACATAATTTACATCTATTACGATCACATAAACGAGTACCATCCGCTATTGGCGGGAGCTCTTCTAGGAGCGCAAACGTCATGTCTGGCGCAGTCGTTGAACCAATTTTACCAACGCACAATCAGTCTATCTAAGCATATCAAATTTTATATCTACGGAATATTCAACGGAGCAGCTACCACTTTATGGATTAGGTTGCTGGTGTCTAAGGTAGACACCAAAATCATGAGGTTTGTGTACGATCAGACATTTGGTGGGCTCATGTTTCAATTCTTGTTCATTTTGTATAACTGTATCTGGGAACGGCAGGACCTTTACACCCATTTACGAACAACATATATCCAGTCGCTCAAGTACTACTACATGATGTGGCCGTTGGTGTCGTATCTATGCTTTTTCCATATGCGTGAAGATCTCATATTCCCGCTCAACTGTTTGTCGACCCTCATATTCACGCTGCTACTGACTCTGATCACGTAAATAGAATGACTTTGTCGCGCGAAAATGCATGTTCCTTAATTTATTGCGCCTTTAACGGGAGTTTTGCCTGGTATATTTTGATTTCGTTACGTAAAACAGTTTATCCGAAAAGCGGCCCCAAAAACGTTAAAACTTTCCAGCACAGTATACACACACCTGAGACCCGACACCCCTACAGCCACACCTTACACCAGCAAACATCCAATCATGATCACCGGGTAAGACGGACTCAAGCTTGCAAGCGTTCAAAAAGGAGCCACAAGGGGTGGGAAGCTTGGAATCATTTCCTTTAGATTCTGAAATTTTTCCGCAATACTGTTGATGGCAGATGACACATACTATTTAACGGTTCACGAGGCTGCCCTGGCCGTCGTTGCCACGGCAATGAAGAAGTCCAGACTGAAGCCGCACATCCTGGTTATCAACTCGATCATCGGGGCCTTTCTCTTTTCTTCCGGAGGAATGCTCGACTTGATGGTGCACGCATTGAATCCAGGGCTGGTTCATCATGGGTTTGTCGGGGTGGTCAGTTTGTTGCAGGGAAGCGTTTACTCGATTGGGTTGTTTTTCGTCATTTCCATGGGTATGGAGCTATTCAACTCTAATGTGCTCTTTTTCTCTGTTGGAGTGATGCGAGGGGCAGTGTCGGTGGTGGACCTGCTCACGAGTTGGTTTGTTTCACTCTGGGTCAATCTAGGTGCCACCGTTTTTGTGGTGTATTTATTCTGTCATGTTTCTGGTATCACGTCCTCGGGATCCTATGTGGAAGAGTCCCGTGCAATAGCAGAAGACAAGGAGGCATTCTCTTTCATGCAGACGTTTTTGAAAGGCGTTGCTGGGAATTTCTTTGTGTGTCTCGCTGTCTATTTGCAAATAATGGTGAAACCACTACACGTCAAACTCATAATGATATATCTCCCGATTTTCACATTTGTGGCCATGGGGTTCACCCATTGCGTGGCCGACATGTTTCTGGTTCCGGTAGGGCTTTTAAACAAGTGCTCGTTTGGATGGGGCCGATACTTCTGGAAGCTCTTTCTTCCTGCTACGCTGGGCAACATTGTAGGAGGATCGTTTTTCGGAGTGGTTATTCCGTGGTACCTGCATCTTGTGGTGATTGAAAAGGACATGAAACAGCTGCATCTTCCAGACTATGAAGAGCGCGACGAGCAGCCGGAGCTGAACATGGACTCCAGGGTGGTACGCGCCCCTAGCCACTCGGCCGTTACCTCGCTCAATAGCACCATCAACTACAACCCGCCAGACGTGCAAACGTATGCTCCGTCCACTACCGAACGCTCGCCTAGCGGAGTGTTCCCTGTATATGACATGGGCGAGCCCCTGGAGCGCGAACGGAGCATAGCACAGGCAACTGAGGACGGCGCAGGTCTCAGGCTCTCGTTGACCCGCGGCAGCTGGCGTCGGCGAGCTACGCAGGCGGACGCGGAAGCACAGTCGGATACCGGTTCCAGAAGTCAGGAAACCACTAAAGATCGAATTGTCCGCCATTTAAGCAGCGCTAGGAGTCGGGACGATATGGACGCAATGCGCAAGCGACTATCAGCCGCAGGCATCACCTCAAAAATCGCCAGCCATTCGAATGATATCGCCGGTATCCACGAAGGCTCTATAGACGTATCCTATCCAGGTCCCACTGCGTCGAGGTTGAGGAGGTTGCCGACGGAGTCAGTAGATCCAGCAGATTCTCCCGAGGACAGTTCGAGTACCGACGAGAAGAGAGACGCAAATTAATAGAGCTTGATCTCTCGTTAAATAAACACGCATAATGCTCACATAGTATATTATTTTATAGAATTATTTTTCGCTAAATTTACGTGTCGTCGAATAAATCGTTTGTTTTCCTTAGTGTCCATGGTGCCTACGCAATCTAAAAAAGACACTATTTCCGACCAGGAGGTGAAGGAAAAGCTTGTGGAGCTGGCAGCTCCGGCTCCAGAGCCACAGCTACCTCCTGTTAATGGAGTTAATTGGCGCAAGGTCGAGGCTGTTGTTGCACCGATTCTCTTCACTTTCGTGTCGTTCTTCGTCAGAATGTACAAAATCGGCATCAACAGCAACGTCGTTTGGGATGAGGCCCATTTTGGCAAATTCGGCTCGTACTACCTCAGACACGAGTTCTACCACGACGTTCACCCCCCATTGGGCAAGATGCTGGTGGGACTCTCTGGATATTTGGCAGGATATAACGGGTCTTGGGATTTCCCGTCCGGCCAAGCCTACCCTGAGTACATTGATTACGTCAAGATGAGACTGTTTAACGCAACCTTCAGCTCCCTGTGTGTTCCCTTTGCTTACTTCACCATGAAAGAGCTGGGCTTTGATCTTAAAACCGTGTGGCTCTTCACTTTGATGGTCACCCTTGAAACCTCATACACCACACTTGGCCGCTTTATTCTGTTAGATTCCATGCTGCTCTTCTTTACAGTTGCCACCGTCTTCAGCATGGCCAGATTCCACAACCAGAATAGAAATGAGGCCAACTCGTTTTCACGTAAATGGTGGAAATGGCTTCTACTGACGGGAATTTCCATCGGCTGCACCTGCTCCGTCAAAATGGTGGGTCTGTTTGTGACTGCTTTGGTTGGCATCTACACCATGGTGGACCTGTGGAGCAAGTTTGGCGAGCTGCGTACCACCATGCCTCTCAAACGCTACTTCTACCACTGGGTCGCCAGAATCGTGGCACTCATCATCGTTCCCTTCACTGTCTTTGTGGTGTGCTTCAAGGTCCACTTTGACCTGCTCTTTGGTTCTGGTCCCGGGGATGCCAATATGTCCTCGTTGTTCCAGGCCAACCTGCTCGGCTCGGAATTGCAGTCTGGTCCAAGAGACGTCATGACGCTCAATTCTGTGGTCACCATCAAGAACCAAGGCCTTACTGGCGGTCTTCTGCACTCCCATATCCAGACGTATCCTGAGGGTTCCAACCAACAACAAGTCACCACCTACTCGCACAAGGACTCAAACAACGACTGGGTGTTTGAGCTCGTGAGAGAAGACCCTAGAAATGAGTTCACCGAGCCCCACTATGTGGTGGATGGCATGTCAGTTAGACTGATCCACAAATCGACGGGGAGAAACCTGCACACACACGAGATCCCTGCTCCAGTGTCTTCTTCCCACTACGAGGTGTCTGGATACGGAAACCTGACTGTTGGCGACTTCAAGGACAACTGGGTCGTCGAAGTCGTGGACCAATACGGAACAGAGGACAAGCTCAGACTACACCCATTGACCACCTCGTTCAGACTTAGATCCGAGGCTTTGGGCTGCTACTTGGCTTCTTCCGGAATTGCGCTGCCTCAGTGGGGATTCCGTCAGGGTGAGGTCATGTGTATGAAGAATCCATTCAGGAGAGACAAGCGGACTTGGTGGAACATTGAAAACCACAGTAACCCAGAACTTCCTAATCCTCCCGAAGACTTCAAGCTACCAAAAACATCATTTTTGAAAGACTTCATCCAGCTCAACATCGCTATGATGGCCACAAACAACGCTTTGGTGCCAGACCCAGAGAAACAGGACGACTTAGCCTCTAAGGCTTGGCAATGGCCTACACTTCACGTTGGTATCAGATTGTGCGGCTGGGGCGACGACAACGTGAAATACTTCCTCATCGGCTCTCCGGCCACCACTTGGACCTCCTCCATTGCCATTGTCGTCTTTGTGATTATGGTTGTGTGCTATCTATTGAGATGGCAACGCCAGATCAACGATTTCGAAGGACAACCAAAGAAGGCCGATCTGTTTGTGATGGGAGGTCTGTATCCGTTTTTGGGATGGCTTCTGCATTACCTTCCATTTTGTATCATGGGTAGGGTGACCTACGTTCATCATTATCTTCCAGCGCTCTATTTTGCCATGATTGTCTACTGCTACACCGTCTACAGATTGGCCGAGAAATTGAACCGTTGGGCGGCCGCTGTCTTGTACATTTTCCTTTACGCTCTTGTGATTGGCTGGTTCATATTCCTCATGCCACTCACATTCGGCATGGATGGGCCAAATTCAAACTACAAATACCTCAATGTCTTAAAATCATGGAGAGTTGCAGACGACTAGAAAAATATAACAATATCTGAATTATTTTTTATCCTAAATATTGTAATTACCAATGGCTCTCCAGGAGTCTTATGAATCACTTCTGCGTCCGTATAAGGATAAGAACGAGTTTGATCTTCATTACCCGATATCGTACAAGCCATATGTGGGGATCATCGACAACACAAGTAACCAGTCTATCTCCATGGACCTTCCCTTCATTAACCAGACCTCCTCAGGGTCTGGCAGAACTGCTCGCAAAATTATCAAGCCGCTGGTCACTAGACCGCAGACAACATACCACAAGAACATCTACTTGGATCTGGAGTTCAAGGAGTATTTAGACTGGAACAATTTGAAACAACTGGTGTCTTCGTTGCTCCACTCGTTTGCCACTAACTATTTCAAGTTGGTGCTCAACCAGCCCTTCGAAATTGCCACCACTCTGTTACAGGTGGGGTCGTTCCAGAATCATATATCGGTGCCCACCCGTGCAGTGCAAGACGATTCCGAATCTGATGACGACAATAACTATTTTGCCAAGGAAGATGACAACTCAAGCAAAATGAGACAATCGCACATCGAACGCGCGCCGAGACTCAGCCATTCCACCAACATTCCAAAAAAAGTGATGCTCGACAAAATAGAGCCTGTCTCACTGAACACTCTAGACATCCTCTCTGCTCTTGTGTCCAAAGAAGGCCCTCGGGGAGTGTTCAAAGCAGTCAACACATCGTTTCTCATAAGCACGCTGCAATACACCATCAGATCGTGGGTTAGTGGCCTTATCTCCGGCTTGCTAGGCATACCGGACCCGTTTTACGTGGAAATGATGCATTCGCCAAATGCAGGTTTGAGTTTGGCCTTGAGTGTCGGTGCAGACGTTGTCACGGGTCTGCTGCTGGCGCAGCTCAATCTTATCAGAATGAAATTTATTGTAACAAACTCTGGGAAGGGCCCAAGATCGTTTAGGGAGATCATCTGGACTTTGCCACGTTTCTTCATTTTCACGCCTCCGAAAGACCTCATCATTCCAAATATCGTCACGAACGCCATCAGATCATTCACCATCCACTATCCAACCTACTTTTTGACCGTCCTATGGCAGGCGAACAAATATAATTCCATATCCCTTTACAACACACTGGTGTTTATGTCCAAGGTGGTGGGTCTGTTTGTCAGACTGCCCTTTGAAACCCTATACAACCGTGCTCAGGTCAGCCATCTTCTCACCTGCACTACACTTCCCGAATCGATGAAACTGTCTCCTGATCAATTATGCATTAAGTTTGGCGGCTACTATGGCTATCTATCGACTCTCTACTACGTTGTGACTGGCACCAAACCCGTCGATTATGGGGCCGACAACTCGTTTGCAGAGAACGTTGTTCTCGAGATCGAGGACACAGACGAAATCAACAAAGGATACGAGGCCGTTTTCAGAGGCTGGAAGGTCCAGCTGATTCGGCTCGTATCGCGGCTCTTCCTCAACTTGCTCGCCCAGGAGTCCCAAAATTCTGAGAAATTTTAAATAGCTTGTAATTAGTTGTTTGTCTCCGATTTCTGTTTCCCGCGCTCGATGAGCCGCTCTCCAAGCTTCTGAAGCACTTCCCCGTCGGTCAATTGTTCGCTTCGATGTGCATCCCACACGTACTTCAGTCCACTAATGAGTTCCTCGGTGAAATGCTTGTTCAGGAACTTGCGCAAATCGGATCCGTCGACTATCTCATCCACTCCCTTGGTAGTCTTAGCCGTCTGTGCAGAGTGCTGTGTGTTGAGCTGAGGAATTGGTTGCGGTGTGGGAGACTCCGTCTTCACTTTTTTCACGGACGGACCGTCACCGTTCTCAGATTCCATAAATCTTTTTTTAAGGAATTTAATTAAACATTCAATCCATAAATCCTATAGTACAATTAATTTTCGCACAGTTCATGACCTCACCTTACGCTTAAACTCCCTGCGCATGTCACGCCACAGATAACCGATCTCCTGGTGCCTGAGAAAATTGTCCATCACGTTCTTCACGGTATCTGGGTCCAGCACCGGATCGGTCTCAACTATTGAGTAGTTTTCGGGATCGAAGACAAAAGAGACCTCGCGGGAGTAGTCTCTGCTGTCCACGTTGCGGAACACGAACAGTATGTGATTATCGACTCCAGCATTCTCCATACGCAGTCCCAAAAGCTGCTCCAACTGGAACGCCTTATCCTCTATAAGGTCGCTTTGTTTGGTTATAAATGTTTCGCGCTCACTGATAGCCTTCATGCTCTCCTCCAATTCGTCGTTGATCACCTGGATCTTGTTCTCGTGCTCCTTCTTTTCTCTCAGGAGTTTCTCCTCCTCGATCTTCAGTTGCTGCACACGCGACATCGACGCGTCTCTATCTGAGATCAGCCTGTTCAGTTCCTCCAGAAGCTCATTATGGAGGCTCTCGTATGTGCGAAGTTTCGTGTTCAGATCTCGCTCTTTTTCCTGGAGATGGATCATCGACGTTTCGTAGTTGCGTTTTTTCGCAAGCAGGTCTGCTTGGACGGACTCCAAGTACTCTGAGAGACGCGTCTTGAGCATCTGCATTTTCTCCTTGAGCTGTTCGTAGCCCTGCAGCGACTGCTCTAACTCCTCTGCGGTGGACATTTAAAGATAAACAAAAAAATAAATATTTACAACTTAGCTCTGAACAAGCATCACAGCATCAAGGGAAAAATATTTCAACTACGAGCATTGTGCGTGGACGCTTCACTATAATGCGAACGCCTTTCCTTTGAATCCAGTGTCAGAATGCCGTTTTCAAATGGTTTATTTGCAGCAGCATTCTTCCCCACGTAGAACCTTGCTCTGCATGGGTGGCAGACCAAAGATGTAAAATAGCGTGCCGCCCAGAATAAAATCCTTTGCCAGTATTTATTTCGATGGATTACAAAGCCTCTATGGATCTCCTGATACCGGCCATCTCTCGCATAGCAAATGCGCTTCTTGTGCAGTTGTCTCAGCTCGATCTCTCACTCATTGCCGCACTGCTACTTTTGGCACTTGTGGGTGCCGACTATATGTATATTCGCCCGCATAGAATCAAAAATCTCCCATCCGTCCCCTCGTGGATCCCCATTTGGGGCAATCTCTCCATTCTCTTTCCCCAGGCCCACAATTATAAGCAGTCTCCTTGCTCCAGGTTTGCAGAATTAGCCCAAAAGCACGGAGATGTGTTTCAAGTCCGACTAGGGGTCAGAACCGTTGTGGTAGCCAACTCCTACGATTCAATTCTTCAGCTTTGGTGCTACCACAACATTCGAAATAACAACTCGCGGCCAATCCTGCACACATTTCACGGAGTTTTATCCCAGTCGAAGGTTTTCACCGTGGGGACCACTCCTTTTGGGGAGTCTTACCTGAAAAGCCGGAAGTATATGTCCAGTAGGCTACTCAACGAGTCGAGCAATCGAAAATACAATTCAAGCATCATAGATAAGGAAGCCACCAAACTCGTGCGGTACCTACTGTCTAGGACAACAAACGATGTTGTGGAGATGGATATCACCAGAGACTGTCAATACTTTCATTTGGGTGTGGCATTGATTCTAACCTATGGCTACGAGATTAACGCTCGCTCAAACGAGAACGAACGACTGCTGGCAGACGAAATGGTCTATGTTGAGAATTACATCACTAAGATCCGCTCTCACATCCAGAACGTTCAGGACTACCTGCCCTGGTATCTGCGTTTGGTGGTTGATATTTTTAACGGCAAGTCCAAGATCGCAAAAGAGCTTTACCATCGTAGAAACAATTATCTGTACAAGTTCAACCAGTTCACCACCTCGCGTCTAGACGTGCCAGATGAGTACGTGCGCCGAAGTTTGATTTTCAACTATGTCAAGAACAACGACCAGGAACTGTTGAATGGGAGCGAGCTTGGTAGCATTTGTCTGACAATGGTCAGTGCTGGCCTGGACAACACTCCGCTCAACTTCCAGTATGCGATGATGCAGCTTAGCGAGTCGCCGCACATACGGGCCAACGCACGGGCGAAGCTTCTCAAATGCTACAACGACGATTCCATAGAGGCATGGAATAATTGCCATGCCGAGGTTTTGTGTCCGTATGTGGTGGCCATCGTCAAGGAGACATTGCGGCTTTTTACGGTTTTGCCTATGTCCCTGCCCCGAGAAACAACCAGAGACATTGTGATAGGGAACGCAGTGATTCCACGAGGTACCACATTATTTATGAACGCCTGGGCTGGCAACCACGACAAAATGCAGTTCTTCAAGCCCATGGAATTCATTCCCGAGAGATGGCTGGACCCAGAAACGGGAAACGTGGACACGAACTTAAGACACTTATCCTTTGGTGTGGGCTCGCGTATGTGTCTTGGCAACAACTTGGCTTTCAAAGAGCTGTATGTGCTGATTTGCAAGTTTGTGCTCATGTTCGAGATAGAAGTTGCCAGCGACGAATCGCCAAGCCTACACCCTCTGGAACTGAACCAGTTCCCAGAGTCCATTGCCATTGAGCCAATAGAAACAAATGTGCGCTACACGGTGAAAGATAAAGCACTGCAGGATTACGTGGAGGGTGTATAACAGTAGAGTGAGCAAATAAAAAATAATTAAATAATTTACGATGGACCATTCTCACCATATGATGGATCCCATGGACCCGATGCCGATGTGTAAGATGTCCATGACGCTGACAACAGATTACGAAAATGTCTGTGTACTCTCGTCGTCTTGGATGATCACCACTGTGCAGTCTTTGGTCCTTTCTCTTATTGCTGTCTTTGTCTTATCGGCCGGATACGAGTTGCTCAAGAACTGGACGGCTCGATGGGAGTCGCGGACATACAAACAGCCTGCGCTTTCCGGGAAAGCGCTGCAAAATTACAAGGTGAAAAGCTCGATTCTCTACGGAGTTTCTGTGCTATATTCGTTTATGATCATGCTGATCTTCATGACGTTCAACGTGTGGCTAATGGCCGCTGTGGTACTCGGCAGCATTGCTGGAAAATACGTGTTTGGGTTCAAAGACAACGGAGCTGCTATTCCTGGATCTATCGCGTGCCACTAGTCTAAGATAGAGAAATGGTCCAGTTCTTGGCAACAAGAGGTTTAGGGTTCCTCACCACTACGTGCGTTCCCTGGTCGACAACCTCAGCAGTCCACTTGTGCCCGTCCTGTTCGACAGTGGCCTCCGTGACTTGGGGACCGCCTAGAATAACGATTCGCTCGATTCTCACGCCCGTTTCGTACGTGCTCTCAACGGTGGATGTTAGCTTGCCTCCGTCCAGATTAAACCTGGCAAAGACCTTCTCCCCCCTCTGATACGCAAATGTTTCGCCATCGTCAATGTATAGCTCTCCTCTGGCTCTGCCCTCGTGTGCAGCAATATACAACGTGTATGGATCGTTTTTCATCAGTCTGGACGAGCGTCTGTACCGTTCCTTGGAAGGCACAATCGAGCCTCCACGAATGAATACCGGCACTTTTTCCAGCGGAGCTTCCACCTCGTGGAAGCCCTCACCACTGATTCTCTCAAAGGACACAAAATCGTAGTATGGCTTGTCATCCGGCAGGTACAATCTCACGGAATGGGTATCGGGACTAGTGACAGGTTTCACCAGCAGCGGCCCAACAAAGAACTGATCGTCAATGGTGTACACGTTCGGGTTCTGAGGACTGTCAAATGCGAGAGGACTAACCACGGGAATGCCAGACACAGAATGCTTGTAGAATTGTGTATAGAAAAGTGGTAGCAGTCTGTATCTTAGTTTGATTGCATCTCGCATCATCCCCGTATATGGCTCGCCAGCAACCCATGGTTCCCGTCTGCGCGAGTCAATGTGAGCATGGGCACGGAAAAATGGATACCAGATGCCTGTTTGATACCATCTGACCTGCATTTCTTTATCGGGGTTACCAAAAAATCCTGCAATGTCTGCCCCTGCAAACGGAAAGCCCACGGCGTTCATAGTGAGCAGCATGGGAATACTCTCGCGCATATATTCCCATTTGGCCATATTGTCTCCTGTCCACATGGCAGCCGTGCGTTGGGAGCCTGCATAGAACGATCTGGTTAAAATGAATGGCCGCTGCTCAGGGTTGCGTTTTATCAGAGCATTGTATGTCATCTCGTGGAAAGTAAGGCCCCACACATTATGGACCGAGCGGTGCTCCCAGTCACCGTAATGGATCAAGTCTCGAGGAGCAGTAGTTTCCGGGCCGTTGAAAATTGAAGGTTCGTTCATGTCATTCCACAGATGAACATTGGTGGCAGACCCAAGCAGCCGCGACCCATTGGCAAACAAGCTATCCCAGAACGGCTGTGCAGCCGGGTTCATGCCATCGATCCACACAGACTCGCCTGGCCACGAATGGCCGTGGTACAACTCCGAGCCATCGTTTTTGCGGATGCCCAGCTTTTTGTCAACAACCGCGTCGCTTACATCGTAGCCAACTTTAAGATGAGGGTCGATAATTACAATCAAGGTTCGTCCTGTCTCGGCCAATTTGTCCATCATCCGCTCAGGGTCTGGGAATAGCTCCTTTTTCCACGTGAAATACTTCTTGTTGTCGGTGTACTCGATATCCAACCAAATAGCATCAAACGGAATCAGCGACTCGTCGAATTTTGCGGTGATGTCTAGAACATCCTCCTCATCATTATAATTCCACCGGCACTGGTGATATCCAAGAGCGAAAATGTTTGGCAGGGCTGAGCGACCTGTGAGTTTGCTGTAAGACTGTAGAACCTGGGTCGGAGTCTTTTTAGCAAAAAGAATAATATCCAAGATTCCGCTTTCCGATATCCAGTGAGTCTGGATTTGGCCCGCCGATTTCTTGATGTCAATGTTGGTGTCTGCGCTATTCAGCCAGAACACTCCAGCGCTTCCGGCCTCGCCGAGTCCAATCATGAACGGAATTGAGCCATACATTGGGTATTTGCTTTGTGTTTCGTACTCAAAAATATCCACGTTGTACAGCCTGTAAGGATCAGTGTCGGTCGTGTCTTTGAGTGCAAAAGAGTCTGCATGCTCTGGGATACCGTAAACAGCTTTGGCACCAAGAAAAGAGATATCCAACGCCACGGATTCTGGGCCCAACGGCAGCTTGTCGTCCCGAGAATCTTTGAAGCTGTCTGTGTAGGCATCAAAAGTAGACTCCTCAGGAGAAACATGTATAGAATTATCTGCATTTTCTTGCTCTTTTGTTCTGTAATGCTCGATATTCAAGAAGTTTCGGTCATTGAGGACCAACTGAGCTTTCTCATCACGCAGGAACGTAATCTTGAAGGGATGAAGCTCAATCTCAACACTGTATGCGTGAAATTCAAGAGTGATTTTCTCCGAGTCAACGAAATGTCTGAATGATTGCAGACGAGGTTGGCCTGCCAACGCCCATTTGGCCGTTTCATTATATCTACGGCTGGCGACGTGGTCGACAACAGGCTTTCTCTCCGCCTCGTCAATCTGTAACCGCAGATTGTCGTCTTCCAAAACGCTGATATTCATATCCAATGACACGAATGATCCATCATTCAGCATCTTAAGTAGCGTGGCATGTAAATTTCCGGCAGAAGGGTCGACCTTGAGTGACTCCAGATCGATGGAGTACCTTGAGTCATACTCCGCTCCCAGCTTTTCGACTTCGGTAGCGAAATGTCTGTTTCTAGAGCAAAATCCCGATTCGCTGCATTTTTTGAACAGGAACGACTTCACTGCCTCCACAGGTAGCAAAGACAGCCAGATTAATAGGAAAGGGGTCCAATGCATGCTTTTGTCAAAAGTTGAGCTTGGAAAATAGATCTTAGTTTGCAGCCCTGGCAAGATTTCGCGACGCGCAAAATAATTATTATCCAAACAAATAAACAAGCCTAGACACCATGCCGGGTGAAATAATCACTCTTCAAACAGGTAAGCAGAACATCTACTGGTCTACAAGACTAACAGCTCAGGTCAATGCGGTAACCAGGTTGGTGAACAGTTTTGGAGCCAAATATGCAGTGAACACGGAATACTACCCGATGGGACATCTTCCCCTGAAACACACAATTTATACAGAGAGGACCAAACCGACATCTTCTTTCAACGCAATGATAATAATAGATACACTCCTCGCGCGATTCTCATAGATATGGAACCCAGAGTGATAAATAATATTCGCAGCAACACCGGCAGTCTATTTAATCCCAAGAACATCTATGTTGCCCCAGAAGGTGGAGGAGCGGGAAACAAATGGGCCGAGGGCTATCACCATGCACAAAGACACCAGGAAGAGTTCCTGGATATGGTAAATAGGGAGATTGATGCCTGCGATTCTTTTGAAGGTTTTCAATTGATCCACTCGGTTGCCGGAGGAACGGGGTCAGGGATCGGGTCCTTTTTTTTGCAGGAACTGAGCGATCGTTTCCCGAAAAAACTAGTCCAAACATATTCCGTCTTTGGAGCTTCTGAAGTGGTGGTCCAGCCGTATAACACAGTTCTTACTTTGAAACGACTGATTGAGAATTCTGACGCTAATGTTGTGTTTGACAACAACGCGCTGATGTCCATAGCATCCACGAATTTGCAGGTTTCGAGCCCCTCGTACAAGGACACTAACAAGATAATCTCAACTGTGATGTCTGCTGCTACTAACACTCTGCGATTTCCAGGGTACTCGTACAACTCTTTGACCAGTATCCTGTCCACATTGATACCTACACCAGACTTGCATTTTCTGATAGCCAGCTACACTCCATTTACGAGCGATTACGTCTCAAATGCGCACGAAATTAGACGTAGTACGGCGTACGATGTAATTTTGGAAGTGCTCGATAAGAAGCTCAGAATGTGCAGCTCCAGCGACACAGGAATGAATCTTTCGGTTCTCGACATTATTATCGGAGAGATAGAGCAATCGGATGTACAAAAAGCGTTAGTCAAAGCTCGCACGCGGATAAACTACGTGCCTTGGAGCTCATCGGCGATTCACATGGCTCTGGGAAAAAGGTCACCATTCTTGAACAAATCTCAAAAGCAGGTAAGTGGTTTGATGTTGGCAAACTCCACGTCCATCTTGAAGCTTCTCAAGAAGACCCTTAGCGAGTACGATCAACTGAAAAGCCGAGGAGCTTTTCTCAACAATTATAGCCGAGGTGAATACGAATTTGACCATGGAGATATCAGCATGGAATTCGACGAAGCTAGGGAAACCCTGAAGACCACCATGAACGAGTACCGCGACAGCGAAGAATTAAGCTATTTGGACGAAATTGATCCCGACGAAGAGGCGGGACAGATCACGGAATCTGCTCCGCGGGATGTGGATATGTCCTAGATGTAGTAATAAAAAAATCGCCAATTTCCGAAAAAGATCTTATCGCAATTGTGCTCTAGATGTTCCCTGGTCATGAAACCCGTGATAGAAAAGAGTCAGTAGAGCTTGTGCATCTTGATGGCGAGCTCTCGGTGCTTGAAGAACGGCCAATTGGGTCTTCGTCAGCATTCCAATCCCGGAACCCAAATTTAGGCAATAAATCATTTGAGGAGAATACCCAGGAAAATTCCCACGAGTTATCGCATCAAGACTCCAATGAAAATATTTACTATCCAGACGGAGGATTTAAGGCCTACTCGGCCGTGTTTGCCTCCTTAGTGGGGCTGATCTGCTCGTTTGGTCTGATGAACTCCACAGGTGCGATCGAGTCGTATCTTGAAAAAAATACACTCAAAACGACTCCAACAACCACTATATCTTGGATCTTTGCTATTTACACATTCCTGACGTTTGGCTGCAATCTTGTTTCTGGTGCGCTGTTTGATACTTTTGGAGCGAAAAAAGTAGCCATTCCAGGTGCCCTGCTAGTCTGTGCCGGTCTCCTGGCAACGGCCAACTGCACACAAGTTTGGCAATTTATCCTGTCGTTTGGAGTTTGCTGTGGAGTGGGCTGTGCATTGCTTATGGCGCCGATGGTGAGCTGCATCGCTCACTTCTTCCGCAAGAAAAGAGGACTGGCTTTGGGCATTGCCATGCCCGGAGCCAGCATAGGAGGGGTCGTGTGGCCTCTGGTCTGCAATAACCTCTATCCCAAAATTGGTTTCACATGGACTATGAGAGTGCTATCCTTTATATTTATTGGACTACTGACTGTGAGTTGCCTGTTAATCGATGACCGTCTCGACGAAATCGATGGGGACTCCAAAAATCATAGCGCTTCACAGGTTTGGGATAAAGTGAAACAGAGCATTGATTTCAAGACTCTGAAGGATCCTGTTTATCTACTCCTTGTCGCAGGCCTTTTCATGAACGAGTTCTCACTAATCTTGTGCTTCACATACATTCCATCGTACGCCCTAAATAACGGTTATTCTGAGTCGTTGTCACTGATCGCACTGACAGTGGTCAATGCTGCTGGTGTTTTTGGAAGGTACCTTCCATCGCATCTTTCAGATATCTACGGGAAGTTCAATTTAATGGTTGCGGTATCCGCCATCCAAGCGCTTTCAATTCTGGTTTTCTGGCTACCTTTTGGTCATATCAAGCCCTTATTTTTCATTTTCTGTATCATATACGGCTTTGCAACTGCAGGAACGCTTTCATTGACTCCACTTTGCACGTCCCAAATCTCAAACCCTAGAGATTTCGGAAAAAGATACGGCACCGCATATTTCTTTGTCAGTTTCGGTAACCTGATCTGCATTCCTATTGGTATCGCAATCACAAATACTGCTGCTGGGTACAACGGTATGGTTGGTTTTGCAGGAGCAGGTTCGTGCGCCGCTACTTTACTCTTTATACTTGCCCGCTACAAATTAGCGAAATTTAATATGAAAGTTGTGTGAGCGGTGCGTTATTTAACCAAATATGTGTTTTACCTATTAACTAAAACCCAACAATGCTGCCTGTAGAGTATGTCAATATACTGGAATTGACACTCTTTAGGTCAGATGTGTCCCAAAAATTATCGCTGCTGTTGCGCTTGACAAGCCCTTTGCTTCTCCTGCGTCCACCATCACTTGCTCGTATTCTCACCCCGTCAGAAAAATTGGATATTATACTTTCTTTGCGAGACGCAACATAGGGGGCCATCGGTCCATCCTCTATGTTTGTTTTCGCTCCCTCGTCTTCTGTTACATCATCGTCGTCAAAGCGCTCAAATTGTGGCAGCAAGTCTGAAGTGATGATGAGCTTCTTCAGAAAATAGGGTATGTATTTCTGAAGGCTTTTGTTGTTCAGGAACTGATCTGGGTCTCGATTCTTCGCTGTATTCATGTAAGCTTCGGTGATTGTCGCCATCGAGGTTGTTCTCGTTGGTGCCTGGCTAGACTGTGGTTTGACATATCTGGACTTCACTGTTCTCCTCAAAGAGCCAGAAAGCTTGATCAATATTTGCTTGAGTACCTTGAGTTCTTCCTTTGAGTAGCTCTTCAATACAGCGTCACCATAATGCGTATCCATAACAGGTCTTTGCTGTAGCCATATGTTCCGGTAAATATCTCCGGATCCAGTGTCATCAATCCCCCAGGCCTTGATGAGCTCAATTGTGTCATCATCCAGCTCACTCTGGTCTCCAGCAAGGTCCTTGAGAAGGATGGAAACCTGCTGTTTCCGCCAGTTGTCGATTCGAGAGTTAAGATCCTCTTTTCTATAAGGTATGTCAAAATTAATATGTTCCTCGAGATCTTCAATCAAAGAGTCATCATCGTCCCCTTCATCCTGTACATCAACGAAACTTTCGTCGTTGGCATCGTTCTGTGTAGAGATCTTCTCTAAAGAAGTGCTCAAAACGTCATCGTAATAAGGGTCCTCTGCGGGCTTTCCCGTTTCTGAAGGGCCCGGAGAAAATAGGATCCATTCACTAGACGAATCCAGACCGCCGGAAGAAAAACTCTCGCGGTGTTGAGGGTCCACACCCTCTTGTCCCACATCGCTAATGTTGTAGGTATCGTCGTCTTCCGCGTTAGAGGTCCTCGAGGCGCGCCTCCTAAAGAAATTATCATTTTGCGTATGGCCCCTAGAATTTCCAGAACGGAAGGGCAAAGAGCCAAGGCGTGCTAAGTCCGTATTCTGGTTAATCATCCGTGAACCCGCTGAGAGCAAAGACGAAGCGGAAGACACGGTGGACAACTCATTCGAAGCGTATTTGTATTTGTTAGGAGTTTGCGGATTAGCCACAAACGAGACTGAATTTGAGGCCATTTTTAATGGTCTCCCCTGCTTGATATCCCACGAAAGTAATCGATGACTAGCAATACCAAAAGGATTGGAAAAGAGTCTTTATGAGTCAAATTGCTAATAACTGTAAAGATTCGTCTTATCGCTTTTCCCCTATATAAGGATCGGATTGAGCGAGACACTTCCCGCAAATCGGAATAAAATATACACGCCTGTAAAGAGCCTCAGTTTTACACGGTAAAGTTGTTTCTTTTGCGAGACAACCCTACACTGCAAAAATAGCTGATTATTAACCTCATTACATTAATTAAACGCGTTACAAGTGGTAACGCTGTTGCTTAGTTTGATGGTTTGATGACATCGCTGATAAACGTTGTCTCGGTGTATCCGTAGCCAGTTTCTGAGTGTTCAACTTTGCCGTCCTTAACGAGTTTGAAATCAAGTTCGTTGCTAAACTGGAAAATGTAGGGCTTTGTGCCAGCCACTCCGCTGGCAATGTTCTTCACAAATTGAGGCAGCTCATTCATGACATCAACACGCTCGCTCAAATTCGTAAGAGCACCCGAAACTTGAACCTCAAGATCCTTTCCCCTCAGAGTAAACTCGGCTTCTCCAGGAACATTCCAGCCAGAAACAGGGTCGGTGTATGTCTTGAGATGCTTTGTCGTGATGTCAACTGATCCTAGAAGGGTCTTCCCGTTTTTATCCGTGACAATGCCAACGCTAACGGTGGTTGTGTTGTACGATTTCGGAGTGGTAAACTCCATCACGACGACAGAATAGTTCTCGGACTGGTAGTTAAGAAAATTCCATGCAGCAGCAGCATGATGTGGTTTCATGCCTTGAAGTGCCATGACATACATTCCAAGTCCCGAGTTCAGAGTAATATCCTGTTCAAATTGCTCGTTGCCTCCCAACTGGAGAGTTCCAGAAACTTTACAACGAGGCCAGAAGATGTGTCTCATTGATCCCCATGGATTGGCAAGGTCTGTGCCGTAATAGGTGGTACCATCCTTTCCAAATTTCACGCTTTCGCCAATAAGTTCAAAGGTCAAATCAACAATGCTAGCAGGATTAACAGACGACTTGATACGGTAAACTCTAAGCGCATCGTCAACTTCGACGGATAGATTATCGGCATAGAAGTTTGCACCCGCAACCGTGAAGTTCTCCAACTTTGTGGAGGTCCAAACATAGGCATCAGGTTTGCTCTTCTTGAAGATTTTGAAGGTAAATTGAGCTGTTGTATGAAGACCAACCAGATTCGAGTGTATCACTTGGGCAAATCCAGAGTATACATCATCGTTGAAGTAGAATGTCTGGGTTTCGACACAGGTGTGGCTCGGCACTTGGTACTCTAGGTCTTTTGGTGACAAAGGAGAGTACAAAGGTTCGTCTTTCGACAGGTCGGAGCAGACTGGGTGAATTGATTCCGGTCCATATTCTGGTTCGGCAGTTCCAGCAACTACCGACAGTCCTGATTGAACTAATTTCCACATTTTATTAATAAAGGTTGCTTACTGTTCCCCCAAGAATAAATACATTTAATTTTTTTTGTTTGGCATACAAAAATTTTATTGACCCGTGTATCAGCTGACAGATTCCGTGTAGCCAAACTACTCGTATCATCATTCTTCTTCCTCTTCCTCTTCCTCCTCTTGCTCCTCGTCAAATTCGTGTTCACTCTCTCCACCATCTTCGTCCAGAGCAAGTGATGCATCAAAGTAGAGACTTGGGTCCAAAGCACTGATGTCACAGGACGTCGCTTTACCTTCAAGAAGCAGCTCGCTCATAAGAAGACCCGTAGCCGGTGCGTTATTGATACCCCAGCAGGAATGTCCGGAGGCTAAATAGAGATTTTCAACATTTGTCTCACCAATAAGTGGACCGGATGAAGAAGGCACATCCAAAACCGGGAGATAGCACGCCTGTCTTTTGAGCACTCTGCCATTCTTCAAGTTTTCGGAAACCTTGGAAACAAAGCCAAACAGTTTATCGCACTCCTCAGTCACAATCTCAACGTCGTCTGTCGTTTCTGGGATCTGAACAGACGAGTCTCCTTCCCCGCACACGTAAACTTCGTCTTTTCTTGCGTAAATTTCGGGACTCACAAATTTACTCTTACTAAGTCGTAATTCTGTGAAAACTGCGTAAGGCGTGATTTCTTCGACTTTAGCAGGTTGTACTGTGATCGAGTGGGCGCGCAGCCCTGAAATAGGACAATCGGGAAGAATTTTGGATGTCCAGGGACCGACAGACATCATTACCTTATCTGCGAAAAGCTCAACTTTTTCGCTGGAGGTTTTATCATACTCTGCTTTTGCGCTGGAAGGATAGTAGGAGACGCCTTTGCAGGTACCCGTCTCTTCATCGATCATTATGTCGTCCACTTTGCCAATGATTAGCTCCACAGCTCCTGTGGCAATGCACTGCTTTAAAATGAATGTGGTGAATTGGTAAGGATGCACTTGGGCCGTGGTATTTTTGTTACCGAGGTGGTTCCAGTCATCAATTAGCCTGCTGTCAATCCAACCCAGATCCTCCGGAAGCTTTGGCCCAGACAGCGAGTTCTGGCTCTCAATGGAAATACTATTGCTGTTCTTTGAGATAGTGGTGGACTTCACCTCATTTCTGTCCTCCTCTGCTTTCTGACTGCGTTTGGTTGTCCTTCCGCTCTTCTTACCTTCGAGGCTACTCAATCGTGACTCGGTGATATCCCCCTCAACGCTCACCGTTGTTAATCGTCTATAGCCCCATTCTTTCTCTCCGTCGAACTCGGTCGCGAGGTCTTGGTGTAACTGAAAGCTCAATGGCACAATCTGCTGGGGAAATGCCCACAATGCCAATAACCCACCTGCCTTTCCAGAGGCTCCTCCCGCTACACGTTTGCTTTCGACGATGGTGATGTGGTAATTATCCGGATCAAAGTTCGGATGTCTCGTAAGATAGAACGCTGTGCAAACACCAATGATTCCTGCGCCAACAATTACGATATGCGTCTTTCCCTTGTGTTTTCCCGAAGGAAACGACGAATATGTCAGAAAATCAGGCTTTTCTGGAGGGATTTGTTTCTCGGTCCCCATATCCACTGCCTGCGACAAGCGACTAATAATTTATAATCCCGTTAACAATAATCACTTTTTCCTGGCACTATTAATGAAAGTCAGAAAAGTTGCGTGAGAATTTCGTTGCTTACACAGCCGTAATTATAATGCTATCTATTTACGACGACTCCTCAGGGTCGCTAAGATCTATTTTTCTCCCGTTCGATTCGACTTCCAGATCACTATGTTGGTCGTCCGACGCATCTTCTGACAGCACTGTGCCGTCCACATCATCACCCTCTTCCTCGTCCTCCTCGTCCTCCTCGTCCTCATCGCTGCTCAGCAGACCCGCATCGTCAAGCTCCTCGATATACTCGACGTCTGCCTCTTCCTCGTCATCGTCGCGGGTCTCGAGGCCTACCAGCTCTCTCTTGAGCTCGAACCTGTCTGTCATCATGCTTAGTTTGCCTCTAAGCTCTAACAGTCTGTCCAGATTTCCTGCTTTTCTTTTCATGGTGGTAGCAAGCAAATTCAAGCTGGGCGAGTTCTGCAGCGATCCGCCATGAAATATTAAAATGTGCTTGATCCAGTAGGCCAGATTTGTTTGTCTATTGGTGTTTCTGGCAATTTTTTCAGCCAACCTGTCCAACAGTGGGCCAACATAGATAGAGTCCAGCTTTAGGATTGTGTTACGGATCACAGACTCGTCCTTGTTGTTCAGCACACTCTCAAGGAGAGAATGGTCGTTCGATTTGAGCGCCTGCGACAAAACAGTTGTCAGAGTTCCTGTCGAGGCTCTTCCGCTCTTTTCAGTGGAGTTTCCGTGGCCATTCGTTTGTATGGCTCGCAGTCTCTCTGCCAGTGAAATTTCGTCTTCGTCGTCCTCCTCAGCAGTTTCAAGATCTCTGAAGTTGTCTCCGGAAGAGACTACTGCGTTGCTCTCGTTGTATGTTTTTGGCGCGGCAATGTCGTGGCCATTTTTAGAGAACTGCGAGAACTTGAGATTAGGCTTTGGCTTTTCCAGCTTGAAGTCGCCAACTAATTTGTAGATTTTTGTCCCATCTTCCGCTAAAACCCACCAGTCAAGAGCATCAAAAAATGGGACGCTCGAATCCTCAAGCCAGGTCAAAGTCAGGTGCTTTGGCCCTGAAAAGATGCCTTGGATTGGAAGATTTTCCGCAACCTCTGATGCAGGCCGAGCGACAGTAATTTTGGCGTCACTTTTATGTGTGTTGACGCTTTTCTTCTTACGCTTGTAAGGCGAGCTGGCAGACTCGACAGTTTTCTTCTGTTCTTGCAGCGGACTGTTGAATATTTCCACTGCTCCCGATTCGGTGGTAGCAGCTAAGATGGTCATATCAAACCCGTTGTCCGCAATTGCTATCGATATGACAGGCTCTTCGGCAACCAGAACCCCGACGGTGGTGCCTTTTGAAACGGAAATGGCGTTAATGAACCGATCGCCTTGCGCAGCAGTGAAAATTATGTCGTCACCATAGTTGAGAACCGTTTGTATAGGAGAAACGTGTCCTGGAAGAGTCTTGACAACCGCAAAATTGTCAGCACTATTCACCAAGTACGTGGAGTGAGAGCAAAGAACAAGATGCGGCTGATCGTTGTACACTACCGTTGCCAGACGGGTCAAGGTCGTTTCTTCGCTCAGTGGTCTGTGTGTCTTGGACAGCTCCCAGGTTTTGAGATTGAATTCGTACAGGTTTCCTTGTATATCGCAACAATAAGCCACGTTGGAATGCGCATTGTGGTGGAAGTCTGAGACAGTTATGTGGTTAGGAGTCGCTAGCTTGTGAACGAGCTCGTTTCTGCTTGGAGAATAAATATGAACAGCACCGTTTTCCAAACAGAGTGCTATAAGCTGATCTTCTAAGGAGGCGTCTACACGTCTCTTTTTGACATTCGTTGACGCCTCCGAAAGGGTCTGGATCCATGTGAGAGCCCGGATCTTGACACCTTTCTCAAATGGATATACATTGGAGAAATTATCAGCGATGTCCTTGGAGCTCTGCACCCGGAGAGTATGCGAGTCCAGCGACACGGACACACTGGCGTAGTATTGTCCTGTCGCATCGAAGGCCGACGCCACGAGAGACATTATTGTGGTAGATTTATTCCTAAAATTTTTCAACACAGCCCGAAACTATAGGCCGTACTTACCCTGCCCAGAGAACCGTCTGGCAGGCAATTATTTTTCAATATAAAAAGAGCACTTTTTTTCCAGTCGGGCTGGTGCTCGAAATGGCAGAGACGCGGGTCAGTATTGACATAATTTAACAAAAGTACACCACGACCCTCGCATAATTACTACCATCACCAATGTCAGAAAACCAACAGCCGCAAGAAGAGTTGTCCCTCCCGAAGGCAACGGTGCAGAAAATCATTTCGGAGGTGCTGCCGTCTGAGTTCAGTTTTACGAAGGACGCGCGAGAAGCACTGATCGAATGCTGCATTGAATTCCTCATGATTTTGTCCACTGAATCGAATGACATCGCCGACAAGGAGCTCAAGAAGACCATCTCGACGGACCATGTTCTCAAGGCAGTGACAGAGCTGGGATTTGTGGACTACATCCCGGTGCTTGAGAAATGTCTGAGCGAGTTCAAGGAAAGCAACAAGTTCAAAGAGCGCAAGAACAGCAAATTCCAGAATAGCGGGCTGTCCGAGGAAGAGCTATTGAGACAGCAGGAAGAGCTGTTCCGTGCTAGCAGAAACCGTCTTCAGCAACAGAATGTCAAGGATGAGAGCGAGTAATGTATTCTAGTGGATAGATAGAGATGTACGATTATCGATAATATTTGCACAGCCGAGTAATAATATATTTTATTTATTTACTTACTGATCAGGTCGTGGACAAACTGCAGCTTTTCAGGAGGCAGCAAGTCCTTCAATCTCTGCTGTTCTCCAGACACAAACGACTTGAACTCGTTCACCACATTGATTGAGTCCAGAGGCGAGTCCTTTGTGAGCTGGTCCAATTCTTCATCGTCGTCGTGCTCGCCAAATATTTCTCCGTCATATTCACCCGTCTCGACTAGTTGTGTGATTGCCATGTCACGTTTCATGAGTATGACGCGCTTCTCGATGGCAGCGGGCAGTTTTTCAAAGCATCCAATCAAGCGGTGCAAAATCACATCACTGTAGTTCGATAAAATGCCCGTGTCTGCGGTCAAGAGCGAAATCAGGGCCAGAATCTGCAACTTGAGATCGAAAACCGTAGAGAGCCTATTTTCGTTATTGAACCACAGCTCAATTAATTTCATGAACTGCTGGCCAATCAGCTGCGACGTTTGCACTGGACGAACAAAGCAGCAGGAAATAAATATTTTCAGGAACGGCTTAAGAGTGTCCTGAAAGATCTCGTCATCGTTTGGATCAGCCTGCATTTTTGCAGCCGTCTGCAACACTGATTGTAAGATTTGCGGCAGAACCGGCTCGATGTTTGGGCCCACCGATAAAATGACAGTAGAGAGCAGGTTGTAAACAAATTCCACAAGGCCAATATCCGACTCGTAGTCATCGGTCTCGAGCAACGTCAGGATGGCAGTAAGGAACTGCTGTAAATGCATGTCATTGGCGATTTCCGAGTTTCTGAACCCGTGGATGCATATGGTCTCGAAATAAGGCTCATAGTTGTCGTAGTATTCGAATCCGTAATTTTCGAATGAGTCCATCACACATTCGAAAATGCTCCACGATTCAGGAATGATCACCTTCAACGTGTAGTTTATGGACTCCAGAAGATCCATAATCTCCGTCAAGAAGATTGCGAGTCCATTGTCTAGCACAAATCTGATAGCTGGCTCGATCGTTTTCATAAGTCCAAAAGTTATCTCCTTTTGAGACGTCATGGTGGTGATCATGGTGGTGAGCGTATTCAGGATCGACGCAGCCTGATACTCTTTATCCGTCTCCTCTGAGCTTTGTTTGTCGCTGTCCACATTTTGCAACCTCAACAGCTCTTCTGCAATCCTCAAAAACTGCGTATTCAGGTTGGAAGCCAGCTGCGTGGCAAACGGTTCGAGGTCCTTGGCAAACTTGGACACTATATCATCCATGATCTCGTTGATCAGCTCAAACTCAAAATTGTTGCTCATCTCAAGCAACTCAGACATCACAAGAGATATTCTAGGGGACACCTCATTGGCAATTGGCTCGTAAGAGACCATATACCGCAAAGCGTCGGCAGCCTCGATTCGCAAGGGAAGCGGGCTGGTTTTCGCAAAACAGTTCATCACATTTTGAAACACGCTCGAAAGCAGCTGAATATCCTTGTAGTTATGTGTTGTGAGAGCAATTGTCTCGCAAGCCCTGGTCTGCAGCCACTTGTACTTGCTATCCGAAAGCTGAGGCAGAATAAACGACTTTGTGATCTCGTCCAGCTGATCTCTCATTGGGCTGCTTGGTTTATTGAGCTTCATCCATACATTGCTAAGAAGTCTCAAACCGGCTTCGGTTTTGTGCGCAATCTGCTCGTCAGCCATGTTTTGCTGCCTGCTCTGGAAAATCTCGTTTAAAATGTTCATGACCACAACAACGGACTCCTCAAACCGCCTGTAAGTCAGCGCATACACAAACTCGTTAGCGGCAACGTCTGCAGTCTTGGAATCGTGGTTTATGTCGTAGAATCTCCGTAGATACTCCTGAGGATCGTCCTCAAACAGCTCTACGGTCTCCTCAGACGCGCTAAGCATAGGGACGATCACGTGACGGATCAGCGGATCGAGCTGCTCTTTAATGGATCCCCAAGTGCCGTCATACTGCAAGCATTCGCTGATGAACGCCACCAAGTGGTAGAGACACACCTCGCTAAGCCAGTGTTCACTCTTAAGCTGTGTCCATCTGTCAATGACGGACCAGTAGTGCTGGAGAATGGAGGGGAGAAAATGCGTAATCAAGTTCTGCTGCAGTGCCTGATTGTTTTCATTAGTGCAGTGTCGCGATCTCAGTCTATGGAGGTTTGCAAATGACCATTTTTGGCACTTAGACAAAGGGTGACTCGACAACTCAACAGCGTTGAGGTCCCGGAGACTCGAGCTCTCCAGATCGATGATCTTGAACATGTAGCCGCACCACTTACTAAGCAGATTCAGGTCATTTGTGAAGTAATTTGGCATCTCAGTGTAAGTGCTGTACTTGTATATTTTCAGCACCAAATAAATAAGCTGAGCCACCTGCGTGTTGGCCGATATCTGGCCAATGTATGACTCTAGAAGTGTCTCGAGTGCAGGGAAAAATCTAGCCACTAGAGTGTTCATGAAAGTCCTGTTTTCTATGGCATCAAAACGGTGGTATTTGGAGACCTGATGGATCAAAAGCAAGCTGGCATATACATAGTCAAAATTGTCTGAATGCTCGTTGAGCATCTTGTGTGCCGATTCCAGAAGCTCCGTATCCCATGTAGACTCCAACCGAAGAATGTGCTCCATAGAGGAAGTAAGCTGTTTGAGGACAGCCTGGTTCCCTGTGCAACTAAGAATTGCCGGGATCAGCTGGTATTTGATGCGCTCTTTCTCCTCGGGCTTAATGCGGTGCGCTAGCAATTGCTCCGGAGAACGGTCCGAGATGAACCACGAGTTGCGGATCCGGTTCTTAACAAAGGTGATGGCGACAAGCCGGATGTGAGACGGCAACGATTGTTCGGTAGCGATCTCCAGACAGTCTGCAAGAACGCCTGCCTTAGACAGCGCTTCCACCAGGCTCCGCTCAGACGAGCTCCGTAAGGCATTGTCGGGAGACAAGGTATTCAGGAGGTGTTGTAGGAGCTCCTCTTTATTCATGACGAAAATGTTGGCTTACAAAAATTTAAAGAAAAAATAGTGTTACTTAATCCAGATATCGTCGTAGAAACCAATAGACCTGTCACTCAATTGGTAGCTGAGACATATCCCATCGATGTAGACGAGATATAAGACGTACCTTCCTTGTGCTATTCTTCTGCAATCAATGCCAATGAGCGTCCGCACGCCAAAATCGCCACTTAGGCACAGCCGCTCGTAGTTTGGAACCACGTACTCCTGGCGCATTCCATAGATGCCGCGGAACGTAGTCAAACGGAATACCGACACTAGACCTGACTGTGATCCCACCACGTAGCAATTGAGCTCAGGAATCAGAAATCCTAGAGACAGCCGGTTGGAATGGAGCCAATCCTCGTTGAATGGTTTAAACTGAAATACCTTGGGAACTGTCGCATTGCAGATGAGCTTGTTCACGCGAAAAAGCCCCATGCGCAAAGCTGTGGACACAACCAGGAACTTGTCGGTAAATTGAGGAGTTCTGATCTGCGGCTCCCAATATTTTTTGGAGTTCATCGATATGTGTGATTTCTGCTTTGAGCGCTGTTTCCATATGTAATAATCATCATACACCTTTTTAATGCGCCGGTAATTATCTGACAACGACGTGAAAGGTTTTTGTTGCGAAATGAGACTCAGATGGTCGAGAGTCACGGTTGGAATAAAAAAGTTATGGAAGCTGGCAGAGATACCGATGTGACTGGAAAAACACTCGTCAGACTCGCAGTCAAGCACTTTGCTCTCGTTGATCATCTTGTTCAGGATCATTTTCTGCTGGTCTATCCACGGATCGCCTGTCATCAGTTCCAGGGAGTCGACCTTCTTGAAACAACTAGAATCCACGTACCTGGTAATCCAGACATTGTCTCCTAGTAATGCTCGACTGATAATGTACGGACGGCGGAACCGAACCCTGGCAAACCGATCTCCATTCTCTTTATTATACGGTCCTTCATACAGAACCATCGGGAACTTGAAGATAACCAATTCCCCGCTGATGGAAGCTCCGCTAACATAAACTTCGTCCTCTCCTTTTATGAAACTGACAGAAGGAACATTGTGCAATATCTGGTGTGTTTGGACATGGAAATCGTTTCCGCATTCATCGATATAGTGTAACTGAATGCTTTGGCTGTTGTCAGAAACTACCACCATATTCTGGTACATATCCAGACCCCAGACCGAGGACAATGCACTGAATTGATAATCAGGGGTCTCTCCCATATTGGGTATCCCTTTGTCCTGACAGCTCTTGACTAATCTCTCCACATTGTATAAAAGCACTCTGCCGTCGTCACAGCAGAGGCCGAGAGTTTCTTGCTCTTTGAGCTGCCCGATCACCATATAATTAATAGTGTGAGGAAAATGCGGTCTGGTTGCGCTCTGCCGATGAGCCTCTGTTGTGACAGAAGGATGTGTGTAGAACAGAAGTCGCGGTAGTTTATCTGGCTGGAATTTGTCCTTTTTATGAGTAAACCCGTAAACGCACGCTCCGACAGCAACAAATAAAAGATCATGTCTTGCAGAACAGCATACAATGTTGTTCTTGTACTTGTCCGGTCTGCCGAAATCAAGCTTTGTAAAGCCGTGGAACTCAATGTCCAGCGAGTCTTTGAACTTCTGAGCCGGCTGCGATCTTAGAGGAAATTCCAGCGAGTCCAATTTGGCAAAGTCTTGAATGATCTCTATCTCCCCGTCACTGTGATGGTTCTCAAAGTTTTTAAACGTGTCATTGGAATTGATAGGGCACGGATGTCTGCATGCGTCCTGGCTAACAAACTCATATCCCCCGATCATGGCATGCTCGTAGTAGTTCTCGCTGATATAAATAGTGTTGCTCTCGCCAGAGCTGCGTATTTTGCGGTCTAACAGTGTGTCGGCTTCGTAATCTCCATCCTGAGGAGGGAAGGACAGCTGATTCTCCGTGTAGAACAAGTCCTGGTCCTGTAAACTTGACTCCGTAACCACCAACGGCTGTAAGGCATTGTCTTCCAAGTCTGTGTCAAAGCGGTCGTCATCGTACCCATCACTCATATCGCTAGAGTCGGGAAACAAATTGTAGCGCTCACTGTTTCCTGTCACTGATCCTCTGGTGCTGGAGCCATTGGTCCGGTTAATAACCTTGCTTCTAACGCCACACAGGGCTAGGAACCGTTCGAACCGTCGTTGGTGTTCAAAGTCCTGTAAACGGACCTCCCGAAGGTCCTCCCGAGCGGGGTCCTCATCATCACTTATTCCATGTGTTGCCGATTGCTGTGGCGTAGCATACATGGAGTCCAATATTTCGTGATCTCTTCTTCTTTCTACCTGAATTATATCTCCTAAATCCAATTCCCCCATAATTATTTTTACGTCGATCGACCCAGATAAGATGACAAGCTATTATTCCTTACTATACATTATTAATCCCGTTCCCTATATTCCTGACCTCTTGCCGGAGACCTGTCGCGTGGCATGCCAATTTCATTCTTTTTGACAACAGGAACATAACTAGTATCATGCCTATAGGCGGGGCTTTGCTGAGCTGGCGATGGCTTGGCCCCCAGGCCCAAGTATGGCGGTCTGGGCTTCGAAACAGGCGTTTTCGATCGAGTCCCGGAATTCTTCCAGCCCATTCCCCGCAGCATGGCTTCGCCAAACTTTTCCACAGGCATTATCTGGTAACTTTCTAAAGTAGGGACCTCGCCATCCTGGCTCTCGATCGCTTTGGGCCCCAGCAGTCGCGAGCCAGTTGTTTGCGGTCTTTCGGTTTCCATTTTGTTCAGGCCATAATGTAGCTCCTTGTTCTCCTGCTCTGTTCGCTGTCTCCGTCGTGCTTCCCAGCCGTCTTGTTTTGAAGCGGGCTTGATTACTAGGGGCTCATCTTTCTTATGCTGGATATCGTCAACGTTGGTGATCTCTACCTTCTTATCCTTCTTCTCCTCGTCCTCAAATAGCTCGCTCCGTTTCAACGGCGTGGACTTCTTCTTGAGCGAAAAGCCCACCTTGGACGCGGGCTTTTTCGTGGAGAAGTTCATAATGGAAATAAAAAATAATTAGTCCCATGCTGATCTTGCGAAGAATTCATCCCTCGCAGAACCCGCTCGCTTTCCTTCGTCGGCTTTCCAGCAAGCCGTATAAGTCCTCCTCAGATGGAGAGCTGGCAGAACGAAAAAACAAAGAGACAGCCAAACTGGTCAATGACATAGAAAGCCCTGAAAACAATAGGTCTGCACTCAAGGACTACATCAATGCTGTCATTGGAAGCGAGAACTTCAAAGAGCTCAAGGCTGAGTTTGCACGTTTCCACTCCGAGCGGGCCAAATTAGCAAAAGAATACCACAGCTCTTTCACCGACAAGCTCGACCGAACTGCCGCAGAGCTTAAGAAGAGTGCAACGATAGCCTCCAAACTCATGAACGACTTGACAGGATACACAAAGATCAACAAGCTGAAGGAGAAGATAGTGGAAAATGAACAGAAGATGAGAGAGTTAAGAGCCTTGATCAGCGAAAGCAAGCAGAACTATGCACGTGCTCTCGAAGAACAGACATCAGCACAGAAACAAATCAACGAGCTTCTTGAGCGGAAACACAGCTGGACTTCCCAGGATCTCGAGAAATTCACGAATCTCTACAGAAACGGCCATGAATTGGAGCGTCACGTGGAAGCAAACTCTAACAAAGTGGCAGAATTGGAGGCCAAGGAGAACGATTTGCACAATGAATTGATTCAGAGCATTATGGAAAGGTATCACGAAGAGCAGGTGTGGTCAGACAAAATTCGACAGTTTTCCACGTGGGGTACCATCTTCATCGTGTGTGTAAACTTGTTGCTGATGCTTCTGGTGCAGCTATTATTCGAGCCTTGGAAAAGATATAGACTTCTGAGCTCTTTCGAATCGAAAGTTAAAGAGCTCTTTGAGACCCAGGAACTGCAGAATTGGCACAAACTGAAATCTGGATTGGAGAGCATAGAGCGCAGACTCGACAAGTTCGAGCATGTTGAAGGCATGCTACCTACAGATTTCTCTTGGAGTAGCATAAAACAGTGGGCCACCAAGCTGAGACTTATCTTCTTCAGCAACAACTTTTACAAGCTTGATGTGTCGTCGATAGAATTGACTGCATTTTGTGGCACAATCAGCTCTATCTTCCTGATCCTAGGCATGGTTCTGTCTAAACTTCTCTTATAGACATATGGCGTCTATCGGCGCGTCGACAGTAAAATACTCCTTACACCGAGCGAGAGCGAAAACGAACAAAAAGTTTTGGATAAATCAGTTTGCCACCGGTTAGAGTGTAACAAAAACTTGAGTCTCCTTATAACAATAAACATACTAGCATGGAAGAAATTGGTATCTACCCAACACACACCCCTGGTATTGGTCAGCCTGTCGAAAGTATAAACTCGAATGCCAATGGGAATGCCAATAAGAATGGCACAGACGTTTACTTGAAGCTGAAGAAGCTGGAAAAGGAATTGCAACTTCTCATGTTGCAAGAAGACTACATCAAAGATGAACAGCGCCACCTGAAGCGAGAACTGATCAGAGCACAGGAAGAAGTGAAGAAAATCCAGAGTGTTCCTCTTGTCATTGGACAGTTTTTGGAACCTATTGATCAGCAAACGGGTATTGTTTCGTCGACTACTGGATCCAACTACGTGGTTAGAATTGTGTCGACGTTGGACAGAGAGCTTTTGAAGCCTTCGGCCTCTGTTGCGCTTCACCGTCATTCTAATGCCCTTGTGGACATTTTACCACCAGAGGCAGATTCCTCAATATCGATAGTGGGAGAGAACGAAAAACCAGACGTTACATACAACGACGTGGGAGGATTAGACATGCAAAAACAAGAAATCAGAGAGGCTGTGGAGTTGCCTCTCACGCAAGCAGATCTGTACAAGCAGATTGGTATAGATCCTCCTCGAGGTGTCCTTCTATATGGTCCCCCAGGTACAGGTAAGACCATGCTGGTCAAGGCCGTTGCCAACAGCTCTACCGCTTCATTTATTAGAGTGAACGGCTCGGAATTTGTGCAAAAGTATCTTGGAGAAGGTCCTAGAATGGTGAGAGACGTTTTCAGACTGGCCAGGGAAAACTCGCCATCTATTATTTTCATTGACGAAATCGACGCAATTGCCACAAAGAGATTCGATGCCCAGACAGGTGCGGACAGAGAGGTGCAAAGAATCTTGATAGAGCTTCTTACGCAGATGGATGGATTTGACCAATCCACCAATGTCAAGGTCATCATGGCCACTAATAGACCCGATACGCTGGACCCGGCTCTTTTGAGACCTGGAAGATTAGACAGAAAGATCGAGTTTCCCTCGCTAAGAGACAGAAGAGAGAGGAGGTTAATTTTCAGTACAATTGCAGCCAAGATGTCACTTTCCCCAGAGGTGGATCTGGATTCGTTAATTATGAGAAATGAGCCACTGAGTGGAGCTATCATAGCTGCCATTATGCAAGAAGCTGGTCTCCGTGCAGTGAGAAAGAACAGGTATGTTATCTTACAGAGCGATTTGGAAGAAGCGTACACGGCACAAGTGAAGACAGGAAATGAAGTCGATAAGTTTGAGTTCTATAAATAAGCAGTGAAATTGAAGATTCCGATGCCTGGTTTGAAGGTTTCCCATCCGTACTTATCGAATTCAAAATGATCCATATTATAATGCCACTTATAGCTCCATATCTCATGATAACGGAGACTACTGTTCTTGAAGTTAAGCATGGCGTTCTGTGGAGCTATGAGAAGTACGTGTCCGTTAGCTTCTGTAATGTCAGATAGCAATGGCTCGAGGGACTCGTACTCATAGCCCATGCAGTCTATCACAAATGGAGACGTCGCATTTCTTGCTCTATTTGCAAAGTCCGGCTCATCTTTGTTGATATATGATAATGAACCATTTTGTAGGAACCATGTTGGGGGCTTGTATGTTCTCCAGAACACAAAGTTTCCTGAGTGATGCTGCAGCTCTTGCATAGCTGGAATAACGCCTCCCTGATGCAATTTTCCCATGAAAACCAGCATTCCTAGGTTGAATGGAATCCAAAGCATCAACAGCACTTTCTTGATTGTGGACCTTGATATGTCAACGCAGCTGGCCCATAATGGCACCATAGGAATGAGGAAACGAAGCTCTTGGTGTGGAACAAGGCTCAATACTATCATTCCCGATGCCACTGTCAAGAACGACGTAGACTTGATGTTTTTTGTCGTGAATGGAAACACTAGGAATATCAGCGGGCCAAACATGGTTGGATAGTTCACGAGTACGTGCTGGTAGTATGGATGCAACCCGTGTTGTGCCAGATTAGAGATCTTGCTGTTGTATAGTAGATTATTCAGCGGCGTTATTATGGAGGTATTAATGGAGCCCGTAAAATAGTACGAGTCTGCGGCGATGAATATGAGACTGAAAAAGACGAAGCTCTGGATGGCCAACAGTGATTGAAGCTTGTTTCGAAGGCCATATTTAAGCACGAAGATAGCCGGAAGAACCAGCCAGGCGACAAATGTAACTCTGTTGAATATTCCAAAAGAAACCAAAAATCCTAAAAAGAGAAGCTTGTACGAAGAGATACTCTTCTCTTTGGTCTCCAATGCCTTTCTCATGTCATTGATGATCCAAACGGTATACAAAAGAACACAAGTTTCGATGCTGTTGGAGAATGTGTGTGATTGATACACCAGAGTAACGTAGCTCGTGTCGGCTAGCAACAAGGCCGTAGAAAAGTCTCTTCTGCGAAGATGCAATTTGCGCAGCGTAACCTGGATAGCAATCAATGTCATGAGCGAGTATATCAGTTTTACTAGCTTGTAGGATCCGATTGGCGACTCTCCAAGGCTCTGGACGACTATTTGGATCCATTTAATTGGCACGATCGAGCGACACGCGTGCTGGAACTCCCACGGGACATTGTCGTCGAACAACGGCTGGAAGGTCTGGAAAAACTCGTCCGGATGGATGTATGAGAGCCACGAAACGCACTCCAGCCGGAGAAACAAAGCAAGAATGTGGAACGACCACCAAACTGTCTCCCAGTTCCAGTGCCAAGTCATAGGTGCGAATAATTTTTTTAAGACTAAAGACTTATATAACCTTGTATCTTTGTTTGACCTATTACAGTAAGTTACCTAACAGTCGACCAACTCGACGGCCTTCAAGTGGATTTCATTACATTGGCCTCCAATCGACTGGTCGTACAAGTTGTAGAAAGTGCCCGACAGACACTGGTAGAATATGGTGTTGTTACCAATGGCCAGGTATCCCTCTGGGGAAATGGACCATCCGTCAGCATAGATGGCGCCAGCTTGTGGTGGAGGACCGTCGAATTGGAATTGTCTATTAGCAACGATAGAGCCAATTCTTCCCTCCGAGTCGTACAGGATACCGTCCTTCAAAGTCATGGCCAGAGCACCCTCCTTCTTGCAGGACACAGAGGTGACATAGTCTCCAGTTGCAGTGGATGCGGAAGCGGAGGAGGTCTTCGAAGAAGCGGTGGAAGATGCCTGGATTTGACCGTCGGAGATCTGGGAGATCACACCGCTGGTGGTGGCAGAAGAGGCCTTGGTGCTGGTAGCCTGGATTTGGCCGTCAGTGATTTGAGACACAACGTCAGCAGCAGTGGAAGTGGAGGACTTGCTGGTGGCTTGGATCTGACCATCGCCAATCTGGGTAACAACGTCAGCAGCAGTTTTCTTGGAGGAAGTGGAGGTGGTAGCTTGGATTTGACCGTCGTCAATTTGAGAGACAACCTCTGCGTCAGTCTTCTTGGAGCTCGAAGAAGAAGAGGTGGTGGTGGCAGTGGTGGCTTGGATTTGACCGTCCGTGATTTGCGACACAACAGCTGCGGCAGTAGAAGTAGAGGATTTGGAGGTTTCCTTCTCGGTGTCTGTGGTAGCCTGAATTTGGCCATCACCAATTTGAGAAACAACCTGTCTTTTTTCAACGTTGAGAGAGGCGGAAACCGTGGAGCCGGTCTCTAGCGGTTCAACAGCAATACCGAAAGTGGCGGAGTAACTAGTCAGAGCACCATCCAGGGTGTAGGATGGGGTCATGGTGGTCCAGTAGGTAGAGCCAACATAGGCAGCGAATGCGTTGGAGGCCAAACTGATGGCAGCGAGCGAGGATGTGAACTTCATAGTGCTAGCGAGTTGACTGAGAACAGTCCGAGTAAATCTCGCGTTTATATATACCTCGGCTGTCAATTTCGCTAAATTTAGTAATGGCTTTGCAAAGGAGTGTGCATGCTTGGCTGAAACTCCTTTAAAATTGTTTCGGAACCATTTTATGAAATGGACATAAAAACGCGTAGATAGTGGCAGCGGGAGCCCGATATCACAGTCCTTTGCCTACTGGTGCTGGCTTTGATGTCTGGTGAAGCTCTGGTTGCTACTACCGGCTCCAATTTTTCTACTATTTTTTCGCGTTTGTTGTTGTATTATTGAATGCATCCCCGAAGACGCGTTTAATTTTTCATATTATTTTGAAAGGAGAATGCGGTGCGAAGGTGCAAACAACAATAAACACCACCGTACCTATTCCTTCGATTGACGCGCGCTAACGCTTTGACGCGTGCATCATCAGTAGTAGTGAAGTATACACGCTGGAACGCCTATAACTATAACAAACTAAGAAATATAACGCATGATTTCAGTCGAGCCATTTTTCCTTGTCGTTTCTCTTTATGCCTTTTTCGTACACCGAGTACGGATCTGGGAACAACCCTGTTTTACTCATTATTATTGTTCTTGAAGGAGTGAGCTTCGCTTTGAGCAAGTTTGCATCTATCAGCGACATCAACAATGTTTCGACGAGCGTCTCGTCTAGACCCTCATTGAGAACTGTGTAAAACCATTCATGTCTTGCAGCAAACTCGTTTTTCATTGATTCTGGGCTCAGTGACACTTCTAGTGCATTCCGTACATAATCGAAGCTCAGCCCCCCCTGTAGCTTGTACGTTCTTAGCACGAGATTTCTGAGCACCAAAATCCTTACCCGTTGCAAAAATCCTATTAATATTCCGAGCTTAATGAAATATTCTTGCTTTTTTGCTACCATTTTGGAAAATCCAAACAGATCTCCATTTTTGTAACACTGGATCAATGGACGATATAACTGTAAAAGTTCATGGTTTCCCAGCTGCGCCTCCAAATACTGCAAGTTGGGACATTTTCCCACTAGTAGCCCCGATGGCAGCAAGTACTTGAGAATCAGCAGTATATTTTTCAACGGGGCCTGCTGGTGACAATTTTTGAAGCACCAATAGAAATGGTGGTATGCGACGTAATAGTTGCTCTGGAGCAGGTGGAATTTGCCCAGCACGAATCTATATTGTATTAGTTGTTTGCGCGAGATGAGGCTCTTATCTAGTGCCAGAATGTTGATGTTGGAGAAAACGTTGTTGCACAGCATCACAGAGTCTATGTACATGTAGGTCTGGCAGAGTGTAATGCTGAGAAACATTAAAATCGAGATTTTGTACTTTTTGGAGGGAATATTCAGCTCTGGATCGTTTCTTATGTTGTTCAAACTTTTCAGCAGCAACGTCGTCATATATGATAAGCGAGGATAATCGTTGGTCCGTCCATTGATACTCATTAGCTTCTCATCCACCAACTTGGCTAGGCGGACAATGCTAGAGGTCGATTCTTGCACCAGTCTCAGCAGTTTGGCGTTCTGGTTGTTATTGAGTGCCACGCTTAAGCTCTCGTAAAACTTAATGAGCAGGTCTATCGATTTTTGCAGCGACCATGGATCAAAGTCGCGGACAAAGATAAGGTAGCTTTGAACTAGCGTTTCGAATGAGGGCCAGTCCCCGCCAAAAAATGAAGCCTTCTCTATCTCACTCATGATGTGGCTGTTCGAGTAGTTTTGTAAATTCTTTTGCAATGGAGCAACATGTTGCGTAGTGGGATCGACTGAAAGTGCAATGTGTAGCGTATCTGTTTGAATGGCATTTTGAACCAACTGTAAATAATCAGCGAGCGACATGCACCAGATAGATAAATGATCAATCTTGAATTATTTTTTAATATGATTTTTTTTGGCTCCAATGAGGAACGTAAATCACAAGATGTTCCTAAAATAGAACATGATCCATCTAGGATAGTTCTGCGCAAACTTCCTGCTGACATGGACTATAATCGCTTTGTTGAGAAAATAGCCACTTTGCATGGAGTTAAATCCTACTATTTTGTCCAAGGTAGAGTTTCGAGCGGCCCCAATGAGCCTCCCGTTCACTCACGTGCATATCTTCAAATGGCAAGCACAGAGCACGCCAAGTCTGCAGTCCGCCAACTTCGAAACTCCAGTCGGTCAGTCGATTTTCTTTCGCTTGCGAGCTCAGAAATACAGAAGGCTCTAAACGAATCTGTTCCTGAACCCTTTATTGCAGGACATCGAAAAAGTAGAACCCAACTGGAAGAATCACCATTATTTCTGAATTATATGAAGATGAATGCAGGTGAGATCACTGAAGAGGAGTTTCAGAGGCCCTATTTGGCAAAGCCTAAAAGGAAAAAAGCCTCCAAACAGGCTCGCAGCCGATCTGCTGAACGAGGAGGTGAAGCGACGGAAAAAAAGAACGGCGCGTCGAAAAAAAAGGATAAAAAGGAGCAGAACTTAAAGAAGGAGAAAGAGAAAACTACAAGCGCACAGCAGAAGCCAAAGAAAGCTAAGCCCAAAAAATCAAAAGCTACTCAAAAAATTGGTGGACAAAACAAAAGCGCCCAGGCCCAACCGTCAACCAAGGTCCAGATCACATAAACGGCTAATTGTCCAAATCTCTTGATTCCTTAAATGTCCAGGCAAGACAGCCAGTACAAGACCATTGAGGCCACAATCAAATGGCTGCAAGAGTACAAATCGTTGGCGGTTTTGTCGAGACCGCGAATCACCGAGTTTCTAGATCCGAAATTTGTCAACGAAGCGGTTGAGTGCATCATTGGTGAGCGGCCCATCGAAACAAGCGCAATCGACGACAACACCCAATATTTCAAGATATTAGCTGAGTTTCTAGCAGACATGTTCGTTGGCACTGAGGTGGTAGAAATGCACATCCAAGCTATGGATTCTTCGTTATTGGACAGGTACGTGAAGGGTAAGACAAATTGGGAGTTTGTGGACGACTTGGCTTTGACCGAAGCCATATACCACTACTGTTGCTTACTATTGGTTAGTAGTGTTCGAGGAAAACGAATGGCGTGGGCGATGACCAATATTAACTATTTGCCGTTGGAGTACAAAAAGGTGCTGGAGAAGTTCAGTCTAATTGCGGACAAGCAGTCTGTATTCGAAGGATTCGAGCAAAATTCGGACAATGCACAACTGGAAGAAGCCTTACGAGAGAAGGAAGAACAGGCCCAATTTCTGCAATCACAGCTGAATGAACTGCACGAAACCAGCCAACTTAAAGAGCAGCAGTTGCTTGTCGAGCTGGAGAGTAAAGAGGAAAAACTGAAAGCTTACGATCAATTGATGGTTAAATTAAAGATACAAAATGAACAGTTTCATCACAGCTTCATGGATCCGTCGGTTGATTCTTCACTTAACAAACACACGAAACTGGAGATGATTTCATTCGAAAATAAAGTTTTGGAGCATTTTATTTCCATATTGGCAAAAGCCTCGGATTAGAATAATGCATCCAATGTACAGCACACGCACATTGCAGCCAAGCATGCCATCAGACAGTCGCCCCCACCACTACTATAGGTTTGCTGCTGAGCATACATCGGCTGTTGTTGATAATATGGTTGCTGCTGGTAGTATGGCTGCTGTTGGTAGTATGGTTGCTGCTGGCCATACATCGGTTGCTGCTGTTGCTGCTGATAATACGTGTGTTGCTGCTGATAGTACGGCTGACCTCCGGAAAACATGCCTCTTTCCTGCGTGGTCTGCTCAACGTAACCTTGAGGCTGTGCGTTATATGTAGTAGTCCCCGAATTGTAATACTCTGCTGCAGCGCCTTTGCTTGCGGGCGGAGGATCGGATGGTGGCTGGGTAATGTTAGCGTCAGATTTTGTTCGAACTTACTTTATATTCTGGCATGTTCAACTAAGATAAATCAACTGCAAGTAATTATACTTAGGAAGATTCTTGAGGTGGAATATACCAGAGTGCATACTCTGCACCGCCACGTGGCGTTGGTGGCTGTGCCTGTTATTTTCGGATGACAGTAGCGAACGGAAGTCATGTTGCGCAGCAGGTGGCAAGATGGCGCAGCCCGGCTTTGCGACAGCAGTTAAAAAAGGCTATGCTCATGTCGACATTCTACACTTTGCAGTTATGTCAACCGTCCGGATCTTGTAGTGCCTGACGTGTTTGTTGCGGGTGTAGAGGTGTAGAAGATTTATTTGTTTAGAAAAACACCATTCTTAGGCAAATTATAGACAGGGTCGCAAATCAGTTCGAAACTGCATTCGTGACGGAATTTTGTGTCTGGCGCAGTTTGAGAAGGTAATTACGCGCGCTTTGCATACAGTGCTTCACTACAAGCCATGGAAATAGATCAACGAAAACAATACACGCGAAAAGATCTGGATCAGGACGAGGAATTCTGGCTACAGCAGGATTCTCTGGCCATAGATCTGCGGCAGATGCCACCTGCGCGACGGAGTTTTTTGCAGGACGAGATGTCTAACAGCTCGTCACAAGCATCTTCGACAGTGATACATGCAAGCTACCAGGGGGAAGCAAAGCGTACCGTTGAAGATCTGAAACAAGCGGTTTCTGGTACCTTGAATACAGACCAGATGTTTGCTGATACATTGAAGGCTCTACAGAATGAATGTAGTACCCTGAGCGACGATGCGGCAGATGGGGCCGAAGGCGAGGAGAATCTGCCAGAAGAGGATGATTATAGTGATTACATGGAGGGAATGTTGCCATCACCACCTTCTTCTCCTCCACGAGAACTTGACCCTGACAAATTATACGCGCTCTACGACTTTAGTGGGCCCGACCCATCACACCTGGAACTGACAAAAGACGATTCCGTACTTTTGCTTAATGATTCCGACAGTTACTGGTGGTTGGTGAAACGAATTTCCACCAATCAAGTTGGATTTGCGCCCGCCGAAGTGCTGGAGACGTTCGAGGAGCGTCTTGCAAGGTTAAATTGCTGGAAAAACGAGGTCATTGAAAGAGAGGATACGACGTGCCTGTCGGTAGACGATTTGAAAGAGTTTGAGCTGAACTCACAAAAGGTTTATTCTGGGTCCAACTTGACACTCTATGAGAACCAGAATGATAGCAGCAAGAGTGATAACTCACTACTAGGTCGCAAAAGCTCGCTCAAACGTAGCAAGTCGTCGATGCGCAAAACCGTGTCTTTCGTTCCTGAGGTTCTTTCTGAGCTAAAGGAAATCGACGACACTAGGTCCGAGCCTGGGAGTGATAGCCAGCCTCAGTCTGTCCCCTTAACAGTCAACAAACGAGTTAGCAACTCTAATTTCTTGGTGAAAAACCTCGATGACTACCAAGAACATCGCAGGTTTTCTTTCCAAGAAAAATGTCATGACGATGTCGACGACGAAACAAGCATATCATCGATTGACTCTGACTCCTATGAAAGTTTCAACGATGATAAACAGTTAGATCATGAAGAGCGTACGGAGTCTGGTACTTCCATTTCACCTCCTGCCTTGACGACAGAGATGGATAATTCTAATACTACAATTGACGAGACCGCGCAGCCGACAACTAAACAGTTCAGAACGCTGTCATTCCAGGAGCAGCGAACACTTTTCTTGGAAAAGAAAGATAGCAAGCTATCTCAGAGAGAGGCTTCCAATGACTCTACATCATCAAGCTTATCGCAACGCAAAAACTTGTCAAGTGTTTCTTCCGATTCCTTGACACCGCAAGCATCCCAGACCGATCTTCTGAGACCCAAAACATTGCATCCTGTGGCTGGTGAGCTGTTCAATCCTCTTTTCGACCAACTGGAGGTGCTGGAAAAGATGCTGAACGATTTTATAATTACTGATTGAGCTCGAAATATACAACTACCAGTAATCACACATCTTTACACAGGCCTTTAAAAAAAATTTTTGGAATTTTTTTTAACCTTTAAGAACAAGTGCTGATTTACTGAAGACTTAACGGAGAAAACCACAGATTTGCCCCTTTGACGTCAACTGTAATTCTGGTTACATCCGTAATATAGACTCTGCCTCATTTAGCATTAGAGACGAGGTTTCAGGCTACAAACTTCAACTTTTAACCACAAAAAATCATATTTCCCCTACAATGCCCACATGGACGCCTAACTCACAGGCGTTGGATCAGATTGTGTATATCCTTGCGGGAACTTTATCATCTGACACCAGCGTGCGATTGCAAGCTACAGACGCTTTAGAAAAAGCAAGACAGCAAACAGACTTCGACAATTACCTTCTGCATATTTTGATCAATGGACAATCCCTCGAGTCTCAAGTTAGGGCATCTGCAGGACTCATGCTGAAAAATGACCTCATAAAGAATCTTCAGTCAAAATCTGAGGATCTGAAATCACATATATTACAAGAGATCCCTAAAGGGTTGTTGGACTCGCAGAACCTGGTGAGAAACATTACAGGTAATGTCATTACAACGCTATTTTCAATATTTGGTGTCCGGCAGTGGCCCAACATTTTGCCCAACCTCATGGAGCTCGCTTCTGGTGCTGCAGGTACCGCTGAGTCGCAGGAGGGTGCTATGAGCGCCCTACTGAAAATCTGTGAAGATTCTGCTCGTCTTTTGGACCGCGAATATAACGGGGAGCGGCCTGTTAATTTTATGGTGCCGCAATTTATTGAATTGACTGGATCCCCAAATCCAAAAGTGAAAGCCAGCGCCATTGGCTGCATCAATCAGATTCTGACTATTAAATCACAGAGCATGTTCATTCATTTGGATGAGTTCATGACACGTTTGTTTGCTCTTGCAACAGATGAAGATTCTAACGTGAGAACAAAAGTTTGTACTGCTTTTGCGAGTATCCTCGAAGAACGTCCGGACAAACTAATGCCTCATTTGGACGGCGTTATCAACTACTGTATTCATTCTATGGGGGACTCGAACGAGGAAGTGGCCCTGGAAGCATGTGAGTTTTTATTAAATTTGGCGACATCTGACATGCCTGAGGCAATTGTCAAAGCCAAACTTCCGATGTTGATTCCAGTACTCTTGGAGAAGATGGTCTACTCCGAGATGAATGTGTTTCTAATTGAAAACTCTGATGAGCAGGAGAACGAGAATGTCGAAGACAAAGATGACGACATCAAGCCTCAGATGGCTAAAGGAAAGGAAGCCCACAAGCTTGCCAGCAAGAATATCACCAACAATGACCAAGAAGAAGATGCGGACGACTCTGACGACGAGGATGATATCGACGGTTCCATGGAGTGGAATCTGAGGAAATGTTCAGCTGCCACCATGGATATTTTAGCTACCAATTACCCTTATGAGGTGTTGGAGGTTTCTCTTCCAATCATCAGGGAGAGAATAATTTCTCCACAGTGGCCTATAAGAGAAGCCTCGATTCTCGCTTTGGGTGCAATTGCCGAGGGCTGCTTGGACCAGGCCTCTTCTGAGCTGCCATCTTTAATTCCATTCCTTGTCGAACGACTGAAAGATTCTGAGACCCGGGTCCGTCAAATCACTTGCTGGACGCTGGGTCGCTATTCATCGTGGGTGTGTTCTGAAGCATTGAGCGGAGGCTCCTATGCTAACTACTTTGCTCCAACGTTCCAGTCGATTATGGAATGCGCCTTGGACACAAAGAAGGTTGTTCAGGAGAGTGCCTGTTCTTCGTTGGCCGATTTCATCGATTCAGCTCAACCTGAGCTGCTTGCTGAGTTTGTCGAGCCATTACTGCGCCATTTCCAAGCTTACTTTAAGAAATATCAACGGAAAAATCTCATCATTCTGTACGACACCGTGCAAACTTTCGCCGAGAAGGTTGGCGACCAACTGTGCTACAAGCCAGACTATATTGAGATTCTGCTACCACCACTTATAGAGAAATGGCAGCAGCTGACCGATAATGACAAGGATTTGTGGCCTTTGTTGGAGTGTATGTCTTCTGTTGCGGCCGCTTTGGGCGAGTCGTTTGCTCCATACGCGGTGCCGGTTTACGAGCGTGCATTCCGTATTCTGGCTGTGAGCATTGAGCAGGCAAGAATGTCGAATGATAATCCAGGCTTCGAGGCCCCTGAGAAGGACTTCATCGTCACTTCGCTGGACCTGATCGATGGTTTAGTGCAAGGGCTTAAACAACACAGCGCGCAGCTAATCCAGCAATTTGACACCAACGAAGTCTCGCTGATGAAGCTGGTGATATACTGCTTCGATGACCCAACAGACGATGTTCGTCAGAGTGCTTATGCCCTTCTCGGAGATTTTGCTATCTTTTTAATGGAGCCACTAGTACTTCCGCATTTACACCAGGTGATGGTCTGTATTGGGAACGAGGTGACGAACAGAACCTTCCGCTCTAGCGCAGCCTGCAACAACGCGGTGTGGGCGCTAGGTGAAATGTGCTTACGTCTTTCCGCAGACATCTTCAAGCAGTACATTACAAATTTCATGAATGTGCTGATTCCTCTTCTTCTGAGTACCGACGTCGAACAAACGATTCTTGACAACACCTCCATTACCATTGGACGCATGGGGGTTCACAACGCCGCAGATATGGGACCGTACGTTCCTCAAGTGCTTGTCACATGGTGCTCATTTATGAAATATCTGGAAGAAAACGACGAAAAAGAAACGTCTTTTGAAGGAATGTGCAACATAATCACAGCCAACCCAACTTGTTTAAATCCACACGATGTTTCTGGGCGCATGGCCATCAAGCACTTCATCGACTGCATCGCATATTACGAAGCTCCATCCAATAGACTTGGAAGCAAGCTACATCTTCTTCTTACCGGCTTCAAGAGCGGATTAGGCGACGCGGAGTGGAACGCTCTGTTGTCGGAACTAGATCCGTTTGTTGGCGAAATCCTGAAGATGAAATACGGGGTGTAGCACTAAAAATATATTATACACTATAATTAATTTATTCAATAATTTAGTTTTGCATTCATCTATTTATTTCTTCTTGGTTCTAAGAGCAATTCACCAATTGGCAAGTCGCTGACACCCTTACCAAGAGCATAGATAGAGCGGCCACGGAGTACGGTCTCCACCACGCGGCCGTGGAGCTTGCGCCCATTGAAAGCTGTGAGTTTATTTTTGAAGAACGTGCGGACATTAGCAACGGTATGATGAGCTTCAGGATCAAAGATGGCGAAATCCGCGTCCATGCCGGGTGCAATGGACCCCTTTCTATGTTCTAGGCCTACCTGTTTAGCTGTGTTTTCGCAACACCATCTTGCGATATCTGTAAACGAGATGCCAAAGTTAAGGCCTTCAGAGTAGAGCAGAGGCAAGCCAAAACCGACCGAAGAAATTCCTCCCCAAGCTTCAAAGAAATCTCCCCTTTCCAGTCCCTTGAGCTCAGGGGTGCAGGGGGAGTGGTCACTCACCACTGAAGTGATTATTCCTCTCTTGAGTCCGTTCCACAGTTCCCTACGGTTAGTATCTGTGCGGATCGGAGGACAGCACTTGAACTGGGTGGCTCCGTTGGGAATGTCTTCTGCTTTAAGTGTGAGATAATGGAAACACGTTTCTGCTGTAATGGGCAAATTTAGTTTTTTCTGAGCGTACTCGATCATTGGCAAGGCCTCTTTGGTTGCAAGGTGGACTATATGCACGTTTGTGGAGGGATATTTTCCAGAGCAAGCGATGATGTTTTTAATGGCGGTGATCTCGAACGAGTCTGGTCTGGAAGCAAGGAACGAGGAGTAGGAGGTTGGATCGACAGACTCGAGATCGCTGTTGTCCTCGATGGCTTTTTCCAGGGGAGTGATCTCGTCGTCCAACGAAAGGGCTCGAATTTTCGGCGATTTGGCAAGCTGCGAGATGGCACCGATTGTTGGCTCCACCGGATGCAGCGTTGGTGACGAGGCCAGCAGCTGAGCCTGGTGGTCGGTGAGTCCGTCGCAGTGGTGGTGCGCGTCGATCGACGCGTCGCAGTCGGAATCCATTTCAGCGTGGAACAGAAGCACTGTCGAGAACCCATTCACACGCTTGAGAGCCTGCTGGATGTATTCAGGGGTGATCATGGGGAACTCACTAACACCGCTGTCCATCAAAAAGCCCTTGAAACCTCGGACACCGGCCTGGATAAGAGGAACCAGATGGTCAAGATTGGTAGGGACCAGCCCGCCCCAGAAAGCGGTATCAACCCAGCACTGGCCTTTGGCAGCCTCCAGCTTGAGATAGAAATTTTCGATGGTTGTTGTAGGGGGAACGGCATTAAGCGGCATGTCCACGACGGTGGTCACACCTCCGCTGGCAGCAGCCTGTGTTCCGGTTGCAAAGCCTTCCCACTCGGTCCGGCCGGGTTCGTTCAGATGGACATGTGCATCTACAAGACCTGGCATGATGACAAGGGGATCCAGCTTGCGGTAGGAAACCACGTTGTATTGGGCGAACATGAGATCTCCATCGTCCAGGATGCTTGGAATAACGGTGAGGATCTTACCGGAGTACTCCGAATAAATGATCGTTGCTGGACCAACCCTATTGTTGGCCACTACTTTAGAAGAGGAGATGGCTTTGCTCATAAGGTTAATTAACAGGGTTCCCGGTGGTTTAAAAGATTTTCGGTGGATTCCGTACAAGGTGCAAGGTGTCGCCGAAAGCGGAAGCTTTGTTATCAGCAGCTACCGCCTTACCTAACCGATAACGATTTCCTGAGAGGCTGAATGGGAGCAACCGAACGGTGTGCACGGGGGTTTGTTGTCGCTGTAATTGCCGTATCCACCTGAAGGCGTTGCAGCATATCACGATGTTGTCTTGTAGGTTCTTTATCTTTGTTTCTTTTTACGTAGCCAGATCTAGTACACCCGTACACGGGGTGGAAAACCGTTTTTTTGTTCCGCTTCACAATTTTAGCATC